AAGATAATGTAATAAAACAATGAGAAATTTGAAAAAAAAGAGAATACCATAAACCAATGGTGAATATGAAAAGAAAGATAATGTTATAAAATAATTATGAATATGAAAAGAAAGAGAATACTATAAAACCATGATGAATATAAATTGAAAGATAAAGTAATAAAACAATGATAAATATGAAAAGAAAGAAAATGTCATAAATCAATGATAAATATGAAAAGAAAGAAAATGTCATAAATCAATGATAAATATGAAAAGAAATAAAATACTATAAAACAATGATAAATATAAAAAGAAAGAGAATTCCGGAAAACAATAATGAATATGAAAAGAAAGATAATGTCATAAAGTAATGGTGAATATGAAAAGAAAGTTAACAATACAAAACAATGATAAATATGATAAGAAAGAGAATGCTATAAAGTAATGATGAATATGAAAAGAAAGAAAATGTCATAGATCAATGATAAATATGAAAAGAAAGAAATGTCATAGATCAATGATAAATATGAAAAGAAAGAGAACATAAAATAATGAATAACATGAAAAGTAAGAGAATATCATAAAGCAATGACAAATATGAAGAGAAAGAGAATAATTTTCATGTCAACATCAGCGCCATGTTCAACAAAGAATTTGACAATTTCGATTGAATTTGTTTTGATTGTAATAGAAAGTGGAGTATCACTAAGATCAAAGGAATTTTATAAAGCAATGATAAATATGATAAGAAAGAGAATGTCATAAACCAATTGTGAATATGAAAAGAAAGAAAATATAATAAGGTTTGTTGATGTCAGCCCCATTAGAAAGTAAATACGAAATAACTTTAAAGTTTCCAAAATACATGCATTCTCTTATTGAATCAGGATTTTGTCCGAAGTTTGATTTAAGATACTCAGCAATTTCATAGTGTTGATAACCCAATGCTGTATTAATCATTTTATTAAATGATTCACCTTCTTCTACCATTTGCATAAATATGTTTTTATTTCCTCCTTTAACAGCATATTCTTCAGAGTGTTTAGTGTATTTAGCTCCTAAATTTTTCAAGTAATTGAAGCATAATTCTGATCCGTATTTAATTGCACAATCAAGTGGTTTGATTTCATCATCTATTTTCGTGTTAATTTTAAGATTTGGGAATTTACTTTTAAGGTCATCAACTAAATCCCATGCAATATAGTATAAGGGAGACTCTTTTGAATATAAATTGAGAATTGCTTCTTCTGTCATTTTAGGCTTAAATTTTTCAAAATTGAAACCTTTATAATGTAGAAGCGTTGCTAATTTAATATTATTCGGCTTGATGACGCATGAGAATTCGTTAGATATCTTTTGATAGAATTCTGAAAATAAATTAATGTCTTTTTCACGAATTTCCGAAAAAGCGCTAATCAAGTAAATTGCCATATGGATGGATATTTTGTTAGTTTTAATTAAATCTATAATTTCTGCTGATGATGTTAAAATATTATTTGAATTGACTTCCGAAATAATTTTTGAAGCTTGGCTAGGGTATTTGAAGGGTTCAATTGGCTTAAGGCTGCTAAAATTGCATTCGCCTTCATTTACTGGTTGCTTGTACTTGACATGCTTTGTAATTTTTTTTGGTCGTGACACTTTTAGGGACAAAATCAAGTGTTTCTACCAAATAATAAGAGAAAAGGGTAAATTTTTTTGAGAGCGGTACATCTCACAAAAATTGACATTGTAAAGTTAGTCAGTTTACAATTGTAAAATGGCAAATTTGCCACTTGTTTGCCAACTACAAAAAAAGTTTGGCGCCAAATCGCAAAAGTGTCATAATCTCATGGTGGACCACAGTTGGAGTCGCCGCCGACAATCCACTTGCTGGGATGCTACGCAGCCTTTGATCTGGCCAATCATAGTGCTGCTCCATCCACATCAGCAAGTGATTTCGGCAGGAGATCCCCAATCGGTCTTCCATGAGAGTTCCACAAGCCAGAAGCGCAATACCTGTGCAGTCTAACTGCTAGGATATAGTAGCTAGGCTGTGTAGGTATTGCGCTTCTAAGGATATTAGTTATCCGTTATTGCCCTCATTCATTTACACTACCGCCCCCTGGTCCCCAAAGGGCCAAGGATTCTGTAATTACTCGAGCAGGGCAAAGTTCTTCCGAGATCTCTCATTCCATCGAAAGATCTCGGAAGAACTTTGCCTTAAACTACTCAATTACTGTTCCCTGGTTTTCAAAGAGCCAGGGATTCTGTAGTTGATCTAATAAGGCAGAGTTTTTTCCGAAGTCTCTCATTTGATGAGAGGCCTCGGAAGAACTCTGCCTTAAGATAGCGTACTTGTGATCTCTAACAATTTGTGTGTCGAGAATGTAAATTTATTCGACTAGGACAGAGTTTTTCCGAAGTCTCTCATTTGATGAGAGGCCTCGGAAAAACTCTGCCTAGTGTAATGTAGTTGTGGTACTTGGCCCACAAAAAGCGAGAGAACATGTCTGTAATTCGTTTATGCTGAAGTTATCTGGATGTCTCTCAAATGAGAGAGGAAATCCAGATAACTTCAGCATAAGTTAATGCATATGTGGTTCTCTGGCTCTTTGTCGGCCAGAGAACGAATAAAAAGTTTAATGGGTGAGTAGGCTCGATGGATGCCTACTCATTGCAAATATACGTTATTTTTTTTCCTATGAGAAAATAGTTTTCCAGTTTTATAATACCATATGTTTTATTTCTTCATATATAATCTAATTTTCTTATTAAACCCTAATTTTTCCGTGTGATTCGGAATCTCCGCATTCAAAAACTGCGTTTTCCGCCATCAGAACGCGAAAATATTCACTACATGAGGAGATAAAGAAGATTCTTTCTCACCAAAATTCCAAAAAAAATTGTTTTTCTTTTTTTCTCCGCGAAAAATGTACTTTTTGATTTCGAAATTTTCGAAACGTGATTTTTTTGGAAATTTTTGTGAAACTTAAATACGGTGAATCTGATTTATTTTAAGTGTTCTTTTATTATGTTCACTTAATTTTGAGTTTTACGCAAATTTGAAATTATGAATTTCGGAAAATCTCTTTTTCTCCTTTGGAATAGGTTATATATGAAGAAATAAAGCATATGGTATTATAAAACTGGAAAACTAATTTGAATAAATTTTAGAGGAATTTCTCCAGAGAATCAATTTCAATAGAATACAAAGTAAATTATTAAAATAATCAAATTTGATTTAGTGAAATAATTTTTCACACATTTATTTGCAAGTAATAGTTCAAGAATGATAATGTTCTACTATTTCATTAAATTATTTAATAAATATTAATTACCTAATTTTTTTTTCATTATAAATAATATATCTGTTAAATATTGAAATATTATTTTCAGCATTACTAGTAGTAGGATAGGAAGGGTTTTGTGACTTTTTTTGTTACGTCTATATATAGATGAAGGTATATTTTCACATCTTCTATATATAGATGATATAAAAATTTTTTCTTACGTTTTTTAAGTCATGAATTCGTAAGAAAGCGCGACATTATTAAATAAATTAGTAATAAATATTATATACTAAACACATTTTAAAATTTATTTATAAATCATTAAAAAATTAACATTAATTTTAAAATAATTTATTTATTTATAAATCATTAAAAAATTAACATTAATTTTAAAATAATTTATTTTTTTATCTTTTATAAAAGAAGCTATATATAGATGATGTCAGATATTCCGCGATTAATTAAACATTGTTTAAATCCTGAATGGAATCAATGGAGTCATAAACGAGTAAAATAAACTTTAAAAATTCATGTCTTACGAAAAATTAAAACTTAGTTATGTTTATTATTTTATTTTTTTTATTTTGTATGAAATGAGCGTCAAAACTAACAACGTTAAAAAATTAGGATTCACAAACGAGGAAATAAAGGATATATTAGAGGAGGTGGGTTATGAAGTTGATAAATATTATTTAAGAAATTGTCAAAATTTGCCGAGTTATTAAATGATTTAGATTATGATGGAAAAATGAATAAAGATGATGTTATAAATTTCTTATATCCCATCTGAAGAAGAAAAACCTAAAGAACCTGATGTTTTCCCCGAATATTATGAAGAACGGATTAAGGATGATGAATACAATGAAATTGAAAGACTGGAAAAAATAAGAGATGAAATAGATGAAAAAATTAAGGAATTAAGAGAAGTTGAAAATATATGAAAATGAAGTAGAGGGTTTAATGAATATCCCAGCTTCAGAATCAGAAGTACAGAAATCTCATGAAGAAAGATATAAAAATTATGTCTCAGAATCAACACAAAATTTATTAGATGGTGAAATAGACGAAACACTTTCAGAAGAAGGTACTAAATTTATTCGTAAACATAAGTTACAATTTATTGATAATGAAGAATACCCCTGTATCCTACTTTCACCACCTTTAGATTCCAAAAAATTCAAAAAAGCTCTTAAAAACGTGACATATGCAACTAATACGATTAAGAAAGAAGATCATGATATTTACACAAATTATTATTTAAATAAATGCACGGGTGTTGATAAAGTTTTTGATTTATTAGATAAAATATCAAAAGAAACCATTGGAACCTATAAAATTTTGTGTGATTGTGGTTTCATTATTGAAGATACTAATAATGTTTCATATGAAAGAACAGCACCGAAGGAAGATGAAGTTGAAAGGTCTATACCATTCGTTATTAAGAACATAAAAGATATGAAAACTTATAAACATTATATTTATTCATTTATTTCAGAAAAAATGGAAGCAACCCATAAAACATCTTCTCATCATTTTATAGCTATTCATACATTCCTTTTCAAAGTTGTGAAATTAAATAAGACAGGAATTAGATTTAATGTATCAGGGTACGCATTCTTGAGTAAATTAAAATGTATTCGTCACGTCGCAGATGATAAAAATTTATGTGTTCTTAATTCATTTTATGGGCTTTAAAAAATAAACTTTATTTTTATTTATTTTTAATTTTTTTTTATTCTTACATAAATGAACAAAAACGGAACAGCTAAAATGAATGATAATCAAATTAGAGCAGAAGGTAGAAGGTTATTTAAACACTTCTATAACATTCCTGATGGTGTTAATCCTAAAACTCGTAGAAGCTATTTAAATGAAGCAATAGATGCATATGAAGGGTTTGACATTTCATCAGAAAGTGAGAGATTAGCGAGAATGTTAAATGTTAATATTGATTTCTATTATTGTGATCCTCAACCAGAAGACGTGGACATAAATAAGGTAGACTTTCCATTAGTGGAATCAATAATGATAGATCCAGAATTTGAAACAGTAAATATTTTATTAACACAGAGTCCATGTGGAAAACTTCACGCTGACAGAATAACAGACGTAGAAGCACTCACCGGCTATAAAGTTTGTCCATATTGTAAAGAAGAAGTTTATTCTATCCGCGATGATCCAGAAAGGAAAAACCAAAGAAGATTTTTAAAGCATTGTGAGAAATGTAAAGAAAATAATGGAAGATTAATTCAAGACGTTCAGTTGCAAAAGACCCAGCAACCATATACACCACATATTACGAAACAGAAGATATATCAGTGGTTATTAGCTCACAATTTGCAGAAATATTATAAACCGACAAGATATTATATTACCTTTGACTTTGAAACATTAGAGACTAAAGAAGAATTACAACTTTCTGAGTGTGCAACTTTGAATGCTTACTTAAAACCATTCATGGTATCATCAACGGTTAAATTAAATGATAAAACGTATACGAGGAATTTTTGCTTAACTTCGAGTGATTCTTTTATTTCTGATTGGATTGAGTTTTTATTTTCAACCTGTTCATTAGTTGCTAAATCAAATATTGAACAATATGAAGAATTATTGAAGCCGCAAACGGTGGGGACTTTGTCTCATACATTAAATGAAAAACAGAAGGAAGCATTTAAAGAACTTCTAGATGAGGAATTCAATAAAGTGAATATCATAGGTTTTAATTCGGGAAAGTTTGATTTAAATTTAATTCTTCGTGATTTAAATACTGCAAAATGGAAAATAAAATCAATGCTGGGTTCATCTTCACAATTTAAGCAAATCATTGTAAAGAAAACAAACGTTCCATATGAATTGAGATTTATTGACATCAGAAATTATATAGCGGGTGGGACATTAGACCAATTCACTCAAGATTTCGGAAACAATAAATCACGTGTTAAATCCTTTTTCCCTTATCAATTCATCACGTGGGAAAATTACGAAGAAGAATTATATAAAGTGGAACCATTCACGAAAGATTCATTTTATTCAGCATTAACTCAAGAAACTATATCAGATAGTGATTATCAAATATATCTCAATGATGCTAAAAACTTTAAGAATAGATTAGAATATTTTATTCATTATTGCAATAAAGATGTTGAAATTATGATTGACCCAATCGATAAAATTATTGAAGAAACATTTGTTTATAAAATTGACACGCTTCATAATCTTTCTTTATCATCGAATGCTTCAATGATTCGTTACGCTTTAGCATATAAAGACTTTAATCCTAATGAAAAATATCCTGAGGAAGAGATAGAATCAAGTTTTGAATTAACGAAAAAGTATTGGAAATATAAAATTGAATCATATAAGAAACAAGATGAAAAAGCAGAAAGGGATACTAAAAATAATGTTTCAATGGATGATTTTCAATACTATCACGATTTAATCCTTTCATCTAAATGCAAAATGTGTGGTAAAGCGTTTACATATGCAAATAAACCAACATTGGATAGAATCGATAATGAAAAACCACATACCAAAGAAAATTGTCAGTTAATGTGTTGTTATTGCAATGTCATAAAATCAAATAAAGATGAAGATGTTCAACGTTTAAGAATCAATTTAAGAAATTATGCATTAAAAAATAATTTACCAATGACTTTAGATTCAGTTGAAGCTTATCACATTCTCCGTAATGGAATTACTGGTGGTTTATCAAATGTTCAACATAGAGTAAATCTTAAAGGAATCACGCGCATTAATAAACTTGCATATAATCCAGAAACTAAAACTGTATCAAATGAGGACACCACCAACATTATGACTCATTTCGTTGGTGTTGATTTTAATTCATTATATCCTTCATCATTTTCATCTAATCCTCATGATTTCATTCAATATACTGACCATAAAATGTATATGCCGGGAAGATTGAATGGTGTTATCATTTGTGATACAGCAACAAAGAAAGCAAAAGCACTGGGAATTATTAGAAAGAAAAATACTTTATTCGTGGCTGAAGTAAAGGGTCACATTGATGAAAAATACATTAATGATTACATAAACTTTTTACCGATAATAAGAAACTTAGATATTATCACAGATGAAAAAACAATTGGCAGTTTTATGTATAATTACATGAAATCAAACAATCTACCAGTTGACCAGAAACAGAGGAAATTAACTCAGTTAGCATCAACACACAACCAATATCAACCATTTTCTTCTTATTATCTTTGGTATCTAATAGACAGATTTCATTTTATCATCGATGATATTCAATCAATTTTAACATTTACTAAAACACTTGTTTTAATGAATTTGCGAACAAATTTATGAACGAAAGACAAAAGGCTGAATTAGCAGGAAATAAAGGAAAAAGTTTATTTTGCAAGATTTCGCTTAATGGATCATATGGTTACGATGCAATGAATACACAAAATTACGCAAAGACTAAAATAATGAATGCACAGAAGGCATGCGTTGCATGTATGTCAAATAAGTTTAAAAACATAAGAGAAATAGGTGAAGATACATATCAAGTGATGCTTAAAGATAGATTTTATAGATGTGATACATGTTTACAAGAGGCATTCTTCACTTTAGATAATGCTAAATACTGGTATTTGGTTTTCATTTATGATTTTATGTATAAATGCATGAATGTTAATCGTTTTCATTTCATTGAAGGTGATACTGATTCATCTTATTGGCAATCGCTGGCGATCCAAATCTTCCTAACACTCAAGCATTTCAAGCAATTGTTACCGATAAACAATTTTATGATAAAAACATTTTCAAATTCGCACCATTTGATTTCTTCTGTTTTGATGAGAAATTTAAAACCTAAATTAAAGAATAAAGCTGAAGAAAAAGCACATGAGAAGAAGTTATTGGGTTTAGCAATTGAGAAACAAGGTGATAACATGGTTGCTTTATGCCCCAAGTGTTATACATCATTCAACGGTTCAATTGATGGAAGTGATTTTAAAAAGATTGCACAAAAAATGAAAGGTGTTAGTTTACGACAAAATAAACAATTAACACCTAAAATTATTTGGATATAATAAATGATAAAGTGATATTTGATGGTCAGAATATTAATTTACAACTTAAAAACGGGTCAATGACTCGCTTAACAATCGGTAAGACTGCATTAACAGGAGCACACACTAAGGCTGTATGTTGTGAAAATGGATGTTGTATGCCATTTTTTAATACAATTTAAAAATGTAGGGGTTGAGTCATGAATTTAAAATTTTTATTTTTAATAAAATACCACAGAAGAGACAAAAGGAACCGTTAATGATGTGATTCAATATGTAAATAATGGTTTTGATACTATGATTCAAAGAGGTGGGCACCCTTAAAACATTTTATTTTATTTTTATATAAATGGATAATGTAGATTTAGAAATTTTAATTGATGATTTAGTATTTAATCAAAATTTTCTTGATTATTACGATTTAAAAGCATATCTCCAAAAACATAATAACAATATAACGGGTGATGATATGGATTATTATTATCAGTATTATAAAAATGAAATTTTGAAATATCATGATAAAATAATTTCTAAAATTAAAGACAAAATTAAAAATAATGAATATACAAAGGGAAAAACTAAATCACAACTTAAACAATTGAAAGATTTCAAAAATAAAGTATTAACAGAAGAAGATATTGATGAATTATATAAATTATATAATCCTGAGCCGCAAAAGCCAAAGAAGAAAAAGCCGAAAACAACACCAAAAGAGAAAGTAGCAAATGTTCAACAGCTAAAGGTGCAAAACGCCCAGGTCCTTCAGACCATAAATGATGCACAAGCTTTAATTTATGATTCATTAGTTAAACCATATTCAGCCCGACTTTTAAATGAAGATCAACTTTTGGAATTCATCCTTCAACATAAACTCGAAGCGGGACAGTATATCAAACCTTTATATACAGCATATTTAAAACAAATGAATAGAATACATCCAGAATTAATGAAAGGAGGAATGAAATCCAAAACTTCATCATCCAAAATCAAAGCAGATAAAATTAAATCACTTGCAATACCAAAACCTCCAACAGTAGTACCTCCTCCTTCAGTTAATCCTTCATCATTCACTTTATTATATCCCATTTCAAACATTAAAGAAGCAAAAAGATTTTAAAAAGGATTTCAAAATATTAAATAAACAACTGACCCGAAAATTCAACGTTAAAGGAAAAATTTAGTCGCCCTTCATTTGCTCCATATCCATATTCATACGAAATCGATCATTTAGAATATTCAAAAGGAAACGTTACTTATTTATTTGCCATTAACATTAACACCAGATATTTATATTGCATTCCGGTGAAAGGGAAAACAGAACAGGAAACAAGAAGAGCTATACAATACTTACTAGATCATGAAAGAGTAGATAATATAAGGGGTGATGGTGATAAAGGATTTCAGGCAGCTATGGCTCATTATTTCCCACAAATTAATTTTTACTTTTCATCCTCTCCATATACGTTTCATAAATAAAATAGTTGATGTGGTATGAGCACTCTTAGAGATGCGTTAGGGGTTAACGGTCAGATATACTGGGATGGAAATCATGACTCCATCATACAGCAGTTAGTATATTATTACAATAATACATGGCATAGAACTATAAACATGAAACCAGTGGAAATGAAAAATGATATTTCAAAAGAATGGGAATATATTAGAAAGCAAATGGAAAGGTTGAATGATGTTAACGTGAACAAATTAATTCGGGCTCATGAATTTTAAAACAAGGGGATAAAGTTTTGATTCATCTCGATTATGGAAAAACTGATAAATCAATGACAAAAAGAAAGACGAAGATTTGAACACAATAGCTGAATTTGTTAGATATATAAACGGCAATGCATTAGTTGAGGTTAACAATAAATTAATAGAAATTCCGATTTATTTTATTACTCCATTATATTTAATAATATTTAATTTTTTTTATTTCGTAAGAAATGAGTGACAACGAAGCAGCCGAGAGTCCAGACGATGAATATAAAAAGAAACTAAACAGAATTAAATCAAAAATATGCTATTACAAAAGAAGCCGCAATGCGGTGGGGCTGAAAACGATAAAGAGAGGAAAGAAATAATCGAAAAATTAGAAACTTACCGTTCAATCCTTAAACTGAGTGAAGCAAAAAAAAAGAATTTAATAGAATAAATAAATTGATTGGAAGAGATGAATTTAATAAAGATGAATTTTTAAACTCAATCCAAATTTAATTTTTATTCCTCTTCCCGAACCCTTCTAGGTTCTTCTTTCCATCATTACTGCATAACCGCATCTTCTCGGTTTTCGTGGTTTGTTGTTTTTAATTAGTTCTTGCATCTTTTTTATCATTTCCTCCCTTGTTATGATTCGTGGTAAATTTTGAGCTTGTGGGGTATTCATTTATATAAAAATAAAATTTTGTTATCAGTTATTTTATCGTTATTTTATTAAGTTCATCTTTAGTTAATTTGAATGATAAGAAAATTTATTTTTGAATAACTGAAGGTGTCACCAGGTTAATTAACTTCTCTGAAAAAATGAGACAACATGACATTTTGACAACACAGTAGGATTAATGAGGAAGGCATTTATGAATTATTTTTGAATAACTGAAGGTGTCACCAGGTCACCAGGTCACCAGGTTAATTAACTTCTCTGAAAAAATGAGACAACATGACATTTTGACAACACAGCAAGGATGGAAAGCAAAAATAAATTCAAATCATACTTTATAAAGCTTCATTTACAGGTATTTCATCGTCAGTAAATGAATCATCATTATCATTTGGTTCAACCTGTTTATATAATCCTTTCATTTCTTCTTTCAAAACATAATACCATGTCTGTTTACCATCTATTTTTCTTTGTTTCCTTTCACATTTATCCTTAATGCTCATTTGGAAATTCTTGTCTTTCATGTCTGATGGTTTGCAGAATAGAGCATTTTTACACGTCATACCTACACACAATTCATCATAATGTGTATTTATCCATACATCTAAAGGATTTGTTGATAATTCAATTAAATCTTGTTTGGCTTCAGTCATCGGTATGATTCGTACATTAAATGATGAAAGGTCGTAATTGATAAAATATGTCAGTAAATTATCATAAAATTCCTTTGTGCATGAATCCATTAAATTCTTGAAGTAATCAAATTGACCCTTAAATTTACCATTAACCCTTAAAACTACGTATCTTCTGTCTCCAACTTCAATTTTGACAGGGTAGACGTTATTAGTTACGAAAATGAAATTAGCAACGTTCTGGGCAGTTCTTCTGGGTTGATTCTTTTCATTAATTCTAATCTCATTATCCGTAATAATTGATTTCAAAGCGTTGAAGTTTGCGAGTCTGTCTTCACCTACATTCTTGAGTTCATTAAGTACAAGAAACATTTTATTCTCAACTACTGAATTGAAATTACCCGTTAGCTCATTTATTTCGGTAATGTTTTTACATGAATAACCGGCGAGAAGTTCAGAAATAATGTCTGTAAATCTTTTTACCTTTCCTGAAGTCCTTTCAAAATAATTGCTGTTTCATTCTTGATTCCAGGATGTTGAATCATTGATGCAATCCAGCCGAGTAGATATTTTACACTTCATCGTTATTATCACAAATGGCTTCTTTAATGAAATTCATAAACATCTCAATTTTTGAGTAATCTGGTTTTTCGAGAACGTTGTATTTATAACCTTGAAACATTGAGAAAACATCTGGAGAATCAGATTTAAAGCAAACACCCTTAACGGTTAATGAAGACAATTGATTTAGTAGTACATCCCATGCTGTTATTGTTTTACCTTCTTCTTTAAATAATTTAATCATCTTGAGTGACTCTTTCATGTTTGATTGAAGAACGAATGATATTTGATTCATTTTGTCGTGGATATTATAGTCCTTTTGAATGAAATATTTGTTTCCACAATCTACAAAACGGATTACACGTGATAAATTCCTCAATTACTTCAGAACTGTTTTTATACTGATGATTTTCAGCCTTGCGTCTAATATCTGTTATCAAAAACGAGTCATCAAGTTTTATATCAAATGTTATTTTTGGCTTACGTAATAAAGGTAAAACGTATTCATCATAATATTCCTTTTGATATAGTTTTAGAATCTTCACTAAACAAATGGAGAAGTCATTAAATGTGCATATCTACTACGTGCTTTTTCAAAATTACTTTTTGCATTTTCAGTTAAATTGCAGAAGTTATAAACGTTATCGTATGCTTCATTAATTAAATGATTAGGTAACGAATTAATTGCTTGAAACAGTGTGAATAATGTAACTTCTTTTTCTAAATTCATGTTTCCACCGTCATTATGTACTTCAAAATCACTGATGCCATCAACTATGCTTTGAGCTAGTTTATCGTCAATGTTTACATCTTTGTTTTCATTCATGATAGTCTTTATTTCTTCATTCTTTTGTTCAACTCTTACCTTAATATTCAAATCATTTAATATATCATTCACTGTTCTGGTTATGGTCGAGTCATAACTTCCGCGAATGAATGAGTATGTATTGATTGGTTCTGTTGCATTCTTTCGAACTCTTGAATCAGCCATAACCACTAATGAACGCTTTGAATCATCCATAGAAGTCATGATATCGATATCATAATCATTGCAGGAATAACATTTAATCATTCTGTTCGAAACTGAATAGAAGAAATTAATGTTACAATAAATGTGAAGACCTCCTGAAGCGGTTTTAACGATAACATCTTTATCCGAAAGTTTTGATAAAATATCTTTTCTAACTGTTTCTTTAAGTTCATCATTGTACGATTTATTGATATCAACATCTATAATCGTTAAATTTGAAATTTTATTTACTAATAAAGCCATACCAGTTTTCCTTCCTCTTCCTCCATCATGTTTGAGGTAGTTATGTAAATCAATCTTGTTTTCACCAATTCTTTCGTTGAGGGTTTTAGTTTCTGCCACAACTAATTCCTCAGCTAATGAATCAATAACTTTTTCATCAGAAACGATATAGTTGCTGTTGTTGTTTGTTGCTGTCATTTATATAGGAATAAAAAAATAAAAATAATTTTAAAACTAACTTTATTTTTGGACTGCATCAAATTTCCGGGACTGTTGTCAAAATGTCATGTTGTCTCATTTTTTCAGAGAAGTTAATTAACCTGGTGACCTGGTGACCCGGTGACCCGGTGACACTGAAAACATTTACGAAACATTAACGTAAACATTAACGCAAACATTAACGCAAACATTAATTTCCGGGACTGTTGTCAAAATGTCATGTTGTCTCATTTTTTCAGAGAAGTTAATTAACCTGGTGACCTGGTGACCCAGTGACACTGAAAACATTAACGTAAACATTAACGTAAACATATATTTCTGCAGTTCATCCATTACTTCATTACCTAATTAATTACAGACATAAACTATATTTAGTTCATTCGGTAAGCCTTGACCCAAAGGTCTGGGCTCAAGCGCGTTCATTGAACGCGGTACCATGCAAATACAGTCACAAATGGTGGCATGTAATCTTTACCCAAGCGCGTTGGATTTGTTGTGAAAGTGTGTGAATGATTTCCTCCCGGTTCAGTTTGTCGAAAAGTCTTTTTTGTTGAATCGTTATAAGCTGGAGATAAAACGGCATTGCCAGCTTCATAGTCTGAGTTGTATAATGGGTGGTCTCTTAATGAGTGTCTATGGTCGCCAGAAAAGTTTGTAGTTCCTGTATGAGTGTGTGGTGGAAGGTTTGCTTCTTTAATTTTCTTCGAACCTCCTGTTTGCTTTGAATATCTAGCACAGTATAAGAATTTATCTACAATCTGCTTCCACGTACCAAAACCTAAAACTGTTTCTGGATTTGTTGAGTTCATTGACGTATAAATAGAACCAACAGGATATAATGTTTGAAGTATTTCATTTTTCATGCTTGTAATCACATCATTTACTTCCGACTTCTTTGCATAATTTTCATCAACATAAGTTTTATCTGCTTTAAGGTCTAAACATCCTGAAACCCATTCTGTATCAGCTTTAACTTTAAAAGTCTCCAATGTCCATTCATGATACCATTCAACCTTTTCTTTAATTTCATTATCTTTTTCATCAACATAAACCAAATTTGCCTTCTTCTCTAATTCACTATCCACATATTCCTTATCTGCTTTCTTCATTATGTCGTTTAGGAAACCTTCTATGAATTCCTCATTTAAATTAAATCTTCCAATCTTCAAAACTTTAGGAAATGCATTTAATGCGTAATATCTCTGTTCTTCTGGTGGAATTGATGTTATATCATCCGTTATTCCTTTAATTTTTGAATTCATAAATAAAATTTCTTTTATATTTGATATCATTGCACCACCTTTGCAAACGAATTCGAAATGGTCATTTTTCAATACTATCTCCAAATCTCCATATTTCAACCTTTGCGTTTGTTCTGCCGTCTTTGAATTATATGCATATGGGGCGTATGTAATGGTCTGAAGGACCTGGGTGCTTTGCGCCTTAAGTTGCTGCGGTTGCTGTTGTTTAATCATTTATTATGATTTAAAAATAAATATTTAATCCGTTATCTCATCAGCTATTTTCTCTATTTGAAATTGCCATAATATTTCATTCATAAATTCTAAATCACAATCAAATAGGTCAGTTATTCTAAATTTAATATTTGATATAATCTTTTGAATGAAGAATAAATGAATTCCCGGATAATTGAAACGGATATGATAAAGAAAATGTGTTTAAGTTGATGGATAAAATGTTTTGTATTGATGGGTAAGAGTTAGGGTCTAATGTTTGATGTGAAAATCTCATTGGGGTATTAACTTTATCACATTTGATTAAAATGAAATTGGAACCAGTGTCAGAATACAAAACATCCCCAACATCTTTTTCAAAATTTAATATCCCCAACAATGAACGAAGATGAGGAGTACAAAATTTAATTTTCAGCGGAAATTTAATAAGGTTATTTATTTCATCAAGTTCAAAAAGTTTATCAGGTTTTGATTTAAAATTTTCTTCATACCATACGATAAATGATTCATTTAAATAACATAAAATCGTGTTAATATCCCATTTCGCTATCACATTATTTATATACATATCATACGTTTTTTCATGGTCATCTTTAATAAATGATATATAATCTGAAGGGTCTAAAAGAATGGGATTAAATTTACCACTCACAGAAACGAGAGTAACATTATAAATTCCGCTAACTGTTAAATTTAATTCACAGTTATTATTCGAAAATAAATATTGATAATTGACATTTTTTATTACGATTAAAAATATGGTAAAGCGTTATTTTCCAGTGATAAATAAAACTAGAATAAGATTACCTCAAGAATTCATAAATTCAACGAATAAGAAATTCATTCATGTTATAAATTTTAGTGTTTTCAGAAAATATGAGTCAGTGTCATATTCATCAACAGGTTATATTTCACTTCATTCAAATTTAGTTCAATCAAACCCATATAATGACCATTTCATAAGATTTTCAGATGGTATTAAAAATGTAATTGATAGATTAAAATATGAACAGATTGATAATATCGAATTTTTGGAATTTTGGTTTAAATATCCCGATGGAAAAAAGATTGAAGTTAAAGATAAAGCTGATACTATAACAAAAACAATTACAATGACCGATCCGGATAGTGGGGAACAAAAAGAAATAAAACAAACGATAGAAACTGGTGAAAGGTCAATTATTATTGATTATGATTCAAAGGATTATTATTCGATAATGTTAATGCTTGAATATTAAATAGCCTTAACAAAGAATTTTTCAAAGTGATATTTTATATTCATCAACTATTTTATTATAAATATCATTATATGTTAAATGAAGTTCAGTTGTTGTTCCGTTCTTTGATATCTTAATTGTGCTAATATCCTTTATAGGATTTATTTTTGCAACTGTTCCGCAGCATGAAACCTCATCATCTATGAAAAATTGAATCTTAACGTCTGAATCTTGAACATCACAAAGAATGGCGATAATGTGAATTAATGATTCATACGGTAAAATAATTAAACCGGATTGATCAATTAAATTTATTATTGAATCATAATTATTAATTATTATATCACGGTAAATTTTCATTAATTCAGAATTAATATCTATTTTATATGGGTTCTCGATGTTTGATGAAAGAGGTGGGGGGTATGTTGGATAAGTGGGAATTTCAACGGGTTCTTTACCGGGTTCAGATAAAATGATCGGGTCTCCATTCTCATGGTTTTCTTCATTCTCCTCATTCTTCGGTAAGTCACGAGTTAATAAATTTGGTTGAGTTGCTGACCTTGTTAATTCGGGGCTAACATTAACTTTAACATTTTGAATAATTCGTGATTTATCATCATTTACGTTATAACCAACCGTAATCTCTGCTTTTGCGTTAGTGTTCTTTTGACTAGTGAAACGTCTTCTCATTTATATTCGAATAAAAAAATATATTTAAACTTTTATTTTGCTGGAACTTTTGAATCTATTATTCCCTGTATTTGTTCATGAAGTTGATTTTTAGCTGTTTCATCGAAATTAATAGACCGAATATATTCATTAATTGCATTCTTATAATCATCTGATTTCTCAAATTTTCTTTTATCTGATTCCTTAACTAAATCATAAGTTAAACCTCGTTGCTGATATAATGGTTTCTTAATTAAATCTTTGAATGCTTGAGATAAAGCACCTGATGCAATTCTTGCTACTATAATTGGTTGGAATTGCTGTTTAAGTTCATCTTTAACATTTGCGAAAAACTGGATCGAATAAAGCAACTTTAAAGAATTTCTTAGCTGAAATTTCGGGTCTAATATTTGCATATTGACCATCAAACTGGTTAGAATATCGTGGTAATCCATCCGGTCCCTCTTCAATAGCATTTAATTCTTCATTGAAATAAGAATATGGATTATGACGGTATGAATTAATTGGACCATTTTCACCTTCTCCAATGTATTGTTTAACAGCTTTTCCATTTTCATCAAATTGCATAGGATAACGTTCATTATATGCTTTACGTTTAGGATAATCAGTTATAGTTAATTTATAACCATTTATGACTTTAATATTACCTTGACCATCAGTAACGAAAACTTCATTTATACCATCAGGTTTTCCATTTGGACCCGTAATGTCTGCTTCGTGTGCTTCCCAATTTGGACCTTGACGTTTGGCATATGCTTGAGCTTCTGGTAATGTTAAAACGTTTCTCATTTGTTTAACATCTTTTTGAAGACCAGCAACAATATGAACTAATTCTTTCATTCCATCAGGAACTTTCATAGTTCTATTATATGCACCCTTTTTGTTTGTCCTTGTTTTAATGGAACCTGTAGAAGATTTGCTATTTCTGTCATGTTTAATTATAAATAAAAAATAAAAATTAATTATAAAAAGTTAATCAAATTTAACACTTCCTTTATTTAAATCAACTATTATTTTTCCATGTTCACCTAATTGCTGATATTGTGTGTAAAGTTCATTAATGCTCATTGGTAAATTCACTTGATAAAGCATAACGTTCAACTGTTGACGACTAAACCCACTGAAAATGAAAAGTGTTGATAGATTTGATTTAATGTTTGTGCTTAATGCTTTGAAATATTGAACAGCCATAAAGAATGAACACTGAATGTGTCGACATTGAGTTAATAACTGATTAAAATATGATTTCTCATTTGTTATTAGTTTTGATTTCACTGCATCATCTAGAAAAATGAGTGAATGCAAAAATTCTCTATCAAAATTTGAAATAGAAAGTGTTTCAAATAATTCATCCCGTTGTTTATCAATAATTTTATCCTCTAATCCTTGCTTCTTGATTGTATTATATAATTCTTTATACATTAAAAAGTTTTTTAAATAATCTTCTGCTTCTTCTTGTGATAAATAAATAATTGGAATTTTGATTAAATGCTTTAAAGATTCAAATGTATCATCTGAAGGTGAACCTGAACGGTTGATATAAATTAACACATGTGAATAGGGGGAAGTGTTAGCAATAATGATAATTTGTTTTAATATCGTTAATGTTTTACCTTTATTTTGTTTACCAATTGCTGCAGTGATTGAATTTAAGTAACATTCAGAATATGGAATTTTCATTAATTTTTCCTTAGATAGAGCATTTCTATTATCACTCAATGCTTCATTAATCATATCATCTACGTATGTATTATATACTCCTGCTAATTCTTCATAAGGGGTGGATGAATTTAAATCCATTTAATCAAAAATAAATTTATAATTTTAAACATTTCTATTCATCAATATTTCATCATATGAACTTCTATACTGTGGTGGTGTACCTGTTGGATGATATTTCAAACCTTCATCCGGTGTCCATGTCCAATATGTAGTCCTAGTAAACCAAACCTGAGGAGGATTTGTCACCTTTGAACAGTAAGTGTCATTTTCACCCTGAATGATTGGATAAGCTTTCACTTGTACTGTAACTTGTGAGTTGAAAGTTTCTAATCCATCAAAGAATATACCCGCTCCATCACGTTGAACTGGAATAGTGCATAAGAATGAAGTTTGGTCTTTCCATGTTCTAGCTAATGGCGCCATCATCATCATTCAGTGGTCTAGTTAATGAGTCCTCGTATTCTTCTGTGCATTCATTCACTCCATCTAAATCAGAAGCTTGAAGCATACGTGTAAAGAATATGTCACCCACTGTGGTCATCGCTTGATCGGGGAAGTTTCTGGAATCTATAGTGACCTGAAGACCTCGAAGCATTGGATTTTCTAAAACTGTTCTTTGCATTGCATTCTTCGGAAATGTTAACACAACATCTGTAACATTATGAAGAGCGTATGAGAAATCTGAGCTAATACCTTCAGGAGTGATGCAACCTCCATTTAGTGAACGAACGTCAATATGTTGAGCTGGAATCATGAATGGATCTTCCTTACTGAATAAACGTGGTATTGCTTTAACTGATTCTTCAATTAAACCGTATCCTGGTGTAATGCATTTATCCTCTAAAACTTCCATCTTTGTGCATGAAATAATAACGTCATCAACTGTTGCGTCAGCAGATGTAGCGGCTAAGCTTGTAATTAATTTGGCAGGAAGTCCGATTTGTTGGAATTTGCGATCATATTTATAAACATGATTCATAATCTTTTCATAATTTTCATCAGTTATCTTTTCATAAACGTAATTTTGTAAATCAGCAACTCTTAACGGGTCAACCTGACAAAATACTAAAGTATCCCTGAAAACATAATATTTAAGAATGATATCACCAAATGATTTAGGATAATCATCGAACGCCTGAAATGCTAACAAATCATTTACCGGAATAATCATATCAAAAGTGACATCAACTTCTTCATTTGCTTTCTTGAAAACTTCTGAAGGGTCAATATATTTACCACATACTGAGTTATCATATTTTTGAACATTATTATATAACGAATGAACAAACTTTTTAACTTTCCTTTCTGATTTTGGTTTATATGTTGCAAATGCGAAAGATTCACGGGCGCAATCCATCTGAAGATAACCGGCATCACCTCTTTCGGTTTCTACTTCTAATTGTTTAAAGCTTTGATTTGATGATTTGTAACCAACGAATAAACGCATGCATTTAAAAGCGGCATCACATGTGAAAGCTTTATTTGAAACTAGAGTTGCTTTAACTTTGCGTTTAATATATGTGTCACCTAATTGGTTCACATCATGAGCCGGATTTGTAATTCTTAAATGAGTTTGTTTATCATCAAAATATGGAGCATCAGAGTCATAGCATGAACTTTCAAGTTCTCTATAATATCTTCTACCGTCATTCTTTGCGAATATTTCATTTATCTTTTCGAATGAATGAAACACATTTCCATTAATCGGGTTTGGGTTTGGCACCAAATAGTTAGTCGTCATTTATTAATAAATAAAAAATCAAAATTAAAAGATGAAAATGAATTTTTAATTTTAATGAAATAATCAACTATGGCTGCAGGTATATTTAAGAAACTGTGGGATAAAGTAAAAAGAGGAGCGAGTAAAGTTTGGGAAACATTGAAGAAGGGAGCAAATTGGATATTTAAGAATAAAGAAGCAATTAGTGACGTTGCTGAATCAATAACACCAAAAGCTGCCCCAATAAGAGAAATTTTAAATAAAGGAGAAAAAGTTTATCAAAGACTACAACCGATACTAAGATAAAAATAATATTTATTTATTTTTCCACTATCTACCTCCTATTTTATTAAGTATTCCTTCAGCATTCCACCAATTGCGTTACCTGCTTGTGCTCCCATCGCCGGATTACCTGCTTTAGTACCTAATACTCCACCTATGATAGTTCCTGCCGTTTTCGCTACTGGTGCCAAAAAGTTTGCAAGGGTTTAATAATCTTTTTATGAACCCAACCCGCAGCTTTCTTAATTCCATCCCATAATTTTTTAAAGAATCCTGCCGCCATTTCTGATTTAATATTAATTAAAAAAATATTTCATCACTTATATTCTAATTTTTATTTAATGATAAATGAAACCGATTTTAAAAATAAATGAAACAGAGGAGGAAGAAATAAATGAAAGTGAAAATGTTCAACAAAAAATAAACGTTGTTAAACCAATTACTGAAATAAAAATTTTTTCATCTGTTGAAGAATTTAATGACTATTATGCTAATAATAAAAAATTATTTGAAGAATTGACAACATGTAAATTGAATAAAATGTTTAAAGTTGATGGATTCAAAATTTCAAAAATAAAAGGAGTGGTTAGTTTGAAATCTATTCCTCAATCAAGAATCACCTCATTAATGAAAATTGATGATTTAACAAAAAGAATAGAAGAGATTGAAGAAAGAATGAATCAAATAATTGATTTCATAAATTCAAATAATCATTAGTTTCTTAAAGTTCATGTTGAACTCATCAAATTCTTCTTCATCATTACCATTACCTTTAGCGAGTTTATTTACTCTTTCAACTTTATCTTTTGATAGTCTTTCGTTTAATTTTTTCTGAAGTTTTTCGTTACCAAGTTCTAAAATTTTACATGGATGATATTTAAACCTGTTAAATTCTTTTTCCTCAGTTTTAATCATTAATCTACAAAGAACTTTAGTGAGGTGGTTTTGTTGTTTAAACCATTTATCCTTAATATTTGTTATAAATTCAATATCCGGAATTAATTCCCAAATTTTTGAATTTTCGATTAATTTACCATCAAATGCAAAAGCAATAGGTTTAATATTAAACTTACCTTTATAAAATAAACTTTGTACGCAATCATCAAAATAAACGTCTACTTGTTTAACCTGGGTGAGAATTGGTGAAAGTTTATCCATTAATTGATTCACAGTCACGAATTTTGAGCTGTTCATTTCATACAAAATAAAAAAATAAATTATTCAAAAAATATAAGACATGAATTTTTAAAGTTTATTTTTTATTCATGAAAATAATTATTTCTAATTTCTTTTACTCTCTCATACATACTAGATTTAAAGAATTCAGAACATTTTCCATAATCTCCTAAATGTTTTCTTATCCCTAACGTGTGCCAGTTATTATATGAAACTGAATAAACTTTATCTTTATCTTTACACCTTTCATCACTTCCAATATATTTATATCTCAGTTTTGATTTAGCATTTTCATATTCATTAACGTTTAATAATTCACAGTCTTCCTTTTTAAATAAATGTTTTATGTATTCAGGATTTAATACTCTACGTTTATATGCTCCTAACTTAGTTCTAAAGGTTTTTCTACAAAATTTAGGAATTCCATCCTCTTTAATGTCATCAATGATTTCCATTTCATTATTTTCAATTTCTTCTTCTCGTTTATGAGGTCTTTGATTATGACTCCATTGATTCCATGAAATTAAATATTCTTTATCATTATATTTATACCTCATTAGCTTATTTTGGCTTTCATATTCATTTAATAATTCACAATCTTCATTTTTAAATTGAAGTTTAACCCATTCAGGATTTAAACAATGTTTAATTAATCGCGGAATATCTGACATCATCTATATATAGCTTCTTTTATAAAAGATAAAAAAATAAATTATTTTAAAATTAATGTTAATTTTTTAAATGATTTATAAATAAATATATTTTAAAATTAATGTTAATTTTTTAATGATTTATAAATAAATATATTTTAAAATTAATGTTAATTTTTTAATGATTTATAAATAAATTTTAAAATGTGTTTAGTATATAATATTTATTACTAATTTATTTAATAATGTTGCGCTTTCTTACGAATTCATGACTTAAAAAACGTAAGAAAAAATTTTTATATTATCTATATATAGAAGATGTGAAAATATACCTTCATCTATATATAGACGTAACAAAAAAGTCACAAAACCCTTCCTATCCTACTACTATTACTTAATAAAAAAATGAAAATATTTAAATATGAAGAATGATCTTTTGTAAGCAAGCAAGTAATTTTATGTGAAATAAACTTTGAGGTTCTTTATAAATGTCATCAATTTGCTTTTTTTGGTAATTTTTCCTCAAATTCTTTTGGAAAATTAGTGTTATACAATGTAAAATTATTTGTTAACAAGTGGATAGTCTATGAATATCAAAATGAAGAAACGCTTCGAAACCATTTTTGCTAGCCAAAATGAGTATTATCTTTTAAGAGGTAAACTTCACAAAGACGAACGATTCTCACTGGCGTTAATTAAGACTGACTTAACAGATCGATGGTATAACGATTTTACTCCATTATTTATTCACAAAATTGCTCAACAAGTAGGTAACATTAAGAAACTAATGGTATTTTGGAAAATATTATCAAACTATACAGAAGATAATGATATAGGCTATAAAATTAAAATTCATTCGGAAAATAAAGAAGAAGACAATCAAAAATCAACAATATATTTAATTATAGAAGAAACAACACACTTTAGTAAAGTTAGTTACCCATTACCACTTGAGCATTTACCATTTACAGTAGATGAATTTCAAGAAAACCTTAGATTCTTTTACAATAAAATACAATGCTTAGAAAGCACACGACTATTACATGAGAAAGAAATATCTGACTTAAAAACCGAATTATCAATCACCAAAACTAGTAATGATCATCTAAAGATACACACTCAAAAGAAACTTTTAGCACTGCAAAAGAAAATCGAATCCGAAAAGCAAAAAGTTTTCAATCAAAATCTTCTTTTGTCTTCAATTAAACCAAAAGCCAAGGCATCTAAACAGATCATGAGAAACTCGACTAAAGTTTCTATATCTGAGCTTTCAACAGACTTCTAAAAATTGCGCAATAATTAAAGAGGATTTCCGCTGATCAGTTACATATGTATTTGATTGGATTTCTACTCGCATTTCAGCAAGTCCCAAGTTCCCGTGACAAACATTATTTTCGAAATACTTGATATTAGTTAAATCTCTTTGTCAAATTTACTTTTACTTTAATTGGAGCAAGTTTTTATTTCGATGTTTATTGATATACCCAGTTACCCCATACTTTTTTACTCAGTATCCACAGTAAATCCAAGATTGGAATACGAAACTCAACTTGTTACGACACGAAAACACATTCAGCTTTTATTTTATAGTTTTGCATAAGCATATGAAAGCATGACTTCAAAATTTCATGAATGAATTTATAGAAATCAATTGCTTGTAACGCATTTGTATCTGACGCATATATGAATAACGTTGATATATGCAGTGGAACTTTTCATTTAAAGGCTCAAAAAATGAGCTTACCTTGCAACCTGGCAGATATTTACTTGAATGCTGGGGAGCCCAAGGAGGTGGCAAGGATGTTAGTGCATTAGCTGGCTTAGGAGCCGGTGGGAAAGGTGGATATTCCTCTGGAACCATTTTTCTTCAAAAATCGACTCCAATTTTTGTTTATGTCGGTGGTACCGGTAAAGTTATTGCAGATGGCATTGCTGAAGGTGGCTTTAATGGCGGTGGAAGTGCTTGGGGCAAAGCATCTAGCGTAGATCCAGCAGGCGGAGGTGGTGGAGCGACAGATATCCGACTTAACATCGACGACCTCTATTCGCGAGTCATTGTAGCTGGCGGTGGAGGTGGTGGCGGTGAAGATAGTGAAATAGGTGGATTTGGCGGTGGCTTGGAAGGCGGAAGGAATTCTAATAATTGGGTTTCATATCCAGGCGCTCAAAATTCATCGTCACATGGAGCTGCATTTGGACACGGAGCTCACACTCCCTGCAATGGCGGAGGTGCGGTGGTGGTTGGTATGGAGGCGGTGTTAATTATGGCCAAGAAACTCCTGCTAGCTCTACTAATGGCGATGATACAGATGGAGGTTCAGGTGGAAGCGGTTATGTTTACACCAGAGAAACATCGAAATATTATCCAACAGGATGCAAACTAAATCCATCCTATTTCCTTGAAAATGCACAAACAATTGGTGGCAACATGATCATCACAGAACCGAACGGAGCTTCATCTACTGGTCACTCTGGAAATGGATATGCAAGAATTACTTTATTAGGAATTCCTTATCAAAACGTCTTCTACAGTTACCACAACGAAACAACATTAGACGTGATGATGAAAGACGAAGTTTGCAATGAATCCATCAATCTTCCTTCAAAAGTTGACAACAAACCAGTTGTTTCCATCCTCCCGAGAGCATTTTACGGAAATTCCTGTCTGAGATCTATAAAAATTCCGAAAACAGTTGAATCCATTGGTTCCGAAGCTTTCTCAATGGCATCAAACCTCAGAGAAGTTGTCTTTGAGCAAGAAAGTCTCTGCAACTCCATTGGAAATTTTGCTTTCTCTGACACATCCCTTGCCAAAATTTCCATCCCATCTTTAGTCACTTCCATTGGAGAGTGGTGCTTCAAATCCACCGCATTGAATTATATTTCGTTTGAATCCCCATCTCACCTCGAAAGTATCCCTGCCGGCTGCTTCCACGGTTCCGATCTCGCCTCCATTTACATCCCTCAATCTGTGAAAACCTTCCAAAGAAACGCATTTTCGAATTCGAACATCCAAAGCATTGATTTCAACACAACATCGCAACTAGAATTAATTGACGAAAGCTGTTTTTCTAATTCTCACATTAGATCTATAACTATTCCTGACTCTGTGAAAATCATCTCAAACAACGCATTCGAAAGGACATTCGACCTCGACAGAGTTACGTTTGGAAGTGGCTGTCTTGTAGAAATTATTCCTCAAATGTGTTTCCTCAATTCGAATATCAACTCTATTTACATCTCGAAAAAGATCTCCAGCATTGGAAAGAACGCGTTCTTGAACTCTGCGATACAAACAGTTCGTTTCGATGCATTGAGTATCTGTCAAAATATCTCTGAAAAGTCGTTCTTCAACACTAGTTTGTCTTCTATTTCTTTGCCTCCTTCTGTTGCAATCATAGGCAACTACGCATTTGCAAACTGTTCAAGACTTCAGTTTGTTTCGTATTGTTCAAGTACTTATCAAGAAAATAGAAACATTTTCGATAAATCTGACATGCTCAAGAATGTTTCTGTTGCTTATTACTTCCTGTTCTCAACATCGGAATTTGCAAATTTGGAAACGAAGCTGGATTGAAATGTGGAACACCACAAAAATGCCCTTTCTGTCTGTATAAGATGCGCGAAAGAGTTTACATTTACTTGTGTATCTTGTTAGAATAAAAGAATAATTTTGGATATGATAGACATTTTGCATTAGATTATTTTGGTTGATTTAGATTATGATATTTCAAGTCTATGAGTTATATAACGTTTCAATCTAATCTACATTTGATTAAATGCTCTGGCTCTCAAGGAGCTGGATACCAAGTTCGTTCTAAGTTGAGTAACTGCTGAATGTGCATCAACTATTTACAATTAAGAATATTCGAATGAGATATAATCTTATTTGTGCGCACGAATATTTATTTTAAATTTGTATGAGAAGGTGTGACACATGCAATGGGATTTCACATTTAAAGGCTCAAAATATGAGCTTGCCCTGCAACCTGGCAAATATTTGCTTGAATGCTGGGGTGGCGATGAAGATCCTGGTAATATGGGTGGATTTGGCGGTGGCTTGGAAGGCGGAAGGAATTCTAATAATTGGGTTTCATATCCAGGCGCTCAAAATTCATCGTCACATGGAGCTGCATTTGGACACGGAGCTCACACTCCCTGCAATGGCGGAGGTGCGGTGGTGGTTGGTATGGAGGCGGTGTTAATTATGGCCAAGAAACTCCTGCTAGCTCTACTAATGGCGATGATACAGATGGAGGTTCAGGTGGAAGCGGTTATGTTTACACCAGAGAAACATCGAAATATTATCCAACAGGATGCAAACTAAATCCATCCTATTTCCTTGAAAATGCACAAACAATTGGTGGCAACATGACCATCACAGAACCAAACGGAGCTTCATCTATTGGCCACTCTGGAGATGGCCACGCAAGAATTACTTTTGTTGGATGCGATTTTAAGTGTGTGACAGGACAAAGATGTCCACTTTATCTGTATAAATCTCGCGAAAGTGTGTATATTTATTTGTTTATATTGTTAAAATAAAATATTCTTTTAAAATAATATTTGATTTTTTTTTTACCTAAAAAGATTTTCGATTAATCATGAAGTGAATACATTTTATTTGGTTTCTATCTGTTGATCTCTTATTTGCACAGTCGAACACATAAACTTCTGATTATGTACAAATATTTGGGAAAAAATACACGTTTTGTACAATATTTGGGAACAATATGTTGAATTGATTCATTTTGCATCTAGTTAATGCATTTGTTCCATTCCTGAATCATGATGAAATCTCAAATTATAGAACATATTGATTTTTGAAGTAATTCTACAACAAAATATGAATGACAAGTGAAAATCATTAAAAGTTTATTAAAATAGTTGATGTCAATATTCTGAGATTTTTTTATCGAGAAGATTTTTTATAAAAAAAATATGTTTTTCTTCCTTTCATTCTTTATCCACTCATATGATGTCAAAGATCCGTATTTTAAGGATCAATTTCCGATAGAAAATAATGGAAGATGGGTAGGAATATCCAACGAAGACATCGAAGTGAAAGAATGTTGGGATAATGATGTATTTGGAACAGATATTCCTGTTGCAGTCATCGACGATGGATGCAATTACAATCATTTAGATCTAAATCGTTCTTATGTTAAAGAAAAGTCTTTTAATTATAAAACTTGGACAAATGATGCTATAAATGAAAACGAAACGTACAAATCTGGAACCATCAATGCAGGAAACATTGCAGCTGATGGTAATAATATATCAATTATTGGAGTTGCGAAAGATGCTAAAGTTGGATGCTTCAATATCAAAGCAAATTACACATATGACAATCTAATTGATTCGCTTTCGAGATATAACGATTACTATCGAATTAAATTAATTGGATTTACTAATGAATGTGATACAGCTTGCAATTTCGAGGAACCACGTCAAGAAATCACAGATGCAATTAATAAAGCGCCTTCTTCATTAATTTACGTCAAACCTGCAGGCTCAAACGCTATAATTGGCGGAGATACAAACAATGATGCTCTTTCTAGATCGCCAAGAGTCGTTATTGTTAGCGATTCCAATCATAGAGGTGCCAGATCTGCATGGTCTAACCGCGGCACTAACATTTTATGCACGGCTCCTTCAGGAGGTTCATCATCCTACGATAACATACGAGTTCCATCATCGCCAGGCTTATCAACAGTCGACAATGAAGGTGTAGAGATCCCAGACCCCCGAAACAAAGGCGCTTCCTACATTTCAGGCGCAATTGCCTTGTTATTACAGCAAAAACCGAGTTTTACATGGCGAGAGGTTCAATACGCCATTGCCAGCAGCTGCACGAAGATCGATCCGAACCATCCTTCGTGGGTTATCAACGGCGGAAAGTTTTTCTACTCGCATATCTACGGTTTCGGCCGATTGAACTCTAATCTGATGCTCCAGATCTCAGACAGCATCGGAACACTACCAGATCCAGTTCAAATCTCTGTAGAAAACACAGATGAGGAAGATATTCCAGTTTTGAGGGGCGGATCCATCGAAAAAGAGGTCGAAATCAGCGAAGACAAGATAAACTCAATAGAATACGTCACTCTGTCTATCGATCTCGATGTTTCCGACTTCAGTGCCCTCAGAATTTGGGTTTACTCCCCTCAAAACACGTTTTCCTACATCAAGAGCCCTTCCCACGTCAAGGAGTCCAAAGGCCGCAAGACGTACGAGTTCCTCATCCGCACATTTTATGGTGAATCAGCGAAAGGAAAGTGGAGAATCAAGTTTGTGTCAGATTCTTTGACAAATCCACCTCATTTCTACAAACTGAATCTTTTTGTCAGCGGACTGGAGAACTACAACCTCCAGAGCTACCAAAGAGTCGGCTCAGACCCATACGTCAAGCCGTACACGAGGTACGAAGCGAAACTGAACATCACTTCGAGCAGCACAGGAAAACAGATTTCTAAGATCGCCTGCGGAATTCCGTTCAACTTCAACGTGACAATTCCATCGAAACCGAACACAACAGTCACTGTGACACTCGGCGACTCTTTGAAGACGTCGAGGTGGCCCCTCCTTGACCGGCCTGTCCCAGCAGATTCGATCGACAAAATCACGATTCCCTGCCACTTCAAAAATTTCAGTAGAATGAATATTTCTGTGGAGAACTTCGAGGAAAACGTGTACGGATCGAAGGAAGTGACCATAGAGAACGTGAACAGATACGTCAACGAGATCTTGGACCCACAGACATACGAAGTCGTCAGAATTTCTGAGTCAGGACAAATTGAAATTGATTTCTCTGTCAGAATGTCACTTTTGTATTGGATTGATGGTTCATATGCACAGAGGGCCCGGTTATCATTGTACGACATGGATGCCGAAGAAGTTGTTTTCTCTGAGTACTACGACATCATAAACATGACGAAAATAAAAATTCCGTACAGACTGAGATGTTACAGGTGTCTTCTTAGTTTTGTCCCAATTTGGTACTCAAACATGACTGACGAATGCCTGAATATGATACAGCCGATATCTATTCTGGAGCCACTCGAGCAGCCGCCTGAGCCGTGGATCATAAAGATATCGAAGAAGTGCCCAATTCCTAAGAATATAAAGACGCCAACACCTCCTCCTGCAACTCCTTTCCCAACAAAGTCGCCGGGACCTGACCCAACAAAGACACCAACGGCAACACTGCCTGGAGAAGGCGCGAAACAAAACAAAAAGGCTGTGATTGTCGGAATGACATTCACTGTCGTTTTCGCTGTGTTTTTGGGTGTTTTCTTGTGGATCAACAGAAGAAAAATTGGAAATTCGCCGCCTATAACGAAAGAATCTGATTTCTCTCTCATAGAATAATGTTTTATTTTATTATCTTTATTTATATCTATAGTAAAAAGGAAATTATCATTTGAAATAATATATTTTTAGATAATTTTGGAATTCAAAAGAAAATGAAATTAATGTAGCTTAAAGTTCTTTTGAAATGCAAAATGGAGCATATCTGAGGTGAATATCTTATTGAAATATTACATTAATTCAATTGAGTATTAAAATATTATTGAATTTTTTAGGAATATCTGAAGAATCTCAACGGAAAACATATTAAACAGCTTCTAATATGTAAAATAGAATAAGTAACAGATTTTATAAACGCAGATATCTTAAAAAATGAGACAAAAAGTACAATTTTTTAGGGGAAAAATAGATATTTTGAAAAAATATTAATAGGGATGCGTTAAACACGCCATTTGACCGGGCGTACATTTTTTTTGTTCGCCCAAAATTTTCGCCATTTGAGAAATTCAAAAATTAAAAATAAAATTTTAATCTTGATTTTTGTATTTTCGTGATTTTTTTGAAACTTACATAAGCGATGAAATACTTTAGGGTTGTTAGATTCCCGACGATAGGTGTCTTGGAAGATTTGCCTGGTGTCATCATAGTGTCTTTAAATCAAAAATTTTATTTTGGAGTTAGTTTTATTGTATAGATCCGTATTTTTCCCAAGTGAGGGGGGTATCTCCAATCCCAGCCCTATCGTCCTCCCAGTGTCAGTTTTCAATATAAAATCCAAATTTTTTTTGAAAATAAAAATTTCGAGAAATTTTTCTGATTTTTTTTCTTTGATTTCAATAATTCAAAATAAATTTGGGACTAAAAAGACACTATTTAATGAAATTCATATGAGTGAATGTGGATAAATACTCTCAAAAATACAATTTATCTATTTTTTCTTTATATTATCAACTAATTAGTGATAATTTTTTTTGAATCAGATTTTTTTTTCATTAAAAACATAATATATAACACAACAATGATGCACACATACGTATCTACACATCAAAATATAAAGCTTGTTTTGGTCTGGGCATCCCAACCCAAAATTCTTTAAAAATTGAATAAAATTGAATACTTGGGCTGGGATACCCATCCCAAAACCGAATTGAATTTTTTGAATTAAAGAATATATTTATGTATTTATAATATACATGTGATGTCTATAAAAAATACTAAATTCTAAAAAAAATTCAATTTATTCAAAACGTATACTAAGTGATCACTTCATTAGTAGGATCAGCAATCCTACTAAATGGTGAGAACGCCACTAGCTAAAAAGGGAGTCCTTGGAGCTCTTGATCTCTTGTCAGTAGAGTTCATAATGAGGCATGGCATCTGATTAGAGATCAGGCAATCCTACCTTACCTTCAGGAGCTACAAAGCTCCTAATCGTTACGAGAGGGAGCCTTGGAGCTCCTGAAGCTCATCAGCAGAGCTATTTAGCATTTGGGCCTCTTCTGATGAAAGATGCGAAACACGTCTACGAACCAGGAGCTTCAAAACTTCTAATCCTTACTAAAGGGAGCTTTGGAGCTCCTGAGTCTCCATCAACAGAGTCCCAGATGGTAAATGTCCTTTGCTGATGAAAGATGCGAAACACATCTACGAACCAGGAGCTCCAAAGCTCCTAATCCTTACGAAAGGGAGCTTTGGAGCTCCTGAAACTCCTTTTACTATAAAATAGGACAGTTTTCTTCTGAGGTTCTCATCAAATCTAAGACTTCAGAAGAAAGCTGTCCTATCAATGTATACTTACACTCTCATGGACTAAAGTGTACAATTTTAAGCAGAGATTATCCGAGGCCTCTCATCAAATGAGGGACCTCGGATAATCTCTACCTTAAGTAGTCAAATAACTTTTCTCACTATTTAGGAACAAAAGAACAAGAGTTGGAGTACTTTAAGGCAAGATTCTTCCGAAATCTCTCATCGAATGAGAGACTTCGGAAGGACCTTGCCAAATCCTTGAACGCCAATATCCTTGGAACTGAGCTAGAACCAGGGAGAAGTAGCATACTATAGAGCACGATGGTAATCTCGGAAATGCTTATATCGCCCCAAGCACAATATTTAAGAAGTCTAACTCATATATACAAGAAGTCAGGCTGAATAGATATTGTGCATATGGTTTGCAGAACTCTCATGATATTTAAAATTCATGTTATCCCAAAAAAGGTGACACTTTGGGTGTATCGTCCATCCCAGGGATGCAAAAATCAGATCACCTTGGATCTATATTTTATTGATTTTTCAATAAAAAACATTTCTAAAACAAGAAAATAAAACGATAAAATATTTATATTTTATATAAGGATCTTATATATTTAAAATAAATATCATTTTATTTTTTTCATTGGTGTCTGTCAAACCATAATACACTATTCAAAAATTCAATGTGTCTTGCGGTTTCAAAAGACACCTTCAAATTGAACGATAGCACAGACACTATTGAATTTTACCCATTTTATTTAGTTTTTACCCTTTTTATTTTTAAGAATTAATGACTGAAACAGCCGTTTTGCTATGACCTCAATCACTTTTATTTATTATTTTAAATATTATTTAATTTTATTATTTGAATAGGCCAACTTATATTTGAGAAGCTCAATTTGAGACCACTTAATACATTGAAATATCATAAATATTGAAATATTAAAAAGTGTATTTCAAAATATTGAAATTATAAAAATTTATAATACTGAAATTGAGACAAATTAATAAATTCAATGTGTTTTTTTTGAAATAACTCTCAAATATTATTTTTTTGTTTATTTAATGATGAATTAAGGGTTTCGTTTTGCGAAAAAAAACGTACAATACGCAATTTCGCTAAAAAACATTTAGCTAGCAATTTCGACCTTTGACTCCACTCAAGACGTCACTTTTTTAATTTTGCGGTATCATATTTTTGGAAAATCTTTATGAATATTATATAAAAAGTCTCTTTAATATTTATATTTCATATTTTTATCGATTTTTAAAGTTTTGGCGAAAAGTATTCAATTATTTTTGCTATTTGGTCGGGTAAATGTCAGATTTGCGACATTTTCTGATATGATATTCAGATTCTACGTTGATAATAATGCTTATAGAACCCTCTTGCTATTGTGTCAAAATTGCGAAACCGATAGCAAAAATATCTCGCAATATCAAAATTGAGATATTGAGTGAATTATGCATTATAGAGATTAAAAATCTGATTTGTGAAAACATCTCATCAGTTTCTAGCTAATTCAAAAATCTTTACTATCTTATTCGATTAAAATGAAAAGGGAATAGTTTCATTATGCTTTAAATGACAGCCTTATAATATAATCATAGTTTTCGCTCAATATGCAGCATTTTTTTTTCGAAATCTATGGTCAATATCCTAAATACTGATTGCTTTGCATTCATATCTCTTACATTTTCTATACCCACATCACTATTCATTGCTATTCCTATCTTTTTCATTTTTGTTTGTTTCTCATAATTTCTCAAAAAACATGATAACTTGATATTTGTAAATATCATACTTTATAACGTAAATAAGAACTTGACCTATTAAGAAAAGCAGTAATGAAAAGAAAATCTGAAATTCATAAAAATTACAAGTTTCTGATGACAATTAGCTTAATTAAACCAGGTACAAGATTATATAATTGTATTTTTCTATCCAATTATCCATATAATATCTTATCCAGAAAAAATAACTTGATCAATACCAAATGATTTTTTAACTAGTAAATAAAGTATTTTCTTTACACACACATTGTATATCATAGTTTTTTTTTTGGTTTCGCAAAACATCCAAAAACAAATATGCTATAAAAGTGACAATTTTAGCAAAACGAAACCCTTAGATGAATAAATATGATTGCTTCAGTCAATCATAAAAACTAATTTAAGTTTAAAATAATGAAAGGATAATTTGATCGTTTTTTAAAATACAATTATTTTTGATGATTTGCAAGAATCTTTGAAAAGAATATAATATATGTTCTATTGTTGTAAAATTTATCCAAATCATGTATTACATAAATTACGATTAAAACAATGAAAGAACCAAAAAGTGTGTTTTGTGTTTTGTTGTTGCGTGTTGGATGCGGGATCCTGTTATTTCCGAAATCGACAAAAAATTTGGAAATTTAATTTCCGAAATCGAAATTATATTAATGTTTTTAATATTCTTATATCAAAAGGATTAAAGTTCATTAAGAGAAAAACAATTCTTCTTCTTCAATCTATTGGCGCATTTATTTCTACACGCCAATAAGGAAGGGAAAATTATAAGACACCATGGTGTCTTCAAAACGCTAATTTTTGATATTTTTAACAACCCTAAAATACTTTGTTTTTAAGTAATCGTTTATTATATATAAATATATCTTAATAAATTTAATTCCTTAAGGTAGAGCGTGTTCAAATTTAAAATCTCATACAATATTTTCTTAATGGCGTATTTTTCTGAGGTCGCCCAAATAAAGGCGAATTCAAAATTGAGAACTCCAAGGCGTATGGCGAGTATTCAAAATGTACGCCACTTACAAAATATTGAATGTGGATTATCAATTTTTTGGCGTGTTCAATTTCAAATTTTGATATTTATGTTTATTTTATTCAGTATAATGCTAAGAATTAAAATATAAAATTCATAGAATTTTTTCTTTGAAAATATTTTACATTTTTATTAGACCACTCCTAGACTAGTCATCAGGTTATCCTCAGATCATCCTCAGACTACTCCTTAGACCCCTCCTCATCAGACTACTCCTCAGATTTTCCTCATAAGACTCCTCCTCAGATCTTCCTCCTGAGACTACTCTTCAGACTACTCCTTAGAGTCCTCCTCATCAGACTAGTCCTCAGACTACTCCTGAAACTACTCCTCAGATTATCCTCAAACTACTCCTCAGTCTAATCCTCAGACTCCTCCTCAGATTATCCTCAAACTACTCCTCGGTCTAATCCTCAGACTCCTCCTCAGATTATGCTCAGATTATCCTCAAACTCCTCAGATTATCCTCAGACTACTCCTCAAACTACTCCTCGGTCTAATCCTCAGACTCCTCCTCAGATTATCCTCAAACTCCTCAGACTACTCCTCAAACTACTCCTCGGTCTAATCCTCAGACTCCTCCTCAGATTATCCTCAAACTCCTCAGATTATCCTCAAACTCCTCAGATTATCATCAAACTCCTCAGACTACTCCTCAAACTCCTCAAATTATCCTCAGACAACTCCTGAAACTACTCCTCAGACAACTCCTCAGATTATCCTCAAACTCCTCAGATTATCCTCAAACACCTCAGACTACTCCTCAGACTACTCCTCAAACTCCTCAGATTATCATCAAACTCCTCAAACTACTCATCGGTCTAATCCTCAGACTCCTCCTCAGATTATCACTTTACATATATATATCGATAACTAAATAATTACTTATAAGGGTTTCGTTTTGCGAAAAAAACGTACAATACACAATTTCGCTAAAAAAACATTTAGCTAGCAATTTCGACCTTTGACTCCACTCAAGACGTCACTTTTTTAATTTTGCGGTATCATATTTTTGGAAAATCTTTATGAATATTATATAAAAAGTCTCTTTAATATTTATATTTCATATTTTTATCGATTTTTAAAGTTTTGGCGAAAAGTATTCAATTATTTTTGCTATTTGGTCGGGTAAATGTCAGATTTGCGACATTTTCTGATATGATATTCAGATTCTACGTTGATAATAATGCTTATAGAACCCTCTTGCTATTGTGTCAAAATTGCGAAACCGATAGCAAAAATATCTCGCAATATCAAAATTGAGATATTGAGTGAATTATGCATTATAGAGATTAAAAATCTGATTTGTGAAAACATCTCATCAGTTTCTAGCTAATTCAAAAATCTTTACTATCTTATTCGATTAAAATGAAAAGGGAATAGTTTCATTATGCTTTAAATGACAGCCTTATAATATAATCATAGTTTTCGCTCAATATGCAGCATTTTTTTTCGAAATCTATGGTCAATGTCCTAAATACTGATTGCTTTGCATTCATATCTCTTACATTTTCTATACCCACATCACTATTCATTGCTATTCCTATCTTTTTCATTTTTGTTTGTTTCTCATAATTTCTCAAAAAACACGATAACTTGATATTTGTAAATATCATACTTTATAACGTAAATAAGAACTTGACCTATTAAGAAAAGCAGTAATGAAAAGAAAATCTGAAATTCATAAAAATTACAAGTTTCTGATGACAATTAGCTTAATTAAACCAGGTACAAGATTATATAATTGTATTTTCTATCCAATTATCCATATAATATCTTATCCAGAAAAAATAACTTGATCAATACCAAATGATTTTTTAACTAGTAAATAAAGTATTTTCTTTACACACACATTGAGTTTTTTTTTTGGTTTCGCAAAACATCCAAAAACAAATATGCTATAAAAGTGACAATTTTAGCAAAACGAAACCCTTATTACTTATTATACTTTCTTTATTTTTTTTTAATTTTAAAATAATATTAATATATCTTTCTACGTTTAATGATGAAAAGAGAAAGAGGAGTAAAAAGAGGAAAGAGAAAAGAAAGAGAGAGAGAGAGAAAAAAAAAGAGAAAGAAAGAAAGAAAGAAAAAAAAAGGACGGTGAAAATTTTGTATTGTTTTGTTATTCGGCCGAATGGCGGGTACTTCGTACCCGCCATTCGGCCCCAAAAATGGCGTATTATTCTATTTTTAAACGGTCATAGCGTAAAACCATCGCATCCCTAAATATTAATTGTAAAGCTGATATATTTTGTGCTTTAATGGGAAATATGATTTGGATATAGTAATGGGTTTGTTTGTGATGGCTTTTCAAACAAGATGAAAATTTGTTTACAACAACGAATATTTTGTCAATCGGTAACCTTTTAATGTAATTCATAATATACAAATTCCAATGATCATAAATTATGTCATTTCCAAATTTTACAACGGTACAGAATTTTGAGATTTAAGAGAAGATTAATAATTTAGTCATATTGTACGTACAACAATAATGAAAACGATAAGTAATTTTGTTCGAATTTTTGAATAAAAATCGTCCCAATTCGAAAATGTTATTATCTAGGGTATTAAAGCCCTTGAATTTTTAGATCAAATTAATTTAACCGCCTTGGCGGTTTTTAATTCTAGATTATAGAACATCCTCTTGGAAACATTTATATTCAATTTATGAAAATCTTTACTTTCTTATGAAAAAATTGAGAATTGTGCACAATTTCACCTTCACAAAAGCAATAATTTATATTTCGATCTATTGATGTAAAACCATCTATACATAGGTTTGATTTTTTCAATTCCTTCACAAAAAATTTGCATTCAATTAGCACGTTAATATAATTTGCATCTACATCATTATGCATCTAATCTTTTACCTTATTTTCAATTTTAAATTACTCTCAAAACTAAACACCTATCGTTTATGAAGTTAGCCAATTCGATTCAATAACTGTAGGTAATCATTTTATCACGTTTTTAAATTTGATTTCTGTGCTATATCACAATTTTTCTGAACCATAACTTCCATAATTTTTTAAGTCCTCAGACTTTACTTCCCCTATATACTCATGTGGATGGCTAAATGTTCTCGCCAATGTAATAATGCCTTTGATCAGGCATTTATGTTTCCGCCGCAGAATCCCGCCTGCAGCGCCCCAAATCAATCAGATTTCGAACCTATACAAAGAGGCAGGAAGAGGTCTTTTGAAGTTGATATTTGCCCATTCTGTAACTCCGGTGATTCCTTCGAAGCCCTCCAGCTCCCGGATCTTATGGAAAGCAATATCCCTCTAAAGCGCTCCAACTGCTATCAATCATGTCAAAAATTTAAAATATCACGTGTTAAACGTTCTTCTGAAGAGTCTGACTTCTCTAATGACTCAATAGAAGTCAATAATCTCATGAAATCTCATGATTTCTTTGATTTATCCAAACCTGTTCAACCAACAGCTAAGATAACTTCTTTCAAATCAGTACCACCATCGCGTTTTCATGTTGATGTACTCCCAGTACTATGTCAGCAGCAACCTGTTGCTGTTGATGATCTTATTCAATTTTAATATTTCACTGCCCTTTATGGTTCCTTGTTTATTACTTTATCTTCTCTCACTTGTTTGTACTCTTAAAACATTCACCTTTATCTTTTTCTTTTAGCAAAAAGAAAAAAAAAATCAAAACGAATTATTAGAACTTCCAGCTGCCTCTTTTATATGGTTTCACCATATTGAGTCGCTGGTTGCATGATTATAGAAATTAATCCTTTTTTTACTCAGTCATTTCTGTCAACTCTTAATACTCAAAATGACAACTTGACGGTCTACTAAAAACATCCTAGTTAAACATTAAACTATGAATATATATGATATGCTTTATTATTTTTTAGCATGACAAAATATATATTTGAAAATATGATCAATTCACAATGGGAACTATAAAATATATAAATATATTGTCTAAAAATTCTGAAGATGATTGGGCGTGAGTTTAATCCTTACATTATTATCGAATCTCTATTATGTTCGATATAGAGTTTATTTAATACCAAAAATTATGCACACTTCCAGCAAATAGATGAATCCAAATAATAAATTCCCCATGCCTTAAAAATTTATTCGTCTTTATTAACCCTTTTTGCTTCAATATTTGAGCCTATGTACATTATACTTTCCTAAAATTAAGTCAGTTCTTAAAACATCAAGGCTTAAACTTGGAAATAACTGAATTCTATAGAAAATATATAAACAAAACTTTTACAAATTCTATAATTAAATAAATAACAAACATGATAAAGGTAAATTTGATATAGGCAAGCTAACGTAGTACGATAATAATTTCTATAACAATTTCTTGACGGAAGTAACAACAATTGAAGGGCCAATTTCAGTAGTTTTGGACAAAGTGCTTGAATTCTTACTTTTTCTCGTAGGAAGCTTAGGAGATTTCGGAATTTCTTTTCTTCTTTCTGTAAGAGAAACGTTTGCGACTCTTGTTGACGAGGTCATTAATTTCATTTTATCTCTGGATGTATTCGGTCGACTCCTCGACTGATTAGTCTTAGAATTATTCATATCAGAAAGACTTAACCGAGGAATTTTTGGAGTTGACTGACATCGCTCCTGCAATGTTGTTCTTCTTGATATCATCGGCTTTGAAGATGAGTTTGAGTCAATTTTAAATAAGGCGTCGAAATATTCCGGAGAATTTTTCGAAGCTTTCAAGGAAGAGAAGCAGGAAATAAGGCATTGCTGAAGCCAGTAAACATTATTTTGCGTAAACGATGATAATGTTTCGCACAGAATCAGAACTAAACTCTCATTTTGATTATTTTGCGTTAAACAGCCAATTAGAGTAAAGAGTTTCCTTATGACGTCTGCGAAATAATTTCTGACATCGATTTTGTCACCAAGTTTCAGCGCAATATTAAAGATCAGCGAAATCGAGATTCTTGTAAAGATTTCGTTTTCAGTTCCGAGGTTGTAAAGGGCCGTAACTGCAGTAATAAGTGTTGCTGAATCTAAGCTATTGGAGTATTCTGAGATAATATCGAAGTCAACCGGGTATTTTAAACCTCTTTCGCAAATTAGCTTAACAATCTTCTTTTTAGATATGCCACCTTGATGTAATTCATTAAACTTGCATATTGTGTAATAATACTGCGTTCGTAGGGCCGAATTCAAAACCAGTGTAATGGCATTATGAAACTCAGTTTTTGACGCATATTGCCAGTAAACTTTGAGCGCAGATATGGCCATGTAAATAAGCTCTTGCTGATAGTTCGGAGGGGCTACAACTAAGGCATTTGAGATAATCGCGATTAATTTTAAGGCTCGTGGCTGAATTTGTTCGTAAATAAGCTGAACATCCTGCAAAATATACATTAAAAAGATAATCCGATTCTTAATGTGCTTCCATTTCTTTTCTTTGATAGATATATCAGTAAATGCTGTAAAAGTCGAATAAGCAATTTCTGTGTTTCCGACAAAGCTTTTCCAAATTATGTTGTCGTCAAATTTGCAAAATAACATAAATCCGACAAAATTTTTATGATTTTCAAGAAAAAAGGGAATTTTGTAGATCACATCTGATGGATTAAAGCTTTGTAGAAAATATTGTTTTAGAATTCGATGGTTCCTAATGGCTTTTCCTTGTAAACGAAATTTAATTGAAAATAAATCAGAAATAAATTTATTAAAATCGGCTAGAGGATCTTCCATCATAACAAGTGTAATATTGTCAATAAAATTTTTGATGTTTAACCAGTACTCATCGTTATCTTTCGCTGTAATCAATAATAATATTGGAATTTCTTTTCTCCATACATTTATAGCATACGAAGGCTGTTTGTACACTTGTTCCGAATTAATAAAATGCCCGCCCTCACAGAATCTGAGATACCATCGGAGGGCGGCATCCATCTTTGAATTTTCGAACCGTAAAGTTTTTCATGGTTTTAAGATATTTTTAATTAATATGATTATACTTACAACAACAACCGTAGGAGTTATCCTCCTGGTTTACGTTTTCAGTGAAAAACGATCCGACAATTCAATCTCAATTTTTTCATTGTTTAAGATTTTGGATCGAAAAGCTTTGTTCAGGGCGCTCATGACTTGCATTATATTCACATTTTCATTCCACGCTTGCAAACCATTAATATGTAACACTATACATGCATCTAACACTAATATATACGTATTTTTTCACGCATCTTGGGAAGAATTCTTTGAATCTCAAGAAATTGAAGAAAATATCAGCATAATCAACCAAGATACTACCATTCAAACAGCTCGTAATTACAATATTTTTGATTCAGTATTTAAAAAAATTCATTGTTCTCGAGCTATTCATGTTTCAGCTAATTCTCCCAAATACATTCTAATAGAAAGTTCATCATTTCAAGATGTTTGCTCAGGTGATAACGATGGTGGCGGAGCAATTTTTGCTACACATTGCTATACAGTTCAAAATCGTGTATGCGGAAACAATTGTTCAATTTCTTCTGGACGAGGTACATTTTCAGTTGTCACAGGCGAACGTGGTTTCTTGATCAGTTCATCAATAATAAATTGCGGCATAAATAAGAAAGGACAATCGACATTTTGTACTGTTCGTTGTTTCACTAATATTAGTCAATCTAATGTTTCACATTGCAAATCTGAAACATTGATAATCCAAAAAATGTTGCATTTTTAATTGATAATCCAAAAAATGTTGCTGCAGTTAATATTTGTTATATTGAAAATAATATTGCTTCATCAAATAGTCTGCTATATCATATCAATGGGACTCAACTGATTTCCATTTGCAACATTATTAATAATACAGATTCATCAAATTTAATTTTTTCTTTATGCACTTTAACAATCAAATACTCAAATATATTAGGCAATAACAGTCCATATATATTTTACACAGTATCATATTCTATACTAGTAGAAAATTGTTTTTTAGATAAACCTGATAAAGATGCTAAAGTGATAATAACAGATTCAATAAATTCTAAGGTCATTATTCAAAATAATGGCTTAATATGTAAATTCGATGGAAGTCCTCCCAAATTTTCTCAGGCAACAAATTCTGAAGAAATACCAAGTAGCAAAAAGGAACAAACACCACACATTACTCCATTTAGTACAGTTCATAAGACTCCATTTAGTACAGCTTATAGTACTCCATTTAGTACAGTTCATAAGACTCCATTTAGTACAGCTTATAGTACTCCATTTACGACACCAGAACACACTCCATTTAGTACAGTTCATAAGACTCCATTTAGTACAGTTCATAAGACTCCATTTAGTACAGCTTATAGTACTCCATTTAGTACAGTTCATAAGACTCCATTTAGTACAGCTTATAGTACTCCATTTACGACACCAGAACACACTCCAGTATCTGAGCAAACCCAAACTACAGATTCAGATGAAGATAATGATTTTACTTGCACAATAACATGTCTCATTCCTTATATGGAATACAGAATTATGAATAGAAAGAGATAAGATTTTTATCTTATTTATTCTCAATTTAAAGTAAATAATCTATCATATATATGAATAATACTCATATGCTTTCTCATTGATAATACAATTTAAAGAGAGGGAATTGATAATTTTACCTAGATAGCATTATTTCAGAACCAATAAAATTAGGAAAATACTCTAATTTGTCAAATTTAGTATCAATTACGGAAAAGGCCCAGAATCTTTAGAAGACAATAAACTTATTTACCAGTATTTTGAACTTATTTTAAAATTTGAATCAAATATTTAAATTACTTTTTTAGGATAAATCGAGTTAAGTACTTATCAAACAGTTTATTATTGCTTACAAACAAACAAAGATGTTTATCAACATCAACTAAATAATAAAAGAATTAAAATTCTGAAATGAAATCATTATCGAAATCGAAATCACACATTTCGTTGAAGTCAATCTGACTGTTACCATCACATGAGATTTCATATGGCTGATTCTTCGTAGTAATCGGAATCGGGAAATTGGCTGATGGAGAAGGTGGAGAAATCGGATAGTTTGGTGATTGTGGTAAACTCTCCATCTTATTTGGTGCGCATTGTGGATTATATGATGAATATTGGTTAACTTTTTGTTCGATTTGATGATTTTGCTCCATTGGAGTGACTTCTGATGGAGAATTCGAAGACTGATCATTTTCATAGTGTGGAGTTCTTCTGCTGATTTTATTTGCTAAGGATGTCCAGTGATTTTTGACGTTAACGTCAGATCTGGAAGGGAAAAACACAGCAATTTTTGCCCATTTTGGACCGTACTCGTTAAACTTCTCTTCAAGAAGTTTGTCTTCTTCTTCGGTCCATGGCCCGTTAGTTAATTTTGGAGAAAGGTAATTTTTGAATCGCTCTCTGCATTGTCTTGCAGTTCTTGTCTTCATTTCTGATGCTACAGTAGTCCAGTCATTCTCTCCGTACTTTTCGACTAATTTCTTGAGTTTTGAATCTTCCTCCGAAGAAAATTTATGTCTAACACTAAGGTTCGACTTCTTGTATAGCATCATCTGACACGCCATAGCAGCTGCTATTGAATACGCCAACTGCTGGTCATTGAAATACATCTATGATAAGAATGCTTAGATTTGATAGGAATCCCGATATTCATTCAAATTGTCTTAATATTCATTGAGCTCAGCGAAAATTTTTTGAGAGAACTCAGTGAAAATTTTTTCTATGGCCGAGCATTTAAATTCAATGCTGTAAATTAACCTAAATTGTAAATATGCATAACTATCGAATGCCGTAATTTATTATAAATTTATATACAAATTTTTGAAAAGATATCTGTTCTATTTTGAAAGGAACTTTTGCGATGTGTCATTGATTATTTCGGATCAAATCGAAAATATATTAGCAACTACTTTATGTAAATAAAATAATGAAATCCAGAAGCTGCCGAGAAATAATTCATTGAAAAATACAATAACTCCAAAATTGAATGATAAAATAAAGTAAACAACATTGAAAAGAGTTTATATTACATGAGTAAAGAGAAAATTTAGGAATTAAAAAAATTCAAAAAAATGTCAAAATTATTGATGTATTCTGATGTTATATTGAAAATAAATGTATAGAGCAATATCAAAACAATAACACTGTGCTAGTAAGTAGGTTAATTCAGCAAAAATCATGATTGAACTCACATCATCAATCAGATCCTGTAAGTGTTTGAATGAAGAATGTGGATATCAGGCAAATTGTCATTTGAACAAGTTTTACAATTATTTTCATTTAATTATTATTATATCATTCATTGTGATTAGTAAAATAGAAAATTATTAAGTTAATCATTAACTTAATGACAGACCATAATCAATCTCCTATTGCTTAAAATAAGCTATCGCTAATAAAAATCCTTTGATTTTGATTAATTTTCTCAATCTCAAAATAATGTGGAAATTAGCTGGATTAATTAGCGAAATATATTATAAATGTGCTACATATATTAATTAACTTTGTCAAATTGTTTGATATTGAAGATTAGAGCCTTGTCAATCAAAATTCATCTTATCAAGATAAACTTCTTTCAAATATGAGTCATACAGGTATTTTGCAGGTCGATTTCATTGTTTTTAGAATATTAATTGCCAAACTTCATTTGTAAAACAAAATTTGGAGAAAAATAATAAAAAATTTTATTGTAATATTTATCAATCAAAAAAGTTTTGTTTTTGATTTGAATTGATTAAATAGTTTATTTATAGATTTGAATAGGTTACAAAATATTCATTCTCATGAAATTCACGAAGTTCTTTAAATTGTTCTATAAAATAGCATTTGAGATGCGATATCGTGCTGTGCTCCCATATTGGATCAAATGGCTTCGCAGTTTCATCTTATTTTTCCAAATATTTTTCTTTTCACTTGATTTTTGCCCAATAGAAGAATTGATTGAAGGCAAGTTCAGCATACTTAAAGCGCTAAATAACACATTCATGATTAACTCATGAATTTATTATGCCGAAACACCTTTATCTTTTTCTCTTTTAATGTTCATCTTTAATTTAATCTTTATTGCATCTTTTTTACACTGTGCAATTCAAACAAATGCAGGAAAATACAATTCAATAACAAAACTATATTGTTTTACCATTTGCCTTGATTTTATCTGTCCAATTGTTGCTGCACAGTCATTTTTACGATTTAATCAACAACTAATACTTACTCTCAATCACTTTACCTTTAATAACCTCATATCGATGTTCTTTCTCTTCTTTAGCTGCATTACGGGCTCATTTGTTGATTATCTTGATTCAATTTTCATTCAACCTCGAATTATCATGATTAATAGCATCGTTGACATGGTTTCTTGCAATACAAATCAGGCTATGTATTGGATAAGATTCATGTTAGTCCATACTCAAATTCTGCTTTCAACAAGATATCATTATTTGAGAGAAATAACCGTTTTCTGGGTTTATGCGAGTTTTTCTTATTATACGGTCCTGAAGCGTATTTTTACGGGTGCTCACTATAGTATATTTGGTGCTATTCTATTAGATGCGCCTATTTTTGCCCATCCGATTGTAATGTTTTGTCAAATTCATGGATTATTACAAAATCACCTAATTTCTTTGATGATTTCTATGATTGCCATGTACATAGTAATTTATATTGCATATAATAAGCTAGTTGTATACTATGCTCCTTCAATTTTTGAGAAAAAAGTTGAATCAACACATTTTGTGCCTGTAAGTAACGCATTAGTTCTCCGAATATGTGCAGAGAAAGAAGCAAACATAGACTTGTTCGAAAATTACATGCTGTTTCGTATGAAAGAAGATCCAAATGAAGTTATCGAAGTTTTGAGATTTTTAGGTATATTTAAATCTTTCAGATCGCAACTATTAATGATGCTCTCAATGAAAAAATGCGATGATTCTTATTATAACTATCAATTTTATGCTTTTGCTAGGGTATTTAAATCTTATTTGGAGCCAACTCCTCAAAACTACATTGTTAACCTAGACCAAATGCACAGATCGTACCTAGTTAATCTAAGTTTGTATTGGAACAACAGATATAACGGAAATCGTTTTCAAACTCTAATTCATGGCATAAACACAGCTGTTCTTCATGTAGAATTGATATCATTTATCAAATACTTATGCGTCATTTATCAGTACGATCCATATATCATTCAATCGTATTCTGAAATTGCATTAGTTGCAATGGGTCAACCGAAATTATCAGCTTATTACAAGCATCATTTTAATAAGCTAATTGAGCACAGTAAGCCAATAATCGACCCGATTTTTAAGAAAATGTCACATTATTATCCAATTTCCTTAGAAAGATATATGGAAGAAACAAAAAGATCTAATGGAGACTCATATAATGCTGATATTTCTTACAGTTTTGAATCAACTGCTCTGAGATTTCACGTTGATGACAATACAATTTACAGAGATTCAAAAAGTGATAGCAGTGTTACAGCAATGTTTGTCACAAAGAATACGAAACTGAGTTCTTTTGGTTTATTAATTAATATTCTTTTGACATTCGTATGGAGCGGATTTTTCATTAAATTTGACACAGGAGATATGAAAAACTTCAAAAATGAGGTGATTGGAGTTTACAATTCTTTATATTATTTTAATAATTTATCAGAAAATCTGACAACAGGTATAATCCTTCCACAACTACTAGTCAACCTCAACTATGAACATAAATTCGATAATCAACAATTATATTATGATAAAAATAATATAAAAATTCCAAACAAAGAATCAGATCAGAATATTGATCATAAATCAGATCAGAATGAAATCAAAAATAATATTATGAATAATTTTAATTTAGAAAATATCAAGAATGTCAATCAAAAAGAAAATACAGAAACCAATTTTATTCATCAAATTTCCAGAATTTATCAAAATAATTATATTGATTCATCAAATTGTTCAAAACATTATTACATGATCTATGGAGAGACCTCAAACTATTTGACGTCAATCAGAAACGATTATAATTATTATGTCAAAATATTATCAGAATTGTCGATATACTTAACAGGCTTGGTTCAAACATCAGGTAGCATTTGTGAACCATTAACTTTGTTAACAAATAATTTTTCTTATTTGACTTTCGAAATATTAAATGAATTTTCGAAAGCAAACTCATATTTGAATGGCAACATGACTGAAGCACTCGATTACTTGAAAGATGTGTCAACAGTCAACTTTTTCATATTTTTATTAGTTCCTTCCGTATTTTTAGGAAGTTTAGTTATTTTCTTAGTTGTATTCTTCCATTTGAGATTTGGATTACGCGAAATTCGGAATTCCGAAATCTTCAGAAGAATTTTTAGGATCAAGAGAAAGATTAGGTTTATTGCTGTTCAAAAAGTCATTAGAGTCATGGGACTTGTTTAAGATGCTGTTTCCTCTCAACAAAGATGGCGAAGAGAAAAATGTCGGAATTTTCGAATTATACAACAGACAGCAGAGACAAAAGAAGCATAGATTGACAAAATACTCATCAGAAACAAATGTCACTCGTGAGAAAAGTCGCCATATCGATCTGAAAGACTCAAAACTCGCGATTTCTTTCATCGGAGCAAATGAATTTTTGCATCCTCAGAATTTTGGATTGATGTCGCCTTTTGTATCAACATCAACTTCAAATTCTGGTGAGACAAGTGAAAATTCAGACTCTTTCACAGACAGTTCTTTGATTTGCAACAACAAATGCGTTGCAACAGAATCACTTGATAATTTAGAAATCGTTTCCGCTGCAACAAAAATTGCAAAGTTTGAGAAAAAGTATTTTTTGGCAAATTTATTACCGATTGTAGTTCTTCCATGGATTGCAACATTTGTCATCATTGCATACGCTCGTGTAATAACAAAGTTCTCCCATGAAGTAAATATCGAACGATTGAATGCGATAAATATGAAATTTGCCAAAGTTCAAAGAATCATTCGAAAAGTGAACAAATCTTTGTACGAAATCGAGAATCCTTGGGACGGAGAAAACAAACCAATGAATATTACTTTGTCAGAATTTGGTTTCAATGAAATAGTTACGTACAAAAATCTTCCTCATGCACTGAATATTTTTATCAAACTTAATTCAGAAATCATGGAAGATATCGATCAGATATCATTGTTACCAATGAATGGATCGATTGCATTCACCGTTTATTCCATAGTCTTCTTCATCTTAATGAGTTATGGCGTTTGGAAGATAGATATTAAATGTTCTGTCGGTTTTGATTCTCTGTTTCATTTTCCGATCGGTTTTGTCGAAGAAATGAACAAACCACCAGATTTAGGGCCTCCTCTGAGACTTGCAGGAAACGTTTTGGAGCTGAATATCAATATATACACTGGATTCATCAATTATGTCTCTTCCAATTCCCCGCAAATCATTGGTTTGGAACCAATCGATATAATTGGTCGAAAATACGACGAAGTATTCGTGAAAGACAACAATGAAAATAGAATATTCACGTATCCGCAAACGAGGAAAACAAAGAAGTTTATTGAATGCAGATACAACAAAAAGCATGTGACTTATATTGCTTTGTACGATCGAAATAATGATTCACAGAGCTTTGAAAATCTCTTGAAATCAATGGTTTACTATGTTCCATCAAAGATATCGAAGAACTTTGTTGATGGAGGTGTAAGCCATTACCAGATGAAAAAGTGTTTCATTATTTTAGTCCATTTCGATAATGAATTCTGCAATTCTCAAACTGATCATGTTTTCTCTCATTTATTCAACTGTTTGCAATGTTTCTCAACTGTAAATATATTGCGCGTTGAAGGATCTTGCATATACTTCATAGTAGATGGTAATGAAGCATCAGTTCCTTTGTTGTTCATAAGAGATGTCATTTTTGGATTCAAGGTATCAAATAAATCTCAAAAAAATGACCTCGAAAAAATGTTTTTGTCTATTGTAATTACAAAATCAGATTTTGTCGCAGATATCAATTATAGCTGTGAACCTTATGTTCACGTAAATTACAGCCATTGTAATTTATGCCACTCACTTTGTTTTTCATCTCCTTTACATAGTGTTGTTTTCCTCGGAAATTGCATTGATTTATCTCCGTTTGATATCAGTAAAAAGACAACGAAGTTATCAGGAAACAGCACTGCTGTGCCCTTTAGTTTATTTAACGATATTGTTAATTGTTTATATTAAAACTTGTTTTGTTTATGTATGAATTATCAAAATTAATTTTAAATAATAAGAAATCAAAACAAAGAAAGGAAAAGAGTATGTATTAACACGATTGCTTAACATTGAAACATATTGTTTTGATAGTAACTAATTAGTATTACAATAATCACTGATTAACGTACAGTTTACAATAATCGGAAATTGTAATAAATTTTAATCGCTAAATAAATAACCTGATGTAGAACAAAATTTGAAAGATCGTTTTTTTCAAATTGACTTTTTTTATGCTCAAAAATAAAAATAAAAATGAAGTCTAAAGAAAGTAATACGGAAGTTTACATTTCTGGAGACGTCGTTTCTATTTTAAACTATGATCCTATGAACCCCAAGAAAATTACAGAAAGAGCTTCACTAAAAGCAATGAAAAATTTATGTATTTTAAAATCTGAATTAAAAATGCCTACAAAAGAGGAATTACGCGGCTTAGATGATAAAGATCTTGAGAAAATTGTCATCGAACATCATAAAAAACGTATTGGCAAGTTAATCAAACAAATCAAACGCGAAAGAGAAAACGTTATTAACAATTCATCACGTCCACAAGCTGAAACAAGACGAGAAATTGAAGAAAAACCGAGAAATGCAGTCGATATGGATAAATTACTCATCGAAAAAATGAAAAAACGTCAACAAAGAGAAGTCGAACAAATGCTAGCTACATTACTTGCAGTAGATGCAATGCAACGCGATGCCGAATACAGAGCTCAAATGGAAGAAGAAAGAAGACAACAAATCGAAGCTGAGCGTAGAAGGAAGGCAGAAGAACAACATAAACGACACTTACAACGTATACAAGAGATGGAAATGGAAGAGAAACGGAAATTGGCCGAAGAAGCCGAATTCCGTCGACAACAATTTGAAAAAGAAAAACAAGCTCTTCAAAGACAGAAAGAATTACATGAAAAGAAGCTTAAAGAGATGGCTCTTGCCGAAAAGAAGCGCCAAGAGCGAGCAGAACAGAACAGACAATATATACAACAAATAGAAGAAGAAAGACAAAGAAAAATCGAAGAACAGCAGAGAAAAATAGAAAAAAGCGAATTAAAGAGATTGGAAACACTCAGAAAAGAACAAGAAAGACTTCAAAAGGAACACGAAGCGCAATTACTCAAAAGAACACAACAAATCGAAGCTGCAAAACAAAATGAAATCAGATTATTGGAGCAGAAGAGAAAAGAAGCGGAAGAAAGAGAAAAGAAGAGAGATGAACAACATAAAGAATATCTAAAGCGAAAAGAAAAAGAGAACCAAGCTTACAAATTAATGCTTGAGCAGAAAATCAGAAGAAATGCTGAAACAAGAATCAAAATTGCTGAAGAAGAAACAAGAAGAAAAGTTGCTTCAGCAACAACTGATGAAGAAATCAACCAGAGAATTAAACAGATGTTGGAATATAGAGAAAAAAGAGCTGAAGACGCAAGACTTGGCAGATCTGACGCAGCAATTGCAAGTCAAAAGAAACAAGAAAGAATTAAGAAACAACATGATCAAATGATGAAAACATTAAAGGAACAACACGAATCACGTGAAGAACATTACACACAAGTGATGCGTGACAAAGAAAAAGACAGACAGAAGTCAATAATTATTAGGAAACTGAAAGAAGAAGAAAAAGTTGAAACTGCAAAAAGACTGGAAAGACAGAGACAGAAAAGAATGGATGAACTCAAAAACAAGTTTGAACAGAATATGGCCCACGTGGAAAAGATTCAGGAGGAAAGAAGGAGCGTACATGCAGAGAGAATGAACCTTCTGTCGCAATTGGATAAGCAGAAACAGGACATGCAATCAAACTTTAACTCTCTGAGAGTTTCAGGAAGAACCGACATGAGACAAATTAAAAAACTCGCGGATTTGTATGATATTGACTTGAATGTTATTGAAATGAAGGCAGAATCGAGATATCCTTCTCGTGCAAGAACTGCCCTTTCATCTGCTAGAAGATCTCAATCAGTAAATTCGAGAAGATCTATGTTTTAGAAATAAAAAATTATTTTTGTTTGGTATGTATTATAAATAATATCTCTTTTTCTATGAAATGACCATCCTTAATAAATAATGTTAATTCTGAAAGCTAACAAAATTGATACCCAGATTTGCTTTACTTTTACCACCCCCATAAAATTTCTGAGATAAACGATTATTATATTTTTTATGGTAGAACAGTATATGCTTCTATAAAGCCACTTAAATCTTTGATAAAATACAGTGCCGGTATATTAAAATATAAAGGCTCGAGAGTGAAAATCTTGCAAAAAGCCCCCTTTTTGGACCTTTTTGCTCCTCATTTGATCGAGCATATCCATAGTTATGCAGACACTATCGACAATTTTAAGGCCAAACTCATTTGTATGCAATTCCAAACAATTTTTGTTGAAAGTGCTCATTATAGGCGCGAAAAAACTCAAAGTTCTCAAAAAATTCAAATCGCATCTACGCAAAAAAGAACTTTCATCTAAAAATGTTATAACAACAATAAACTTCAAGCATAAATAAACCTCGGCACCAAACCACAACTCTTAATCTTTGAATAACGGCGAAAATATTTGCATTAAATCTCATTTTTTACAAAATCTATGGTTTTTAATTGGATTTGATTTAGACCAATGTTATAGGCATTGTAATTATTACATAATTACGAAACATTGAAATTATCCGACTTAGCTTGAAATTTTTTTATCCATATTTGCTGACTACTTGTAAACATTACTTATATTCTTCATTAATTTTTATACTTTTTTCTTAGACTCCTTTTTATACCATGCAAAATGGTTTTGTGAACAGTTTACAGATTGAAAAAAATTTTTTTATAAAATATGCTTTATTTTATGAAAAAAATGCAAGTAAATCAATGCATCTAGTTAAAATAATATATATTATTTATTTTTATTTGTGTAAAAATTCTGAGAAAAACGATTATCTTTTTTTAATGGAACAGTGAAATCAATTTATCAGCTTTCTCATTGCGAATTTTACAAATACAAACAAGTCATTATTACCAATACAACCTAGCAATGCAAGATATTAAATGATAACTAAAATTTAAAGAATTTTTATCTCATTAAATACAAAATTTGGATATTTCAAGGGCAAAAGAATCTTTCTTTTCAGGAAAATGTAACTTCATTGTACATGCAGTTATTACACTAATATAGAAACCGTATTATTCTTTATTGAGCAAATTTTTGATCATGCAGAACTTATTAATGCATACCAGATTGTTTTAGTATAAAGAATCCAAACTAGATACACAAATAAGTTTCTTTTATTATTGCAACGTCCAAATACCAGTTTGTTTTCTTGAAATCAAATCAAAAATTTGGTATTTAAACATCATTTAACATAAATCATAGTACAAAATTGATGTAGATCCATTTTATAAGCAAATAACCTTGTTTACACCGTATTATAACTCACTTTTGTTTTTCATATTATGAGATTTTTTATGCATAGCCAATCATTGAAGATAAAATGCTTAATAGTAGGCTATTAATTATTTTATATGTTGCTTTGCTAATTTGATTTTTTTAAAAAAATGATCAAATCTCGAAATCAAAAAATCGTTAAACAAAGCATAATTATTTGTTTATTGATGGTAATCGTCATCATCATCTTCATTATCGGAATAAGGCTCTTCATCCTCCTCAAATTCACCATCACTAGAGGAATTTTCATCATCGCTTTCATCTGCTTGCGCTCCTAGAGTTTCTTGATCGAAATTTTCTAGGTTTGAACATGGAATGCGCCAAGCAGTTATCAATGTGGCTAAACTGACTGTGTTCCATGCTCGGATAAAGCAGGAAGTAGCTTCTGGTTTGGAGATAGGAGTCGAATTCTCAAAGATGCGATCAGCAACTTTCATTGCATACTTTGCCTTCACAGCTCCGAATACACGCATATCAAGAGGCTGGTATTTGTCAGTACCAGACTTTGGAACGCAGATGAGCTCTATATTGAGTTTGGAAGCTTTAGCAACAACAGGAGATGTTATGTAAGACCTATATTGATCTATAAGAAGAGCGCAAGGTTCTTTATTAGTTAGTATCCCTAAGTTGTGTACTGTGGCACTGCGCGCCTCCGTACACCACTTAGCGGTTTTGACACTTTACGAAACCAGTAACGTATATTTTACAACACAACCATAACACCAACTTAACCTTAAATATTTACAAAACCATCTGACACATAAACAACTTCACTAACGACTTCACTAACGAATTCCCTACCGTCCTCACTAAATAAAAATAACCTTATTTTTATTTTTTTAAATTTTTTATTTCATTACAAAGACATGTCCGACTACATTTACTATGACTCTTTCCCAGAACGTTTCCGTGAACTATTCAAAACTCAAGTAAAACTGAGAAACATGCATTTTAACAAAGACAGACCCATTGACGATGAAAGAAACCCTGAATATATTACAATCCCTTATGACGCAAAGTTCATTGCATACATTCCTTATGGTCGCAGAGGAACGAAAACTATTTCAACAAAGAACAAAAATTATTTCTGGAGCGATGAAGAAAATTGCCTTATCTACATAAATGCATACTTAAATAAAGCTACATATTGTACAAAAGAAGGTTGGACTGGATTTGAGCTCTACATATACGACGACGATGGAAACAGACGTTGTGTATACCCATACGATAATATGTACCATTGTTTTCATCAAGCATTAAACGAATACATAGTCAGTAAGGGTCTCATTCCTGCTGAGTAGAAATGTTATATTTTTGTTCCCACATTTATTTAAAAATTAATGATATCACCACTCCCACACGTATGAAAACATAGCGCAAAAATAAATTTAGGTGAAGTGGTGAGATCTCACCTGTTTTTTCACCTGTTTATTCACCCTGTTGAATTCATTGCTTTATAACTCTCTTCCTTTCTCCAACTCTTCTAACTTCTTCTTAAGTTCAGCAATGTTGTCCTCATGAAGTTTAATCTTTCTCAAAATTCCTTCTTTATCTAATGGTTGCTTTATCTTTCTAAACTGAACTCTACCATCCTTCATAGTATGAATGTAAAAACCTTCTGGAATAGTTCCTGATTTAATGTATTCTACCAAAAACTTTTGTTTCATTGCTTCAGTGACTTTAGTCGTCATTTTACTCTAAATAAAATGTTCAAATAAAATAAAAATAACGTTATTTTTTCAGTAAGGAAACGCAGGAGTTTTACGATTTATTTGAGGAGTAGGTTCTGGTTTAAATGTTGGAGTCGGTTTAGGAGTTGACTTTTGAACAGGAGTTTGTACTTCCATAGGTTCAGGAGTCATTGAAGGTTTTGCTTGTGAAGGTGTTGGAGTTTGTTTAACTTCAGCTACTTCAGTATTATTTACAACATTTGCTTTATTTCTTTTCAACATCATAACTGCTCCTGCTGTAGCTAGCAAACCTAGTGGGAGACCATATCTTATATAAGGACTTGACCAAATGCTATTTTTGACAGGAGCTGGTGGAACACCTAACCTTGGTGAGACTGCTCTTTGCCATTGTGCAGCTCGTAAGAAATATTCAATAGGTGCTCCATAATCGTTTGGTAAAGTTTGTTTCATAGATGGTGAAGGTTCACGAGAGCTTGATGAAGAACTCATTTATAAGCTTTAAAAATAAACGTTCATCCTTTATTCCTCACTGTCGTCCGTAGCTAAGTTATAGTCATCTAATCTTATTATGGGGATGCCATTAGCACGCACCTGAATGGCAAAGCAACAATCCCTCATAAATCCAATAAGTGGCTTTGGTACATTTTCAGTTGCTAGTTCAATAGGTCCTTTAACAGACAATTTGTATGTTATTGGAGCAGTAGATGTTTGACCTTGCTGGAAGCAAAAGTCCACTTCTGTTGGAAAACCACATAAGAAATGTGTGTTGTCATAGCTATCCCATTTATGTTCCACACTACCATCATCCACCAATGACCTCATAACATCTTCATTAAATCCTATCATATCATTGTTTGTATTGCAAGCGTTCGCAACCATTTCATAAAATACAGGTCCATATGATTTTTCAGGTTCTGCAGGCATATTTCCATAAGCTCCCATGGAAAGCTGAAGATATTTAAACTTAGGGTTCTCAAAATTAACATAATAGTTGTCTTTCTTTCTAAATAGTGCCCAAATACTTTTAACATTAATAGGCGTATAAGCTGCTGTAAATGTTGCACTTGAACTATCTGTATTCTTTGAGAATGAACCGTCCATAGGAATCCAATCCATAACTTTAACAGGAAAACATAAAGCCTCGTTTGTATAATGTTCTACAAGTTCTGTATAAATGATAGGGTCTAAAGAGAATGACTTTGGATGAATAAAACATTCATTAAAATCCATCTTTGTTCGAAATAGTTGCTGGGTTACAGTTGTAATAGTAACTGTTCCACTAGCTTCTACTGCCTTCGTTATCATAGTGAATGGTTCATTCCATGGAACAAATTTATTTATCGGTGAATTTGAATCTGAAGCAAATGCAACTTTAAGAGTTACTCTTGCTCTGATTTTGACAAGCTCATTTTACATCGGTTAAAGTTTTAATTTTGTTTTTTATCTGCAGTCAAATGACTCAGACAAGCCCTACGGACAAGACCCAAGGGGTCATAGATGTTGAAGCATTGAAGAAAGAAATTCGCGAGCAAATTTTATCCGAACTGAAGGAACAAAAACAAGAACAAAAGCCAGAGAGACCAAAGAGAAAACTTAGTGAAAAACAACTTGCTGCATTAGCTGCTGGAAGACAAAAGAACCCACGTTTGCTGGCGAAGAAAGCTAGAGAAGAAGCTGAAGCAAAAGCTAAAGAAGCTGAAGCAAAGAAAGAGTAAATGGTTTATTTTTATCCGAATTAAATGTATAGACAAATACCTTTATCTGTTGCGTTCAGTAGTGAAAACCCTGACGTCAAAATAAAGGGGAACAGAGTAACGTTTAAGTTTCCAACAGACTGGATTGTGAACATAAATGAAGAGAAGTACATTGGCATAACATCTATGTATATAACACGTGCTTTCAGAAAGGTTGACTTTATACTTCAAGTCGAGATAGAAAATGACGAACAGTCTTTAAGCGCCCAAAACATTCACATATACAAATACTTTAAAGACGATACAACATTGCAACAATGTATGATTTCATTTAATGAAATGTTCGAGAAAAAGTTTAACATTGAAGTACAAACTTTACAGCCTTTACGTGAGTTTCTTGCACAACTGAAAGAAGAAGGTAGTCAGCCACAACTTATAGACTTTCATTATGAATTTAATGAAAATGAAGATGGAACTCATGACTGTCAGTTTGTTGTATTCTCACCATTCAATGAAGTCGCTAAAAGAAAGAAAATCCATTACGTATAAGATTTCAAATCTCTGAACCAAGTGATGATTTCAAGAATGTTTTCACTTATGATGCAATGCTTCCGAGGAAAAATGAATTTTCAAAGATTGTAACACCTGGCATTTGGGATAGAAAGCAAGCTATATTATATTCAAACTTAAGTAAGGGAGTTGAAAATGAGTTCATTGGTCATACAAGAACTACACCACTTCCAATCCTAAATACTTATAAATTAACTGGCTTCAATCGTGAGTTTTGGATAGACATGTTCTCCACTCATGACCATAACTGCCCAGTGTTCTTACCTCCAGACCATAAGGACTGTCTCTACATTGAAGCACAACTCTTAAACTCTACCATCGCAGTATTGTAAATGACCACATGGGCTTCGCCCTTGCCGCTAGCGGCTTATTTTTATCATGAATGGTCTCACTGCTGACAAAAATAAATGACCTCAGAACTTCAACTTACGAATAAAGCTTGTTTTAGTCGTTATTGAGAAGTTAAACTTTTCAGCAAAGCAAGGACTAGAAGACTTACATAAGTCAAATCCAATCTCTTGACCGTCATAAAGTGCTTTGTAACGTTTCATTAAACTGAACTCAGAGTCTTTATCATATGTTCCTTGCGGAACCATTAAACCTTTATCTTCATCATAGAAACACTGAACAGAGTCAGGAAACATTTCATTAGCGGTTAAAGCAATAACATCTTGCTTCACGCCTTTCATTCTGCAGTGAAATGCAACTTCATTTAAATCATTCGTGAGTAAGTCTATGTAAGTCTTCTTTCCACAAAATATTGACTTGTATGCTAAACTTTGTTTTCCAGGTTGATTTCTGCAAAGTCGCTATGAAATTGACCAAGGTTTTTACCAATGAGAACTCTTCCATAACGTTTCTCAAACTCTTCAGCTAAACGAGGGATATCTTCATTGTAGAGATGCATACTGTCCGTATCGCTATAAAAGATGTCCATTCCTAAGTCCTCAGCAGTACAGAATACTTCACACATTATTCTCTTCGACATAGACAGAATGTTAACACCAAGTGGACAGAAGTTAAAGTGTCTGCAAATGCTTTTCGTTAGCTTGAAAATAGTTTTATCTGAACCATCCAAACCTTCGAACTTCACTATATGGTTGTAGTTTCTGATGGCATATCTTATAGCATCTTTGTCATTTACTATGGTTATTTTTGACTCAATAGGAGATAGAATAGTTTTGCCATAAATACTGTTCAGAATGAGCTTTATATTTTCTTGCAAAGGATTTCCTTCTTTCTTATACTTTAACCTTAACTCAAACAACTTCTTTACTTCATCTCTTATTCTAATATCTCTGTTTCCATCGTAATAGTATCCTTGCAACACTTCACATTTGACACCTTGATATTTTATGAGGTCTTGTAATGTTATATGGTCAACATACATTAAACAGCAAGTGTTTGAACTTCTGGGAACGTTAAGTTCTGGATTTAGTTCAGGGTCACAAACTATTAAAGGAAAGTGTCTATGTATTCCAATCTCTGTTATCTTAATGAGAACAAAGAAGCCAGACATAAACTTTTCACCAATGGGTTCCTTTTGGTCGTCATCGAATAAATGTCTCATGAGATACTCTGTGCTTAACATTTCTTTCTTCATAACCTTTGGAATACCTTCTAAAGTATAAAGTCTTGCTATAGCTGATGGATATAATGAAACAGCGTCGAAATCAGCAATGAGTTTCTTTTCGCTCTTTTGTTTCATGTTATCTGACAGCATACATCTTCCACCTTGAATACAGCGTGAAATAAATTCTCTTGGTTTATTTGAGAGGTCATATAAATTTCCATTCGGGAAGTACACTCTGTTCTCAAATAATTTGTTAGCAATTGAACAAATACTAACGTAGTCATAAACGTTTAAATCAAATTCTTTCAATATGTCATTGCGGAACTTAACAAAACCTTCTCTTAAAATTCTTACATCTTGTTTGCAATAAAATGTGCTATACTTTTCTAAGTCGAAGTGGTTCTCATCTATTCTGCAACCTTTGATGGAATCTATGTTTTTCATGAATGTATCTGCATCCCGGATAAACTTACATGCTTCAGAAATGACACCAGTTCTGTTGTCATTTGCTAACAAAACACTGCTGTAGTAGTTATATGGAAATACTTCTTTCGGTCCTGTTTGTAAGTTAAACATAGCAGGAAATAGTTTAAGCTTCTTATTTATAACACTGTAAGAGTCTTTTATAATAATTGCCCTTCCTTTATATAAGCCAGTTATTTGCATTGTTCGTGAACCTTTAATGATGGGAGTTCCTTTCACTTCTGTCATGTGTCTTAAGATGAAGTTTATATCATAACTGAGGTTATGGAAATATATTAAACTCTTGTCAGGAAGTCGTTCCAAAAATTCTGTTGCACAGTTCTGACCCCAAATGCTTTCACTCACTGAACCATCTTCACTGTCGTAACAGATGTTAAAAGCTTTATGAAAGCCATCGTACTGCACTCAAAGTCAGCAAAGAAAACGTGCTCAGGAATGAACTTGCACTTATTTTTATTTACTTCTTTTGACTCGGCTTTCTTCTTCAGTTGTACACAATACTTTGGAGCATATGTCAAATCTTTAAATGGTGCAAGGTTCTGTTTATATAAGTCAGTCGTATATGTGAAAAGTTCTCCATAAGAAATAGGTTCGAAATATTTGCACTCCCACAATGTTTTCATAACATCCCATAACGGTGTTGTTCTATCATAACGAACTACATATTTATCTTCTCTCTTTGTATAAATCTTCATTTGTTTCTCAATGTTCATTCCACCACACTCCTTCAAGATTTCTATATAGTTGCGAATGAAATATGTTGTCATTGGTAATCTTTCATTTAGCATGTAGTGGTCTTCAACAAGAAGTAAGTCAATAGTTCGAACAGTTTTACATTCTTTTGGTATGTATCTCTTTATTTCATTATGTCTTGAGTCATTGAAAAACCAATGGTAACATTAAATGCTATACCTGTTGCGTCAGAAATTTCTTGTACTTTACTTTGAGGAAAGTCTCTAACACGAATGACTTCTCTCATGTGGTCAATAGTCTCTCCATCTACTCCAGCCTGAATGCAAGCATAAACGAAACAATTGTCTTCTGTCATAAGTGTTGCAGTTCTTTTGTTCAGTTCATTGAAGATTTGGTAGCGCTCAAGATTTATAGGTAATGTGCAAAGATACTTCCAGAACTGACCGCTTCTCTTCTTATAAAACTTCTTTTCACCATTATCTTTCCAAAAGCTTTCTATAAGTGCTGGGTTTCCTGTTTGCTTAAGAGCTTCCAAAATGGCTTTCTGGTCATTTGTCAGTGTGCTTTCATCTCTATATGGTCTCTTTTTTGGTTTGCCTTTCTTTACATCTGACATCGTTAAGCCTTCATATTCTGTTAAATCATACATCTTTATTTCAGTAAGATTCTTTATGTTTGTCAAGAAGAAGTCATAGTGCATTTCAACAATACCTGCAGCATTTGCTTCTATCTCTGATATAAAGTTCTCCTTCAAGAGCTGATGTAGTAATGTTCCAATATTATTGAGGTTTAACGTAGAACATTCATACTTTCCACCAAGTTTATAACATACCATCCATCTTTGTTGGGTTTATTTTAATCTTCTCTAAGAGTCTCATGAAAACCTTACCGAAATGTTTGTGTAAGTAGTCTCTGTTTGGTTCATCTAAAGCTTCGATGTTAAAGTCAATGAGTCTATTGCCTGTCTTACATTCTCTTCCTATTCTCTTCATCTTTCTTTAACCATCTCTCACCTTCTTTTGGTTTGTCGTCAATGGAACGAATGACATCGTTAGCTTTGCGAACTTGTTCTATAGCACTTTTAAACATCTCTCTTCTCTGTTGTTTCAGTGTGTCGTCTCTTCTTCTTGTTTCACCAACGTTTGCATTTGTTATGTCAAACATTTCTCTTCTTACTTCATGAGGTACTGAACGTCTATGATATAAGTCAATAGCAACGTCATTTAAAGGAAATGCTCTTGCATGGACTTCGTCCTCGCCGCGTTGCGGCTTTATGAACTCATGAATTCTATCATAACTTATAGCACCATTATAGTCATTGAGGATGTCAGCGAGTGCTTTTTTGTTTGTTGCGTAATGTTTTGCAACATCTATATTAGCTTCTGTTAGAAGTTGTTTTATTTCCGAGTGTTCTAACTTAGACAACTTCCGATACATCTTTAGTAGGAAATAAAAAATATTTTTTGAAAAAATTAGATTAGATTTTTTAAAGTTATTTTTCAAAATAATTTAATATTTCTATTTTAATGAAACACATGCAAGATTGCAAGTTCTTTTCATACAATGCTCTCGCTACTGCCATCAAGAATGAGTTCAATAATGCTTCAAATGTTAATGTTATCTTTAACAAGAAGTTTGTGAAAGAATCTAAGTTTGGTCAGTATGTCAGACCATTAGCTATCGTCATTGACCGCAAACGTTATACTTCACAAGAGTTAGCAGTAGTTTTGAAACAAAAGAGTTTCTTCGTGAATGTCAAAGATACTCATTATACTGTTATAAAGAACTCTAATATTGACTTCTTCAGTATTGCTTTAAATCTTTCCGAACAGAAAGAATATAAGAAGGGTGAAACATCTGTGAAATATTATCCTTCATCTCTGAAGACAATAACGAACAAAGATGTTATACAGAAATTCTTACCAAAGGTTGAAGAAGCTTCTATTGACATTGACGAAGGAAGTGAAATGGTTGAAGAAATAGACCCTGAAGCTATTTAAGCAAAAATATATTTTTGAAGAACTGAGGGTGTCACCATGTCACCATGTCACCAGGTTATTTAACTTCTTTTAAAAATGATGACAACATGACATTTTGACAACAGGTACGAAAGGAGGAAGGCATTTATGAATTATTTTTGAAGAACTGAAAGTGTCACTACGTCACCATGTCACCAGGTTAATTAACTTCTTTTAAAAAGTGTGACAACATGACATTTTGACAACAGGTACGAAAGAGCGAACAGCATGATGCTTCGTTAATGTTATTGTTAATGCTTACAGTGTCGAACATAATTGACGTAGGATTCATGACTTCTTCGTAAATGAGTGTAAATATAGCACAAAAATATATTTTAGGTGAAGAGGTGAGATCTCACCCGTTTTTTCACCTCTTTTTTCACCTCATTCTCTCTTCGTTAATGTTGTCGTGACTTCATCGTTAATGTTGTCGTGACTTCATTCTTCCTCTTTGAAGTTGTCGAAATATTCTGTTATTTTTTCCTTCAGTAATGGTAAGTCTTCTTTGAATGTAAGTATTGTGCAACCTTTGATGTCATAGTGTGTTTGAGGAAGAGTATTTTTGACAATTTCCTTTATTTGTTCATTCGGAGTCATTGAAATCGGTAAGTTTTCACGATAGAACCAGTTTCTGTCAGATTTATATATTTTAGCTAAGTCATAAAAGCTCTTGTTGTTTCTTCTGACTAAATGCAACATAACCATATCTTTATCTTCTTCTTTCTCCAACTCTTCAGTATAAATCATATACTTATAACTCTTTTCCTTTCCTTTTGGTACTGAACGTGGTATTCTTTTCTGTATGCTTTTGTCTTTGGATTCAATGACTTCATCTTTTGCATGAAGTTTCTTTTCCATCTCTCCACGTTCTGCTTTATATAGTTCATCTAACATCATGAAAATATAACAAGCATAACGAGGTGAAGCCCACATTGCTACAGCGTTTACTAAAAGTCTATGAACATAATAACCTTTCAAACCAGGAGCTAAATTCTTGCGATTTTCGTACGGAATCTCTTCTCTCGGTTTTCCGAGGGAAGCAATCATATGAGGAAATTCTTCTAAAAGTTCTTTTGTCTGTTAGTTTTCAAACCAATGATATGCTTGCTTTGTAGAACGAAGAGCATTCATTATACTTTGCATTTGGTACATGTCATCTTTGACTGAACGAATGAGACGTAACTGTTTGTTATACTGTATGTACTCGTATTCTTCATTGATGGCTTCATGAACGATAGCAGTTGTTGTGTTCTCTGATGTTGACATTACTGTCTTTACATACAAGATAAAAATTTTTGTTAGAAAAAAATTAGCGTTATTTTCTGACTTTCACAAAAGACCAAAAATAAACGCTTTACATGTATTTTTCAGCAACTTCGTCAAATAATTTTATAGCTTTATCTATCTCATCTACTTCAAACGTTTCTTTACCTTTCGTGGGAGCACCATACATTTTCTCAAAAACTTCAAGCAGTTCTGTTTCAGCAGCTCTCATATCATTAACAAACACAACCTTGACTCTATTGACTGTAGACTCATATCTTTGAGTTATATTATATGTCCTTCCTATCTTATATCTTTTTGTGTTGAAGTCCTTCGGTTTCTGAACGATATAAAGTAAGCCTTCACTGCAACGTTCTGAGTCGAATGAACCATATGTTATGAAGTTATATCCAACAACTGGGTCTAACCATAACAAAACTATTGGTATAAGACTTTTGTCTATAAGATATGCTCTTGTTCCATGAAATGCTACTGATATCATAAGCTCAGGATTTCTTGTCAAAATTTTCTGAGTTGAAGCATTTCTAACCCAGTCGTTTGTTTTCTTTCCAGATGGAGATATAATGTCTGACAAAGAATATTTGTTGTATTTCTTTGAGTATCTTACGTTTAAATCACCAATTCTAACCACTTTGGTGTCATTGTCTATCTTTCTAACTGTTTCAAACTCAATGTTTGACATTACTGTCTTTACATACAAAATAAAAATTTTTCTTAGAAAAAAATTAGCGTTATTTTTCTAACTAATGAAATTCATGAAATTTGGTCATTTTTCAGCAAAAATAATGTTTAGGTGAAGAGGTGAGATCTCACCTGTTTTTTCACCTCTTTTTTCACAAGCGTTTTACATGAATTGTACGATGTATATTTGAAATCCTAAACAATTTCGTAGCTTCAATTTCTTCTTTTAGTACATCGAATGTTTTAATCGTGCCGAAAGTCTCTTTATATTTCTTCTTGACGTCAGACAGAAGGAAATCTTCTGCTGTTGGATAGTTTTTATTAAGAAATGTCAACATATCCATTTTATCTTCTGCTGGCTTTTCTGCTTCTTTCTTTAAGTCTGCATAGTCGTTTCGCATTCTTTCTATCTCTTTGACTGAGTAGTTATATTTTCTTATTGCTGCTTTACATTTTGAACATTGCGGCATCGTTTTTGCGTTATACATTGAAACATTACCAGCTAAAACAACTAAAGCGTCAATTGCTCTCTTCATCTCAAACATAGCGGGTCTTATTTGTTCGTTCCATACTTTGTCTCTTCTATCTTTATCTCTTATTTCCCAAACACATTCAGCAACTAACGAAACAAAGTTATCGTATGTCTTAAACTCCACCGATTTATATATGTCAGAAATATTTTTATAAACCATGTCGCAATCTTTGTCCATAACTTTATGGTTGCAATGAAAACCAAGGAATTCATAATTTACTTTACGTATGAATTTCTTTATTTCTACTGAGTCAGTTGCTTTGACTTCAATTTCGTCGAATTCAGGAATAGTTAGTTTTTACTGCTGAACTTCAGGTAGTTTAGGCAAATGGTCAATAATATCCTGCATGTCATAAAGATACTGTTCATTTGTTTCATCTTTCGCACTACAGTCTAAATTACTTGTTAAAAGTTCTTGCTTTATCTTCTGGATTTCTGTTTCAAAAGTATATGAAGAAGGAATAAAGTTTTTCATCTCTATCAACATTGACGTAGGATTCATGACTAACGAGTTTGGTGCTGTAGTTTGAATTGTTGTTGTACCGATTGTTGAAATCATATCTTTTATACAAAATAAAAAAATAAATAAAAATAAAACTAACTTTATTTTTTCTATCTTAAGGAAATTCATGAAAATTCGTGAGGGTGAAAAAACTTTTGTCTGATTTACATCTAATGAAAAAGTTTAGAAGAATTTTCTTATTCTTTCTGGCATATTTTTGTCTTTCCAGTACTCCCGCTCTAATGGTCCCAGATGTGTTGGCTTTGACTCTCTCAAGTTCTTAGATGGTATAACATCTTCAACGCCTCCTTCATATCTTACTTTATAAGTGTCATCGTTTATGTTATAGCCAAGTATTTCAATAACCACTCCTCGCTTTGCTTCGTCAATGGTTTCAGCAAGTTTGCCATTACTACTTTCAACTAATTTATGTCGAGGGTAAAACGCAATAGAGTCGTCAGCAGCTTTTATAAGATATCCATTACCTTGCGTAGAGTCTACGATATAATAGTTTCTACTTAACCTTAAACGTTTCTTTGTCAACGGCTTGTCGTCAAGAACTACACGAACTTTTGTACCAGGAATGAGGGTAAATTGTGTTGAATTTCTGATATTTTGTGTTTGGCTTCGTTTCTTTTATATATACTTTTCTTCTTGTTGTTGTGTCATTGAATTTGGTGTATGCCCTGTTGTAGAATGTGTTGAGGAATTATATACTTCGAGAAAATGTTTCATTGTTTCTTCGGTAAAGTCTCGCTCTTGGTTTAAATCTCTGAGCGTTCTTATGAAGCGGTTTATGATGCCGAGTATGTTATGGTTATGGTCTTCAGTAGTGTAGTGAGTTATGTTATGCTTAATGAGAAAATCTGTGATTTCATTGCTGAGGTATGCACTGTCTTGGTCTGATGTTAAAGTACTTGGGCTATGTTCTGCTACAAACTTTTGTAAAACTCTTGACACTTCACGAGTTCCTTTATTTTTCATTGGATATGCATATGCTTTACGAGTGTTAACATTAATGAAGATGAGGAATGGTTTATGTCCTCCTTTTCTGCTTTGAATGAGAGTGTCAAATTGGTATGCGTCAGGAGCGTTGGAGTAAATTGGTAAAAAGTAGTCGTAAGGGTTTATTTTTGTTTGATGTACAACATTTTTGTCAAAGAACCTTTTCACTTCAGCTCTGTTAGTAAATCCCCAACTCTTTGCAGCTTCATTGAACTTCTTAAATGACCTCCATGGATGTTGTTCGAATACTTCTTTCAAGCTCATTTATGTAAAGTTAAAGATTTTATTCAAGGCTCAAGCGCGTTCAATGAACGCGGTACCATGCGAATATAGTCATAAATGGTGGCATATAATCTGCACCCGAGCCTGTTGGATTTGTTGTGAAAGTGTGTGAATGATTTTCTGTGGTTCCACAGAAAATACCTGCGCTTGAATCTACTGGGTCACTTGAAATATCATATCTATGCATTCCCTATCTATCCGAACCTGCTACAAGATTTGTATAACCTCTTTTTGTTATTGAATGTGAATGACTACCTGTTGTGTTTGTAGTTCCTGTATGAGTGTGCGGTGGAAGGTTTGCTTCTTTAATTTTCTTTGAACCACCGGCTTGTTTTGAATATCTAGCACAGTATAAGAATTTGTCTACAATCTGCTTCCATTCACCAAAACCTAAAACACTTGCTGGATTTGTTGAGTTCATTGACGTATAAATAGAGCCTATAGGATATAATGTTTGAAGTATTTCAGTCTTTAATGTTTGAAGCTCTGTTTTGTCTGCTTTCTTATCTAACATTGCTGGTAGTTCATATGCTTCAAAGTTTCTGGCATGGTCTTCGATATTCCTGCAACTGTTATCTAAATTGTTAAGAGTATCTTTTACGCTTGTACTCGGATTCTCTAAAGGTGCACTTGAACCAAGGGTATAGTTCAATATTATGTCGTCTGCTCTAACAGTTGAGAAGGAGTTATGTGTATGTTCTTTATCTGCTTTCTTATCTAACATTGCTGGTAGTTCGTATGCTTCAAAGTTTCTGGCATGACCTTCAATGTTCATACATCTGTTATCTAAATTGTTAAGAGTATCTTTTACGCTTGTACTCGGATTCTCTAAAGGTGCACTTGAACCAAGGGTATAGTTCAATATTATGTCGTCTGCTCTAACAGTAGTGAAGGATTTATGTGTATGGTTCTTGTCGGCTTTACGGTCTAATGTAGCTTGAAGTTCATTTATATCGGAGATGTTGTGTTTATGAGATTTCAAAACTTTGTTCATTGCTTCGAGTTCAACTTTGTCAGCTTTACTTTTAATAGCATCTTCAAACGTTATTTTTGCCTTAACTCTCAATGTAAATCTTGGTTCAACTAATACACCGTTAACATTGAAAGTAGAGGCATAAATTTCACCGGTATAACCAAATGCTTCTGGTGCTTTAGCTACATCATACTGTACAGTACAGCTTATGTCATAACCTTTAGCACGAATGTATTTATATCTTCTTTCATTAACATTTTTTGTCTTCGCTTCATCACTTCGTGTTAAATATCCATGGTAGTCCGTTATAATCTGTTCGTCTGAAGTTATATAATGAACGTGGTTCTTGACTTTATCACTCAGAGCTAAAAGCTCATTTTTGTCTGCTTTTTCGGCTAATTTCTCATTAACATCATTCACTTCTAATTCAACTCTTCCGCCAGAACTCTTATTATCATTAATCTTTTTCATTAATTCGGTAATTACGTCATAAAGACTATATTCTGTTTTCGGTTTTGTAAATAATGAGTCAAAATTTCTTTTCATCATTACATCGCTGACATTAATGATATCACCAATTCCTTTTTCATTTATTCTCTTCATTAATTCTGCAATAATGACGAATATATAATCTGTTAATTTATTCTCTTCATCGAGGGTTATAGAATGTTTTGAAATTGAATCATTAACTCCTCTAAATAAATCAATAACTTCAGGATACACGTTTTTAGTGTCTCGAATAACCCGACCAGTATCCTGTTGTTCATGTTCTTCGTTCCCGTCGTTACGTGGTTTTATATCTCTAACCATCATCAACGCAGCCATAACCGGAGGGTTTGTTGCTATCTGTTCGAAAATCCGTCCGTTATGTACGGTATATCTAAATAATTTCTTTGTGTTTGTTAAAACATTTGAAACAAGTCTTTTAAAACCATCTACAAAATTTCCTGTTTCACCTAATGTTCTTGCAGCATTTACAAGCTCACCCATTCCCGCTTTTGACCCAAAAACGTCCATATTGCATTTATTTCACTCTGTATAGTTGTCCAGCGAAACTAACACCCGCATTCGCTAAGCTGAAAATGAAATTCAGTGGATCGAACTTAATTCCACCTTCTTTTTCAATTTCAACGAACTCACTAACATGAGATTTTAAGTATTCTTTCGTTAAAATTGTTTTCCCCGATGTTATGTCAAACTATCACCGTCAAAAGTTAACGAATTCAATTTCGTCGTTGATGCTTTTATTTCATACACCGCTTTATCGATAGTTTTTGGCTCACCTTCTTTAGAAGTGTATGAAACATTAATGAATGAATTATATGTATTCGTGAATGAATTAAAATCAATGATTTTCATTAATGGCGCCTTTAATGATTCATTTACTGTCGAATCCCTTAAAGCAATTACTGAACTGTCATTTATGAAAGGTACACTGCAAACCGTCGAGTTTGGATCAAATGCTGTAGTTGGTGCAGGAATATTAATGATATAAGTCATTAAATCATTAAGTGACGTAAATAATGTTGTCGTTTTTGATTTAATTTCTTTAGCATCTGTTATATATGGTAATTTTATTTCTGTAGTTTCTGAATTAAAGATATTCGCTAAAATGTTTTGTAAACTGTTTTGAACAGCTGTGTAAACCGTTGAATCCGGAACTCTTACGATTTCACCGTCCTTAATAAAAGGCATTGCACATGGTGTAGTGCTTGGGTCAAATCTTTTTGGGTTATGATTCAACATATATTCTAATGCTTCATAAACAGACCTATATACGGTTGTATTATCTTTTTCAATAATTTCACCGTCCTTTATAAACGGCATAGTACATGGAGTTAAAATAGGGTCAAACTTTTCATAGTCCTTCCATGTTATGTATTTCTCAGTATTTCCATCAGTGATAACAATATATTTGTCAGTAAGTGTGAGAGAGTATTGACCAAAATATAAACGTTTAGCTCTGTCAGCTTCATACGCATATGCAGCTATACTCATATTTTAATGAGAATAAAATGTTGTTCTATTTGCAAAGTACAGACCCAAACGAATACGGGACAGTAAAGCTACAAACAAACTTAGGTCTACAGAATGAGGCGCTTGCATTCAGAATGGTTGACTTCAATACTATCGCTTCATTCGTTATAACAGATGAAACAGATTTCATGGAGATTGAAATAGATGGAAAGAAGCACGAAATAAGATTTCACAATAATGTAGAATATAAGATGGAAACATTAGCTGGAGTGTTAAATGCTCTCATAAATACTACAATAAACAAGGATAACGAAGAAAACTTAATGAATGTTAAACTTATTGCAGGAGTTTTGAAGTTTAGTTATGCGAAGGAGTTTAAGATAACACAAATGAGTCATAGAGTCCAACTTCTTTTGGGTGCATACCATATGACATTTCCTTTGAAAAGTGTTGACAAAACGATTGAGATGAAATCTGTTCCATACGTATGTTATGGTAATTGTTTATACATTGAGTCTAAAATAGCTAATGTCACAGGCATTTCAGGAGTTAATAGTAAAGGTTCAGTAGAATATAAATCCTTCTGTTATGCAGTCAATTCAATGTTCATTCCAAACGTTCCTGTCATAGCAACTCATTTAGGTAAATGGGTTCGCATTAGTCCTCATAATTTGAAAGACATGCAATTCAGACTTGTTGACTTTCAAGGAGAGCCTGTAGAACTGAAGGCACCAGTGCGAATGACTGTTGAAGTTGACTTTTTAGAAAATATTAAATGCAACAGCTTACAAGAGAACTCAGAGCTAAAAATATAAAGTATGAATGTTATGTATTAGGTCATGAACTTTGGTTGTTGCTGTTTGATGAAACAAATGAATTAGTTATGTCAGTCAAGAGAACAGAAAAATATTGTGTTAGTGAAAACTGCACCAAGTCAATAAGATTAGGTTTGCATTATGAAGATGAGTTCGATACTGTTGAAGAAGTTTTGGATAGATATTACAAATTGCTAACTTGAAATTTTTTTTGACTGACGGCGCAAAGCGCCAAGATGGGCTCAAAGAGCCCTCCTGACTGCTTTAATTTACTAAAACATATTTCAAACAAAGTTTATATTCTGTTGAAAGTTTTGTATACTCGTTCGAATATTTATACTTAAACTCAACTCCTGTAGTTCCTGGTGTTTCAATGATGCGGATGTTACCTATTTTCATGAATAGTGGAGTTTGACCACAGCATTCGATTTCAGGGTCGAGATAGTCAATGACACATTGTTTCCCTGTTATTCGTGAGATAACATTTTCAAGGTCCTCCTTTGTTAGAATTATTTGGTTCTTGCTTATAAGATTTGTCAAAAGCTTCTTATCGTCTTTGAGTAAAATTGTTTGGTATAACTGAAGAAGGTAATGGTCTACGTTATCTGAAGGATTTGTTTGAACATTTGTGTAAGGATTGTCGTTGGCTTCTCTTGAAAGAATTTGGTCCAGTGGTGGATACTCTAACTTAACATCTGATGTAGCGTTAGCGTTTGAAGCTGTGTTTAAATTCACGGATTCAAGCTCACTGTTCTGGTTCTTTTTCTTTCAAACACTCTGAACTATAGTTCTTTATGACAATATTGTTTGTCGTTCGTGAGTCAACATTTGATGTTGGTTCAATTGGAACATTAACGGCACCAGCTAAGATGGATTTGCTTCTCATTTCATATAGAATAAAAACCTTTTATATGTATGAAATGAACAATATACTCGACAAGGGTTTGAATGTAAAGCTAACGAATGAAAATATTGTTGAATTCACTGAGACAGGAGCTGTGTATAAAGATGTAGAACTACTGAACAAAAGAGCTAAGGGAAGAAGCAGGAACATGAACAAAGGGTGGAAGCCTATAAAAATTTATGTCAATGATGGCTCAGGAGGTTCAAACATAAAGTATGCAGAAAGTTATAGAGTTTATGCTCTCAAAGGTGAAAAGCCTTCATTTAAGAACAGCTATTCTAACGCATATCCTCAAAAGCTAACGGATGGGGAAGTGGATGATATGAATGACAGCAAAAATATTAACAGAAATGGCGACAGAGATGCATGGAATTTGTTTACCATCAGTCAATTGAAGGTTAAACTTTAAAACAATGTTGGTCGTTCCCATGGAATATTTTTGACTTTAATGGTATTAGTCATGATATGAATCTCAAGGTATGAACGAGGAGAGATGAGAGACTTATATGCTTCCCAAATTTCTTCAAAAGGTAATGTTATACCTGACTGTTTCCAAATGAGTTCAATATCATAACGTGAGAAACCTTGAAAGATAACGAAGTCAGTTATGAGACGTTTTATGTTTAAAGCTAAAAACCTCCATGTTTGCATAAGTATTGCTACAGTTAAGTGGTAATGTCTGACTTTAGTAATGATGTTAGCTAATGGTGAGTCTGGTTTGACACTAAACCTTTACCGGCGAAGTCGTCGCAAACGAGCAGAGTGTTTGAAGGATATTTTTTGAAGGGGTATTTTGAAAGTTTTGATAGAATGTAGTTTGTCAGTCGTTTCATATCGTAAACTCCTGAGTACTGACGTAAGTGGTGTTTGTCAATAATTCTTTCCATCTCCTCAGAAGTCTTTTGCATTCCTGACTGTATAAATTCAACGATGGCATAATATTTCCTCTTACGTCGAATGTAACGTTGAAGAAATTCAATGAGTTCACTGTCTGGAACTTTAACGACAGAGGCTTGAACTTTTGACATAAATGTTTTCGCTGTTGAGTCCATAGAGTCTGAAGTTGCTGATATAATGATTTGGTCATAGTAAGAGTTGTTTCCTAAACGCTCTGTTATGAGTATATGACGAATGAGGTTAAATGTCTTACCTGAACCCATCTTTCCACAATAGAAATACACACCATTTGAACAGAACTCATAATCTTTGCTGAAAGGAAGAATAAGAGAAGAGTTAAGTTTGTCTGTAGTTTCATTCATGTCTTCATCTACGTCATGTATTAAATGCTTCATTTTATCTCCATTAAAAATGCAAGTCAGAAATATTCAGAACATAGCACCGAGTCTAACTGACAAGAGTATAAAGATATACTATGAACACGTTATGATGAAACCTACCAAAATTCAAGAAAGTCAGTATACTTATGAATATCCAAGACACTGGGTAGAGTATGTAGGAGGTGAGAAAGCTATTGAAATCAGACAGGTTCGAAGTATTCCAGCAGGAAGAACAATATTATTGAAGAACTTTAATGTTTTGAGGTATAATGATGAAACAAAGAAGCAAGATAGTTTCCCTGTTGCTGTGTATGTGAACTTAGATACAGGAGATGACATGAAAGTTTTTAATACAAAGCTTCAAACGGTAGTGAGAGAACAACTTACTGCGGAAGGACATCCATTACCTTCAGAAGTTACCATAGCATATAATTTTGAAACAAACTCAATAGATTTTAAAGTCATCTCTGCAAAGAAGTCAGGTTTTACATTTAATGAAGCAGATGTATATTCGAATGAAAACTTCAAAGCTATTGCATGGTTAGATAATGACGATTGCTTTAAGAAAATATTTAAATTCAGTGACTCAACGATGTCAATAGATGACCTTCGTGGAATGTTACCATCGACGTTTACAGTTGAAGGTTCAGCAGGATTGCTTACAAGATTTCAATTGGTGGCATTTGGTCTCGTGAAACATTGTTATAAAATCCAGTATAAGTGAATTTGCTGAAGAATCTATATTATGTCTTTCAAACATATGTATTCGCCGCCAAGCATTATAGTATAACAAACTTTGTCAGTAAGTTTAACATAAGACTTGTCGAACCTTCTTCAATGAAAGATGTTGTGCTACCTAAAGATGGAAAGGATGGACTCATTATTGAGATGATTTTAATAGCATATTAAATGAGCTTGTTCTTGAAGGTCATTCATGATGAAATAACTGTTGTAGAAGATGTTAGCAATTGTTCAGACATTTTGAAGCGTATAGATGATATAAGAAAGAAGTTAGATAGACCGCAAAGCGGTGAGGGCGAAGCCCGTGAGAACGCTTATGTTTCATTGACTTTCTCCAGTAACGAGAACTTTTATGAGATAATATTGAAGAGAGATGATTTTAATATGGTGTAAATGGTAGCTTGGGCAGCTTTAGGCGCAATGGGAACAAAAGCATTAGCATTTGGAGCAAAAGCACTTGGAGCTTATGACGCAGTAAATAAAATGAGTGGAGGAAGGTTTCGAAGACATTAGATGCAAATAAAGGAAAGATTGGAGGCTGGGTTGCAAAGAAGTTAAGATTAAATAAAATAGGGCTCATAAATAAAGCATCCAATTTGGTTGCGACTGAGTCAGAAAATGCTTTAGGAAAGGACGATGAGTTTGCAAAACACGCAAAAGACTTTAATGACCAGATGAAAGGTGAAACAATGCATTTAAATAGAGTCGATGGAACTAAAGAAAATGTTTCTTCTCCACCAGTAGTTCTTCCGTATGGTCCCTATGGAATGTATGGAAACCCTTACGAAAGACCATTTGACCCATTGACTGGTGGAAGTAACTGGTATCATTACGGACGAAGAAGAAAGACAGTCAAGTTGGAGACAGACGTGAAGAAAGCAACTAAAAAGAAACCAAGGAAGAGAGTTATAAAACAATGAATTCAACAGGGTGAAAAAACAGGTGAAAAAACAGGTGAGATCTCACCACTTCACCTAAATATATTTTTGCGCTATGTTTTCATACGTGTGGGAGTGGTGATATCATTAATTTTTAAATAAATGTGGGAACAAAAATATAACATTTCTACTCAGCAGGAATGAGACCCTTACTGACTATGTATTCGTTTAATGCTTGATGAAAACAATGGTACATATTATCGTATGGGTATACACAACGTCTGTTTCCATCGTCGTCGTATATGTAGAGCTCAAATCCAGTCCAACCTTCTTTTGTACAATATGTAGCTTTATTTAAGTATGCATTTATGTAGATAAGGCAATTTTCTTCATCGCTCCAGAAATAATTTTTGTTCTTTGTTGAAATAGTTTTCGTTCCTCTGCGACCATAAGGAATGTATGCAATGAACTTTGCGTCATAAGGGATTGTAATATATTCAGGGTTTCTTTCATCGTCAATGGGTCTGTCTTTGTTAAAATGCATGTTTCTCAGTTTTACTTGAGTTTTGAATAGTTCACGGAAACGTTCTGGGAAAGAGTCATAGTAAATGTAGTCGGACATGTCTTTGTAATGAAATAAAAAATTTAAAAAAAATAAAAATAAGGTTATTTTTATTTAGTGAGGACGGTAGGGAATTCGTTAGTGAAGTCGTTAGTGAAGTTGTTTATGTGTCAGATGGTTTTGTAAATATTTAAGGTTAAGTTGGTGTTATGGTTGTGTTGTAAAATATACGTTACTGGTTTCGTAAAGTGTCAAAACCGCTAAGTGGTGTACGGAGGCGCGCAGTGCCACAGTACACAACTTAGGGATACTAACTTTATTTGCCCAATCATGAAGAAGTTCAAGATAGTCCAACATTACATCTGTACTCGTGTTACCACCAGAATGCATTATTTTGTATGGATATCTCGTTTTGATCCCATCAAACTGTCTGTGGCACAAGTCAGTTTTTCCTGTTGCTAGGAAAATTGTTGGAAATAACTTACAATCCAACGAAATTGTACAGATTGCTGTAAAGGATTGTTTGAAATCATTAGGTAGATGAGCTGTAACTTGATCTCCTACATTGGCAAGAACTTTTCCATGTAAGAAAACAAAATTTACAGGAGTCTCGTCCATGTTGAAGATCCTGTTTAACGGAAGGTATTCAATAATGTTATTTACTTCTGTGATGAACAATTCTACTTGAGATTGGTCGACTTCTTCTCTTTTCTTGCTTCGTATCATACGGAATGACAACTTATTCCTCTTAGTGAAGTCATTTATGAATCGATACGATAGTCTCCGTTCATCCATGAACTCGCGAACCTCTGGATCAAAACTTTTATAAAATTCCCACAACATACTTTTTAAATGCCTTCTTCTTATTGCTATTCCGACATTTATATATTGCATTCGTTATAATTCTGATATTTGTTGTTCTTGTTCGTTAGTAAAAAGTCTCCTTCCTAATCCAAAATTCTGTCCTGGGCGGTAACTTCTATTTACCTTCCATTTGCTATGATAATAGTTGAGCGATCTTCTCTTTATGTTAGTAAGCCTTTCTAATCGACAAAAGTTTGGAGGAATATGTACATTTGAGCAAACTTCAAAATAATCAAACACTAATTGAATGAGATCAACCTTTAAATAATATTTTTGATACCTCTTTTGATATGCAAATTCACCACTTTCTAATTGGGCTTCTAATAATGCGAGACTTAGGTGCCCAGGATAGTCTTCAACCATTTTACGTACGTAAAATAAAAGTGACAAAATAGTGAACGATGGGTGTTTTCCCCAGCCTTAAAGGAGTGGTAAAAGTAAAGCAAATCTGGGTAAATTATTTTTCTTAAAATATGTTATATCCATTATTAAAAAACTACAAATTACTCATAAGAATTATTTTGTCTAATGATTATGGTATATTACAGCATTAATTTAGTTTAGATTCAATAAAAATCAATACTCGAAGCTGATTTAAACAATCATCATTCAGATTTATAATTTGATATGACTATTTTTGTCAGTGGTACAATTAAATCCCATAAAAATGATATCAATAAAATTTTGAAAATAATTTTGATTGATAATAAGTTTTGAGAAGAAAAACATGATTTTTCAGACGATATACAAATATTTTTATAATATGATAGAAACTCTATAAAAAAATTTAATATTTCAAAGTTGGAAGACTTTTGATAAACTCCTGATAATAGTGGATATTGTGAGTAACCAAAAGTTCTATTCCAAGTATCTCTCTCACGTTCAATAAGTGGTGAATGTAAGATTTTTTGTAATTTCTGCAACAGCTGCACGTACAACCTTCGACAATTGGTGTATGGTCGTGTTCGAACTTTCTGTCCCTGATATCTATTCCCAAATCCTCTTCTGTTGTGTTTTGGAAGTCAAAATTCAAAGCGAATCCATTTCTAGCGTAATAGACTGGCAGAGTAGCAATGAATATGTCGAAACCTGTCTTGTAAGCGAGTCTTGTTTCAACTGGATGACCTAAAAATTGAATAATTCTGGGTAAATCTTTGTTGAAATTGTCAATTGCTGTTTGGATTATCTTTGCTTCTTTGTCAGTAAATTGTGTGAATTGCGCAAACAATCCACTTTCGCCGTGTTGTGACAGACCATGCGCGTAATTAATTGTATTCTCGTAATTTTCTGCGTATGATTTTGCTGCGTTGATTCTTAATTGTTTTTGACGTGATTTTGATAGTGGTGATATTTGTGAATAGAGAGATATTGTGCAATTTGGCTTAATCCAAATAACTAGCTCTTTATATTCATCTTTACTGATTACTCGTTGGTTACCATTGATGCAGTATAAAGCAATGCCTTCTTTCTTTGGTCCTTCATCGAAATTGAAAAATGAGGCACCAGGACCGAAAAATATCCAGCGTTTTCCAAGGCCTAAGCCTTCTAGTGGTGTAATACTCTTTGGAAGAGGTGAATCGATGAAATCACCTGCCGAAAAGAATAAAGGAACATCTCCTGAAAGATCTGGAGGAATATTTGGAATTAGACCGTATTCTGTTGGAACAACGAAGCATGGTGTCTGTAATGGAGGTAAAATCCCTTTAGGATCTTGCAAAGATTTCGATGATCGAGACATTTTTAAAATTTTTGACAAAATTTATTTGTCAGAAAAAATATTTTTTTCATGGAATATTTGAGAAATTTTGCGTTTACCCATATATTAGATGGTATGTCTTCACGATAAATTATAGGCAAAAGGGTAAATGCCCAATACATGGATATTCGAATATGATTCTTCTAATCGATTTAATGTCCGAAATAAAGATTATCAAATTAATGGTCGGAGCGGATATGAATTATGGATCAAAACAGATAGAAGCTCCGAAGTACAAGTCTCTTATCAAAGCCAAGGAATTTACTCCTCAGGAAAATTGGAAATTCAAATTCAAAATGAAATATTAAGCTCTTGTGACTATTTAAATATTATGTATAAATTAACGAATAAAGATATCATAAGTCATAAATATGGAATTTCAACATATAATTGGATGGACTCAAACGGCCAAGAAATGGTTATCAGAACATTACCAGAATTTCAAGGTCTTGAAGGACAGCAAGGATCCAACATTGTCAGATATATATTGAGAAACTCACCAAAAGTAACCAATGTTGACACAATGAATTACAAAAAAACTTCAAGTGAGTTTATTAGTGATGATGATCGAAGATGGAAAAACAGAACTTCTTGGGAAGAAAAACCATCATCAATTGATGGAACTTTTGCTTTTAGTTGGCAGAATATAGAAATAGCTCCATCATCTTCCAAATCATTATCGTTTTCAATTGGAAAAGGTGATTACATTCTCAATTATCAGATAAACATTAAGAAACCGAACAAAGAATATTTCGCACCAAATTCTCCTATGTATCTGCTTATTTTCATTCCTCCTGCATCACCAGATATCAATGTTCAAATCTACAGATCTATAGATGATGGAAAAGAAGATTACATTGTAAGTTTCACAGATAACGGAAACACTTTTAATTACAATGATACATTTCTAGCTCCTGATTCTGGACACCATAAAATTAAATACAAAACAGTTGCAAGTAATGGACTTAACAGCACAAATGAAATAACAATTACAGCAACTGTTCCTCCAACAATCAAATTCAAAGCTCCACCGAGAGATCAGTATGTTGCAGGTGATGTATTGAACGTTTCTGTGATTGTTGATGATGATACATTTGTCAAATTAAACATAATGAAAGATAGTTTTACACATACAGATGATGTAATTTGTAATGGAACTCCAAAGACATCTATTGTTTCATACCCTATTTCTATTGACGAAGTTGTTGGATCCACTCATTCTGTAAGAATTTTCGCTGTTGATGAATTTAATTTTCGATCGAATGATTTGAATTTCACTTACACAATAAAAGAGAGTTCTCCGGATATAGAGTTGACAGAGGAATTAAAGATGTATTATCCAATATCATCTTTTCTCAAAATTCATGGACAATTCCGGAATCTGTTTGGACCAACAAATCTTTGTTTGTACACTGAATTAAATAATAACACTAATCCAGAGAAACATTTTTGCGAAGATGTAATTAACGCTTCATGGAATCCTTTCTCATTTAGTTACAAATTGAAGTTGAACTCAGACAGCCTGAACTTCTTGAACATTTACTGCGAAGACAGCAGATCTGTTGAATCCAACATAATTGTTCACAAATTTGGAATAATTTCACTCGAAAACTGTGTGAACCTCTACACATGTCACAGCAAAGCACCACCATTTAAATTCTATCTGCTTACTTATAATACTATTTATTCAATTTAATAAAAATTACATAAACCTATTTTAAATAAGTTTTTTACCATACACAATATTTAATTTGCATAAATTGTTATCTCTCTCTCTCATATTGAATTACCGAAACCTAAAAGATTATCAAGATTTCAGATTGCATATTCTGTATCTATGCAAAACTAAGCAATTCCAAAATGTGAAATCTGCTTATTTGGGATTGGTAAATATATTACAATTATGATTTAAATTGAAATTAATAAATGAAGGAATTTTCGGAAGTGAAATGAGTGTTATTTTCCTTCTTTATGATTTTCCATGCTAAGTATGCATCTGTACTTATTATCATTTATTACAAACTGTATTTTACCACTTTGAATTAGAAATTGTCACTTTTCTGGATAAATCGAATAAAAGATTATACGTGCATGATTTAATATAAGTTTTTCAATTGATGTTAATTTTGATACAAACCGTCTTGTTCTCAATTTGTTTTTCTATGAAACTTATTTCAAAAATGATTCTAATTGTCAAGTAGATAGTTCTTTCAATGTAACGATAATAAAATTAACGATACAATTTTTATAACCACCAATATTTTACCAGATTATGTCAGAATCAGTCCAGCCTTCTGGCTGGAAATTCCAATTTGTACGGATATACACATACATATGTCCTGCAATTTTGTATGCTTTTGTTTCTTTCCAAAAACAATGTCCATCAGTCGTTGTTAATGATATGGCAAAGGCTTATAATGTATCTATCGATAGTTTCGGATCATTTTCATCTATATATTTCTACCCTTATGCTTGCATGCAGCCATTCGCCGGACTTATTGCAGATATTATTGACCCAGCTTACGTTGTTGGCGTTTCGGGACTTATTGCTGCATGTGGCTCGATTATATGCGGCCTATCAAACTCAATGGGAATTGGAATTCTTGGAAGATTACTAGTTGGACTTGGTTGCGGACCAACATACGTTTCTACTGTTAGAATCATTACGAAATGGTTCAAATCAGATTACTATCCTGCAATGTTTGGCATCCTTGTTGCCATGTCAGGTGCAGGAGGAATGCTTGCATCAGGTGCTCTTGGAATTTTCCTTGAGCACTTCAAATGGAGATATGCCTTCTACGGAGTTGGAGGAATTGGTGGATTTCTCGCTCTTATTGTTCTTATTTTCGTTCGTGGTGATCCAAGAAAGAAAGGATTTGCTCCAGTTAACGACGAAGGTGCCCCTGTTGATACTATTATCTCGTGTGGAGACAAATTATCAATGTTATGGCAAAATATCGTCACAATTTTCAAGAATTGGATGTTTTGGCCCATCACTTTATACAATATTACTTCATCATGTCCTTACATCGATATCGTTGGCCTGTGGGGAGGTCCTTACTTGATATATATTCGTAATTTTTCAAAGAAAGAGAAAGGAAACACCTTACTTGCCATTTCAATCGGAATGGTTGTTGGATCTTTAACTGTTCCTTATCTATCGAAACTTTTGAAGACGAAGAAATGGATATGTACTGGAAGTTCGTTAATTGTTCTTGTTGATTTACTGTTGTTTTTCTTTTTGGGAAACAAATTTTCCAAAATTGTGATTTGGATTTTGTTTTTAATCATCGGATACTTCACAGCACCACTTTGTAGTGTATCGTATCCACTTCGATGAGAGTATTACCCTCCAACTGCGGCTGGTTCTTCTGTTGGATGTTCTAATTTCTTTGTTTTCATGGCATCTGCTGCATATCAAGAAATATCGTCCAGACTGATACCTCTGAAAGGAATAGATAAATCATCTGGTGTCACAAAATACACTTGGGCTGGATACCAATATGGATTGTGGATGTTTTGTGCTGCATCAATTCTTTTCTCTGCAATTATCATTGCAATCACAAAGGATACAACAGCATTCCAGCCGAAGACAAACGAATCTCATTACGAAGAAATAGACCCACCAACAGAAACACCTGTTAACCAAGGCGATAAGCTCTAGAATTTATTTTGTTTATATTTTGATAAAAAAAATAGTTTAAAAAATATTTTTTTTCACGAAACGTACCTTGTAGAAGGAATTAAAATAAGAAGGCGAGATTATGTGGAGCTTATGATTGGGTTTATATGCATGAAATGAGTGTTTTTTGTAAAAAGAATGTATCTTTCTATGAAATTATTAGATGAAGAGAAAAATATTGTCACTTTTACATTGTGAAAAAATTCATCGAATCTGTTGAAACATAAAAATCACTATTTCCACCAATGGCTATTTAACAAAAACTTGTACCTGGGTTGAGTGGTATATTAAGATTGTATATTCTTAATGAGTGTTTGTATTCTTTTGTTCTGAGACTAGGTTTATTTGAAAAATTGGGTGGTACATTTTTCATGTTTTTTGGTACCGAAAAAAAAAACTGATTCTAATTAAATCATACATACATTTTTACAAAAGAGTAATAAATTTGTTATACAGCTTCCCAATCTGTTAAATCATCTTCATCATCAGTATTGAAATACTTTGTTGAGAAGTAAATTACAGGGTTCTTTGTTCTATCCCTTATATTTTTGCTGATTGGCGGTTCAATAATAGACTCGGATTCTGACTTTTCGATAATTAAATCTCTTTCATCCTCAGAATCCGAATAAGACAATGAAAAATCGCTGGAATCAGAAAATCCCATTACGTGGTCAGTATAAATCGTATTCTTCACTGGAATATTTATTTGGGTTTTCAGTGGCTCTTTTTTCGATTCAATGGCTTCATTGATTGTTTTACTTAGTATAACTGTTTGTGGGTGTGGTATCGGCTTGCTTACCTCTTTTGTTTGTTGAATGTCAATTTTTTTAACTTTCTCTTTTTCTGTCTGCGGTTTCGTAAAATCAACTTTAGAGTTAATAACATCGTCAATCTTTTGTTGCAATGCTTGACTTTCCTTGCGAGATAGCTGGATATAATCACCATCCCAAGCTCGTGATGGCCAAAATGTAGGAATAACATTTTCCTCTAATTCAACTTTGTAGTTATGAAGAGTTTGCATGTCTGAATTTGAGAGATTATTTGTGTCGATAGACTTTTTGATGATTAATGGTTCTGTTGATGCCAAATGTCCGGTTAAATATTGACGCTCATTGACTTCAATCTGAAAATGTGCAATTCTCATTGCTTGTTCTTGTTGAAGCCAATGAGGGGCAGATATTGTTCTTTTCAATTTATGAATAGGATGTGTTGGGAAATTATCACTTGGTACAACAGGATGTACATCCGAATGCGAAGCTTCAGATGGAGATGCGATTGGTGATGATGGTACTATTTCTTCTTCTTTGGTAATTTCCTCAGAAACTTCCTTGACTTCTGGTTTCGGAGTACTTTCTTTAGAAGACATCTTAAAGAAGAAGGAATCGATTGATCTTTGTTTTGTATCAGGGATCTTAGTTATTAGTTTTCCCATCGTAAAATGAATTTTTTTTGGCGCCAAATTTTGTAATGTGACATTTTGGATCATGATTTCCAGGACTAAGAAGATTATGTATTACATGTCTGTTTTAATTGTAAAATCACGATGAAAATATCAGAAAAATATAAATTACTAATTGTTCAAATATTTAATTCAAGGAAAAAGATAAAATACTTGTTGAACAAAGCATATATTATAGTACAGAAAGGGACTCCTTTTAAGCGAGCCTACTAAATCATATGATTTTGTCTTAAATTTCGCTATTTTGATGAGTGATATCTGATTCTAAATCGCCAATCCATTCTGAAAGCTTTAATTGCTCAAATATATCATCAAATTTGTCACAATCGTCATTTGGAAAACTGCTTTCTGTCTTCTTAACAGTAATGGCTTCAATTTTAGGACTATCATGACTTTTTGGATTATACATTGGTGCACTTTCTGTTTTACAATGTTTAATGGGCACTTCTCCCGTTGATAAGAATTTGAAAATCTGATTTGACGTCAAGCCCAAATCGTGAGGATATTTTTTGGATATAAGGTTATACCTGTATCTGCATTGAACATCTGTTCGGCCTTCAACTTCTTCAGCCACCCTTGCCCAAGAATGATCTCCGTACAAGGTGGTTGCTCTCAATAGAGCTTGGTCTTCTTGTTGCGTCCATTGATTTTTATTTATCAGAGGATTCAGAGATCTATTCCATTTTTGAGAACACTGTGATCTTGTCCTTGAATTTCCAACAAAATTGGTAATTTGTTTCCAATTTTCTATTCCATATATGCTAATAGCAGCAATAAGTCGTTGATCTTCCAAAGGAGACCATGCTTTGACCTTTTTGGCTAATACATCTTTGCTAATCATATTTTTTGAATAATTACGTTGTAATTGTTCTGATTTCACATGACATAAGTATTCATTAAGGATTTTAATTGGTTTATCTGTCTGGGAAATAGAGAAACATTGTTTGCATGCTTCTTGAAACGAAATCTTTTTTGTAATCAAATCAAAGAAGAGTCTTTTTACTTGATATATGGTTCCTACAGGAACTTGCATTAATGCTTGATCGTATATATACGGTGAGCTCTCATCTAATTGATCGTGCGACATTGGAGAATTTGACAAATTTTTGTATTCAATTTTAACATAAAAAAATAAAACGATTTGCACATTCTCTCTAAAATTCATTCCTCAAAGTATAGGGCTAAACTCAAAATGTATTCAATTTTTCAAATGAAATTCTGATTTGTGTGAAATGCCTTGATATGCATTTTACCTGAATTATAATTGTAATTTTTTAATTGTAAACTATTTAAAATTTATAGCAAATTATTGAAAGCATTACTTTTATGAATTGAAAGTTTTCTCTTTAGAAAAATGTATTTTACCATATTTATATATGAACTTCTCGTTTAGAATTTTTGTGAATGCTATTCATAATTTGGCTGGAATCACTTTAACTTACAATATTAGTATGAAGAGATTCATTTCGTAAAAAAGTACGTACTTCCAATTTTAAATGTTATTAGCGGTTATTTTCAATTTGTATTCTTTCAAAATTGAATTATTATAAATAATTTCACAACCTAATAAATTCTTGTTTTTCTGATTGTTCTTGTATTCTCAACATTTTCTTTTTTTAGAAAATTGAATTGGAATTTTTTCCCTACTCCTCAATTAATTCTTATATCAAAAGTATAATGTATAAATAGGCAATAAAAACAAACATTATTTTTACTTTATATTCTACTCAATGAAGAAATGCCACATGAAAATTCTGCTGAAATCACAACAGATTTCCAAGATTAGCAGGAAAGAATTGAATCTTGTGGATACTTAACATTTAAGTATCATTTAACTTTGTAGGTATTCACCTTATCTAGATCAAATGTATGTGAAGTTATCAATCTTTTGTGTTGATTTTAATTCGTTTAGAGTTGATTGTGATGTTCTTGGATTTGAAAAATGATTGACATTCACTGAAACGATTAAGACGTTGGATGATTGTACGGGATTCATCTTTAAGAGGACCGTTGTTTTCGATCTCTTCAATGCACCATGATGACATGAATAACATGTCGTTGATGAAGCAGAAGTGACAAAGAGTACCGGTAAGTAAGAATGCTGAGTGTTTGTCGTTTTCATCGAAACTTTCTTTGCAACGAATGAAGTATTTATGGAAGAATTCTTGTTCACTAAGATTTAAAAGAAATTCATCACAAAGAGGGAGACGACGAAGGAGTGTGCAGATTATAGAGATGACGTTTTTGATGTTTTCGTTGATCAATGAAATGAGAAATGGAACAAAGTTTGCGTTTTTAGGAAGAGAATCGCGTAACTCTTTGTGTTTGCAGATGCTAAGAACAATCTTAAGTGTGCATTCTGGTGTTGGAAGATTTTCAATGAGAATATCTGTGTTTTGAAGAAGACTCTTTGCTGTGTTGAAGTTGTCACAAAGTTTCATCAAAACAATACTGCATCGACTGTTTGTCTTGCAAACACAAACAAGATTGCGAAGGAATCGGATGGATGTGGACTCTTTCTCTGTCAAATCGGAGATAAGTAAGAGAGAAAGGATTGTGTCTTGGAATGTTTTGTTTGTGATGTGGTTGTTGATGCTGTCAATAGGAATCTGGTGGTTTGTTGTTGTGTCACTGATTGTAATAAGTCCTTTGTAGCATGAAAGAATTGATTCGTCTGTGTTGCATGAAGCAAGGATAGTGCAGATCTGGTTCCAGCTGTGTTTAGAGCGGTTTGTCTTGAATGTGCGTGAAAAACGGTTCAAGTATGATAAAATAGAAACGTAGTTAGGAATGAAACGTTCTTGACTGAAAAGTGATGTTTCTGAGAAAAGGAGATCCGTGACAGGCCATGGATTGTCAACAATGTTGAAACTGTGACCGTAGATGCAAAATAAAACTAAACACTTTTCTGCGTTTTGTTTGATAAGACTTTTGATGATGCTAACCATCTTGTTGTTGATGGATTGTGGAAAATAGACAAAAATGTAATACATGATGTCGAAAATATAGTCACTGAAGACTGAATTTGAATAAGGTAAACTTAAATAAAGGTTTTCGTCAACAAAGTCTTTGACACGTGATTCAATTCCGAAACATAGTTTGATGCAGTTAAGGATTTTAGATTTAATATTGTCTTCAACTTCTGGTTTCTTTAAAACTTCAACAATATGATGCAAAAACTGCTTCTGAAACTTTCGCGGGAGCATTAACGGTGCAGATTCGAGAACTTCATTGAATTTAGATGACTTAAAATCTTGACTGAAATCAACTTGAAAATCATCTTCATTCATTATGCATAGAATGTAGTTTATTTGCTTCGTTCTGTGATAATATACTCTAAATGTAAAGAAAGTATTGCATAATCTTCATAAAAATTATTAATTATAAAAAAAATTTCTAACAATTAAGGGAGTTTGTTTAGATTACTTGGCAATTTCGCATATTATGCTTGAATGGGTTACAATTGCAGGAATTACCGAGGTCGTTGGTGAGATATTGTTTAAATTTTGAAAAAATATGTACAAATTGGTTTTTTAATGAGGTTAAATTATGAACTAATCAATGAAATATCCATTTGCAATCACATATATAATGATTAAATCATAGTTTCTTATGCATGTAATAATGATATATATATAAAATCTTTACATTAATAACAATTCGTTTTCGATGTTGATCTTCAGTGACTTAATTGTGCACTGGTTTGTCACCATCGACAACACTGAGTATCTTGTGTCGAATGAAATGGATGAAATCTGTTCTCCAGCACTTGTACTCATCAACGTTTGTAGCGTCAGCGCGTTTATGATGATGAATCTCACTCCTTTGCAAAGGATGACGAGTTCGATTCCTTTGTAGGAGAAACTCGACATTATTGTTATTTTTCCGTGAATTTCCTTCTCTCCAATGTAATTTCCGTTGATATCATGCGAGAGAATGTAGTGGAGAAGTCTTCCTCCACTTACTTTTGTGCAGTAGCTGACAATGACTCCCAATGATGGTGTGATCGTGAGCAATCTGCACTGCATGTTCTTGAGGTGAATCACCTTCTGGAGTGATCCATTTTGGAGCTTCGTAATGATCAATGATCTGTCACACATTGCGCTGACAATTGATTGGAATGTGTTTGAAACTGCAGAGCAGACAACTGACTCTTTGAAGAGATGAACTGTGAAGTAAGGCAAATAATCCTTGTATATCATGTTCGAAGCGTTTTCGCTGCAGAAGGAGATGTAGTTTTCTGTATAAGAAACATTTGTTATTTCGCCAATTTCGGATATTTTTGATTCTACAATGAAAATGTCAGTCATCAAGTCGTAGATTGAAAACATCGCTGGTGAATTAAGAATTAAAACTATTGTTGACAAATTAACGAAATAGACTTTGTCGTAAGGAGGCAATTTGATTTGTTTTGTTTCAGTCAAATTTGCTTCTCCACTCAAAGTGTAATTTCCGAAGAAAATTTTGTTTTGCGACAAAATAGTGAACATCTTAGATCTGCTGTCGATGAATGAACTGACAACAGCATCATTACTGATGATTCCATCCAATTGGACGATTTCTCTTTCTTTTTGTTCTCTTTTCGTCAAACTTGTTTCTAAAACAGAAGAAAAGTTTTTGTTGATCCATTCTACAACGAAATCGATGTTGTCTTCGCTTTCCAATTCAACATGTCTTTGCGATAATATGTGGATGTCTTCATAGACTAATGGCATGCAGTATTCTTCTGGAATGCAAAATGATTTCACATCGAAATTGATTTTCTTGTTTTCTTCAATTTTCGACAAAATTTCTTTCACGTATTGTTTTGAATAAACGACATTGACGTAATGGCTGTTTATGTCTGGGAATATTGGGTAGTTTTCGATATCGTTGTAGGAATTTCCTTCGAATGAGTTCAAATACGAAATCAGTTCGAAGTTTGAGATCAAGTTTTTCTTCCATCTTTTGATTTGATTCAAATCGATTTCTTCTATCGAAATCAAGTGGTTTATTTCATAAATTTTCTTTGCGACATCTTTGTTTTCTACTTCTTTGAATCTGATTAATATCATTTCTTTCGATTTTAGCAGCAATTCCAACGAGTTGTTCTTTCTGAAAAATATTTTCGAAATCGAAGAAATTTCGATTAAATATTTCTTGTCAAAAACAATATTCGTTTCTGTGATTTCAAACTTCATTTCGAAAGTCTCTCTGATTGTAACTATCGAGCAATCACATCCAAACAATGGTTTGTAGCCTTCATTTGCTGTTTCGAACATGTTGAAATAGTTTTCTTCGTTGCAAATTTTGACAGGAACAAAACAGAAACAATTTTCTCTTATTGTCTTCATGATTTGGTGGTCACTCGATGAGTTATACCAAGGACCTCTTTCGCTGTACAACTGTTTCCATAACAATATCCATGATTGGTTACCGTAATCTTCGTAGAAATGATATTTTGTCCTCATTTTATTCATTTTTCTTTCGACTTTCATCAGCATTTCTGTTACGTCTTTGTTCAGTTTGATTGTTGTGTTTATGTTCTTTGAATTGTACTCCTTCTGCTTTTGCGTGAGTTTGTTCATGAACTCGAAAGGAGTGATCGACTCAATCAGTTCTTTCGACTCGTTTTCATCCAAAAATGGATTTTGTATCAAATTATGTTCAATTTTGTTTTTCATCGCGTGGGAGTACTGAGCGAACTGCAGGGCTTGCTTAAGGATTGGATGGTTCACGACAACGCCATTGAGTTGGCTGAAATGCTGTTTCTGGTCAATGTATTCGATTCTGTTCAAAAACGAGAAAATCATGAAATCAAAAACAGGATTAACCAAAATTTTTGTTTTCTCACTCAAACACAAAATAGAAAGAGCTATATTCGCGTCAATCCAGTCTCCTTTAGCATCAAACTTCAGTCCAAATGTGAAATGATGCTCCTTAGTCTTCATCAAACACTTGGAGAACTTGTAAATGTCAAATTCAGAATTGATAATTAAAATTTTGTCAGTTTGCTCGAAAATGGAATTTTCGTAGTAAAGAATTGGCGAAATCATGTTCGCGTGGAAGAAAATAACCTTTTCGAATATAGTATTATACAATTTAAACAGTTCTGTGTCTTTTGTTTCGTACAAATGGTTGACCATTTTTGTGACAAACAGTTCTTCCAAAAAGTGCATTTCGTTTGAAAATTCTTCGAAATTCATGTAAATAAGAACAAAAAGATCATCAATTTTCTCTTTGTATTGCTCGAACATGATGTCGAACAGTTCTAAATATTTGTATTCGCAATCAAATACAAAAACCACTTTTCACAATTTTTGAATTCAAATTTTTTCAAAAAAACCGAAAACAAATTTTTGAAAATCGTGAAATTGTTTTCGAACAAGAAAATAAACAAAGGAAGTAACTTCGGCTCGAACTTGTCCAAGATCATACTCTTGTTTTCCTGGGAGATTTCGATCTTCTGAGAAATGATATTCAGCGTGAATTTCTCTATAAATTCTTCATTCAGCAAAAACAAAATCGAAAAAACTTTCGATTGAACTTGTTCGAATTTCAGTGAATAAAGAAGAATGTATCTGAAACTTGGCAAGTAAATGATGTTTTCGTCGTATTTCAAAGAAACAAAATTAGAAACTAAGTTCAACAAATCAGATATCAAACCAAACTTGTCTTCGCCGTGTAGAATAGTAGAACACAACGTGTCGAACTGTTTCAAATCTTTGAAATAAAAAGATTCGCAGATATTCAACAAAATTTTTCTGATTTTCTGTTTTTCGGAAAAATATTGCAAAATCGAAGCAAAAATCAGTTTCATGTTGCAGAACTTGGAGAAGTAGTCGAACGAGATGGCAATGAAGTTAATCTCCCACTGCCTGTATATCTGCAACTGCGTGTCTTTGCTGATTTTGCTCAAGAAGTCGAAATTGACTAAAATTGTCTCGAAAAACAAATTTTTCAAGTTTTCTGTTTGTAAATCACAAAACAAATTGAAAAGAGAGTTGTAGTTCTTGACTGTTATTGTGTTGATCCACACCTTAGACAACAGATTGTACAAGATTGGTATTCCGTCGTTTTCCACAAACATGTTTTCGCTCTCAATCGAGTGATGCAAAACTCCTGAAATAACTTGAATTGCTGTGTCGAAAATCACTGGATATTCTCCTTTCTTGTCTTTGTAGATCATCTTGTTGTACAAAAGTAGTGGCATCAAACTCTGGCAACCGAGATTTCTCACGAAAATGTCCAAAAACGAGTTTGTTTTCTTCTGATTCAAATCTTCGAACTCTGTAACTTCCAAAATTGGTTTCAGTGGAAAATCATCTGTTTTCGTGACTCCGAAATCGTAAATGTTCTCGAGCAATTCCTTGTTGAAAGGCGGCATCAAGTGGAAGTTCGCAATTTTCAAGCTGTATTCGCCTTTGCTCTCTGTTTTGTTGTATCTGATGTCCACAGTGACTTTTTTGTTCCAGAAACTCGACTTCTTGACAATGATCAGTTCCAATGTGTTTGCGTCGACAGAGTAAACGAGTTCCAGATTGTCATTGCTCTGTTTGAATGATAAAGCCAAAAAGTGCCATGAATCATCATTTGGAATATTTTCAATCAATTTCCCTGTTGTTTCTAAGTCGTCGTTTTGTTGTTTCAGGAAAACAGTGCATTGTGAGATGAAGAAAGTCATGATCATATCAGTGTCAAAGCTCAAGTTGAACAGTATCTCTTTGTCGTAACTTTGTCTCTCAAAATTATACCAAAACGTAACAATGAAACCAGTTTTTGGCGGCGGAAGAGTGTAGTTTTTAGTGATGATCAAACACAAATTCCTAAATTATTGCAATCTGGAAAATTTATATACAAAGTTAGGGCATACTTATTGTGTGTACTTTCCGTCGGAGCGATTACACATGTAAAACGCTCAAGGTTGGAAAAGGTTCTGATATTATAATGTTAAATCTGAGACGAATGCATACTCAAGTATTTCTTTCAGTATGGTAATATTATGTATTCATTCTTGTTCTTCTAATTTGAAGAGATATGTGAATAATTTCATTTTGTATGTTACAGCGACCAAATCCAAAACAATTTCATAATTTATCCGATTTCAAGTATGTTTTCGTGTTTAAAGGAGAGAATTTATTTTTGTCACTTTTTTGTAAAATTTTTTTGATGGATGATTCAAATTTGGACTTTAGCGATCTAATATTACCGAGTTATTCACAAAGTTGGTATGAATTAGAAGATGCATTATATCATCCTGACAGAATTTCAGTCGAAGATTTTCAAAATTTAATATCAAATTTTGACGAGAAGCAATTTCCTGCAATTGAAATCATACTTATATGCGCTTCATCGGTTATTAAGTCTAAAATAGAGAAATTTGCAGAATTCTGGTCTTTATTAAACATTAAACCAGACAAATTAAACAGATATTCATATTTATACGATTATTTAACAAGTAAAGGACTTATTGAAGGTGAAAGTCAACAAACTTTCAATGAATTCTCTAAAAATGATATAAAAACTGCAATTTATAATGATGACGTCAGTTTTTTATCAGTTTTATCAATACAACCTAATTTTGGAACAATTGAAGACATGTTGTTAGTTGACTATGCAGCAGCCTGTGGCTCCTTCAACTGCTATTTTTATCTAAAGTCAGGTCAACAAAAAATTTCGAAGAAAACATTGATGGCAGCTTTGTTGGGCGGAAACGAATCAATCATTGGAGATGTTTTGGATTCTGGCATAAAATTAGAGAAGGATTTTATTAAATTTGCTGTCATTAGACATCATGACACAATTGTCAACTGGATATTGAATGAATACCAGTTCAAACTTCCTTTGATCGAAAGTTTGGAATTTTTGAAAAATCCAAGTTTAGTTTATATTGTTTTTTGTTTGAAATCAAAGCTTTGCGACTACAAGATATTCAGAAATTACGCTTATTCTATGATTTATAAAGGTTGTGACATAATAATGAGACTCTTGGTTGATTTTGGAAACTTAGAAATTCCAATTAAAACAGAAATTTTTGAATATTCTGTCAAAAAAGGTTTTCCTGATTTAACAAAATCTTTGATTGATAAATTGGACAATAAATATGATTATGCAGATCAATTCAATGTTGCTGCAAAAGAGAATCATTTGGATGTCATGAAAGTTCTCCTTCCAAAGATTGTTCAAATTGATAGATATGGAGATGATGGAACAAATCCATTGTTGAATTCCTGTGGAAATGGAAACTACGAAATGTTTATGTTTCTCATTGAAAATGGTTCTGATATAACCTTGACTGATAATGATAATAGAACTTCTCTTTCTTATGCAGTTTCAGGAAAGAACTTAGAAATTATTAAATACTTATTAGAATCAGGAATCAATATAAATACAGCTGATAAAAACGGAAAAACTCCACTGATGTATGCTGTCAAAACTAAAGATTTTGAACTAGTTAAATATCTTATATCTATTGGTGCTGAAATCAATCATATATTAGATAATGGTTTAAGTGCTGTATCACTATCTATTACTTACAGTAATTCTGATATATTCTTTTATTTGTCTAAGACATGTCATGCAAATCTGGATCATATTCTAGACAAATCATATCTTATATCAGCAGCACTGGAAGCTAAATTATTTGATGTTGCTTCTTATTTAATTGATATTGGTGTTGATGTAAATAAATGCGATAAAAATGGATTATATCCGATCTTCAAAGCAATTACTTGCAATAACATAGATATATTTAAGACTCTTTATGAAACAGTTGATGATATTTATGTCCATGCACCAAAAAATATGAATATTCTTCACTCTGCAGTTTCTCAAGGCAACAAAGAAATTGTAGAATTCATTATCTCTCAAGATTTTCCACTAAATGACAAAAACGAATCTGGAGAAACTGCGTTATACATCAGTGTAGAGAACGGATTTTATGATATAACAGAAATGCTTCTTGAGAATGGAGTAGATGTCAATGCAAAAGATTATCAAGGTTATACACCTTTAATGGCAGCTGTTAAAAGAAAAGACGAAGAAACAATTATCTTACTGATGAGATACGGAAGCGATGTAAATATTATATCCAAAAGAGGAGATACTGCTTTTTCACTTGCAAATGATGAATATATAGAATCGCTCATTAAAGGTGATTGGCTCAGACCATGTTTATTAATATAGAGTTTATAAATAAATTGTTATGATTAAAATAAAATTTTTTTTTCTTTAGTTTTCAATAACATTATTCCATTGTCTAAATTCTGATCCATATGTAATTCTTTCAGAGTTTTAAAACCAAAAGTTGGTTCTTTGCGATTAAATCTCCTTAATGGTGTAATATATGAAGTTGAAATAAAAATTAGTTAGAGTTTATGAAAGTTAGAAATAAAGAAAAAAGTTTTATAAAAAATATAAACAAAATAAAAAATAAAAATTAATCAGGATTAGTCATTTTGGCCATTACATCATCTTCGAATTCCTGGAGAATAGCAATATGATCGGCGTATTTCTTTGCACTTGCAACAATCTTTTTCCAGTGAACATTCGGAATGATTTCATTGAGTTCACCAATAGACATTGTTGAGAGTCTTTCAGCATTAGATATTCCGTTATCAAAAAGAATTCTTGCGTTTTCAGGAGTCACCCCTGGAATAGAAACTAATTCCAACAATTCCTGTTTCACGCAGAAAGACAATCTCTTTCTCATGATACTCAATTGTGCTGCAACTAAACTATATCCCATTGATTCGCAAAATCTAGTGGCCATTCCTGCAACAGCAGCAGAACTTGTCTGCAGAGATTGAACAGTTCCTCTGTCAATCTTGTATTTCTCTGCAATTTCTGTAAATGAAATTTCGTTAACTAAATCACACAAAATAGAAGAAATGTAAATTCTTTTCAATAAATTTTCTTCTTCTTTCGTTGTTTTGTTCTCGAAACCAGCTGCATTCAAAACAATCATTTTCTCAATCTCTTCTTTCGTTTTTCCTAAAATAATCATCACGCAATTCAAATGATTTCTGATAACTCTCTCAAAAATTTGTGAAGAAATTTTTGGAATCAAAATTTGAGAATTTTCATTTTTCGGACAACAAACTAACAAAATATGCAAATCATCAGTCAAACAGATTTTGTTGACCATTGAAGAAACTATTTTCGATATTTCCAATCCGTCATCAATTTTTATGTTTGCGTTTGCCAAACTTTCTCCCAATTTCGTTGTATCCAATGAGTTCTTTTGCAATAAACCTAAATCTCTCAGTTTCTGAACGTATTCTTCATCTGTTTTGTCCATAATTCCCAAAGAAATCGACTGCAAAACATACGAAAAACAGCTTTCGTCTTTTTTCGTTTTTATCTCAGGTAAAGGATTAATTATCATATCAGAGATTTCTTCAATTTCGTCATCATTAACAACACAAACAACATCTCCACTGACACCTTCTTTTCTCCCTGCGCGACCACTCATTTGTGAGAAAACGGTTTTTGTAATCAACTCCTTTTTGTTGTCACTTTTTCTATACATATCCAAAATTACTACTCTCGAAACACTTCTTATGTTTATTCCTGCACTTAGAGTTGTTGTGCAGACGATGACTTTTATCATGTTTTCTTTTGCCATTTTCTCTATGAGTTTTCTCTCTTCAATTGTCAATCCTGCGTTGTGGAAAGCAATTCTGTGAGAAATACATTCCATTAAAAACGTGTCAATTCCGTTTTGTATTTTTGAGATGTCAGAAACGGTTTGTAAATCTAAATTTTGAGGAGTGTTTTTCAGAAGTGTTTTACAAACTTTTTTTGTTTCATTCCTTGTGTTTACGAAAACCAAAACTGTCTGTTCTCTCTTACTGTTATAAAGAGGAAGAACTAATGGTAAAATTATCTCTGATTCACTCTCGATTTTTATTGTATTTATCAATCTTCTCGTATAAACAATTTCTTCTTCTTTGTCACTTTTATTTGATGCATTGAATGAAATTTTGTCACTTTTATATAAATTGTCACTTTTATATAAATTGTCACTTTTATTTGATGTACTGAATGAAGATTGATTTTTATCTGAAATAGTTAATGAGAAATTGTTTTCTGAAGAAGATGAATTAGCATTTGGACTTGAAATGAAATCAGAATTGTCAAGTCTATGTGAAGGACTTTTGTCGACAGAAAAAGAGGAGAAACTGAGAGAATCAGAAGAAAACTGGGAATAATCACTTTGGTTCTTTGTTTCGTTGTTTTCATTTTTAGTTGATGTGGTATTATCCTGTTCATGTTGTAAGTGTATAACAGTTACGTTTTCATCTCTGTTTTCTGCTGATTTCTGGAAATCTTTCATTTTTTGTCTCTCAATTTTGTACAATTTTCCTGATTTCGTGCAAATGTAAGTCTTAAGAGGTGCAATTCGTTTGTGAGAAATGAATGCGTATCCATTAATTGATTGGGCCAATCTCCTGGCATCTTCTTCGTTGAGAGTTGCAGTCAACGCGATAATTTGAGGCTGAGTTTGTAGAGATTTCAGCTTCATGAGTAAGGCTTCAGCAACAACACCTCTGCTCTCATCTCCAATCATGTGGGCTTCGTCGATGATTACGAGTTTTATGTCTTGATGATAACCTGTTTTTATGGAGTTATTTAGTATTGAATGGGCCTTCTCGTAAGTGCATATCGCTATGGATCCTGTTCTGAAGTCGCTGCCTCCTATGTTCTGGAAGAATGGTCTGACAGTGTATTTTCGAAATCTCTTCTCAAAATCGAGGAATTTTTCTGATGCAAGGGCAACAAATGGTAAGGCGTATATGATTTTAGCATGAGGATTGTCGTCAAGAAGCTGAGAAATGGCAATTTCGGCAATTAACGTTTTCCCTCCAGATGTAGGAGCAACGCAGACACATGATTTCCTTTGAGCCCAATCGTTTGTCTTGAGTAATTCTGTTTGCCATTCTCGAAGTTTCGTTATTGCTGGAGGAGGAATTCCATTGAGTAAATTGTGTTGAAAGAAAGGTGGAATTAAGAGATCGTCCATCTCAATAGTTGTTGAGTAATCTGAAATGGGGCCTCCATCATCCATACTTTCTAGTTTTATACTTTTTAACTTGTGATGAAAATCTAAAAAACGAAAAGAGGAAGTAAAAATTTCATCCCAAAAATAGTCAGAGGAACCAAAATGGCGCCAAATGAGCTTCTTCTTTGATTTGAGCGATTTCTTTATTCGAAACATGTTACACATACCCATTATAATCAAGATGTAAGACAATCTAAAGATAATACTGTTGGAATAGATCTGGCAATAATACGTTCATATGTTAGTGGGTTAAGAAGTTTTACAAATATCATAAATTCAAGTTTATTGTCTAGTTTAATCACCGATTCGTCCAATACATGAAAATTAATAATTTTGAATCGAATTTTAGAGATTATTTTGAAATTTTTAAGTGATTTGCAATTTACATTTTTAATAAAAAAGATGTATTAATATAATTTTATGTTTTTATGTGACCAATTATGTATTTTTTGAAAAAATCTATTGAAAATCAAAACTTTCATTCATAATAAATTGATTAATTTTTTTGGATAGATTACACATTACCTATATGCTCCATTCTGTACCATTTATAATGTTTAATATGTTTTTCTAGGAAATTGGAAATTTTCATATTTGAAATATGGCATTTTATCATGATTAATCCTTATGAATATAAGAATACAACTGAAACATAAAAATAGGAATTATGGTATGTTTGATATCAACAAAACAAAGAATATTAAAAAAAATATTGAAGATATTTCCATATTTATGAAAGAATTAACATAAGATTCAATTTCCAAAGCATTGTATATGAAACATCCATAGATAATATTCTTTAAAAAATCATAATGAAAAAAACTAATAAAATTACATAGGAGCTGGATAAATAGGGGCGACACCACCAGCTGGAGGTTGTTGTGGTGGATATCCCTGTTGTGGTGGGTATAGTTGTGGATAACCCTGTTGTGGTGGATATTGCTGTTGTGGATAGCCCTGCTGAGGTGGATACTGTTGAGGATATCCTTGCTGTGGTGGGTATGGTTGTGGATAGCCTGGTTGTGGTGGATATCTTTGCTGCTGTGGATACTGTTGGTATGGTTGTGGGTAGCCTTGCTGTGGTGGGTATTGCTGATAAGGAGCTGGATAGCCTGGCTGCTGGTATGGTTGTGGGTATGGCTGTGGCATCATTGGATTTCTTGCCATGTTCATGATGCTTTGGTTGAACATCTGAGCACTGTTAACCATAGCACCAAAGCCTCCAAATGCAGCTGTTGGAGGTGGAGCGTTAACGAATGGTTGAACGCCGTCAGCGGCAAGGTGGATCATTAAGTGGAGACGGCCAGCTTTCTTAACGTGCTTAGCTGGTGTTGGATCAAACCACTTATCGTAGACCTGGTTTGGTGTGAAGGAGCAAAGTGGGATCTTGAGGTGTCCGACTGGATCATCTTCAATAGCATCCTCATCCATAAGCTTGATATTCAAAGAGTCGGATGCGAAGTTTGAAACTCTGAGGTGGAAATCTTGGTTCCAGCGTGGGTTGTAATTATTTTTGATTGTTTTGCCTCTGAACTTGTGGGCATTTGAATCGAGACTGAAGATTAGATAGCAATCACAGCGTCCGAATGTGTCCATCTTTGGAAGATCCTGGGCTTCAATTGCGCGTACATGAAGATTGTAAGCCATTTTATATTAATGCTGAATTATCGTTCGTTCTCTCAAAATTGAATCCTCCGTTTATTGAAAGATTGTAAATTGGGAACTTAACCATACTTTTAGGTATACATTAAGATTCCGAAAATTTCAGGCACGGTGAAATTTTTTCAGCAGTTTTTCTGAGCTGCCAAAATTTTATCTTTCAAATGAAAATTTTTTTCGATTACATTGAATTGATATTTTGAGAAGTATGATGTGATCGTTTTTAAGCATTCATCAAATATTGCATATATATTTCTCAATTTTCAATTCCCTCAAGCCAAATTTGACGTGTAAATAAATTCTTTTTTCTGACAATAAAATTTTTACCAACCTCAAAAAGTTCCACTTCTTCCTAACAGTGGATGATCCATTTATGCGACCACTTTATATTGGATCATTGCTTGTTACAGCTAAAGGCCAGAAAAAGTTCTGAATTATGCTTTTAAAAAAACAATTTTATAATCAATTCGTATCAAATTTACATTTATATGAAAATCAAATTGCTACAATGCATCTAATCGTAACAAGTTGATATGATTACAACGTATCCACTTATTAAATTCGATATCTAACCTAATTACGAAGTTAATTCTAGTATATGAAGAATATAGTATCATATTTATCTTAAAATTCAAATAATTTATCATTTGATGCATTACATTAATACTATATACATGGTCTTTTAAGTGAAATTACATATCCACAATTTATTAAGTTCCATGTTTAGAAATACAGTTCTGATGATTAAAAATTTTAGAAATAAAAGTGAAATATTAATATTCTAATATATATACTCTTTAATATAAACAAAAAATATACAATAATATACAATATATAAGAATTATGGCTTTGGAGCATCACTTTCTTCGATAATTCTGATCTTCCTCTTGTCAAAGTATGTGTAGAAGTATAATACAATTGGGATAATTGTGTAAAAATAAGTTGAAGGAGAACAAAAGTATGTCCATGCATTATCTGCAGCATAAGCAACACAGCACCATGCAATATTTCCTATTACATTCAACAAAACCGAAATTACGATTTCAAACACATGTAACTTGGTCATGAATGGCTGATCGTACACAATTGCAACAAACCATATCATTCCTGTCATGATGAAAAGCAATGCAAGGAACAAAACCCAGAACTGAACAACAAAATAAACCAAATGTCCTTCCATATAAGCTCCCCAAATGAAAACAACGCATTTGATTTGTCTTTCAACTCTTTGAATCCAAATCGGTATAACAAATAGAATCAAAACAAAAACTAAGAGTAGAATTATAATCCAAATTGGAACTTTTCTGAATCTACAAAACACATACAAGAATGATAACAAGGAAGCCTTAAAGAAGTTCATTTCTGAGTCTGGATTATCAATATAATCATCAATTTCTTTCAATTGTGCTGGGAATAATTTCCAAAATGGTAATAACATTAACAGATAGAAGATAACAATGCCAGGTGTTACTATAAAATAGAATATTGGTATATGAATACGCAATTTTCGTTCAGTAAATCTTTTTGATTTTTCACCAACGAAAAACTCAATTTCTTCTGAATATCCATTGTTATCATACACTTCTAATGTATGTTCACCATTCTCCACGTGAACATCCAAAGAATAAAATGAATGATTTCTGTCTGTTCTATTAATAAACGTCATATTACCATATTCCTCGCCATCTATTCTCACCTTAACCCATTCATTATCTTTGACAGCTATAACCCTCACAGGGAAGTCATTGAGGTTAAAAACCGAATGTTTTGACACTTGTTTTTTGATTTGCGGATAAGTTATGAATAAACTTTGTTCTTCCATGCTATCAAAGATATGTGCATTGATTGCGCCATTGTCAACAGTATACAGTATCGCTGTACTCTTTCTTAACAGAGCTGTAGCAACGATGGATAAATATCCATCAATATGGAATAACATTGGTTCTTCTGGATGTGCATGGCCACAGATGTATAATTTTCCATCGCGAAGTAAGTCATGCAAACTGTTGCCTTTGTAGGACTTCGCTGATCTCAAGTACTGCCGTGGATAATGACATACCCAAATTGTAGATACGTTAGGTTCATATAGTTGCTCAATCATATCCATTTGAGCTTTGGCTACATATGGCATGCATCCAAGTAAAGCTGATGGAAATGGAACAGTGACTGGATTGAATAAAATTACGTTATATTTTTCGTGAGTCGTATTAAGTACAATTTTTCTTGCATAGAGATCTGTTTCGTTTTCTGATACATAGTATTTGTAGTAATTAGCTGGAGAATTAAAGCTTTTGACATTCATCAGGTCATGATTTCCTGCAATCTCAAAATACTCATGATTACCTTTGCGTATAAGTGGAAGAACAGAATTATTGTATATTTCCCAATCATCTTTGTTTGAATAGTATGCACTGAAAGGACTTGTTGAATCTGCTGAGTCTACCATATCTCCGGAATGGATAACAAGGGGTGGATTAATATTTTCCAGTAAGTGTTTGACATTTTTGGTCATTCTTTTGTTGTTTTCTTGTTTAAACTTAGAATAATGCGAATCAGAAATTTGGATAAAGTAATAAGGTATTTTTTGAGTAGAAAATGGTGTTTTTATCGTTTTAGATCTAAAAGGATTAACGAATCCAATTTCAACCGTTAATAAAACTAATGCAATCCAAAACAATGCAAAGATTGGAAATGTGCAGTGGGCTTGAAAAAGATGCCAGCTCACTTTTGGATGCATTGCATCTCTTACGCTGTCATCTGAATTGTCATTGTTCATTTTGCACGGTGGTAGATAATGAGGATAATTGAATTTATCTATTCTCAAAAAGTCAAAATACCATTGCCATACATTCAATTTTTCTATCTCACTATTAATGAAGTTTCTGCAGGGCGAATGGAAATTCAATTAATCCCGATCATTAGATTTTGAAAATTTAGTATTCAATTTTCAAGCCTGTAATTATTGCATAACTAATGATAAATAAAACTTATTTCTAACTTGATATTGGAAATTTGAAAGATTATCTCAAATCCTGTGATTTTTGATTGTGATCAAAAGTGACAATCTAGTTGGCATTTTGTATTTGGCATCAAATTTACTTGAATAAAATATGAACGATCGTCCAAATAAAAAATCGAAAAGTGACATAAATAACGATTATTGGGAACTGAGTTAACATGGATTTAATAGATCTTTGAAATGTCTATTTACTGCTAGGGTACGCAATGGTTTATATGTGTTTGTCAATGAGGATTCGATGTTTGACATCTATTGTTTACATAGTTTACACGTCAAATAAATAAATGAATATCAAGAAGTTTTAATTTCCTGGAATTCTCAGTGCCAATTGATCTTATTATTGAAGTGTTTTTTGGAAAAGGTGACCAATTCAAATATATCAATAAATTCTTTTCTGATTAAATTATTTGGGATCAACATCTTTAGAAATATTTTACTTGATCCGATGCAATTAATGATATAATACAGGAAGATTTCATAATGATAATTTTTATTGAATAAACAAGTATTATGATGCATTTTCATTACTTGGAATGGATGAAAATCAAGGAGTTGAAAAACAAAATGAAGGAATCATCAGGTTTCTAATTCACCATTTTATCACAATTTTAGAAAGATTCAATACTTGTTTGAGTATGAGGCTTATATGAAAATAATGAATTACTATTCATAACTTAAAATTATATAAATATCTTAAATTCTTAAATTTCATGATATTGGTATTAATACAAAAGCAAGAGATAGAAACACTCTGCTTCAACATGCAGTAGGAAAATTGCCCAATCAGGAAGCTGTTTAATTTCTTCTATAAAAGGAACCACTATCAATGCAACAGATATTCAAGGAATTTCTGTTCTTCAATAGGCAGCATGAAATCTTGTTAAAGATTTGATAAGGACTGCTATTAAACATGGGGCTGATGCCAACACAAGAAATAATGAAAGGAGAGAACCTCTTTATTGACAATTCAGAAATTACAAACTTATTACTTAAAAGCCATTCTGAATCTAAGGGCAGAATATTTTTTGTCAAATGAAAATCATGTGAGACCTCTGGCTCCTATCCAATGGAGGACAAATGTTGATTAATATATTGTTGGTGTACATCCAAAATCATTCCAACACAACTGTTATTTTTGGAGTACTTTTCATAGTGATAAATATCTTAATCATTATTGACACAGATTCTATACTTATTGATCAATATAGTAAACAAATAAGTTTAAACTCGGTATATTAAATATTTTATTCAGATTTAATGAAAAAAAACAAAATCAATATAATACCTTTTTTTTGAAAAATTTCACCATCTTCCTTCTACGAGCTAACCTGTTTGGATTATTTTTATTTTCCAATATATAATTTTTCAAACTCATGCTTGATTTGATGTAATAATTCAAACCATAGTTTAGTTATTTTGTTTACATGATCGTATAAGCCAATATGTTTGTAATCATTTTCCAACAAAATTTTGTCTTTTAATCTAATTTGTAAATTCAGATAAATGCTTTAATCAGTTTTAGGAGCTAATTTTATCTATAATAGAAATTAAAGCAAACTTAACACATTAATTTATTATTTCTATGAAAATAAAACCACTTCAAGGGTGTGAGCTTTAAATTTCCGTAATAATTGTGATCTTGGAGCTTGCTGTATACCATAGAAATTAATTCATCAAAATGAAACAGCTAAATAATTACGAGAATTTCTGTTGTCATTCAAATATTTTCTTCCTTGAAACATTAAAAATTGAATGAAACAGTTTTTTATTGGTGTTAAAAAAATGAAAGGACATCATCATAGCTTTGTTATATTTCAATCCAATTTATTCTGCCTTTGATATAAAAGTTCTATAAAATTGATATATCACAGAGTTCCTCTAAGGCACTCATAATACAGGCGTGAAATTGAAAACTCTTCAGAAAATCTGGTCTCAAATTTATTTTCCGATAAAATTTTGTTCGGATTCACAATATTTTGACAGAACATAAAAATAACCTGAAAATCTAAAATATCCCTGAGACGTAATAACATAAGGAGGGTATTTGAATTTTTGAATATTCCCTGAATAACAAGTTTCTTTTGTCGGAATATTAAAAGTTGCATATAATTAATGAATTTTTCTCAGTTTACACAAAATATCCGCATCATATTGATGGAAAGTGCAATAGATTTACTTGTAAAAAGGAAAAAGCCGCAAAAAAATTAATTGAAAATCATATTTGTTTCAAGTTTCAAGAAGTTTAATAACCGTGTGAATACGAACAAATTGCATTAACAAATATTTAAATAGTGAATTTATTTAAATGCAAGAGATATTAGCATATATTTTAATTTTTTTCGAAAACATTAAGTAAAGAGATTTAATGCAACTAAAATACATCAACATAATTTACTTTTATGTTCTATCATTAAGAATATACTAGTTCATTAAAGAAATATATATTTTAGAAAAAAATTCATGGATTAAGCTTTAAGAAACATACAAACTTCAGACAAATGAAATCACTTGATAGAATTGATTACCGCTATTAAAGTTTTCACGCCCGTCACCATGTTCTAGCATATGTTAAATTACATTTCCGTGAAAACTCAGAAAAGAGCAATAATTCTGTCTAATGGTGGTTAATCAATTGAGATATATCTGAAATATCAATTTCGTACCCCTTTTGGAAATCCTTTTTCTGAACAAATCTTTCATATCCTAATTTAACGCCAGATTGTTCATTTTCCACGTTTATATATGGATAAATTACCTCCCAATTTTCAGCATACCAGCAAATTAAGGCTTGTTTGCTTCTTCTTGCAAGCCGATCAACCTCAATTTGAAGTTTTTTCTCCATTTCTTCAGCCTGAGGAAGCAGCATGAAAACTGTGGCATGGGTACCATACAAGTAATCTAGGTAAGCAGAGACGTAATCCACTTTGATTCCTAATTTTGATATTCTGTTCATAAGCTGCTCATGGTCTCTAATGGCCTGTGATGTCGTACGTCGATGCTTGTTAATTGAGCGGGCCTTTATTATGTCTCTTTGGGTACGTTCACTTATACGTTCCATTTGAAGTGAATATTTTTAAATGCACCACAAACTAAAATTGAAAGAACAAATAATTGAATTGAAAGAACCCAAAAGTAGTTGATAAAATAATCTTTGGTGTTTTTCAACTGTGATTAGGTTCAACAGAAAAAGAGATAAGAATTAGAAATTGTGAAGTAACAATTTTTTCAAGTCTTTTGTTTGCGTTTTTGAAAAGCAAATTTGCAAGGTCTGAATCAATTTATTGATAGAAATATCTTGTTGTAAGTCGAATCTGGCATAGTTTTAAAAAAATATATTATTAATTTGCACAAACTGTAATTTTTTCCCCTTCAATTTATGACTATTTGGTTGGATTCTTAAATGATGTTCCTTTGATTAAACCATGGTCTATAGAAATATTCTTTTAAAAGAAAATTTTTTTATTAAATTTAATTTACAGGCTTCTTGGATGTTGATTATTATTTTCGGCACAACTGGTCAGTGGTGAATTTATTTATGTAGAGATTATGAATTAAACAGAATTTTCTGGAAAAACAATAATTTTAAATAAAAAAATATCGTAATCTATGTATTGTAGCAATATCAGGATATGAGAAATGTCATGCATATTATAAACATTATTATTTGAAGAAATTAAGATTTTAGAGATAAAATCAATTTTTATAAAGAGATTATATCAATATAATATGAATACTAACGTACTGATAGATTGACTAACTTTTATCTGATCTATTCCACTTCATTAAAAGAATGGATGCTTGAATTTAGACAATAATAAAATTTGCTTTTAAATTTTGTGGATACTTTGAAATTTTTGAAAGCGTTTCAGCGAGGATTAAAAACATAAATAATCATTATTACTTTTCGTATAAGTATTAGAGACAATAATTGAGAAAAAAGTAATCGAACTTCTAAAATCAAATCGTTAAAGAACAAAATATGAAATTATAGATAATTACTGATGATTAATAATAATTTGATGTTTATTTCTAAAAGTAGTCATATTCTCAAATTATTGAATGCGTCTCAATTTCATAATACCGATTGAGTACATAATTCAAAAAATAAAATAAACCGCTTGAGGTCAGAAATTGAATATTTTCCTTTTTCTGAAGTAAATAATCAAACTACTTCAAAATAAAAGGGTTATTATGAGATTTTAGTATCCATATCGTTCGTTATTGAAGGGAATTTCAAAATAATCAAATGATTTTCATCAAATTTTTTAATTTTAATAAAAATTATAAAAACTTTGTATTTTCGCTGCATGTTGCATGTATTATTCAGTCCAAGCCTGGAAAGTATTCAGATTGATTTTTTTTATTTTGAATTTGATGATTTTTTGTAAGCTTTTGAACCAAATTTTATCCACGATATTCAACTACACACTTGACATTGCTAAGTATTTCCGCTTATTTTTCATGATATAGCATTCGGAATTTTAAAATTTGAAAGTAAAATTGTGAATAAATTGAAATAGAAAACTTTCATTGTGTTTCCACAATCATATTAATTTGCTGATTGGAATATTATATTTTTATAATTTTAATTATGATTTGAAAATGAAGTTTAAATCATTTTAATTCTTCTCTAAAATGGTATGATATAAAATCACGATAGTAAGTTGAATAATTTAAAAACTGCCTCACGCCTGCTACACAACTCAATTAATTATTTTTTGAAAGGATTTACGATTTGAGAGCGAATTTTCTTTATTCTGAAATAACAAAAAAAATTTGAAATAGAAAGATAAAAAAGCTAATGCATATTAAGTAGCTGGGATAAATCTGAAATATCAATTTCAGGAGAACTCCTAACTTGGGATAATTTTAATTTCTTTTTCTCTTTTGTTTGATTCAAAAATGGTAGAATTATTTCCCAGTTTTCGGCAAACCAGCATAGAAGCGCTTGCCTGTTTCGTTTGGCAAGTCTATCAACTTCGATTGATAAATTTTCCTCGATTATTGCTGCTTGTGAAAGCAGTATTATTGAGGTTGCATGCTGGCCAAACATGTTTTCAAGATAAGCTGTAACAATGTCCATTTTAATACCAATTTTTGTAATTCGGACCTTGAGTCTTTCGTAGTCCCGAATTGAGTTGGCCGTAGTTCTGAAGTGCTTATTTACGTAGCGGGCATTTAAGATGTCTTTCCGGAGCTTATCATTTCTTTCAATCTCTTTTTGCATCTCTTACTTGAAGTGAAAAACATTGAGAGAATTGAATACATTATTTTCTACATTGATTTTTATGAATGTATTCAATATTTTGAAAAAGAAAATGAAGTTTGTCTCAATATGAAAAGATTTTATATTACACATAGCATGGATATTAGATAGAGGAACATCCATATTATCTTCTAATGTTACAAAGATTGAAAGTAATTCAGAAAATGTAATAAATTAGGGACAACTTTCTACAAAATATATTCCGATGAATTAATATAATCGATGAACATAAATTTTAAAAGAAAAAACATAATTTTTTAAAATTTTTTGATATTGAGAAGACACACTCAATTTATTAACTGCATCCGTCAAGCGAGATAAAATAAATTTTGTATTTCTTAATATGTAAATATAGTGTAGCATGAGAGATTTTGAACGCACTATTCAAAAATTTCTGGACTAACGAAAATGCTTTCAAAAAAATTGGTGAGAAAAAACATAAAGAATTAAAACTGTACATTATTTTTAGCTTATTTGATTTTGCCGATAAAAAATATTTTTTGTTCCAACATTTCCCTTCAAAAATAAAATTATGTCATTTCTTAGAAATGATTATTCTCCAATACAATATGTTTTATATGAGATATGGAAATTTAATTTTTTTTAAAAAAAGACTTATCGATCATGATTTATTCACTATAATTCTTTTATTGCTAATCACATCTTTTAATTATTCATTTTAAGATTGATTTAAGCATTAACATTTGCATTTTATTGCAAATTTAACTTTATGATAGTATTATCCTTTCAGGTGAAACTTTATTTTGCTAAATTATTAATCTCACCAAACTGTGTATGTTTTGTATATATGCTAAACCAAATTTTAAAATTCAATTTTTTTTTTACCAAAATTGCTGAAAATAAATGCTATACTATGTGTAATCATATACCATATTTCTGATCGCGTCATCAAATAATTGCATAATATTTATTTTTTCTATGTGGCATTCGAGACAAAAATAAGAATCCTCTGATTTTAAATATCAACATATTATCATATTATGTTTGTCATTCAACAAAAAACATAACCATAATTATTAACCTTAAAATCGTACGAAAATAGATTCCATTCGATAAACCACCTATTCAAATAAATTTGATCATGGCAACTGATTTGGGTTAGATTTGAAAACTATTTGCCATACTTTAAGCTTCAGAAATATTAATAAGTAACTATAAATAACGAAGTGGAAGAATACTCTGCTGACGGTAAAACTCTTACTAGTTCAACCAATAGTGTCAATGTTAACATCAAAGTTAACTGCGAAATTATCTATGGACAATCCAAAGACACAAAATGTCTTAATTCTGCATTCACAGGAAGTGCTGGGACCCTCACAACAGTTAATTTTCCTATTGGATCGAAACTTAAGACCATTAATGATTGCGCTTTTTATTCTTGTTAAAAACTTCAGGCAATCGACTTTTCAAATTGTCAGTATTTGACTACCATTGGGAAATTTGCATTTTCTGATTGTAAAAAAATTTCATCGATTACATTACCCACAAATCTTGAATCATTAGAAAGGGGAACATTTGCAACCAATGAACTCATCACATCAATTACAATTCCAAGTAGAGTCCAAGCAATAAAGTATGGTTGTTTTCAAAATTGTAAAAACTTACAATATGTCACAATCCCTGAAGATTCTTTATTAAATTCAATAGAAACATATGCCTTTGGATTTACAAATGTTCAAACATTAAATTTACCAGCTTCAATTAGAAATTTTCAAAGTGATGCTGCCTCAGGAAATCCTGTTCTCAGATATATCTCAGTTTCCAATTCTAACGAATATTATGTCTCAGATAATGGAGTTTTATTCAGTATCGATCTAACAACAATAGTTTTAGTACCCCCTGCATATTCAACAACTTTTTCAATTCCATCAACGGTGACATCAGTAGGTTATAGTGCATTCTACCAATTCAGAGGAAGTTCAATTCTCATGAATGAAGGGATCACAAATTTGGCTAGCTGGTCGATAAGTAGATCTTTAATAACATCAATAACTCTGCCAAACAGTTTAGTTTCCATTTATGGAAGTGCATTCTATGAATGCAAACAATTAACCGTGGTAAATTTTGGTAATTCATTAAAAAGTATTGGAGACAATTGCTTTTATTCCGGTGCTGTATCAAATATTAATTTACCAGAAGGTCTTACCTCTATCTCAGCTAGCGCTTTTGCATATTGCAATAAATTATCATTAATATACTTCCCATCTACAATTGAATCGATAGGTGGAGGTGTACTGTCAGGAACAAAAGTGACCTCAATTGAATTTGGAAAAGGGTCGAAATTCAACTTGGATACACAACAAATATTATTTGATAATGCCAAACAAAATCTAATCTAATATTTAGGGGATCTAGAAAATATTACTATTCCAAATACAGTCATAACAATAAAAGAATCAGCTTTCGAGTATCTCAATATCAAAAGCATTAAATTCGAGCAAAATAGTGTCATTAAAAATATTGAAAAATTTGCATTTCAATATTGAAGGCTCTTGGAATCAATAGAATTTCCTTCAACATTGGAAACAATAGGTAATTCAGCTTTTCTTCAATGTAAAAATTTGCTTCGGGTTCATTTTCCAAGTAAATTGATATGGATTGATTATGCAGGGTTTTATTCATGTTCTTCATTAATATCAGTGATTTTCGATGGACATGATCAAGAAAAATATTATGACCTATATTCTAGTGTTTTTAGTAGCTGTGTGAACCTTGTAGAATTGCAATTGAATTATGGTCTTCGAATGATAAATGACTATTGTTTTGCATATTGCAATAATCTCGAAAATATCAATTTACCTTCTTCGGTTTCAACTGTTGGTATTTATGCATTCACAGATACAAAAATCAAATCAATGAAATTTGATAAAAATTGTACTATACAGAACTTTGGTAGTTTTGCATTCGCTGGTGCCACATATTTAGAAACAATTAATATTCCAACTACTGTTCAGAGCTTAGGAGATAATCTTTTTCAAAGTACAAAAATTAGCCAATTCATTGTACCAAATTTAGTTGAAAATATTTCTAACTATTGTTTCAAAGATTGTTCTCTTTTGAAGACTTTTATAATTCCAGATAATTGTAGCTTGCAAAGTATTGGTTTTGGGTGTTTCCAAGGCTGCAGAAATCTTTCTTCATTTGTTTGCCAGGATAAGAGATACTTTGAAGTTGATAATGGTGCTCTATTTAATAGTGGAAGAAGTAATTTGATCTGCTTCCCTCCTGCTTCAAGTATCAAGCACTTTTGCTTCTCTCAGAATGTCAACAGAATTGCAGTTTGTGCGTTTCTCGATTGCATCAATATTGAATCAATTGCAATACCGGATAACTCTGTTGTTTCAATTGGAGCGCAAGCATTTGCATACTGCATCAATCTGAAAAGTATAAATATTCCGTTATATGTAACAACCGTTGATGCTAATGCGTTTTTGGGCTGTAAAAATTTAAATTGTGGCGTTCTGATTGACAGTAAGAATAAAGATTTTATTAAAAACCTGATTACTACAGGTGGTCTTTCGTATTCAGCCACAAAAGCATGCGGAATAATTACATGTTTTCAAAGAGTAACTGATGTATCAAGAATTGGCTATTCTTCCATAGCTGTATTTATAATGATGTAATAAATAATTTCTTATATTTTATATTCTTGAATTTTTTGGCTGAGACATAGAATTTCTTAATGAATGTTGAAACTGAAAGTATCAAATCTTGATGTTATAAAAAAAAAATTATCAAAATAATAATCAATCTGATGAAAATATATGTAGAGGGGCTCTTTTTAATATGTTAATATGTTACTTTAGTAAATATCATTGAATAAGAAAAAACATTTTTATTTAACATTGGATTTTATTAATTTAGGTAAAAATGACAATAAGTATTATATATAATATCAAATATGTTTTCATAACCTAGTCATCTGCATTCAAAATAAAAATCGAAAACAATATTTTGATATTTAAGGTTACCAATAGGTGAAACAAGGGTCTGACGATGATGTTTCTCAATTATACGAAGCATATGAAGAGATTTCCGACTTTAAAGCAATTATGAATTTAGAATTTGCCAAAAACTTGTTTTTATTCATTGTAAATATATTCATTATATGCTTGAGGCTTATAATATGCATTATGTCACAGTGACATTCTTATGAAAAGCATGATAAATTAAGTTATAATCGCTCGAATCTTTTTTTTTAAATAGAGAACTCTCTCACAAATTTTGAGAGTGTATGACCATCTAACTTAACCTTTTACAATTTGGATATAATTTTCCAATATTCATCTGTAATTTTGTGTCTGTATAAGGATGTCAATTTGGAAGAAAAGTGAGAAAATTCCTAAAATGCTAAAAATGAATTTTCCAAACGTGCTTTTTTATCTCATTTTTTTGATTTTGAAAAAAATTTGGAGAGAAGAACTCTTCGTTTTTGAATTTTATCACGATGGTTTTAAAGTATATTAGACACATGTATTGATATTACTATTTTTGTATATTTTGAGAGAAAATCCCTAAAAAGTGAGAAAATCTAAGACGGTTTGAGAAAATATATAAACTATTGAAAATTTGAATTAAACTTCTAATTTGGAAAAAAGAAATTTGGAAAGAAGAAAAATCAAAAATCGAGATTTAGACTCAGCATCAAATGGAGAACAAAATGTTTCTTCATATGAAGGGAAAAAATTTTCTTGTGAACAAATAGAGTTTTTAAAATTTTATTGTATGTAATGAAATAAACAAATATTAAAATTATTTTTTGATAACAAGAAAATTCCCAACAGAAAATATTTGAGACAAAGAAAAAAAGAAAATTGAAAAATATTACTCTCCTTTATATTTCATGAGATTTTAAATTTATTCTCATAAAATTGACAATTTTATACGTTTAGATGAAAATAATTGATTTTGCTTGAAATAAAAATTATTGTTTGCTTACAGCTATCAAATAGATTTTTGCTATTTTGATTAAAATTTGTTAATCAAATTAATAAATTTTTTGTAAATATCTTAAATATCTGGATCACTCACTGATACAATGAATTGAACGATAAAAATAATACAAACTCAACTAAGTTTCCTGTCTTTCAACTAAAAAAAATTATGCAAATTAAATTACCCAGATTTGCTTTACTTTTACCACTCCCCATGTAATTTCTGGGGAAAACGATAATTCATTTTTTTTATGGATGAATAGATCGTTTTCCTAGAAAGGACCTCATATCTCTGGCTAAAAAGAGTGTCAGATCCTAAATAGATTATTGATCTAGTGTACAAATCCAATAAAAAGCCTATTTTTTTGGCTTTTTTGGTGCTCATTTTTTCGAAGATCTACATGAATATGGGGAAACCATCGGATTTTTTTGGTTAACCCACATCTTCATGTAGTCTGGACTATCTTTCCTCGAAGGACCTCTTTACGGGTGTAAAAACTCATAAAGTTCTCAAAAGATTCATTCTCGATCTCCATGCTGAAAGAATTTACAATAAAAAAGAGATCTACGCATCAAACTACAGCCATAAATGAACTGAACCCCTAAAGCTCAGCTCTTAGTTTATCAAAAACGTCGAAATCCTTCTCATTGCAATCAAATTTTCTCAATAACTCATAAGAAAAATCGAATTTTGATTAAGCCGATGTTATAGGTATCACAAATACTACAAACTTGAGCAATATCGAAATTGCCAGCAAAAGTTTGAAATTGCATTGCTCATATTTGTTTTGTAAACTAAAAATCTGCTTATATTATTCATTAATTTTTTATATATTATTCATATACTTTAATAAAAACAATACTATTTCACCTTAAAAATGAATTTCATAAGTCAATATTATTTTTTTGAAAATGTATCAATTTTCGATTAAAACAACATGAGAATAAAATTTACGCAAAATTATTTTAAAAAATGGTTTTAAAAATTTACAATTGATGAAGAATAAGATTGCAAGAAGTTTTGAAGTTTAATTTTAAGAAAAAAAATTCGGATATTATTCATGGATCTAAGTAATCTGATATTTGAGTATCGGCACTATGCATAAAACATATATTTATAGTTTTTTTGGATTTTTATGATTTTAAATATATTCAAATTTGGCAATCCAATAGATTTTTAAAAAATAGGTAAATAAAAATAGATTACATATGCAGCAGATTTAGAACATGAAACAAATCTTATAGTGACCCAAAAAAAAATTCATGATCCAAAAAAGAAAAAAATTGGCTAAATAGGAATCAAACCTTGGCATAACGAATCATTATGTCGGATGTTTCCACTACACTACACCGGCAGTTCGAAAAATACCCTTGGTGGTTCTATTTAATAGCTACTCCCAACGATAGGCGGTGTCCCCAGCTTTCGAGAGGTGGTAAAAGTAAAGCAAATCTGGGTAAATTGTTTATTCAAATATTAAACAAAGATAAAGTAATTACAGTTATCATAAACTTTATGAATAACTCTGTAATTGGTTCAGATTTTCGTAAAAATATTTTTATTAATATCGATAAAAATACGTTTACCTACTATCACAACATATCGATAAACAAGAGTAGAGTGATTTTTATCATCGAAACTTTTTAAAAGCTGTAAGCTGGAAGTAAAAATCTTGTTTTTTCTGAGTTAGTTGTAGAACTATTGATGCACGAGTTATCATTGTGATGTAGAAGGATGTCAATGTACTGACTGAAGGATATGAAGTGAATTGAATTTCATTGAATTTCAATTTGATCAAAATTTGTTCAAATGATATGAATGTGTCAACATCTGTATCACTCTCTTTCACTCCTTCCCTATTTTTTCGAGAACGAAGCTAGCTCAGCTTTCGCTGAGCGAATTGACACTTTTGATGCCCCAAACGTACATACTCTCAAATTTATCGAAAAAAATTATACCACCTAAACTAGTATATTCTTATTTTAAATATGATATTATCCTTAGAATCTACACTAGAATATATTTAAATCAACTTTTAAAAAAAGTTCGAATCCTGCGCGTCTCACTTTTTAAATTTTCCAAAAGGAAAATTATATTCTCCTAAAATGAAAACAATTTTCCGAATTGACATCCTTAAGTCTGTATTTGCGTTCTCTGTAAATTTCAAAAATGATCCGGATTTGAAAAAATTTGTCAAATTGTATGTTACCTCTTGATTTAAATTCTTTTTTAAGGCGATGGTGCATTGTGGGAATTTTAATGGGATCCACGTTATCAACCATCATAGGTACCATTCTTACGAAGCAGCAATCATATTATTACGTATGCGGCGAAAAAAAATATCAAACGTATCAGTCGACTTGTTTCGTTTTAATAACAATGTCATTAGCGATGATGACAGGAATCCCAATATCGCTTATATTCAAAAGGGTTCAAGAAAATCAAGCACAATTACCAATCCCGAAAAAAATATTACTTATGCTTCCTTTAGTTTCTATATTTGATATTCTCGAATCATTCATTACAATGTTCTTAATCAATGGAATCAACGCATACTATACATCTATCACTTCCATCATGGTAATTATTACTTTAATTATTTTCCGCTATAAATTCTTAAATAAAGAGATGTACGCTTACATGTGGGTATCCGTTGTACTTGCTCTCTGTTCCATTATCTGTGTTGCCATTCCTGCAATCATTACGAACGAAGCTGCGATTAAAAGTGCCAAAGTAATTGTCACAGTTATTTTCATTTGTATTCTCGATGTAGTTTTACGTGCAGGCCAAATTACGTTAGAAGAGTATATCCTGCACAACTCTGATATGAATCCAGAGATGTTTACAGGCATTGAAGGCTGCTGCAATTTACTTTTAGTTCTTTTCATTTTTTGTCCGATTGTTCACGTCATTCCATTGAAAGATGTCCAGGAGAGTGTTTGTCAAACAGCTTTATTGATTATACACTCGAGGACACTTATTTTTACTGTTTTTATTCACTTCATCATCCTTGGATTATTTAATTTCTGCAGAATCAGATTTATTTTGTACACGAACGCTTTGTCCTTCAGTTTGTACAAGTTACTTGCTGAACCTTTGAAAGCAATGCATAATATAATAACTGTTTTGGTACCAAGTTATCTTTTGTACCAATATCATGAAAGAAATGAAATTGTTCTTTCTATTGTTTTCAACACTATTTCGGCAATTTTCATTGTTATTTCACTGATGCTAGCATCTGAAATTGTTAGGATACCTTGTTCGAAGTATCCTGAAGTTGATAAGTTTGTTATACCTATGAAAAAAATCGAAGATAATCATGAATGAATTATATTTCATTTCATATATGTTTTTATTTGTGCATAAATCTAATAAACGTAACATGTATATTCTATATTAGAAAATTACTTTATATTACCCAATCAAAACAAATCCGAAAAAAAATTAGAAATTCTATTCGAACTTTGAAATGTATTTTTTACCTAAAAATCATTGTGTAATAGGCCTGTAAATCCGATAATGTTAAATAATGACATTATGAAAATATAAAATCATCAATTACAGTTATTTCTAAATAAGGTTTGATATCCTGTTGCATGCTAAGTTCGGTCAACGATAGAAATTGAGTGGAAATTAATCGTCGAGGAAGTACGATTATGTAAAGTAAAAAAATGTTGTGGGATTTTTAATATTATATATTATTTTATAATAAAATTTTTTTGAGTCATTTTAAGAAGCACATATAATTTTTTGAATTTAAAAATTAAAGTAGTGTCAAACGAATTTATCACTTAATTTAATACTCAGATTTCTTAAAATTAATGAAAAAAAGGTTTTCTGAGAACTTTTGAGAATGGTTTTCAAATTCCATTATTGAAAATATATAGGTATTGTATGAAATTCAAACTCTATATTTATTAAAATTCTAAATTTTTAATAAAATAACTTTTCAGAGGAATATGATTTTGAACGGTTGATTAATAAGTATAAAAATGTCTACGATTTTAAGGAGGGAATTGTTCCTTATGAGGTATACATCATAACTATATACCTCATAAGGAACAATTCCCTCTTGATAGCTGGGAAACTTTCTCTGAATAACTTATCATTTGGAGAAAGTTTCCCAGCTATCTATTAGAAACTAAAGGCTGTGAGGCACTAATATATAATCAATGCCTCATAGCCTTTAGTTTGTTATTAAAAACGAGAAAACTTGTTCGAAATGATAAACAATTTCGAACAAGTTTTCTCATTTTAAGGAGGGAATTGTTCCTTATGAGGTATACATCATAACTATATACCTCATAAGGAACAATTCCCTCTTGATATCCTGGATATTTTTGAATATATTTTTTTAATTAAAGTTCTCAAAAGTATTATCAAAAGTGATTTTTTAAAAATATCTCCAATTAATTAACTAACTAATTAAAAGTATTATATTTTTAAAATTAAATAGTTTTTCAATTTTTTGAAGGAATTGAGATACTTCCCACGACAATAAAATTGAGAGGTTTACATTATGACTGATCTTAGCATGCAACAATCCTGATATTCAAAATCATAAATGTATATATATTGATATGTAACATTATAAGCACACCCAAAAAAACGAAATTACAAGTAGTATATGAATGCGGGTTGTGTGACTTTTTTTGTAATCGTAAGAATTCTCACATAATTGAATGATTTTTGAACATACTTCCGAATAGCAGATTTTAAAAATTTATGAATAATTTATAAAAAGTTTTTATTCCTACAATTCCTATATTACCATTAATTAAAAAATATATTTTTGACGAAGTGAAGATTCGCACTTCGTCACAAAACTCCGAAAAAATAAATAAACTAGCAGAAGTTGCATTTAATAATGAAATATTTGATGAATATAACCTTGAACTCAGTGATGGGCTTTAAGGACCCGGGCTCAACGAGTCATGATTTATGAAATCAATAATTTGATTTATTCGCTCTTCAATAATTTCTATTCTTTTTGTTAAATCATCTATTTTCATTAATGAGGTGATTCTTGATTGAGGAATAGATTTCAAACTAACCACCCCCTTTATTTTTGAAATTTTGAATCCATCAACTTTAAACATTTTATTCAATTTACACGTTGTCAATTCTTCAAATAATTTTTTATTATTAGCATAATAGTCATTAAATTCTTCAACAGATGAAAAAAATTTTATTTCAGTAATTGGTTTAACAATGTTTATTTTTTGTTGAACATTTTCACTTTCATTTATTTCTTCCTCCTCTGTCTCTCATTTATTTTAAAATTGGTTTCATTTATCATTAAATAAAAATTTAGAATATAAGTGATGAAATATATTTTTTAATTAATATTAAATCAGAAATGGCGGCAGGATTCTTTAAAAAATTATGGGATGGAATTAAGAAAGCTGCGGGTTGGGTTCATAAAAATATTATTAAACCTGTAGCAAACTTTTTGGCACCAGTAGCGAAAACGGCAGGAACTATCATAGGTGGAGTATTAGGTACTAAAGCAGGTAATCCGGCGATGGGAGCACAAGCAGGTAACGCAATTGGTGGAATAGCTGAAGGAATACTTAATAAAATAGGAGGTAGATAGTGGAAAAATAAATAAATATTATTTTTATCTTAGTATCGGTTGAAGTCTTTGATAAACTTTTTCTCCTTTATTTAATATTTCTCTTATTGGGGCAGCTTTTGGCGTTATTGATTTCAGCAACGTCACTAATTGCTTCTTTATTCTTAAATATCCAATTTGCTCCTTTCTTCATTGTTTCCCAAACTTTATGCGCTCCTCTTTTTACTTTATCCCATAATTTTTTAAAGAATCCTGCAGCCATAGTTGATTATTTCATTAAAATTAAAAATTCATTTTCATCATCTTTTAATTTTTGATTTTTATTTTATTAATAAATGACGACTAACTATTTGGTGCCAAACACTAAACCAATTAATGGAAATGTGTTTCATTCATTCGAAAAGATAAATGAAATATTCGCAAAGAATGACGGTAAGATATTATAGAGAACTTGAAAGTTCATGCTATGACTCTGATGCTCCATATTTTGATGATAAACAAACTCATTTAAGAATTACAAATCCGGCTCATGATGTAAATCAATTAGGTGACACATATATTAACGCAAAGTTAAAGCAAACTCTAGTTTCAAATAAAGCTTTCACATGTGATGCCGCTTTTAAATGCATGCGTTTATTCGTTGGTTACAAATCATCAAATCAAAGCTTTAAACAATTAGAAGTAGAAACCGAAAGAGGTGATGCTGGTTATCTTCAGATGGATTGCGCCCGTGAATCTTTCGCATTTGCAACATATAAACCAAAATCAGAAAGGAAAGTTAAAAAGTTTGTTCATTCGTTATATAATAATGTTTCAAAAATATGATAACTCAGTATGTGGTAAATATATTGACCCTTCAGAAGTTTTCAAGAAAGCAAATGAAGAAGTTGATGTCACTTTTGATATGATTATTCCGGTAAATGATTTGTTAGCATTTCAGGCGTTCGATGATTATCCTAAATCATTTGGTGAAATCATTCTTAAATATTATGTTTTCAGGGATACTTTAGTATTTTGTCAGGTTGACCCGTTAAGAGTTGCTGATTTACAAAATTACGTTTATGAAAAGATAACTGATGAAAATTATGAAAAGATTATGAATCATGTTTATAAATATGATCGCAAATTCCAACAAATCGGACTTCCTGCCAAATTAATTACAAGCTTAGCCGATACATCTGCTAACGCAACAGTTGATAACGTTATTATTTCATGCACAAAGATGGAAGTTTTAGAGGATAAATGCATTACAACACCAGATACGGTTTAATTGAAGAATCAGTTAAAGCAATACCACGTTTATTCAGTAAGGAAGATCCATTCATGATTCCAGCTCAACATATTGACGTTCGTTCACTAAATGGAGTTGCAATCACTCCTGAAGGTATCAGCTCAGATTTCTCATACGCTCTTCATAATGTTACAGATGTTGTGTTAACATTTCCGAAGAATGCAATGCAAGAACAGTTTTAGAAAATCCAATGCTTCGAGGTCTTCAGGTCACTATAGATTCCAGAAACTTCCCCGATCAAGCGATGACCACAGTGGGTGACATATTCTTTACACGTATGCTTCAAGCTTCTGATTTAGATGGAGTGAATGAATGCACAGAAGAATTACGAGGACTTCATTAACTAGACCACTGAATGATGATAATGGCACGCCATTAGCTAGAACATGGAAAGACCAAACTTCATTTCTTATGCACTATTCCAGTTCAACGTGATGGAGCGGGTATATTCTTTGATGGATTAGAAAACTTTCAACTCACAAGTTACAGTACAAGTGAAAGCTTATCCAATCATTCAGGGTGAAAATGACACTTACTGTTCAAAGGTGACAAATCCTCCTCAGGTTTGGTTTACTAGGACTACGTATTGGACATGGACACCGGACGAAGGTTTGAAATATCATCCAACAGGTACACACCACAGTATAGAAGTTCATATGATGAAATATTGATGAATAGAAAATGTTTAAAATTATAAATTTATTTTTGATTAAATGGATTTCAATTCTGAAGAATTAGCGGGAGTATATAATACCTACATAGATGATATGATTAATGAAGCATTGAGTGATAATAGAAATGCTCTATCTAAGGAAAAATTAATGAAAATTCCATATTCTGAATGTTACTTAAATTCAATCACTGCAGCAATTGGTAAACAAAATAAAGGTAAAACAATAACGATATTAAAACAAATTATCATTATTGCTAACACTTCCCCCTATTCACATGTGTTAATTTATATCAACCGTTCAGGTTCACCTTCAGATGATACATTTGAATCTTTAAAGCATTTAATCAAAATTCCAATTATTTATTTATCACAAGAAGAAGCAGAAGATTATTTAAAAAACTTTTTAATGTATAAAGAATTATATAATACAATCAAGAAGCAAGGATTAGAGGATAAAATTATTGATAAACAACGAGATGAATTATTTGAAACACTTTCTATTTCAAATTTTGATAAAGAATTTTTGCATTCACTAATTTTTCTAGATGATGCCGTGAAATCAAAACTAATAACAAATGAGAAATCATATTTTAATCAATTATTAACTCAATGTCGACATATTCAATGTTCATTCTTTATGGCTGTTCAATACTTTAAAGCATTAAGCACAAACATTAAATCAAACCTGTCCACCCTTTTCATTTTCAGTGGTTTTAGTCGTCAACAGTTGAACGTTATGCTTTATCAAGTGAATTTACCAATGAGCATTAATGAACTTTACACACAATATCAGCAATTAGGTGAACATGGAAAAATAATAGTTGATTTAAATAAAGGAAGTGTTAAATTTGATTAACTTTTTATAATTAATTTTTATTTTTTATTTATAATTAAACATGACAGAAATTGCAAATCTTCTACAGGTTCCATTAAAACAAGGGACAAACAAAAAGGGTGCATATAATAGAACTATGAAAGTTCCAGACGGAATGAAAGAATTAGTCCACATTGTTGCCGGTCTTCAAAAAGATGTTAAACAAATGAGAAACGTTTTAACATTACCAGAAGCTCAAGCATATGCCAAACGTCATGGACCAAATTGGGAAGCACACGAAGCAGACATTACAGGACCAAATGGAAAGCCTGATGGAATAAATGAAGTCTTTGTTACTGATGGTCAAGGTAATATTAAAGTCATAAATGGTTACAAATTAACTATAACTGATTATCCTAAACGTAAAGCATATAATGAACGTTATCCTATGCAATTTGATGAAAATGGAAAAGCTGTTAAACAACATATCGGAGACAGTAAAGATGGACCAATTCTTTCATACCGTCATAATCCATATTCTTATTTCAATGAAGAATTAAACGCTATTGAAGAAGGACCAAACGGATTACCTCAATATGTTAATCAATTTGATGGTCAATATGCAAATTTGAGACCTGAAATTCCAGCTAAGAAATTCTTTAAAGTTGCTTTATTCGATCCAGTGTTCAATGAACAGAAAGAAGCAATGAAAGCAGAATTTAAACCAATTCAAGTGGCAAGAATTTCTTCATCTTCACTTTCAGAAGCGTTCAAGGAATTGATAAAGAAACCACTTTATTCTCAACAAGGTTATAACTTTGATTTAATTAAAGAAAGTGATAGACGTAAATTAGAAAAATCAGATGGTTTTAAGAATGCATGTAATGAAATGATTAAAGATATTGTAAATGATAAAATAAGACTGGAAGAAACTCAAATCATTATCAATAACATAATTGGTGCAGTTACAAAGAAAGATATTACCGTAACAACTAAATAAAACTTTAAATATATTTTTCTTTTTTTATTCAATTATAAATGAGAAGACGTTTCACAAGTCAAAAGAACACAAACGCAAAAGCAGAGATTACGGTTGGTTATAACGTAAATGATGATAAATCACGAATTATTCAAAATGTTAAAGTTAATGTTAGCCCTGAATTAACAAGGTCAGCAACTCAACCAAATTTATTAACTCGTGACTTACCGAAAAAGGAGGAGGAGCAAAATAAAGAAGATGGAGACCCAATCATTTTATCTGAACCCGGTAAAGAACCTGTTGAAATTCCCACTTATCCAACATACCCCCCGCCTCTTTCATCAAACATCGAGAACCCATATAAAATAGACATTAATTCTGAATTAATGAAAATTTACCGTGATATAATAATTAATAATTATGATTCAATAATAAATTTAATTGACCAATCCGGTTTAATTATTTTACCTTATGAATCATTAATTCACATTATCGCCATTCTTTGTGATGTTCAAGATTCAGACGTTAAGATTCAATTTTTCATAGATGATGAGGTTTCATGCTGCGGAACAGTTGCAAAAATAAATCCTATAAAGGATATTAGCACAATTAAGATATCAAAGAACGGAACAACAACTGAACTTCATTTAACATATAATGATATTTATAATAAAATAGTTGATGAATATAAAATATCACTTGAAAAATTCTTTGTTATGGCTATTTAATATTCAAGCATTAACATTATCGAATAATAATCCTTTGAATCATAATCGATAATAATTGACCTTTCACTAGTTTCTATCGTTTGTTTTATTTCTTTTTGTTCCCCACTATCTGGATCGGTCATTGTAATTGTTTTTGTTATAGTATCAGCTTTATCTTTAACTTCAATCTTTTTTCCATCAGGATATTTAAACCAAAATTCCAAAAATTCGATATTGTCAATCTGTTCATATTTTAATCTATCAATTACATTTTTAATACCATCTGAAAATCTTATGAAATGGTCATTATATGGGTTTGATTGAACTAAATTTGAATGAAGTGAAATATAACCTGTTGATGAATATGACATTGACTCATATTTTCTGAAAACACTAAAATTTATAACATGAATGAATTTCTTATTCGTTGAATTTATGAATTCTTGAGGTAATCTTATTCTAGTTTTATTTATCACTGGAAAATAACGCTTTACCATATTTTTAATCGTAATAAAAATGTCAATTATCAATATTATTTCGAATAATAGCTGTGAATTAAATTTAACAGTTAGCGGAATTTATAATGTTACTCTCGTTTCTGTGAGTGGTAAATTTAATCCCATTCTTTTAGACCCTTCAGATTATATATCATTTATTAAAGATGACCTTGAAAAAACGTATGATATGTATATAAATAATGTGATAGCGAAATGGGATATAACATGATTTTAAGTTATTTAAATGAATCATTTATCGTATGGTATGAAGAAAATTTTAAATCAAAACCGATAAACTTTTTGAACTTGATGAAATAAATAACCTTATTAAATTTCCGCTGAAAATTAAATTTTGTACTCCTCATCTTCGTTCATTGTTGGGGATATTAAATTTTGAAAAAGATGTTGGGGATGTTTTGTATTCTGACACTGGTTCCAATTTCATTTTAATCAAATGTGATAAGTTAATACCCCAATGAGATTTTCACATCAAACATTAGACCCTAACTCTTACCCATCAATACAAAACATTTTATCCATCAACTTAAACACATTTTCTTTATCATATCCGTTTCAATTATCCGGGAATTCATTTATTCTTCATTCAAAAGATTTATCAAATATTAAATTTAGAATAACTGACCTATTTGATTGTGATTTAGAATTCATGAATGAAATATTATGGCAATTTCAAATAGAAAAAATAGCTGATGAGATAACAGATTAAATATTTATTTTTAAATCATAATAAATGATTAAACAACAGCAACCACAGCAACTTAAGGCACAAAGCACCCAGGTCCCTCAGACCATTACATACGCCATATATGCATATAATTCAAAGACGGCAGAACAAACGCAAAGGTTGAAATATGGAGATTTGGAGATAGTATTGAAAAATGACCATTTCGAATTCGTTTGCAAGGGTGGTGCAGTGATATCAAATATAAAAGAAATTTTATTTATGAATTCAAAAATTAAAGGTATAACGGATGATATAACATCAATTCCACCAGAAGAACAGAGATATTACGCATTAAATGCATTTCCTAAAGTTTTGAAGATTGGAAGATTTAATTTAAATGAGGAATTCATAGAAGGTTTCCTAAATGACATAATGAAGAAGGCAGATAAGGAATATGTGGATAGTGAGTTAATGAAGAAGGCAAATTTGGTTTATGTTGATGAAAAAGATAATGAAATTAAAGAAAGGGTTGAATGGTATCATGAATGGACATCAAAGATTTTAAAAACTAAAGCCGATACAGGATGGGTTTCAGGATGTTTAGACCTTAAAGCGGATAAGGAATATGTTAACGATGAGTTAAATAAGAAGGCAGATAAGGAATATGTGGATAGTGAGTTAAATAAGAAAGCTAATATATCATTTGTTAATGAAGAAATAAAACAATCAGAGGTCTATTTTACTCCACCATTTTTAAATTTTATGAAATCATCAGATAAAACCTTTGATATAGATTCTTTTGAATGGATATGTTTCGATGGAGTGACCATGTATTTATTTTATACAGCTGGAGTGCTTTATTTTTTAAAACAAATGATTTTAAAAACTATGAATCATTTACTCCATCTGTTTTGAATCCTGATACACGAGAGCCAATCATTAATCCATTAATTTTATATGTTGAATACAATAACGGTAAATTTATGGGAATGATAACGGTTGGAGATGATTTTTACCCTTGTTATTCATTCGATTGTATCCAATGGTTCAAATGTAATTTAAATCAAGATGCTAAATTTAAATATCCAAATAATCCTATTAGATGTGTTAATAATAAATGGGTACTAATTTATGAAGTCAATCAAATTTTCATTAGTGAGGATGGGATAAATTATTATATGTTTAGTATGATGTCATCAGATTTGAAAATTGATTATACAAGTAAGTGGTATTACATTAACAACATGTATTTTATCCTACAAAATGATAAAATTTATAGATCATCTTCAATATCACAAGGTCAATTTGAACAATTTTTCAAGCTGATGGAGACATTGAAGCTTTATGTTATGGATCAAATGTTTATGTTCTCGTTTCAGGTAAATGGTCTATTCATATCCTGTAAGTTATAACAGACATATTTATTTATCACAGGATTTATCAAATTGGGAATTGGTTTATTCATTCACTCCAAAACTTACTCAAATTATAGATTTACAAATTTATTTTATATTGATGGGTATTTCATTGCTTTAGGATGTGGTGATTTAGTAAATATCAGTAGTGATGGAAGAAACTGGTCTGAAATCACAAAATTTCAAGATGTTAGAAAAGCAATTTTCAAAAATAATACGTTAATATTGATAACAAGACCAGTTTTAAATACTCACCCAAATTCAATATTATATAATAAATTCAATATTCATAATGGATTAAATACAATTCTTGAGATGATTTACCCCATTGGTTCTATTTATACGTCAATGAACTCAACAAATCCAGCAACAGTTCTGGGTTTCGGTACGTGGGAGCAGATTGTAGATAAATTCTTATACTGTGCGAACTCTTCAAAGCAAACAGGAGGTTCGAAGAAAATTACTGAAGCAAACCTTCCACCGCACACTCATACAGGAACTACAAACACAACAGGTAATCATTCACATTCAATAACAAAAAGAGGTTATAGAAATCTTGCAGCAGGTTCGGATAGACAGGGAATGGATAGATATGATATTTCAAGTGACCCAGTAGATTCAAGCGCAGGTATTTTCTGTGGAACCACAGGAAATCATTCACACACTTTCACAACAAATCCAACAGGCTCGGGTAAAGATTACATGCCACCATTTGTGACTGTATTCGCATGGTACCGCGTTCATTGAATGAACTAAATATATTTTATGTCTGTAATTAATTAGGTAATGAAGTAATGGATGAACTACAGAAATAAATGTTTACGTTAATGTTTACGTTAATGTTTACGTTAATGTTTATGTTAATGTTTTCAGGTTATTCAATAATTAATTATTTTTGAAGAACTGAAGGTGTCACTATGTCACCATGTGTCACTCGGTTATTTAACTTCTCTGAAAAAATGAGACAACATGACATTTAGACAACAACACAGGAGGAAGGTAGTTATGAATTATTTTTGAAGAACTGAAGGTGTCACTATGTCACTCGGTTATTTAACTCATGACATTTAGACAACAACACAGGTCATTCAATAATGACTTATTTTTGAAGAACTGAAGGTGTCACTATGTCACCATGTGTCACTCGGTTATTTAACTTCTCTGAAAAAATGAGACAACATGACATTTAGACAACAACACAGGAGGAAGGTAGTTATGAATTATTTTTGAAGAACTGAAGGTGTCACTATGTCACTCGGTTATTTAACTCATGACATTTAGACACAACACAGGTCATTCAATAATGACTTATTTTTGAAGAACTGAAGGTGTCACTATGTCACCATGTGTCACTCGGTTATTTAACTTCTCTGAAAAAATGAGACAACATGACATTTAGACAACATTTACGAAAATTTGATGCAGTCCAAAAATAAAGTTAGTTTTAAAACTATTTTTATTTTTTTATTCCTATATAAATGACAGCAACAAACAACAGCAACAGCAACTTCATCATTTCTGATGAACAAGTTATTGATTCATTAGCTGAGGAATTAGTTGTGGCAGAAACTAAAACCCTCAACGAAAGAATTGTGAAAACAAGATTGATTTACATAACTACCTCAAACATGATGGAGGAAGAGGAAGGAAAACTGGTACAGCTTTATTAGTAAATAAAATTTCAAATTTAACGATTATAGATGTTGATATCAATAAATCGTACAATGATGAACTTAAAGAAACAGTTAGAAAAGATATTTTATCAAAACTTTCGGATAAAGATGTTATCGTTAAACCGCTTCAGGAGGTCTTCACATTTATTGCAACACTAATTTCTTCTATGCAGTTTCGAACAGAATGATTAAATGTTATTCCTGCAATGATTATGATATTGACATAATGACTTCTATGATGATTCAAAGCGTTCATTAGTAGTTATGGGCTGATTCAAGAGTTCGCAAGAATCATGCAAGAACCAATCAATACATACTCATTCATTCGTGGAAGTTATGATTCAACATTAACTAGAACAGTGAATGATATATTAAATGATTTGAATATTAAGGTAAGAGTTGAACAGAAGAACGAAGAAATAAAGAGTATAATGAATGAAAACAAAGATGTAAACTTTGACGATAAACTTGCCCAGAGCATAGTTGATGGCATCTGTGATTTTGAAGTACATAATGACGGTGGAAACATGAATTTAGAAAAAGAAGTTACATTATTCACACTGTTTCAAGCAATTAATTCGTTTACCTAATCATTTAATTAATGAAGCATACGATAACGTTTATAACTTCTGCAGTTTAACAGAAAATGCTAAAAGTAATTTTGAAAAAGCACGTAGTAGATATGCACATTTAATGACTTCTCCATTTGTTTTGGTGAAGATTCTAAAACTTTATCAAAAGGAATATTATGATGAATATGTTTTGCCTTTATTACGTAAGCCAAAAATAACATTTGATATCAAACTTGATGACTCGTTTTGATAACAGATATTAGACGCAAGGCTGAAAATCATCAGTATAAAAAACAGTTCTGAAGTAATTGAGGATTTATCACGTGTAATCCGTTTTGTAGATTGTGGAAATAAATATTTCATTCAAAAGACTATAATATTCATGATAAAATGAATCAAATATCATTCGTTCTTCAATCAAACATGAAAGAGTCACTCAAAATGATTAAATTATTTAAAGAAAAGGTAAAACCATAACAGCATGGGACGTACTACTAAATCAATTGTCTTCATTAACTGTTAAGGTGTTTGCTTTAAATCTGATTCCCAGATGTTTTCTCAACGTTTCAAGGTTATAAATACAACATTCTCGAAAAACCAGATTACTCAAAAATTGAGATGTTTATGAATTTCATTAAAGAAGCCATTTGTGATAATAACGATGAAGTGTATAAATACCTTCTCGGCTGGATTGCATCAATGATTCAACATCCTGGAATCAAGAATGAAACAGCAATTATTTGAAAGGACTTCAGGGAACAGGTAAAAACAGATTCACAGACATTATTTCTGAACTTCTCGCTGGTTATTCATGTAAAAACATTACTGAAATAAGTGAGCTAACGGGTAATTTCAACTCAGTAGTTGAAAATAAAATGTTTCTTGTACTTAATGAACTCAAGAATGTAGGTGAAGACAGACTCGCAAACTTCAACGCTTTGAAATCAATTATTACGGATAATGAGATTAGAATTAATGAAAAGAATCAACCCAGAAGAACTGCTCAGAATGTTGCAAACTTCATTTTCGTAACTAACAACGTCTACCCTGTCAAAATTGAAGTTGGAGACAGAAGATACGTAGTTTTAAGGGTTAATGGTAAATTCAAGGGTCAATTTGATTACTTCAAGAATTTAATGGATTCATGCACTAAGGAATTTTATGATAACCTTTTAACATATTTTATGCAATATGACCTTTCATCATTTAATGTACGAATCATTCCGATGACTGAAGCCAAACAAGATTTAATCGAGTTATCAACAAATCCTTTAGATGAATGGATAAATACATATTATGATGAATTGAGTGCAGGTATGACATGTAAAAATGCTCTATTCTGCAAACCATCAGACATGAAAGACAAGAATTTCCAAATGAGCATTAAGGATAAATGTGATAAGAAACAGGTAAGAATAGATGGTAAACAAACATGGTGTTATGTTTTGAAAGAAGAAATGAAAGGATTATATAAACAGGTTGAACCAAACGATAATGAGGATTCATTTACTGACGATGAAATACCTGTAAATGAGGCAGTATAAAGTATGATTGGAATTTATTTTTGCATTAATCCTCCTGTGTTGTTGTCTAAATGTCATGTTGTCTCATTTTTTCAGAGAAGTTAAATAACCGAGTGACACATGGTGACATAGTGACACCTTCAGTTTTCAAAAATAATTCATAAATGCCTTCCTCATTAATCCTCCTGTGTTGTTGTCTAAAATGTCATGTTGTCTCATTTTTTCAGAGAAGTTAAATAACCGAGTGACACATGGTGACATAGTGACACCTTCAGTTCTTCAAAAATAATTCATAAATGCCTTCCTCATTAATCCTCCTGTGTTGTTGTCTAAATGTCATGTTGTCTCATTTTTTCAGAGAAGTTAAATAACCGAGTGACACATGGTGACATAGTGACACCTTCAGTTCTTCAAAAATAATTAATTATTGAATAACCTGAAACCATTAATGAAAACATTATTTTTGGGTCATTTACACTCATTACGATGAAGTCATGACAAATCATTTCCGGGACTGTTGTCAAAATGTCATGTTGTCACAAACTTTAGAACGGCATAATTTAAATTTTTATTTTTATCATAAATGGATACCCCACAAGCTCAAAATTTACCACGAATCATAACAAGGGAGGAAACGATAAAAATGATGCGAGAACTTGCTAAAAATAACAAACCACTAAAACTGAGAAAATGTGGTTATGCAGTAATGATGGAAAGAGAGATGTTGTCAAAGAGGAATAAAAATTAAATTTGGATTGAGTTTAAAAATTCATCTTTATTAAATTCATCTCTTCCAATCAATTTATTTATTCTATTAAATTCTTTTATTTTTGCTTCACTCAGTTTAAGGATTGAACGGTAAGTTTCTAATTTTTCGATTATTTCTTTATCGTTTTCAGTTCCATTTTTTATGGGCATCAACCCCACCGCATTGTGGCTTCTTTTTGTAATAGCATATTTTTGATTTAATTCTGTTTAGTTTCTTTTTATATTCATCGTCTGGACTCTTGACTGCTTTGTTGTCACTCATTTCTTACGAAATAAAAAAAATTAAATATTATTTAAATATAATGGAGTAATAAAATAAATCGGAATTTCTATTAATTTATTGTCAACTTCAACTAATGCATTGCCGTTAATATATCTAACAAATTCAGCTATTGTGTCAAATCTTCGTCTTCTTTTTGTCATTGATTTATCAGTTTTTCCATAATCGAGATGAATCAAAACTTTGTCCCCTTGTTTAAAATTCATGAGCCCCGAATTAATTTGTTCACGTTTAACATCATTCAACCTTTCCATTTGCTTTCTAATATATTCCCATTCTTTTGAAATATCATTTTTCATTTCCACTGGTTTCATGTTTATTGTTCTATGCCATGTATTATTATAATAATATACTAACTGTTGTATGATGGAGTCATGATTTCCATCCCAGTATATCTGACCGTTAACCCCTAACGCATCTCTAAGAGTTCTCATTACCGCATCAACTATTTTATTATGAAACGTATATGGAGAGGATGAAAAGAAAAAATTAATTTGTGGGAAATAATGAGTCATAGCTGCCTGAAATCCTTTATCACCATCACCCCTGATATTATCCACTCTTTCATGATCTAGTAAGTATTGAATAGCTCTTCTTGTTTCCTGTTCTGTTTTCCCTTTCACCGGAATGCAATATAAATATAGGGTGTCCAAAGGTGTGTTTAGCACAAACCTGAATACTGCGAATAGAAATAAACAAGTTACATATATATAAAGTTTATTTAAATATAATCACCATTGGATTCAATCACGCGTTCGCAGCGATCGATCCAGGCTTGAAAGACACGCTTTAAATCATCATGAGAAAATTGCTCAAATTGCTCTCTTACAAAATTTTCAAGATCATCTGGACTCGCGAATTCGCGTCCTTCAGCTCTCTTTTTTAGCGTGCCGAATAAATAAAAGTCAGAGGGTGCAATATCAGGTGAATAAATTGGGTTTGGAACAACTTTGACATTGTTTTCCACCAAGTAATTCATTACCTTATGACTTTTGTGAACTCTTGAATTATCAAAATGAATTGCAAACTTTTGTTTTTGTTGTTTGGATTTCTCAAACTCATCAGAATTGATAATTTGAGTAAGAACATTGTCAATTAGATACTGAGCATTCATCGCATTAGGTTTTTGAAGAATATCAATTGCGATGATGCCATTCACGCCCCAAAAAACCGACAACATCATCATTGTTGTGTCAATTTTTTTCTTCGGGAATGTTTGCGGATTTTCATCCTTCGGATCCACATGATTTTGGCTTCTGTTGCATATTGAAACCAAGACTCGTCCCCTGTTACTAAAAAGCGAAACTTCTTGGATTGATACGCACCCAATATAGAGAGGAGCTCTTTCGAAGATTGGACTCTAGATTTTTTTTGAACTGAATTAAGGTTGTGCGGAACCCAACGTGTATACGCTAGTTTGTAGTTCAAATAATTGTGCAGATAATAACTGACTGTTGTACGTGGTATCTTTGTCATCTCCTCTATCCTTATGAGTGATGCTCTTGGGTCTTCATCTAGCGCTTGAAGAATTGCTTTGATTTTTCTTTGATCCGGCGATTTTTTGTCAATTTTTATGATGGGCGCCTTTTTGTTCATGAAGTGATACATCCTAACATGATACGTTACAGTGGAATAGCTAGGTGCATCCATACCGAAGCATTTTACCAATGTCTCGTAGATTTTTTTACAGTCTTTGCATTTTTTTGCAAGAGCGAGGATGTTTTCTTTATGATTCATTAAAAAAATGAAAAAAATCCCGCCAAAATTTCCCGCGAAACCGCCTCTTGTCTCAAAATTCGTTTTATATCCCGGCATGGCGCCAAAATACAACATACTCATCATATACATATATTCATATTTTTTATTATATATTTATAATCAGCATATATCTCCTTTAATAGTCTCATATAGAGCGCTGTGCTAAACGCACCTTTGGACACCCTATATCTAGTGTTAATGTTAATGGCAAATAAATAAGTAACGTTTCCTTTTGAATATTCCAGATGATCGATTTCGTATGAATATGGATATGGAGCAAATGAAGGGCGACTAAATTTTTCCTTTAACGGTTGAATTTTTGGGTCAATTGGTTTATTTAATATCTTGAAATCCTTTTTAAAATCTTTTTGCTTCTTTAATGTTTGAAATGGATATAATAAAGTGAATGATGAAGGATTAACTGAAGGAGGAGGAGGTACTGTCGTTGGAGGTTTTGGTGTTGCAAGTGGTTTAATTTTATCTGCTTTGATTTTGGATTTCATTCCCCCCTTCATTAATTCTGGATGTATTCTATTCATTTGTTTTAAATATGCTGTATATAAAGGTTTGATATACTTTCCTGCTTCGAGTTTATGTTGAAGGATGAATTCCAAAAGTTGATCTTCATTTAAAAGTCGGGCTGAATATGGTTTAACTAATGAATCATAAATTAAAGCTTGTGCTTCATTTATGGTCTGAAGAACCTGGGTGTTTTGCACCTTTTGTTTTTGTTCCTTTGGTTTTTGTGGCTCAGGATTATATAATTTATATAATTCATCAATATCTTCTTCTGTTAATACTTTATTTTTGAAATCTTTCAATTGTTTAAGTTGTGATTTAGTTTTTCCCTTTGAATATTCATTATTTTTAATTTTGTCTTTAATTTCAGAAATTATTTTATCATGATATTTCAAAACTTCATTTTTATAATATGGATAATAATATTCCATATCATCACCCGTTATATTGTTATCATGTTTTTGGAGATATGATTTTAATTCATAATAATTAAGAAAATTTTGATTAAGTATTAAATCATCAATTAAAATTTTTAAATCTACGCTATTCATTTATATAAAAATAAAATAAATGTTTAAGGGTGCCCACCTCTTTGAATCATAGTATCAAAGCCATCATTAACGGTTCCTTTTGTCTCTTCTGTGGCATTTCATTAAAATTTTAAATTGTATTAAATAAATGGCATACAACATCCATTTTCACAACATACAGCCTTAGTGTGTGCTCCTGTTAATGCAGTCTTACCGATTGTGAAGCGAGTCATTGACCCATTTTTAAGTTGTAAATTAATATTCTGACCATCAAATATCAATTTATCATTTATTATATCCAAATAATTTTTAGGTGTTAATTGTTTATTTTGTCGTAAACTAACACCTTTCATTTTTTGTGCAATCTTTTTAAAATCACTTCCATCAATTGAACCGTTGAATGATGTATAACACTTAGGACATAACGCCACCATGTTATCACCTTGTTTCTCAATTGCTAAACCCAATAACTTCTTCTCATGTGCTTTTTCTTCAGCTTTATTCTTTAATTTAGGTTTAAATTTCTCATCAAAACAGAAGAAATCAAATGGTGCGAATTTGAAAATGTTTTTATCATAAAATTGTTTATCAGTAACAATTGCTTGAAATGCTTGAGTGTTAGGAAGATTTGGGTCGCCAGCGATTGCCCAATAAGATGAATCAGTATCACCTTCAATGAAATGAAAACGATTAACATCCATGCATTTATACATAAAATCATAAATGAAAACCAAATACCAGTATTTAGCATTATCTAAAGTGAAGAATGCCTCTTGTAAACATGTTTCACATCTATAAAATCTATCTTTAAGCATCATTTGATATGTATCCTCTCCTATTTCTCTTATGTTTTTAAACTTATTTGACATACATGCAACGCGTGCCTTCTGTGCATTCATTATTTTAGTCTTTGCGTAATTTTGTGTATTCATTGCATCGTAACCATATGATACATTAAGCGAAATCTTGCAAAATAAACTTTTTCCTTTATTTCCTTCTAATTCAGCCTTTTGTCTTTCATTCATAAATTTGTTCGCAAATTCATTAAAACAAGTGTTTTTAGTAAATGTTAAAATTGATTGAATGTCATCAATGATAAAATGAAATCTGTCGATTAGATACCAAAGATAATAAGAAGAAAATGGTTGATATTGGTTGTGTGTTGATGCTAACTGAGTTAATTTCCTCTGTTCTGGTCAACCGGTAGATTGTTTGATTCATGTAATTATACATAAAACTGCCAATTGTTTTTTCATCTGTGATAATATCTAAGTTTCTTATTATCGGTAAAAAAGTTAATGTAATCATTAATGTATTTTTCATCAATGTGACCCTTTACTTCAGCCACGAATAAAGTATTTTCTTTCTAATAATTCCCAGTGCTTTTGCTTTCTTTGTTGCTGTATCACAAATGATAACACCATTCAATCTTCCCGGCATATACATTTTATGGTCAGTATATTGAATGAAATCATGAGGATTAGATGAAAATGATGAAGGATATAATGAATTAAAGTCAACTCCAACGAAATGAGTCATAATGTTGGTGGTGTCCTCATTTGATACAGTTTTAGTTTCTGGACTATATGAAAGTTTATTAATGTGCGTGATTCCTTTAAGATTTACTCTATGTTGAACATTTGATAGACCACCAGTAATTCCATTACGGAGAATGTGATAAGCTTCAACTGAATCTAAAGTCATTGGTAAATTATTTTTTAATGCATAATTTCTTAAATTGATTCTTAAACGTTGAACATCTTCATCTTTATTTGATTTCACGACATTGCAATAACAACACATTAACTGACAATTTTCTTTGGTATGTGGTTTTTCATTATCGATTCTATCCAATGTTGGTTTATTTGCATATGTAAACGCTTTACCACACATTTTGCATTTAGATGAAAGGATTAAATCGTGATAGTATTGAAAATCATCCATTGAAACATTATTTTTAGTATCCCTTTCTGCTTTTTCATCTTGTTTCTTATATGATTCAATTTTATATTTCCAATACTTTTTCGTTAATTCAAAACTTGATTCCACATTTTCTTCTTCTGGATATGTTTCGTTAGGATTGAAGTTCTTATATGCTAACGCGTAACGAATCATTGATGCATTCGATGATAAAGAAAGATTATGAAGCATGTCAATTTTATAAACAAATGTTTCTTCAATAATTTTATCAATTGGGTCAATCATAATTTCAACGTCTTTATTGCAATAATGAATAAAATATTCTAATCTATTCTCAAAATTTTTAGCATCATTGAGATATATTTGATAATCTGAATCGGATATTGTTTCTTGTGTTAATGCTGAATAAAATGAATCTTGAGTGAATGGTTCCTTTTTATATAATTCATCTTCGTAATTCTCCCATGTGATGAATTGATAAGGGAAAAAGGATTTAACACGTGATTTATTGTTTCCGAAATCTTGAGTGAATTGGTCTAATGTTCCACCCGCTATATAATTTCTGATGTCAATAAATCTTAATTCATATGGACAGTTTGTTTTCTTTACATGATTGCTTAAATTGTGAAGAAGAACCCAGCATTGATTTTATTTCCATTTTGCAGTATTTAAATCACGAAGAATTAAATTTAAATCAAACTTTCCCGAATTAAAACCAATGATATTCACTTTATTAAATTCTTCATCTAAAAGCTCTTTCATTGCTTCCTTTTGTTTCTCATTTAATGTATTCATTAATTCTTCATATTGTTCAATATTTGATTTAGCAACTAATGAACAGGTTGAAAATAAAAATTCAATCCAATCAGAGATGAACGAATCACTTGATGTTAAGCAAAAATTCCTCGTAAATGTTTTATCACGGTCTACGACCTCGCCGCTTTGCGGCTTTATTTTGACAGTTGATGATACCATAAATGGTTTTAAGTAAGCGTTCAAAGTTGCACATTCAGAAAGTTGAAGTTCTTCTTTAGTCTCTAATGTTTCGAAGTCAAAAGTAATATAATATCTTGTTGGTTTATAATATTCCTGCAAATTATGTGCTAATAGCCATTGATATATCTTCTGTTTCGTGATATGTGGTGCATATGGTTGTTGTGTGTTTTGCAATTGAACGTCTTGAATTAATCTTCCATTATTTTCTTTACATTTCTCACAATGTTTTAAAAATCTTCTTTGGTTTTTCCTTTCTGGATCATCACGGATAGAATATACTTCTTCTTTGCAAAAGGGGCAAACTTTATATCCTGTGAGTGCTTCAACGTCTGTAATTCTGTCAGCGTGAAGTTTTCCACATGGACTCTGTGTTAATAAAATATTTACTGTTTCAAATTCTGGATCTATCATTATTGATTCCACTAATGGAAAGTCTACCTTGTTAATGTCTACGTCTTCTGGTTGAGGGTCACAATAATAAAAATCAATATTAACGTTTAACATTCTTGCTAACCTCTCACTTTCTGATGAAATGTCAAATCCTTCATATGCATCTATGGCTTCATTTAAATAACTTCTACGAGTTTTAGGATTAACACCATCAGGAATGTTATAGAAGCGTTTAAATAACCTTCTACCTTCGGCTCTTATTTGATTATCATTCATTTTAGCTGTTCCATTTTTGTTCATTTATGTAAGAATAAAAATTAAAAAATAAATAAAAATAAAGTTTATTTTTTTAAAGTCCGAGACTCAGAGAGTCCAGGGCTAAAGTCCATAAAATGAATTAAGAACACATAAATTTTTATCATCTGCGACGTGACGAATACATTTTAATTTACTCAAGAATGCGTACCCTGATACATTAAATCTAATTCCTGTCTTATTTAATTTCACAACTTTGAAAAGGAATGTATGAATAGCTATAAAATGATGAGATGATGTTTTATGGGTTGCTTCCATTTTTTCTGAAATAAATGAATAAATATAATGTTTATAAGTTTTCATATCTTTTATGTTCTTAATAACGAATGGTATAGACCTTTCACTTCGTCTTCCTTCGGTGCTGTTCTTTCATATGAAACATTATTGGTATCTTCAATAATGAAACCACAATCGCATAAAATTTTATATGTACCAATTGTTTCTTTTGATATTTTATCTAACAAATCAAAAACTTTATCAACACCTGTACATTTATTTAAATAATAATTTGTGTAAATATCATGGTCTTCTTTCTTAATCGTATTTGTTGCATATGTTACATTTTTCAGTGCTTTTTTGAATTTTTCAGAATCAAGAGGAGGTGAAAGTAATATACATGGATAATCTCCATCGTCAATAAACTGAAGCTTATGTTTATGAATAAATTTTGTGCCTTCTTCTGAAAGTGTTTCGTCAATATCACCATCTAATAAATTTTTAGTAGATTCCAAAAAGTAATTTTTATATCTTTCCTCATGTGATTTTTGAACTTCTGATTCTGAAGCTGGGATATTCATTAAACCCTCTACTTCATTCTCAGCATTTCTCAATTCACTAATTCTTTCATCTATTTCATTTCTTAATTGTTCCAATTTCTCAATCTCATCGTTATAATATTCATCTTGTTTAATTTTTTCTTCAAAATATTCAGGAGGTGTTTCAAGGCTCTCTGAGCCCAGGTCCTCTGGACCATAAAGAGGAATATTCTCCTGTTTTTCAACTTTTTTGGGATATAAATATCTCATTATAGCCTTTTTAGTAATTGGTCCGTTATATTTAAATTCATTCAACAATCTGGAAAACTCTTTCACATTCTGCATATATGTTGGATAAGAACCGTCTCCAAAATTTTCTAAAATATTTTCTAATTCTGAATTAGTGAACTTTAAAGATTTCAATGAATTAGTTGTTATACTCATTTATTATAAAATAAAAAATAAAAAAAATAAATTTAACTTAGTTTTAATTTTACGTAAGAAGTCAATTTTTTATATACCGTCATTTGTAGGTATTATTTCTATCAGATAAAAATTATTTTTCTATTTGTCATCTTTATATAAAGATAAAAAATATTTTTGATTAATAAGGAATTAATTTCATTTTATGTCTTATAATGTGCGCATATGTATTTAAAAGGCATTCATTGAATTGCTTTTCAATCTCTTTCTTTTTTTCATCTTCGAATATTATATCATTTTCATGTTCGAAGCTTGTAAGTTTGTTATCTTCAAATATTATATTAGTTTCATATATCAAATTATGATATCGGTCATATTCTTTTAAGTGATAAATAAATACAAAATTTACGGTTCCTTTAATTTTAAATTCAAAATTAATTTTACAACAGCTTTGTGGATCAATTAGTAAATCAATCAAATAATGTTCAAAATCAGATATTATTCTTTTTCCATACATTTTATATTAAATAAAAAAATCTAACTTTATTTTTTCGGAGTTTTGTGACGAAGTGCGAATCTTCACTTCGTCAAAAATATATTCTTTTTATTAATGGTAATATAGGAATTGTAGGAATAAAAACTTTTTACCCAGATTTGCCTTACTTTTACCACCTCTCTAAAGCTGGGGACACCGCCTATCGTTGTGAGTAGCTATTAAATAGAACCACCAAGGGTATTTTTCGAACTGCTGGTGTAGTGTAGTGGAAACATCCGACTTAATGATTCATTATGCCAAGGTTTGATTCCCATTTAGCTAATTTTTTTCTTTTTTGGATCATGAATTTTTTTTTGGGTCACTATAAGATTTGTTTCATGTTCTAAATCTGCTGCATATGTAATCTATTTTTATTTATCTATTTTTTAAAAATCTATTGGATTGCCAAATTTGAATATATTTAAAATCATAAAAATCCAAAAAAACTATAAATATATGTTTTATGCATAGTGCCGATACTCAAATATCAGATTACTTAGATCCATGAATAATATCCGAATTTTTTTTCTTAAAATTAAACTTCAAAACTTCTTGCAATCTTATTCTTCATCAATTGTAAATTTTTAAAACCATTTTTTAAAATAATTTTGCGTAAATTTTATTCTCATGTTGTTTTAATCGAAAATTGATACATTTTCAAAAAAATAATATTGACTTATGAAATTCATTTTTAAGGTGAAATAGTATTGTTTTTATTAAAGTATATGAATAATATATAAAAAATTAATGAATAATATAAGCAGATTTTTAGTTTACAAAACAAATATGAGCAATGCAATTTCAAACTTTTGCTGGCAATTTCGATATTGCTCAAGTTTGTAGTATTTGTGATACCTATAACATCGGCTTAATCAAAATTCGATTTTTCTTATGAGTTATTGAGAAAATTTGATTGCAATGAGAAGGATTTCGACGTTTTTGATAAACTAAGAGCTGAGCTTTAGGGGTTCAGTTCATTTATGGCTGTAGTTTGATGCGTAGATCTCTTTTTTATTGTAAATTCTTTCAGCATGGAGATCGAGAATGAATCTTTTGAGAACTTTATGAGTTTTTACACCCGTAAAGAGGTCCTTCGAGGAAAGATAGTCCAGACTACATGAAGATGTGGGTTAACCAAAAAAATCCGATGGTTTCCCCATATTCATGTAGATCTTCGAAAAAATGAGCACCAAAAAAGCCAAAAAAATAGGCTTTTTATTGGATTTGTACACTAGATCAATAACCTATTTAGGATCTGACACTCTTTTTAGCCAGAGATATGAGGTCCTTTCTAGGAAAACGATCTATTCATCCATAAAAAAAATGAATTATCGTTTTCCCCAGAAATTACATGGGGAGTGGTAAAAGTAAGGAAAATCTGGGTATAAATTATTCATAAATTTTTAAAATCTGCTATTCGGAAGTATGTTCAAAAATCATTCAATTATGTGAGAATTCTTACGATTACAAAAAAAGTCACACAACCCGCATTCATATACTACTATTACAGCATTTATGTGTTTCTGAGTCATTTATTTAGAGATCTTAGCAAACCCATTCGAATAAATACGTTTTGAAATGTATGGCACTAAAAATGGCTGAATAATGAAATTTTATAACAAAATTAGAAAAAATCTAATTAAAGAAAGGTGTTTATTCTAATTACTCAATTCAGTGAATCTTGGATGTGATTTCCTTTGGTGCTGGTGTGAAATCAGGTGAAGGCTTTCCAATTGCAACAGCTAATGGGCTCAAATCGCGTGGCAAATCAAGGAATGGTTTAAGGACTTCTGGTTTAGTTCCATGGACGAATCCAATTTGAACTGAAGCATAACCTTGAACTTTAGCTTCTAAGCAAATGGACTGACCGATAATGCCCATATCATATACGCAGCAGTCTTCACGGAATGGACGTGCAGGTACAATGAAAATAACGCATGGAGCACCATAGAAGATATCTGGATTCTTAAGGAACTTATCGATGCCTGGGAATGAGTTATAGACTGCGTGTGCAATCTTAGTAAGATGTTCTCTGTTAGTATCAACTATGAAATCATATGATTGGAAATCGCATCCTGTTGGAGCATTTTGAGCTGCTTTAATAATATTTTCAAGAACATCCTTTGGGATTTTCTCTTCTGTAATGTAAGATCTAACAGCACGTCTTTCTTTGATTGCGTCAAACATTAGATAAAAATGAAGTGTAGGCTAAATTTCAATAAATATCGTAAATTATCAGAAATCACGTTTGAATTGAAAACGATTGTCCGGCTAATCTTCAAAAAAATATCAGATCCTACAATATGCATAATGCTCTATATAATTTGCATGGCGATGAAATCAGAACATTAGAAATCTCTCAAAAAATCAAAAAACGAAAATGAATTTCAATATGGAATAAACAATTAAACCCTATTATTGACAGATTATTGGGTTTTATATCAAAAATTTAATTTTGAACATATTCGTTTATTATTCCGTTTTGGCTCAAAAATTGAGATATTTTATAAACTGTTACGGTAAATATAATAGACAGGCAATTTTTTTCATTTTTGTTAAATAATGTTTTACAGTTCGCAACACTGAGTTTCCCAAATTACATATCAATGATTGTTCAGAATTTATCACAAATATATTTTTTGATATCATATTCCAATGGATAAAATATCAGACACTATTTACCTCAGACATACTTTTCAATGAGTTTGAATAAAACACAGTCTAAATAATTTTAAAAAATTTCTCGACAAATAAATTAATAGAATTGTCAATGGTCTTAGAAACTGAACTACTTATATCTAATGGCATATGAATTCTCAATTCTAATATAACATATTTAAAAAAAAAATTAAAAAAAAAATCATGTATGCAAACAGTTTAATAAGCATGGTTAACAAGAGTAGAATATCAAAATAGGTTCTATCAAGATTTTTTCTCTTCCAGAATATACTTTGATGACATTTGATTCTTCAACAAAAGTTTTCTTTACTTCTTCATTTTTAAATTCGATGCATTTTGTAATGATATAATATTGATTATTTAATTCTAGTGCGGAATCTCTTAAATCACTAGTTTGAAAGTTTGCAGCCGAAAAATCTTGATTAGATTCAATATAACAACTTGAAATGATCATTCTTCCGGTAGTATATATCAACGTAGGAGATGTGGATGTTCTTAAAACATTATTTATAAAGTTTGAATTTAATATACTTGTTGCTCCCTCGAAATATATCAATTTATTATCAACACTGCAGTTATATATAGTGCAATCATTGATTTGAAGATAATGACTACCTAAAGATCCAGACTTTTTCAAAACAGAATCCAATTTGCTTGCACAATGTTCAAAATTGCCAAACGATATATTGCTTGGGTTCTTGCAATAATTGTAGCTAAAAGCTGAAGCTGAATAAGTTTCACATTTCGAAAAATTCAAATTTGTAGCATAATTCATTACATTAACGCCTGCTAAGATACCGTTTCCAGATGATAAGTTTCCGCAGCTTGTAAAGGATGAAAGAATCGTTTTGACCGATTTATAGCCTGCTGAAAGATACATGTACTGGCCACTATTTTTTGTCCAGCAGTTACATGAGCATATTTTCTTTTGATTTAATTCGATTGAGTTGGTAAGATAAATCGCACCACCTTGTGAAGTAGATGTCGAGGTAATATATGTAAAAGTACTGTCTTCAATAACTGTATGGATAGCAACTGAATTCCCATATATAGCCTGTGATGTTAGGTTATCAAATATTACATTATTGATGTAGTAGTAATTATTTGTTTGATATGTAAAAGGATCCTTTGTTTCAATTGCTTGATTGTAGGGAGTGTCAGGATAGAATTCTTCCCATGATCTCGATAATCTGAAAGTATTTGATGTAGTCTTACAAATTGAACAAAATAAGATGAACATTATAATTATGCATAAAAATTTTGAGCAACTATTATGTAAAAAAATTGTGTAATATTATAGGTATATATTTTATGTAATAATAAAAGGGTTCTATATTTCAATTGAAAGTGATCGCATAGAATATATTCAAAGTGTTTGAACGCTCACAAATTCAATGATCTGATTTTTCATATTGGTATGAGTAATGATATATTCATTGTCAATAACTTTTCCGCTTCAATTTGATTTTCAAAAAGTAAAAATTCAAATTTTTTAATCCAAAAAATCTGAAATGAATACATTGATGAAGCAAATTTTTTCACATTCTTTCAATTTTCAATATGACAGTTAACTGAATGGTATAAGATTTACAACATGTTAAGTCATCTATTTTTTGCTGTGCAATCGTAACAAGAAATTTTGACTGTAATACTCTGAAAACTTTGAATGTTGTAAAGTTTCAGGATATTTTAGATTTTTTGTTAGGTATTCACCTACATCCACAACTTATTGGTAGAATTAGGAATGAGGATTTTAGAGCAAACTTCAGATACATAATCTCTGATGCTAATACAACTTCAGTTGTTGGATTTTGAAAATAATTTGATTTTCAACTTCAAAATGTTTAACGACGAACATGAATTCTATTAAATCTAATTAAATATTCATAATTTAAATTAGTTTTTGTCTGTTTCGTATTAATTCTCTTAATTATTTCTTTAGTTAAATACAAATTAAGTATAGAATTATTAGTAGCATCAAAATAAATATGGCCAGGATCCAAATTTGTTGATGATTCTTCAAAATAACAATCTCTAATTGTTACATATTTACTATTTTCTGAATTTGCAATTGTTGAAATTTCATTTTTGACGAAACTACAATTGTTTACAAATATTTTGGAATTCCCACTTGAGAAAAACAGCGTTCCAGATCCAAGATGTGGAAATATGCAATGTTCAAAAGTCAATTCATCGGAATAACATGACGTTATATAATACCTACTTGAAGATCTCTCTGAAACACTGTTTGATGAGTACATGCAAAAAGTCACAGAAACAATAGCAGGAAAAGCGTTCATGATAACAGAACTATATGCTTTGCAATTTGTTATATTGTTTGCATATATTGTTCCACCGCCATACTTGAATCTAATTGAGTTTACTCCCTTGAAATCATCAGAACATTTCGTGAGTGATAAAAAGTGAATTTTCACATTGCTTGCCCCTGTTGTTAAGAAGTTTCCTCCATAATAATAGTACTTATCTGTGTCTACATTGTTGAAACACTGTATTCCTGAACATTTATTGAAATAACAGTTTCCTGAATAGCCAAAATAGATTGCACCAGTTGTAACATCACTTTCTGAATTTTTTTGAAGAATTGATGTTGTTATGTTCTCAAATCTGGAAGTTTCAATCAACCAGGACAGTGAAGATGTAGCATTTTGGCTATGTTCTGAATATAATGCATTCGTTTTAAGATTAGATACAAACACATTCTTAAAATAATACCTGCCATTTAAAGCTGTGTAATTTTTGCCTGATAATTTTGAAATTAATGAAAAATTCCCACTAAAATATTCTTCCCATTTCGAATGAAGATATTTAAAAATATAGTCTTTGTGCTCTGTCGCTGTGTTATCTTTTGATAAAAACCTTCGAATGGTTAAAGAATAGAGAGACAAAATAGAATTTATATGCGGTTAAAATAAAAATTGAAATTACTTTCAATTAATTGAAAGTTTTTATGGTTTATTGTCAAAAATTAATCAATTTATAAAAACTTCCTAGCATTTCATTTATATAAAGTATTTTACAATGAGAAATCTATCAATTAAAACGTTAAAATCTGTTAAGAGTAATATGCAAATAAGTTTCCTGATTTTATTCATTATTCTAAATACCCAATAATAAAGAAACAAGTCATTCTTCTTCATATGGCAAAATTAAACTTGAAAGCAGATTGTTTCATTATGTTTGTAATTAATACAGCAAAACTTCATATATTAGTTTGGAGAAATATTTTTTTAGATGTTGTTTTTATATCAAGACGGTCTTTTTAATTGTCTTTGTTATAATTTTCAGAGGAGAACAGAATTTGCAAGTCTCATCACACTTTTCAATGCTCGATTTTTAAAAACTGTTTAAAAATGGAGCTTATATTGAAATAGTGTAGAGACTAAAAATTACCACAGTGGCAACTCAATCCTCTGAAATAGTCTGTGGTAATTTTTAGTCTCTACACTATTTCAATATAAGCTCCATTTTTAAACAGTTTTTAAAAATCGAGCATTGAAAAGTGTGATGAGACTTTGAGATTAAAAATTGAAGGATTATTATTTTCGTCAGACGAAAATGATAATTTTTTATTTTTAGGGGCATGCTAAAAAGATAAATTTATGAGATTGCAATGATACCTACTTGAATTGCAATGCATATAAGATGTGTATGGGTAGATTGCGCTTAAATTATTAGAAATAGAGTTATAGTTCAATAATTCAGATGCCAGACGAAAATGATAATGCCCCTTAAAAATTTAGTAAATTTTGATAAAATAGATCCTGTATCTTATTAACCATTGAAGAAACGGTATTTTTCAATGAAAAGAAATGCATATCATAACTTTGAAATACGTTTAATCAAGATCAAATCAAAATGAGCATAATCCCGTGATTGTAAAGATAAAATCAATGTTTAGAGAATATGTTTGACATAAGACTGATGTCCTGTTGTGTTTTAGGATGCAATTTTGTTATATCACATTTCTTTCAAAATTAAGGTTTTTTGTTGATTGAACTCCATGCCTGTTGTCAGTTTTCATAGAAAATTAAACTTTATTAGTTACTGCAAATAATAAGAAAACATGGGAGTTCTAAAAAATAATTTGTGAATAAAATATTTACAAAATTTTATGATAACCTTATCTTTATTTGAATTTTTATCGTGAAATATTGCTTAATATATTAAATTTAGCATTAATAAAATAATTGATATATAAAAATAACCTTAAAATGATTTTATTTTGGAAGTTTTGAAGGGATCAGTTTGCGGTTTTATTATTTTGAAAACTAACTTTTAAGAATATACTAGTTTAAGATGAATTTGGCATCAATCATTTCTATGGCTATTTTTAAAACTAATTTTATTTATCCCAGTGCATATACAACAAAATTACGGCTTAATTTATTTAATTCTTGGAATCAATTTTATTCCGCAAGCAATTATGAAGTAATAAACCAGTCTGTATTCAATTCAAACCAAAATGACTTTTATATGTCTGAAAAAAAATACTATTTACTAAATATCGAAGTAGAAAATCTAAATTCAAATGCTATTTTCATTCAAAACAAAAATAACATTAACGCATTAATAGAATTTTGCAAATTTGCAAGCGTTATTACTAATGTTCCAACTCAGCAGGAAGATTCGTATGGAGATACTACAGCTGGTGCAATTTTCTTTGAAGTTGGAGATAGCAACTGCATAATAAACAAATGTACAGCATCAAAATGCTACAATAATATTGCGTCTTCAAATTATTATTATGATGGTGGCCAATTTGCGACATTTAGGTTTGTACGGAATCAAATTCTTGCAACATCAATTGTATATTGTTCTGATCAATAGTTCGGAGTTTCGCCTTTTAGATCCAGAGACGCAACCGGAAATTATTCTGCAATAAATATCAGTAACTGTAAGTCATATGATGCTGCATTATTTACTGTATTTCATGATAATTCAGATTATATTAAGCATTCTTTATTTGAAAGGAATTCTGCAACAAAATCAGATTCAAAAGGAATTTGTGTGCTATATAGCGGAAGGCTCACAATCAAACAGTGCATTTTTGCACATAATAGTTTAAAGATCTTTATTTATACAAGGCTTGGAACAACGGCAGCAATTGAAGAATGTATTTTCTCTGAAAACCAGAATGAAAACTATCTAGCTTATTCTGATATAGGATATGATGGAACAGCTTATCGTTATTCAAAAATTATCATCAATAATTGTTATTTTGAAGATACAATTACTAGAAATTATGCAAATAACAGAGCAACTGTTTCATTTGATAGTAAAAATAATGAGTCTATTAAAAATCCTGTGATGCGAAAGGTTGAAAATGCTCTTCATCCTTTAGTTATTTCCGAAGGAGTCCCGGTTTATAATCTAAGATATAGAAAAATGCATGTGCATCATTAAACAAGTGCCAATGTGTTTGGGGATTTTTCTAGCAATTATTGTTTTGTTGATTTCATTTGATCAGGAACTAAATGGGATTTTTCTATAAAGAGATTAATAATACGGAATATTAGAGCCAATTTCTTGGATACTCAAAGTTAATCTACGTATTAAAACAATATAAATTGAGAATTCTTCAGATTGAATTATCAACTGTAAGAATTGTCACTTTTGTTAACGATAGATGTAAGAATAAAATCTTTATAAAATCTGACAGTTATTTTTCATTTATGATTGGAGTCGACTACAAATACAACTTCAAGTTTATTGTTATTGGGATGAGTGGTGTCGGCAAATCATCACTATTAACCAGACTCATTGATGGTGCATTCAACCAAGAAATTCAGTCCACAATTGGAGTTCAATACCTTTCTACCGTGATGGATATTGACGGCAATCCAGTAAAACTTCAGATATGGGATACTGCTGGACAAGAGAAGTTCAGATCTATTTCCAAATCTTATTACAGACATGCTGTTGGCGTAATTTTAGTTTATGACATGACTGACCGCAAATCTTTTGATGAACTATCATATTGGCTCAATGATGTTCATACACTCTGTGATCCTAATGCTGCTATTACACTTGTTGGCAATAAACTTGATTTGGCCTCATCAAGATCAGTTACTACATCAGAAGCAACAGAGTTTGCGAATAACCACCAACTAACCTACCTTGAGACATCTGCCAAAGGTGGAGATAACGTCCAAGAAGCTTTTTACCGCGCTGCAAAGCTTGTTTATGACAAAGCAGAGAAAGGACAGCTCCAAGCCAAGACATCTAATGCAAGTCCAAAGGCTGCATCAGGAAATGGATGTGCTTGTTAATAATTTATAGATTTATTTATAGAATAATAAAATATGAGAAATACTATCCTAATTTTGCACGTAATTATTTTTGCCTCTTTTATAATATATATTAGATGTCATGTTCCTAAATTTGATAAAAATAGAAATTATAAAATTAATACAATGCAATTCTGTTATGTAAAATGCTGAAATAAGAAGAATACAAAAAATTAACTATTCGATCAATAGGAAAATTTTTCAAGAAAAATTAAAAATTTTGGAATGAAAAAATTAAAAATTAAAATAAAAATTCACAATAAATAAGTTTAATCAAACATTAGCATGGTAAAGGATTAATTAATGAGGTCAAACCTCAAAAAGGTGTAAGAGAATGTTGATCAATTAAGATCGAACCCCGGTAGCATAAATTGGCTGAAATTTGTTGGCATTGAGCTTGGTTTAGGTTCAACTTCATCGAAGGTAATGATATCAGACGAATCAAATTCGATAGGATCCGAATCGAATGTTTCTGCGAAGCCTTCTGGCATGAAAGTTGAGCGAACGCAAACAGAAAAGCTGCTGCTTGTGTTCTCGCTATCGCTTATTGAGCTGTTATAAATCTCATGATCAGTGTAGAACATTTAGCACAAATGGTTAAATGTCACTTTTAAAATCAAAACAACACGTTAATCAACAATCTTACTATTAATGTGTAGATTGATAAAATAATAACTAATTGTTTTGATTTTTCCAAACATTTCAGAATTGCGATAAAATTTCTCTGAAAAATTTTAAAATAAATTACGGGGAAGAATAATATATTTTTATTATATATGAATTTTGTAATTGTTATTATATTTTGTCATTTATAAAACGATGAATTGAATTTCGATAACCTGTGAATATTAAGCTTTTATCATCTGCAGTATTAATATATATAAAATTATTTTGCCATTTATTAATTCGTCAAATTAATAAAAAATAGTAAAATATCTTGTTACTATTGGTATTATAGATATATTTAAAACATGTATATATATATAAATTGATAAAATCATATACAAAAAAATTGAATATTTTCAAATTTGAATTGAATTTGACTGTTTATATTCAATTTTGATTGGTTCCATATTGCATGGATATATCTATATTGTATACTATATTTAATCACGTTTTTAATAAGAAAAATTAGTTGCTCATATCTCTTTCAAAAATTCAGTGGTTTTAATTCCTTCCGTAATTAGATAATTTTAATTCTTTTATTTGAGTAAATAATAATTATCAAAATTTTTCTTTTTTTACGGTTATCGTCCAAATGTTGGTAAGGATCATTTTTCCATTTAAATATAAGCTACTTATATAAAGCCAATTCTAATTCTCTCTCAAAAATAAAAAATCACTGATAATTTTCCGAGACAATCCCATCATCGATTTTTTTCTTTAACAATTTCAGTACATATACATCTGGTGCAACATCTCCTTTCATTTGGTATCGGTAATGAAATGGAAATCTTTTCGGTTATTCATATAAAAAAAAATATAGATTATGAAAAAAATGTAAATGCTTATATTTATTTGGTGAGCATAATTCTAAACACTAATACATATTTAATGGCAAACGCATGATCTCAGTAAGTGCTTCATATGATAAAATTTTGTTATATCTAGAGAACAACTATTGTCGAATTCTAATATTTCTAAATTTTCATATTATTAGTAGTTGTCATATTGAAACTCAATGATATTGACATTTTGTCATGGAAATTTTAAATATACCTGTATTATATAGATATAACGCATTATCGACATTCACAAATATGTTTTTGCTATGAAGATAGATCACTGCAAGAATAATGTATTCTGGAAAGTCACAAATACTACTTTCAGAATTATCAAATTTATATGAGTGAAAATCGATCTATCAGACATATCTTTTTACATTGAATCATTAAATCAAATTTGTTATGTTTTTTATGGGATTGTAACTCCGAATTAAAAATACAAATTCAAATTTTGCATGATTATTCAGATAAGATGTTAGATCTTTCAGAATATATAGAGTACAGCGGAATTATTATATTACAATGCTTTAAACTGCCAGAGCAAATATTCTTGAACCTATAATGAGATTTTTGGCATTATTATTTTTTGAAAACTGACAAATATTTTCTTTGGAGTTTCAATTTGATACTCCAGATTCTCCATCACTTCTACTGCCATCATCTACAAAATCTAAATGGCCTGCTTATAATCATAATACATCAAATAAAGATATAAATCCATACAACATATAATTCATCTAAAAGTTCTAAAGATATTATTGATATGAGAAATGTATTAAATATGATTAATTAAAAAATATAAGAAAAAATGTAAAGCACCGCTGGTCTAATGGTAGAATTTCACCTTGCCAAGGTGGGGGTCCGGGTTCGATTCCCGGGCGGTGCAGTTCTTTTTAATTTTTTTGGTACAATAAACATTAAAACTAACCTCATTCTGCCCCCACTAATATTGATATTTAATCATAATATGAATCTCAATGTATAAGAAAAATATCAGGAATATCAATTTCAGGAAAAAAAATCGCGATTATTTAAAACATTGCCTTCTTTTCTGATAATACACATATACATCATATTACTATTATAAATATATCCCAAATCTACAAGCATTTTGATTCTATTTAAATTTCAGATATTTTCATTAATTCGTTGGACCAATTTATATCAATAGTATTAACATATCGCTGCCATTTGGTTCCTGTTTTGTTCTCCAAGCTTTTTAACGCATTGGAATGATCTAAAAACCATTCGATCACATTGAATGTTTTATGTTCCATTCAATTTTAACTTTCAATTTGTTTATGAATATAGGCAAAATTCATTTAATTAGAATAAAGAATTATAATAAACCTGGTTCATAAATAAACTTGACTTCAATATGTTTTTAATCAAAGGGATAATGTTATTTACATAATGTTAAAACGCAGTAAAACAACCATGCCATTGTTGTTGATCAATATTTATTCAATATTTGAATATGTTCTGAAAAAATCAGAAATTTGAATAGGTGCAATATTACGCCAAACTAAGTAATTTCAGACTTTTATGCTTACAACTTTACTTGTGCACACTCAGTCCATAACTATCACTGGTTTAATTACTAACTTCACAAAGTTAGCCCCCAGAGATGATTATCTTTTCACCAAATGTTATTTTCAAAAAATAGGAAATATTAGCTCAGAAGCACCTGTATATATTGATTCTTTTATGAGCTCGAACACAATCATTTTTTCAGAGTGCTTCTTCTCTAATTGTGCTTCGAATAAAGGAGGAACAATTATGATTCATGGTTATTTTACAATGAATATAGAAAAGATTTGCGCCTATCAATGTACCGCCGCAACATCAGCATCAATTTATATAGATCTAAAGGGTTACAATAATGTTAGCCTTTTTTCAGCAACTAGTTGTGTATGTGATTCAAAAAACATGTTCTTGAATGGAGTCAATCCCTTGTCAAATGTAAATATGACACAATCAAAGACAAATAATAATGTGAATGATGGATTGATCTATTTTCAAACTTCCTATTCATTCGAGTATTACTATTGTACAATAACAAACAACACTTGTCCTTGTTCAATAGCTATTCATTTTAAATGTTATAAGGAATATTCACTTCATCATTCTGCGTTCTTCTATAATAAAGTTTCAAATTATGGTCTAATCAGAAGTGTAAAATGTAGTTCGAGTGGAAATGTTCATGATGTCATTCTTCAAGAGAATGAATTAAATGGACATCAATACTTTGAAGCAGAAAGAAGCACTGTTATATTAGTGAACGATGTTTATGTTGATGATGATGATAAATTAAGTGGTATCCAAAAGCAAAATGATATCATTATAACTTCAAATATGAAACTGCCGCAATATGAATATTATCAAACAGGAGGATGTATGATGTTAATTGAAACTCCCTATAATACAATTGCAATGACTCCATTTAAGACTGTCGCATTTACTCCTGGATCAACAATTAAAGAAACACCTTGTATTACAGAAGCTCAGACCCCCATCAGTACTCCATTTAATACCTTATTACAAACTCAATTTGCTACTCCTTTTAAGACAGCAGTTAAAACAATTTTTGAAACACCATATCAAACCAATATTGAAACTCCATTCATTACACATTTTGAAACTCCATTCCATACAATTGCTGAAACACCGTTCAGCACATTAATTGAGACTCCACACTATACCTTTATTGAAACAAATAAAGAAACACCGTTCAGCACATTAATTGAGACACCACACTATACCTTCATTGAAACAAATAGAGAAACTCCATTCCAATCAATTGATGAAACACCATTCAATACATTAATTGAAACTCCCCATTATACCTTTGTTGAAACAAATAAAGAAACCCCATCCAATACAATCTCAGGAACTCCATTTGAGACAGCACTGCAAACAAATCAAGAGACACCATTTAATACAATAGTTGAGACTCCTTGTTACACCATTATTGAAACAAATCAAGAAACACCATTAGAAACAAATGCAGAAACTCCAATGAATACAAAAGCTGAGACACCATTTGAAACGAATGCTGAAACCCCTATTAATACATTAAGTGAGACACCTTATAAAACAAATGCATTCACACCTTTCTACACAGAATTTGAAACTCCAATGATTACATTGTATCAGACACCATTCCAAACTTTAGTTGAAACACCACATGAAACAATGAGCATTACAGTCAAAGAAACGCCTTCAACTACTGTATATGAAACCCCAGTAGAGACTAATGAAGAAACACCTTATGCAACAAATAAGGAAACTCCACAATATACATTTGCTCAAACAATTAAAGAAACTAATGAATTCACTCCATTTGATACCCCGTATTTTACAAACAAAATCACTCCATGTGTTACACCATATCACTCATTAGGTGAAACTCCAAGCTTGACACCATCTCATGTTCCTCCTTCATCTGATACATCGAATTCTCAAACATCATCATCTGAAGATACAAAAACTCAGAATATAACGCAATCCGAAAACGCAGATGATGGAACCACAACGAAAAAGAAGTCATTCACGCCTATACTTATAATAATTATTGCTGTAAGTGCAATTGTTTTGATTACTTTCGTAGTTGTTGTTTTGATATTATTCAATAAGAAGAAAGAAAACGAAAATGAAAATGAAAATGCATCTAAATCAAGTAATGATGGTAGTACAACTGTTGAAGAAACTGTTATTACTTGTTCCTCGCCTACACCTTGTGTAACAATTGATAATCCTCTATTTTCAACCTCAATGGCTGATGAAACAGATCCATTTAATAATGATTACGCCGAATTTGAAGGAGGTGATTTTGATATATTCAGGTTGTGAATAAACATGATCTATACTAATACATAAATTAAAAACAATAGCATAATAATATCCATTTTGAATATCTATGCTTAAGCAAATATGTTGATTGTATTTTAACTGTTGTACTCGGCAAATGACAGAATAAATTTGTTATTTGGATGAAATATAATTTGTTTTATGATTTTCAGGATTGCATTGGATTTAAATACAAGGTGTGATTATCCTATGTTCGATCAACTAAGTTTTTTTAAGTTTTGATTTTTCCATAAAGTAATATAAAGCATATTTCGATCACATTTGGCTATGAATAGCATTGTCAAGTAACAAAGTGCATACTCTTGATTTTTTTAAGATTTTTGATGATTGTTGCAATCATTTGAATTTCAATAGAAAACAAAAATTCAGAATGACAATCATAAGAAAAACAGTTTATATACATGTATGTAATATATTTTGAGATTTTGCAAATTTGTCACTTTTATAATGAATTAGTTCTTTCTTTATCATCATTGATTAGTAAACAAAAATTGGTGATTTTGAAAATTGAAGATTGAAAGAAACGATGAAAAATTTTGAATATATCGGTAGGGTTAGATAACATTTTTCATATTAGTTCTTGTCATTAAAAAAAAGAATGAGCAACCTTTAATTCCGGAAAGTCATGAAACAAAGACTTCATTTAAAATCCCTTTACTTAGTATGGCTTGTCTTGCCATGCAAGTTGCTGGTACTGCAATTTGGGCATTAGTTGATCCAATGATGACAAAATTGGAAATGTCACGTACTGTCAAGTTTTTCATTTGGTCCATTGGTCCATTTAGTGGTCTTATTGTTCAACCTATTGTTGGATACTACTCAGATCGTTGCGAATCTCGTTTTGGCCGTAGAAGACCTTATATTTTTGTTGGTGGTGTTGGTACATTCCTCGGACTAACAGGATTATTAATACTATACCTATTTTCATCGAAATTATCCAATATATTGATTACTTTCTTCTTATTTGTCACTATAGTTTTCACATATGTCTCCATCAACGCTTTTCAAGGCCCTGGACGATCAATCATCGCCGACCTACTTCCAGAATCGCTGTTAAACAAGGGATTTGCCATGGGCGCGATGTATCAAGGCTTAGGCGCCGTAATAACTAACTTAATTGGAGGAATTGGGTATTTCATCAACTCCCCCAAGTACCAGAAAAGCACTTTTGCCCTTACACTTTCCATTGTTTCCTTCACTGTCTTCGTTTCTTTAACAATTACGATTATTCATTCAAAAGAAACGCAGTACTTCGACCAAAACGAGAAAGTTAACATATTTAAGAAGCTCTGGGACTCAATGGTGCACATGTCTAAGCCAATGGCACGAGCATCTTTCTCAATGACGATGAGTTGGGTCGGAATCACAGCATTCTTCGTCAAACTCACTACTTTCTTCTCAGTTGAAGTGTTTACAAGCGACCACGATAAAGGTTTGTGCTTCGGATTGTTCGTAACTGCTGTTGTCAACTTCATTTCGTTTATTTACGGTTATGTGCACGATAAAGTTGTTGATTGTTTCGGAATGAAGCCTGTCTATCTCGTTGCGCATATTATTTTCACGGTTTGTCTCGTTGCAGTCAGTTTTACGAAAAATCATTGGTTATTACTTGGAATTTTCATGCCGCTCGGCTTCGCGATCACGTGTATGAACTCTATACCGTTCGCAATTGTCTCTGCCGATAGTTCTCCTGCAGATTTGGGAATTAATCTGGGAGTTCTCAATATTTTCATCGTTTTGGGCCAACAGATCACAAATTTGTGCATCATAGCAATCGGAGCAATCTACCAGAAGTTTTCTGGTCTCCAGAAACTCGTTGGAGAAAATCAATTGTATATTAGCTTCGGATCTGTTGGAGCATTGATCGCAGCGTTGTCTTCTTTCATTCTGATTGTTCCAAAGAAGAAAGAAGATGGAATTCACCTCGCAAACACAAATTAATTTTTAATTTTATTTTGTTTTATGTTTTAATAGATGTTTTCAAGATACTTAAGTCAAATATAAGAATATTAATATTGTATTTCTTGTTTTTTGACTTATTAATTTTGAAAAATTTGATATTAGTAAATATAAGCTTTTTAGGAATCTAAATGTAATTGTCTCTTAAAATATTTCCGAAATTCATATTGAAACTCCGTGGCTTCCTTTTATAATTCAAAAAAATTATTGAATTTTCATCAATAACCGTATGATTAAAGAGGTAAACGTAAATTTCGATTTTAAGTATCATCAAAATCTTAACAAGCGAGTCTCTCAGTAATTGAAGTAATTTTGGATTAGATTTTGATTTTCTTCTTAATTTTCATGTATGATTGGATTTTTCATTTTGCATATATTTGTTTTGATTTAGTCTATTTGTCTGAAATTATAATTTTAGGATGGTCATAGTCGACAAATTCGGATAATGGGGATAAAAATGTGATAGTTTTACCTATTCGCGCTAGTCCTGATTTGTAAATCTCGAGATTTTTTGATTCGTTGAATATTTTTGTTTCTATTGCATCTGCTGCTTGATATGCGAGTAATGAATCATCTTTAGTAATTTGTTTGTAAAGTTTTGATATTGTGTTTCTTGCTTTTGTTCTTTTTTCATGTGTTATTTCATCTTTTGATGGTAATTTAAATGAAGATGGGCATTTCCATTCTAAATCTCTTTGAACTGGTCCATATTCGTGCATTATAAGCTTGACTTCGAAATTGTTAGCTTTCCAGTCATTGATTCTTTTCATGACTTTCTCATGCAAATCATCATATGACATTTAAGCTAAAAAATGAACTTAAATGAGAAAAGGTTATATTAGCTTCCTTAATGTGAACCTGAACATGTGACTTATAAAGAACAAATCTATAAATATCGAAAACAATCATATCAATATTCATTCAGAATTAGATGAATTCATAAATTTAGTGGAAATCATTTAGTTAATTTATCAGAAGAACTATGAAATCGAATGTAATTCTCAATGTTGAAATCTGAAATCAAATTTTCACAAATTTACTTCATCTTCAAAATTTAGACTACATTGGAAGAGAAATATATCAAATTAGACTTAATATTTTTAAACATCAAACTAAACAGATATAAATACATATATATGCAAAGGAGTTATATGAAATGGCATAAACAGACGACAGGTATTTCCAATATCAATGCTACGATCAATAACAGGGGTATATCTTGGAGGCAAGCTATTTTCAAAGCCAGTGTTTCCAAAATACAAACGACCATATGCAGTCTTAAGCGCTTAGCCACATCTAGTAACAACCTTGAATTTTTCTCCTATGGCTGGAGTATAAACAAAATATTTCGATAATCTATTGATTTGGAGGAAAAATATATTATCATACGTATTTATACATGCCATGTATTTCGTGTTTAAAGCAGTAGAAATATTTACGTATTCTTCAATTAATCGATTACCATCTTTTTCCCAAATCATCTGAAAAGAAGTTCCAGGCATGAATATCCATAGATTTGTTCGCTCGGATTGAAATCCGGCAACTAAACCACCGGTTCCATTTTCCCATTTAAACTCAAAGCATTTTCGACCAGAAATAATCTCGTTACTGGTATATACTTTATAGCCTTGTGAGTCATAGTCTAGTTTAAATGCTTGATCATCAGCAGATGTACTAAAACTAAGGTGATTTTCCTCATAACGAGACAAAAAAAAAATAAAACTTTTTTTTGGATGAGAGTTACAGTGATTTGCTAAAGGTTCCTACAAATACAAAACGATGATTTTTCGATTTCGGTAATGCATATGTAATATCCATGTACATCGTGATAGATAGATGAAGAACTGAAGTTATTTACTTGCCAGTATTTGTGATAAAAATATTATACAGTAATTTGATGCTTATATATCACTACTCCGAAATTAAATTTGTTTTCCAACTTGAAACATGAGTTAAATTATGTTTTGAAAAATAAATCGATTATATTTCTCAAATTACTTGAATAATCAGAACTAAATATACCAAATTTACTAGACATATATGATTTGAGTTTCGCTATCTCATTAATATTCTCATAAATTGAAAGTTTACATAAATTCTTGTTAATATTGATTTTTGAAAAAGGTTTTGTCATATTGAAAACCTATCAATAGATATATCTTAATGATAAAAATATAAATTGGTGTAAATTGTTTGTAGATACGCTTTCGATGTTGGAAATTCTATCGCAAATTCATCGAAAAATTGGAATCAAGATTTGAATTTAAAAGAAAATGTACACTTATATATGTGTGATAATATGTTTCGCATTGTTGATCCTCAAATCTAACTTGAGAATTCCAAAAAAAATTCGAAAATTTAATTTTGATGTGAAAAAATATGATTTTATCATTAAAATAAGAAAAACATAAAAAATTTGGAATTATAAAATTATTTTATAATTTGAGTTTGTTCTAAAATAAACAGTTTTGCATCTATAAGATTTGCTAATATTGCATAGATACATTTTTCGAAAATTTTTATCATATTTGCGGAAGTTTAAGTGTAAATTTTTCTTTATATGGTAAAATAGAATATGTTTATTGTAAAACAAACGAAATAAGCTAGTAAACAAAAATATATTCACATAAATGAAGGTTCTGTTTCAAGATTTTGCAACGAACTACTTTTACAAGCAAAGAGAAATGATATATTCAAACCACAAGTTACAACTCATCTGAATTTAGACAAAATTTTGTAAATAAAAAAAATTCGTAAAAGATTTAAAAAGTAATAAAGTTTAAACTCGATCTGATAAAATAATTCTGCAAGAAATTCGTATTCATGTTAAAATATAAAAAAAATATATAAAAAAAGGAAGTAAATTAATTCTTTGCAACAAGGATCTGAGCAACAGCGTCTTCTGTTGTCTGGCCATCCTTAGCGCGGAGCATCTTTCTAATTGACTCGTCAGATTCAGTGATTCTCTGAAACTCGTCGTGAGCCTTTTCTACTCCTGCTCTGTACTCGCGTTCTGTAACTGCCTGTGCTGGGTTGAAGAATTTAGTGAATTTGTCGACGAATTGGTTGATTAACTGCATCTTTGTTTGTTCGAACTTAGCTTCAGCTGTATGTAACTTCTCGTCCATGAGTGCCTTCTCTTCGATGATTCTTGCGCGTGCCTTAGCATCAGCGAGCATAACTTCGCGTTCTAATCTTGCGAGGAGGGATTTCTTCTCTTCAGCGGCTCTCTGCTTCTCCTGCTGCAACTTGGAGACCTGTCCCTTGAGCTGTTTGTTGGCTGTCTCGGAATCCTTGAGTTCTCCAACTAATCTGTTGACATCCTGTGTCAATCCTTCGATTTGCTTCTGGAGCTTAGCGATGACGTCATCGAAGTCCTTCTTTGCAGCTGCAGACTCTGTCTCCTTCTGCTGCTGTGCCTGGTTGAGCTTGTTCTTGAAATCTTCGACTGTCTGGTCTAATTCCTTCGCGAGCTGCTCGTTCTCGTACTGTGCTTCCTCGAGGGACTGCTGCAACTCCTGGCTCTCTGCCTTCTTGTTGACGAGGTCGTTGGAGAGCTTGGCGTTCTCCTGCTTGACGTTGTTGATCTGGCCAACTAAGTCAGCAACCTGTGTTTCGTACTTTCCGGCGAGGGCGTTTGTCCTCTCCTCCATCTCGTTGACGTGGTTGATGTCGCCGAGGTCTCTCTCCTGGACGGAGTTGTTCAACTGTGTCGCGTACTGCTCTGTCTCCTCTCTTGCCTGCATGAGGGAGCGCTGTGTGGACTCAACCTTCTGTGTGAGGTCGTCGTTCTCGTCCTGGAGGCGCTCCTTCTCTTCGACTAACTCCTGGATCTGCTTCTTGGACTGGGCAGCAAGATCTGCGTAGGCCTGCTTGTAGCGGCGGGCCTTTTCGTATGTGGCGGCGTATTTCTGGTTCTGGGTGTCGATGCCAGAGCGGATTGCGTCGATGTGCTCGTCGACATCTTGTCCCTCTTGTAATTCGAATGATTCTGCGAAGTGCATTAATGTCTCTTGCTGGTTGCGAGAAAGTGCTTGTAATTCGGCGAATTCTTGCTTGAGTTGCTTGATTGCCTTGACAATTTCAGATGGAGCTTGGCCGGTCTGGAACTGCTCGAATGTCTTTGGCTCAATGCCAAGAGCGATTGAAGAATCAACAACAAATGTTGTAATCTTTGCCTTTGTGTTTTCGAAGTTCTGGTTGGCCTGGGAAGCGTTCTTGTCTGCCTTGTTGATCTCCTCTGTGAAGAAGTCATCGATTTCGGCGAAGACATGTGTCAACTTTGAGGCTGGAAGGAGGGATTGGTTTGCAGCGATCTTGTCGATGGCTGTTGAGAGTGGTGTTGCGAAGCCAGCGTAGTGCCATGCGTCTCTTGGGAGCCACTGGTTTGGATCTGGCTTTGGTGTGTTGGCAATCTTGTTCTGTGCCTCTCTGAGGTCCATGGAGAGCTGCTGTTGCTTGGCCTCTGCTTCATCAAGCTTCTTCTGCTGCTCGGAAAGTGTCTTATCCTTGTCGTGGATGGTATTTTCCGCAGTATTCAAAGCGATCTGCTGGGCCATCAACTTGTTGTTCAATTCCTCGAGTTCAGCCTTGAGCTTCCTTACTTGCTCCTTCATCTCGTTCGATGGCTGCTGTGGAGCGGCTGGCTTGGCCTGGGAGTTGCTCTGTGGCTTCTGCTCTGGCTGCTTGGCGTGGAGGGCCTGGCGGAGTCCCTCGATCTGCTGGTTGAGGCCGTCGTTGAGGGACTGAAGGGAGTCAAGCTTGGATTGGAGAATCTTGTTCTGGGAGTTGGCGTCATCGCGCTGGTTCTCTGTCTGGATGAGCTTGGCGCGAAGGTCTTCTGCTGCCTTGGAAGCTTCGTTGATGGCTTTGTCGGACTGTGCCATTCTGTCCTTCAACTCCTTCTTCAAAGCGTTCATTTCGGCGGCGTGCTTGTCCATTACCTGCTGGAGGTCGTTGTTGGATGGCTGTGGAGCAATTCCCTTCATTGGAGACTTGACAGCGGAATCCATCATAGATGTAGGTAATGTGATATCACGCTTGACAACAGTGATGTCGTCGTCATCATCCTCAAGCTTTGTTGGGGCTGGTGTCTTGAGTTGTGACTTGAGATCGGATAATTTGCCGTTGAGGTCGTTGATTTGGCGGCTGAGGACATCACGGTCGTGGCGGGCGTTCTCCTGAGCCTCGTCGAGCTTGTTCTGGAGGTTCTTGATTGTCTTCTGGTTGGCGTTATTCTGCTGCTTAGCCTGCTGGTTGTTCTGCTCGATCTGCTCCTGGAGTTGGGCGATTGTCTGCTTGGCCTGCTGGTATCTCTTCTTAAGATTGTTGTACTTCTCCTCGTCGACCTGTGGAGTTTGTGGAATTGGCATTGTCTTTGTAGGAGACTTTGTTGGGGACTTCGGAGCGACTGGTGGCTGCTCGATGATTTGAGGTTCATCGAACTTTTCGATGATCTGGTCTAAGCTCGAAATGTTTTCTTTGAAGAATCTTCTTGCGGACTGGATAAGGCGATCATTTTGGGAGGCGACGAGCTTCTGTTCGGTATCTCTCTTGTTCAACATCTCCTGCTGCTCAGCAATCTGTGCTTTGAGTTTCTGAATTTGCTGTTCGTATTGCTTCTTAGAAGCATCGTAATTCTCACTCATAGCAACGAAGTCTTCGCTGTGGAGCTGAGCGGATGCCTGAACGGTGCTCTTGATCTCGCTTTCAAGCCTTGACTTTTCTTCATTGAGCAATTGAAGGCGGTGATCGTAGTCATCAATTGTGCGGGTGAGATCAGTGACTTTGGCTTTGAGTTCGGAGTTTTCGTTCCTTGTTTCTTGGAGCTTTTGGATGAAGGAATCAACTTGTTTAACTTGAGCTTCAAGTTCAAGCTTTTCGGATTTGAGATCTTCGATCTGATCCTGGTATTCCTTTTCCTTGGCTTGCCATTCGAGTTGTTCTTCCGTCATCTCTTCATTTGGGGTGGCGGCAATTTCTTGATCACTCATGAAAATGTTTATGAAGGCAAACCGCCAAAATATTTATTTTTCAGAATATAAAAAGTCTTACATCAAATTGTTTTGATGATAAAAATATTATTTGTTTTCATCTTAAGTTTTTATTCGATTTTTCAGATATTGAAATCAAAGTTCAATTCACATTTTGTAAAAATGAAAAATTTGTGTGAGATTATTAGGAAAAATGCATAATTATGAATAGAACTAGATCGATGTAAAGTTTTTTTGGCAAAGTCGATTTTGAATTATTTTACATGGTTGGAATAATTACTAAATATTTGGTTCATCATAATCCCTTTAATTTTTCTTGTAAACATGTGAATAAAATGTAAACATTTGAAAAAAATAATAAAAATTGAATGAAATAGAAATTAAATAATTAATTTGCCTTTATGAACTATTACGTTTTTACTCATAAAATAATTTTCTTTGAAAATGTTTGATAATCAAACTCAATTCATTTATTAATTGATGTTGTTACGGATGGTAATCAAGAAAATATGCGCATTTTAATAATTTGATGAAAAATTAACGGTCACAAATGCTAAATATTATTTTTCGGTTTATTTTGTATTATTTATATATAATATACAAAACTGATTTTAATTATCGATTTATATTTTTTTAACGAATCCAAATTTTATCCGAAATTTGAAATTTGATGAAATTTATGTATATTTTTCCGTAATAATAGTGTAAAATTCATTGGTTCTTGATTTAGGGTTGTACAAACTGGCACGCCTGCTGGCACACCTTTTTTGGCCAGCTGGCACGATTTTTTTAAAAAACACATTAAAAAAGTTACTTTTTGCCCCATCTAATGAGATTTTTTTTTACAATTTTTTTCCCCTTATTTTTCAATTTAGATATGATTTTAAGCTCTCCAAATTGAAGTTTACCTGATGTTTCTTAGTTTTTATGATAATAAAATGTTGCAAAGTTGAGTTTGGATTCAATAAATTTAAGAAAATTTTATTTTACAATGAAATTATAAAAAGGATGTTTTTATCCTATGTCAAAGAGAATACATTTGTAGATCCCGACTTTTGACATGGTTGAAAATTCCAAAAAAAAATTCAAAATTTAAAAAAAAATTAAAAAATATAAATTTCATGTTAAAAAATGATTTTTGAAATTTTTTGGAAAAATAGAATGTCATATTATGTTTTTTATTGCTATTTTTTACGAAATCAATAAAATATTTGTTAATTTGGCTGAGATTATAAATAAAATCTTTCTAAATCTTGCAATTGATTGCTAAAATCTGTTTTATGTATTAATTGGCATTGAGATTCGTTATAAAAGAATGCGAATTATTTTGTATGAGTAAACGTATTTTGTAAAATTTCAAATTCTCTTCTCTCATTACTTACCTTAGAACTCTCGGCTTTTAGCTCTCAGATTTCGCTCATAGAACTCAGGTTTTAGTTATGTACTCATAGATGTATCATTACTGCCCGCAGATCTCTCATTACTACCTTACTAACCAGATCTTAACTCTCATTACTACCTTACTCATCAGATCTTAACTCTCATTACTACCTTACTAACCAGATCTTAACTCTCATTACTACCTTACTCATCAGATCTTAACTCTCATTACTACCTTACTAACCAGATCTTAACTCTCATTACTACCTTACTAACCAGATCTTAACTCTCATTACTACCTTACTAACCAGATCTTAACTCTCATTACTACCTTACTAACCAGATCTTAACTCTCATTACTACCTTACTAACCAGATCTTAACTCTCATTACTACCTTACTAACCAGATCTTAACTCTCATTACTACCTTACTAACCAGATCTTAACTCTCATTACTACCTTACTAACCAGATCTTAACTCTCATTACTACCTTACTAACCAGATCTTAACTCTCATTACTACCTTACTAACCAGATCTTAACTCTCATTACTACCTTACTAACCAGATCTTAACTCTCATTACTACCTTACTAACCAGATCTTAACTCTCATTACTACCTTACTCATCAGATCTTAACTCTCATTACTACCTTACTAACCAGATCTTAACTCTCATTACTACCTTACTAACCAGATCTTAACTCTCATTACTACCTTACTAACCAGATCTTAACTCTCATTACTACCTTACTAACCAGATCTTAACTCTCATTACTACCTTACTAACCAGATCTTAACTCTCATTACTACCTTACTCATCAGATATCTAATTATTTACATATGATTTCTCACATCTCACTCAAGTCTCATTACTTACCCTATCTTTTTAACCTTTTCTGATAATTACTGAAATAACTAAATCCTTTTTTTAGTTTAATTCTGATATTAAATTTTTAAAATCTCTTTAATTTTTTGAACTACGCCTTTAATTTGTAATTGCCGATTTCACAGATTTGAACCATTTAATAAAATAACATTATTCAACTTAATCATATCAAACATGGTAGTTTGATTTTCAGATCTACATTTTAAAAACCTCTTTATTATCTTGAGTTATACTTTTATTATATAATACCTGAGTTCATAACTGAAAACTCTTAATTAGAGTACAATATTCAACTTAATCATAACAAGATTTGTTGAATTTCAAATTTGATTTATATCTTCCATCACTTAAAACTCTCACAGCTTACAATATAAGCTAAAAAGTATATTTTCATAGTAATAAAATTAATTATTAAATTTTTTACGAGAGAGGGTCAAAGTTGCTATTTGTCACTTTTCCACAAGAATATAATGGGGAAAAAGTTATCATATAGTTGATCTCATTCACTGACGTGAGAGATGCATGTAGTGTAATGTGATAAACAGTGTGATTGCTGCTCTAAGTCCTAGGTTCGAGACACATTGGCTTCATTTTTCTCTTTTTTATTGACGTAAACTATTCAATTTTTGTGTTCTCCATTCAAATTTCAGAATTTTTTTTGCAGATTTCACGCTACATTCGAAGTTACCTTTTGTAACAACCACCACTGCCTACGAAAGACGAAAGTGTGTCACGATTTCACCCGGAAATCCGACGGTTGTTTAAGAGTATGCACTTTTGTCACCTACTCAATTTTTTACTTTTTCCTTTCCAAAACTAGAAAAAAAGGAAGGGAAAAGGGAAAAAGAAGAAAGAAAAGAGAAAAAGAAAAAAAAGAAGAGAAAAGAAGAAAAATAATAATGAGCATATTATATAATTGTGGTCGTAGGCCGAGTGGCGTGGAAAGGGTGGAGCCCGAAGGGCGACATCCTTTCCACGCCACGAGGCCCGATTTTTGGCCACTTTTTTGATTTTGGCCGCCTGCCAGGAGCTGGCACGCGGCCCGCAAAATTGTGCCAGTTTGTACAACCCTATCTTGATTTGAGTAAATAAAATTTATCTGATGAAAGAATCATCTTAAAAAACAGCGAAATTTCAGAGATGTGTTTAGAAATATCATTGAACAATTTTAAATTATGAATATATTTTGATTTAAATATGAACAACAGATCACCCATACCAAATATGTAATTATGTAACAGTTGATTTCATCAGATTTTATAATTTAACGCTGGCAATTTTTTTTTACATTTTGCAATACTTGGACTTCGATACAAATTAATATCAAACTAAGCACCACCAGATCATGTATTGTTATGAGCTAGTTTCTTTTGCCTATAATTCTTACAATACAAAATCAATTCGCATTAGATTTAAATGATATCCATTTCATTGAATGACATTTTCAATGTAACTCACAGGGGTATATATATGTTAACGAATTACTTCCTGCTACAACATATAAAAGACATGAATTCTCAAAATTTACAATCATCACAAGTTTTCCCATATCAAACAGCTCATGTTTGCTAGAACAAGAATAACCTAAGCTTATTTAGATAGTTGATTAAAAATGAATTTGCAACGCTTAGATTAAAGACTTTAAATATGCAATAATGCGCTGATAAAACGTATCTTATAATGTTATGAGTAAACTTCAGAAATTACGAATCTATCTATTAAATTAAATCATTATTTTTTAAATATATATTTCTCTGTAAGAAGGGAACGTTCAAATCACATAGAAATGTAAATAATTTGAGTAAGATGTTTGGAAATCAGAGCTTTTCTAGCCATCTCGTGTGTATATTTTTTAATTAAAAAATTTCATTGATTTTGTTACAGATTGCTTATTTCGGAATTCGATTTTTGTATGCTATGCATCTTCTAGAAGCTATCCTCTTCATAACCATCTTGTGTTCATAAAAAAATAAAAAGCTAAAATTTTGAGGGTCGGTCACCCATTAAAAAAGGGAGAATTTTTTATTGTAATGAAGCCAAATTCAGGAGAAAGTCCTCCAATTCCTCAATTAAACATCAAAAAGAAGAAAACTCCATCATCTATTGATTATTACATTGCAGAATTCGAAGCAAATGGGACTTTACCTCCTCCTTGGATGAAAAATGAAATTTTGCAAACATTAACAAGACGAAGAATTGATGCATCTAATGATGCTCGCTACCTTGAAGCCGCAAAGTTCCATGATACATACAAAAAACTTAGAAATGCTTTTTTGAACGAAAAAACAGCTCAAACAAAAATTATAACAACAACACGCAATCCAGATGGCAATATTTCAGAAATACAATCGAAAAAGCAAGCTTTAGACCGTCAATATAAAATTAAAAGAGAAAAACTGGAAGCAAAGAAAGAAAAAGTCCTTCAAAAGACGGCCGAAAAGCATTGGAAAGAGATACAAGAGTTCAAAGTCTGGTGGGCAAAACCAGAATCCCTCATCCATTTTGCAAAGCCATCAAATCAGCTACAAAACCTTCGTGTTCGCGAGAGGAAGCAAGCAATTATCTGTGACTACGAAGGAGCATCCAAGACCAAGAAGATTGCAGACGAACTCGAGAAGAAAGAAACAAAAACTGCACAAGAAAATGCACGAAGGTCCATGAAAATCCAGTACAACCAAATTGTTTCCAGACACAATCTAGAAATTGAAGGAATCGAACACCATTACTCCCGCAAGCTTATAGAACTAGATAAATCATACCGTGAAGGTGTTGAACGTCTAGAACTTTCTCTTCGCTGGCAGAAAGTCGAACTCGAAGAGCAGAATCGTAAGATTAATTACATCTCTACTTATACTAATGCAACAGTTCTGTATCCTTCTATTTTTGATGAAGAATCGGATGTTGCACTTACTCCTCGAACTTCTGCGAAAGTTCATAGCCATAGGACAAAAACTAGATCGGATCTTCTTCAACTTCAAGGAATTGAACTATCTGACTAATAAATATCTTTTTGTTTGTTTTTTTTATTTAATTAATTCAACATTTTTTTTATCGATCAATGTTTTCATTACAAAAAGTCTTAATCCATCATTTTTCTCATAGGTTTATTAATTTTTAGATGAATTGTTTAGATTTATGATATGATTTAGAAATTTATGAAACAGATATTCCCTTAGAATTTTTAAAATTCTTGTCCAACACACTACAGTCATTTTGATTTTCATAAACATTCAAGAATTAAAAAAGAATCATATCTTTTTGGGATAATATTTTTTATTTAAGAACAAATTGAAGCTAATAATACAAAGAGATAAGGAAAATTATTAATTCCTTTAACAAATGGATTGGGAAAGTATTCTCCTTCTTCTTTGTTAGGGTAATTGAAAGGAGATTTGTTTAATAAAGGACATTTATAATAATATGTGTTCTTAAAGGTTGGTGGCATATTTATTGACCTAACACTATCTGTAACTGAGTTTTCAAAAGTTATTGTACTTGAAATAGCTCTAAAAATGTAATCAATTTCATTATTAAAAATACAACAATAGCTCATAAAAAGATCTGAATTGGAATAGATCAATTGACCACTTGTACCTTTATTTCGAAGATAATTACACATAGTAATTTTAAATTTTGATGGATATGTTTGATTCATTGAGTGGTGATTAAAATTACCCGATGATTGATTATTTTCGACAAGGTTAACAATCGTGATGTATGAGTCAGATGTAATTGATTGAACTAAATAGCCTCCAATATCATCTTTGACACGATTTTGTGTAATATTGCATTCATTCATGATACAAAAACCATATCTCATGGAAGTTGTAATTCTGCAGGTTTGTTCTAAACTTCCGCAGTTATAAACTGATGTTTCATTAACATGATTTTTGTATTTAGGCAATATCGTGACAAAAACCAAAAACGATGGTCCATCACGGAAACTTGTTGAGTTTAGGATTGAATTTTTGGTTTGCACAAATTCTCCTTTATCATAAAAGTAAATAGAACCTCCAAAATATGTAGAGGAGCATGAATCAAATTTATTTGTTGTTGCATATGCTTTGACATCATTGCTATTGGTTTTGAGTCGAATGGTACCATTTGGATGTAAATCAAGAAAAAAGCAATATGAAATAAAGTATTTTAAGTTACTTTGTCTTGAAAATTCAGTGCCATTGTTGATATGTGATTCATCATATATTGATCCTGGGAATATATCTTCCCAGGATTCTGAGATAAAATTTCTGACAATTCATTTCAAAAAATTTGATCAGATTTTAGAAAATAAATGTATTTTGAACGGATAATAAGTTTGGTAAAATCTTCATAACGGCTATATTCAATAATTGAGAACCTTATAAGGCTTTTCAAATTTCTACGAATGTCATATACAGCTGGATTATCTGACTTTTTAATTCCTTTTCTATATGAAAGTTTTGTGAAGATGAATTTAGATATTAAAGGTGAGCGCAAAAATTTTGGGTTAAATATTCTGTAGAATGTTCTTAGCCTCATTTATAAATCTAACATATGCCACATATGCTTGGCATCAAAAACGCAGCCAAACTTGCACCAATATAATAAGTGTATTTGCATTTTGGGTATCTTATTATATTTCCGCGGAAATACACAATGTTTATTGAATATTTTTGGCTGACGAGTAAGGTTTTTCATATGTAACTATTGCGATTCTAGAGTATGGGTTTATATAATTGATGAACCATAAACTTGTATTAAGCAATATACATATACATTCTAAAACAAATATTCCATAAATAGACACGTTTGTTCTAAAATATGAATTAAAATATCTGATAAGTTCTTGTATTTATAAGCTGCATGCATTATCTTCGAGGAAATGCACTTTTGCAGAACGGAATAAATAAAATCAACTTTATTTATAGATAGTTTATATTCAAAATAAACAGTTGAGATGTTTTTCTCTTCGTGTGATATTGCGCCATGAATGCTGCAATGATCGATAAAACTATTCGAAATAAATAATTTTGATGTTTGAGATATTCCTTCAAATGTTTTATCATTGCACCCATTATTCAAAATCGCGCAATTATCTATATAAATTATCACTCCTACTGTTGCATAAAATGAAATCATTTCTTCTTCGCAATTACTAACAGTATTATTTAAAATATTGCAATAACTAATATTAGAACTTGAATCATAGCCAAGGACAATTGCATCTGACTTTATTAGACAGAACAAACAATATTTTGTAATTGTTACAGAACTTCTAACATTAATATAAAATCCTGCAGCCACATGAGCAACAATATCTGTCATATTTATATATTTTATGGTACATTCTTTTATTTTCATATGAAAAACACATTGATTTTCATCAAATTTTGTAAATTTTTGAAGTCCAAGTTTGTGAAATACACTTTCTGAGATATCACAACTTACATTTTGATTTATACCATTTAAATCAAAATTTAAATGTTGACCTTTATTTTGAGTGCCGCAATTGATAGCAACTATTCGGTATTCGATATAAACTCCTTGGGCTATCAAGTATATATTTGCTGCCGTACTCTGAGATATATAGTTGTTATTGAAAATTGAATTAGCATTTAAAAATTTAGTTAAGTTCCCACTTTGGACAATATTAATTGTTGTAAAAGTGAATGATTCGAATTTACAATGATTGATGAAAAATTTATAGAGCAAAGTGTTAATTGCGGGATTTCGTTTGCATTGAATTGGAGATGGTGTTGGATTATCTTTTGGAAAGAATTTTGCCCATAAACTGTTAGTAGATGAACAAAACACAACAGTAAGTAGGAGAGATAACTCCAATTAAAGTTCAGATTTGAACTTTAGGTAAAAAAAAAATAAAGTACTTTTTTTTTGCATAAAAAGTAACTATCACATCATTTTTTAAGAGTCATATTACACTTGATTATATCAGACTCATATCCATAAAACATAATGCTATAATAGGCTTTTGAGTGGGACCCATAAAAATTGAGAAAGTAACAAAATTTGAAATAAGTGGATATCATTGAATCCCCTTCAAATTAATGCTCTTAGAATAACCACTAAATCTATACACCAGGCACAGAAATGAATTATACATAAGATTATTCATCCATGTCATGAAAATCACAAATTAAAAACCCAAAAACAAATAAAAGTTTGATTTTTGTCACTTTTCAAAAATGAAGTCGCAAAAAATCACAGTTCTCCAATTTTCTAATGTTGCTTTTGAAATTCATCCAGGAATTGAGAATATTGGAACATTTTCACTTGTTATGGAGAAGACAGATTTGCGATTTGAGTGGAAACCATTGAATCCACTTCAATACATAGGAAATGCATTTGATACACAGAATTTCAGCATTATTGTTAGATTGTGTGAAGTTATCGAAGTCAGTAAAATATGCGAATCAATGTCTGTTGTGTGTCTTGAGTTTGTCCTTCGAAATAACGTCAAATTACCATTATTCCGTTTCAAAAATTCACCACAATCATCAATTACACATCTTTTAGAATTCCTTTCATTCAAACATTACATTAATCAGTCAAAATTAAACCAAAATTCTTTTTCAGTAAAATATCCATATACAAAACCACTTCCAATCAAAAATTCCATAAGTGCGCTAGGCGCAGTTGCATATTCCGCACATCAAGGCATCATTCAACAATTCAAACAACAAATTCCGAAACAAAATCCATTAACTCTAAAAGATATCTCATTATTCTTTAGGTCAGACGGTTCATTATCGATCGAACTTGATACATTAATCACTAAAATCCACAAAAACGGGCTAGAACCAAAAGCAAGATTTCAAATTTGGCCTTATCTCTTAAAAATCTACAAACCAGACATGACAAATGACGACAAAGATAAAGTCATACAGAAACAGATCTCAGAATACAAGAAACTCCAAGAACAATACAATTCTTTACTAAAATCCCAAACAGAAGGGGTTCTTAACATACAAACCATCCTCAGAACAATCTCAAATGACGTAAACAGAACAGATCGAAACCTTCCGCAGTTCAAAGACCAGAATTCTCCTTATCTTAAAATGGTATCAAATATTTTAACTGTTTACGCCATTTACAACAAAGATACCGATTACGTACAGGGAATGGGAGACATTTTGTCACCTTTTATACTACTTTCAGTTGAAAAATTCCAAAATAATGAAACCGCAATTTTATCTGACGGAAGAAATGTTTCTAGGACCGAAGCAGAAGCGATAGTCTTCTTCATGTACGCGAGTTTCATGGAAATAATGCAGCAGGACCGCATTTTCACTGATTTAGCGAAAAATCAAGAAATAATTCTTGAAAAAGTCTTCGAAATCATCGAGTATTTCCACAAACCATTGACGAATTGGATCAGGAGTAAAGAGCTCGAGACAATGACCTTTGTTTTCAGGCACATTTTGCTTCTTTTCAAGAGGGAGTTCGAACTCCAAAAAGTTTATGAAATTTGGGAAAAATTTTTGAGTTCTGAAGAACCATTTGTTCTTCCACGGTTCTTCCTTGCGTCTATAATCATGGAGATCTTCCCGAAGATGCTCCTGGAGACAGACGGATCGATTGGGGAAGTGATGACAGCTGCAGACAAAATCTCGAAGATGCTGGACAGCGAAAGCTTGATTTCCATGTCCGAACTGCTGAGGGAGAGGATTGGCTACAAGGTGCAGGACGCTGTGGAAGCGCTGCCGAGGAATAACCAGTACAAGGACAGCAGTAAGAAACTCAAATATTTGATTGTTGAATAAAGTCTATTATATTTTTGTTATAAAGAATAATTTTACACCCATATGATATATGTTAATTTTAAATCACTCTTCAAGATCGTTGTCAGTAAATGTACCCTTTATGATTTTTTGAAAAAGATATCCATAATTGCGTATGTATTCATAAAGCTATTTTAACTTGATACATATGGTAATATAATGTGGAATTTCATATAACAATAAGTTAAACAAGAAAAATCGAATTCATTTCAATGTCAGTGCCAATTGGGTAATTTTTATCTTTTTATTATATCCTTTTATACAAGGTCAGTAATCCGGGATTATGTAACTTCATGAAGGGTATACAAAAAACTTTCTGACATGTTCTAATAAAACCAATACATCTCGACCTAAGTTGCAAAAATGCATAACATGCATATTAGGTGCTAAATGTTGATTTATAATAACTTTTACCCGACCAAAAATACTACCTTTTTTTACCTTGGTGAAAAAATTGAGAAGATGTCAGATATTAGTTAGAACCAATTAATGGGTTCCCAAATATAGTTGACAATTAGAAGTGTTGTAAAAAAAAGAATAATAATTTTTTTTACTTTTAAATTAATGTCTTCTTAGCTTTTGCAAAACTCGGTAGTTTTCATAAAGCAATGGTGGAGAGCATGGAGCTCTCACAGTAATGACATCTGGCAGATCAATTCTTGATCCATTCACCGGTATATTGGCGAATGTAAGTTGATTGTAATTAGAAGTTGCAATAATGCGTTTAGGCTCACAAATAGAATTAAGAGCTTGAATCGTTTCATCACTGCTGTCATCTTCAGTTCCATAAAAGTAAATATACTCAATTTTATTAGGAAATGAGCTTTGAAGAAGTTGAACATTGTTTGCGAAATATAAAATATTAATATTTTTTGTGTAGCGAAAAGCATATGAGGAAACAACTACATCTTCACATAACTCAACGATTGTCAGAGAATAACAACTATTAAATGCGTCTTCTTTTACCAATATACCTGGGTATATAATAACACGTGTTAAAGATGTGTTGGCAAATGTATAACTCTCAATCGAATCCATGAAGATAGAAAGTGCCATTGATCGTAATGCGCTGCATCCATTGAATGCATGCTCACCAACTTTTGTAACTCTTGAAGGAAGCCTAACTTTTGAAATTCCACTACACCCATAAAATGCATAACTTCCGATTTCGGTAAGTAAAGGAGAGAAGACTAATTTTGTCATGGAAGTACATTGATAAAATGCGCTTTCTCCTATTTTTACAATACTTGTTAATGGTAATAAACTAATGTTTAGCTTACTGCAACAATAAAATGCATAAGATCCAATTTCTTTGATTGAAGTTATTTTCTTAAATGTTATGTTTGTTAAAGAAATACATTGATAAAATAATCTTTGAGGTAATACCTGGACTTCCCCATTTATTTCGATTGATGTTAGATTTTGACAATTTTCAAATGCAGAATCACCCAGTGATGAAATGCCTCCAAAATACAAATTAACTAATGCTTTACATTGCTTAAATGCCAATGTTCCAATTGATATTGAAGAAGAATAGAATATTGCTGAAATCAAATGAGGGCAATCGTAAAAACATTCATCTCCAATTTGGTTTAGATCTTTTACTTCAATTGATTCAAGTTTCTTAAAGGATTTGAAACAGTTATCTGCTAATCTGGTAACACAATAAAAATAAATCTGTATAATATTTTGAGAGTTAGTAAATACATTTTCTGGGAAAACATCTATTGAACAGCTGAAATTCACAGTTTTTAGATTCAGGCTATTGCCGAAAGAACTTGATGAAATTGAATTAATGTTTCCAGTAATTGTAATGTTTTCAAGTTGATTGCATGATGAAAATGCATTCTGATTAATAATAAGCCTATTACCATCAATGGTTAATGATACAAAAGCACAATTATAAAATGAGTTTTCACCAATCGATGAAAAATCAGTTAATCCATCAATTGTTGAAAGTTGACTGCAATTGTAAAAAGATTGACTACCTATCTTTTTAATTCTATTTGGTATTGAAAACGAAGTTAAAAGAATGCATGATTTGAAGCATCCTTCTGGAATCATATTTATATTGATTTCTGATCCAAAAGTTGCTGATGAAAGTGAAGTGCATGAATCAAAAATATTAATACCAAGATTATTTGCATTAATTGGAATTTCAATGGATCTAAGTGATGTGCATCCTGAAAATGCAAAATCACCAATATATTTAATCAATTGGTGAATATTTACTGATTCCAAAGAAATGCACCCTGAAAAAGCATAATCATATATTTTAGTGACAGACGGTGGAATTGTAAATGAAGATAATTTAAAACATTTCGAGAAACAATAAAAAGGAATTTCTTTCAATGCTGATGGGAATGAAACATATGACAGATTCGAACATCCACTAAATGAGATATATTGATCATTATAATTATTATAGTAGAAGGAAATTGAACTGGTAACAGTGAAATTATACAAAGTTGTTGATTGTGAGAAAGATGTAGATTTAATTGAGTCTATTCTTCCATCAATAAATATAATTTGGATATTTTCTGAATATACACGCTCCCCAATATTGACATTTCCTTTGATTGAAAGATATTTCACATTTGATTGTGAAAAACAATTTGTGTTGAGATTAATTGTTTCTGCTTCGAGATTAACATTTTCAATACAAGTAGCACCAGCGAAACAATTTAAATTCAATGTTATTTGTTCTCCAATAAAATTAAAATCTTTTATCAAATTACAGTCATTAAAACAATAACTATTAAGTGAAATTGTTTGGGAATTTATTGTTAAATTTGATAGAGAACTACAATTAGAAAATGCATAACTTTCAATAGATGTCACTGATTGTGGAATGCTAATTGAATTGATTCGTATACAATTACTGAATGCATATTGATTAATAGAAGTCAATCCACTTGGAAGGGTAATCTGAGAAAGTGATGAACATCCAGAAAATGCTGAATTAGAAATAATTATAGTTGATTCAGATTGAATCTCAACAAATATGATACAACTGTAATCTTTAAATGCATTTTCACCTATTGAGTTTACATTATATAATCGAATTTCTTTCAAATGAGATCTGGAATTGAATGTATCTGAATCAATACTTTCAATTTTACCAATTATTGTAATATTTTCCAGGTTTGTTAATGAGGAAAATAGATTTGTGTAACGACTAGAAACATATCCTCCAATGTATAAATATGATAGATTGAAACAGTTATTAAAACAACCAGCACTGATTAATATGTTACAATTTATTATGAGTTTCTTAATCGAAGTGCCATAAAATGCATTATAATATAAAGTAACTGATCCACTATTGCTCATTAGTATAAAGATTTCTAGCATTGGACAATTTAGAATGAATTGCTTCTTAATTTGCGATATACTTTCAATTTGAAGACTTCTCAATGCTGGATTATTTTGGAATGAATAAGCTTCTATTGAAGTTATCACTCCATTGAGATTAATCATCTCAACATTTGTCAAGTTAGAAAATGCATAAGCCTGTATTGATCTAGTATTTAGATTTAATGAAATTGATGTCAATCTATTACAGTCAGAAAAACAATAAGCTCCAATTAAAATTATAGATCCTTCAAAATCAAAACCTGAAATATTACATTTTGCAAAGGAATATTCCCCAAGTGAAATTGTGTTTGAGGAAAAGCTGATTGTTGTTAAAGATATACATTCATAAAAACAATGCCCCTGTAAAGTTAATTCTTGTGCATTAAATGATAATGAAGCTAGTGATGAACAATTTGAAAAGGAATATTCACCAAGTAAAATTTTGTTTGAGGAAAAGCTGATTGTTGTTAAAGATATACATTCATAAAAACAATGCCCCTGTAAAGTTAATTCTTGTGCATTAAATGATAATGAAGCTAGTGATGAACAATTTGAAAAGGAATATTCACCAAAGTTGCTTAGGCTTGCAGGGAATAAAACCATACTAAAAATACATCCAAAAAATGCATAATTACCGATTGAAATGCAACTATCCGATATATTAATACTTTTCATTGAGCTACATCCATAAAATGCATAATTTCCAATTGATAAATATCCTTCAATTTCAACATTATCAAGAGCTTTGAAATTTTGAAAAGCTTTTTCATTTATATATTTGACACTTCTTATACTTATTTTCCGCAAAGTTAAATTCGCAGTAAATGCATCTTTGTTGATATTATCCATACTACCTAAAATCGTGACATTTTCGATATTTGTTAAATCTCGAAATGGGGAAGAATTACTTGTAGTTACAGATCCATTTATGAATAATTCTTTTAGATTACTACAATTATTGAACATATTCTTTGAAGTGAAAGTATAATTTCCTCTAAATGTCAACGATTTCAGATTTTGATTATTAGCAAATGCGAAATTACCAATAATATCTAAATCATCTGAAATATTGAGATCACTGAAATTACATCCATAAAATGCATAATCTTTAATAGACCTTAAATTAGATAATATAGCACTATCTGAAAAAGATGTACAATTATAAAAAGAATTTTCCCCAATGATTTGATATCTTGATAGATTATTTAGTTTTTGCAGTGAGATGCAGTGGGAAAACAATTCATGTGTAATTTCTGTAAATTGACCTATTATAGTAACTTCTTGTAATAAAGAGCAATTATAAAATACACCACTTCCTATCTGATTTGTTATTGCTGTAAAACTTGTTAAAGATATACAATTCCTAAATGCATAAAAAGAAATAGATTCAAGTGGCAATATAATAATGATATTTCTAAGAGAAATGCAATCTTCAAAGCATTCTCCTGGAATTTTAGTTGCTTGATATTCAACTGATTTTAAATGACGGCATCCTTTAAAAATTCCATATAAAGAATAACCACTAAAACGAAAAAATGGAACAGTAATAGCAATAAAGTTGTTGTATGCAAAACAATTAGACTCAAAATATGGGCTATCAGAAAGATTAATACTCCTCAGATCAACGATGGAACAGTTAAAGAATGCTTCTTCATTAATTGACGAAACTCGGCGTTTTGATGTATAATTTGTAAGTGAAATGCAATTGGCAAATGCATATTTTGGAATACTATAAAACCAGCCTTCGCATTCAGTTAAATTGAAACAATTCATAAAACTCCCTGTATCGATACAAGTTTGTATCAAAAATTTCACTTTTCTTAATCCAAAACAATTTTTAAAAGCATAATCATAAAGTGAATTTCTCAGAGATAATTCATTTAAACTTGAGCATGACTCAAATGCAGAAATCCCAATTTCACCTGATATTTTGGAAAAATCAAAACTTTTTAGAGATTGGCAATTAAAGAATGCTTTGTCATTAATATGACATTCGTTGTTATGTATCACAGAAACTAAATTTACGCAGTTCATAAAAGCATTTTCTCCAATTACTGTAACTGAACCGAGATTAACTTCTATTAAGCTTCTACAGTCTTGAAAGGCACCATTTTTGATAGTCATTAAATTACTATCACCTCCAAAATATTCAATTGAACTGAATAAAAAAAAGAAACTAGGAATTTGTGAAATATTTATTGTTGTGGCGTTCTTAATTTCTGTATTTCTTTGAAAATTTGACGAGTCATCAATTTCATTTTTTAAAATAAATACTCCATTTCCTTTATTCTCTTTATTATCTCCCGAAAGTGATTGTATATTGAAATTTGTTTTAGACAAGAGATCTGCATGAATTAATGAAATATAAATCATGTTTAAAAATGGGTTCATTTGATTCAAATGTGTATCAAATGGCAGATTATGCCAGCTCAGATTTTTGTGTAGATTTCAAATTCCAGTTTCTTAAAAGATTTCCAGATTGCCGATATTGTTCAAAATTCTCAGAATTTTTCCAATTCTTGAATTAAAATCTTATTCAAAATTTTCATTTGAGAGGGAAAATCAATAATATTTTAACAACCGACAAAGATACAGTTTGCCAGACATCCTTTGATAAAAATTTCAAGTGGTAAAATGTTTCGAAGGTAAAGTTATTATAAAAATCCTCCGAATCACCTTAAATTATCAAATACAATGGATGGTTGATCTTGTATGCTAATTTTCGAAATGGTGTAATTTCACATGAATCATAATTTTTCCATCGCAGTTCAAAATTTGATTACAAACTGTCCAAAAATGTATTAAAAATTTTCCAACCATTACAGAACTTAAACAGAAGTCAAAATATGAATTGTATTAAAAAAATTAATAATTTTCAAAATTAATCTTTAGAGATAATTTATTAATTAAGAAGAGCTGTGTTTAAGCATCCCATTCCTGCTTGTTCTCCCACTCTTCGTTTGTGGCGCCAGCCTTGATTTCAGCCTTTGGAACAGCGGCGTTGATGATAGCGCCTTCTTCAGAGACTGTCTCTTCACCCTCAGCCTCGAGAGCCTCAGCGATCTTGGCTTCATCAGCGGCATCACGGTAGAAGAAGAGATCTGGAAGGACAGACCACTCCTGTGTGCGTGTAAGGGCACCACGGAGGCGGAGAACCTCACGTGTGAGGAGCCACATGACGAGACCCATGGAGTTTTTGTTCTTTGTGTTGCATGGGATGACGCAGTCGACGTAGTCGAGGTGGGCATCTGTATCACAAAGAGCAATGCATGGGATGTTAGCGTAGGCGGCTTCGTGAACGGCCTGGGAGTCTGTGTTTGGATCGCAGACGATCATGAGGCGTGGTTCGCAGAAGTTCTTGATTGAGTAGTTTGTGAAGAGACCTGGTGTGAAACGCTGCTCAACGTAGTTAGCGCCGAGGAATTCAGCGAATTTGTGGACGGCGCGTGTACCGAAGGACTTTGTGGAGATGGCAAGGACATCCTTTGGTTCTTCGACGGCGTAGATCATACGAGCAGCAAGCTTGATCTTCTCGTATGTCATGGCGAGGTTGATGACGTGTGTGCCATCCTTTCTGCATGTGAAGACGTATGGCTTCATTCCGAAGGAGAGGTTTGTGGATCCGAGGTAAACCTTGGCAGCAAGCATCATCTTGATCACGGCTTCGCGATCAGCGTTGGCGGCAGTTGTCATTACGAAAGGCCCAAACAAACCTTCTCAAATTCAAAGGACAGCCACACAAATAATCGTCTTAATAAAGCATTTTAAACAAATATTTAAAATATATATCCATTATATAATCTAAATAATTTATAAACGCCCATTTATAAACAAAAATATATAAAATGCAGTTCAAAAATTATTAGCTATACCACGAATACTTAAATATTTGATATTTACACGAGTATCTAATTTGGGTTGCAAACATAATAGTATGCATTTTCATATGTAAAAATATCAAATTGAGACATTATTATCTTATCCTATGATTCAGACGAGATTTTAGATTGAAAACATGCTTAAAACTAATGTACACATAAAGTTTCATATATCTTCATTTATTTTTCATAAGATATCTTTGATCATTATATTATATTCAAAATATATGTATAATAAGCAAAATTTCAATTACTCTAAACTAAAGAGTCTCGTCTGATCTTCATTTATAATGAAAATACATTGATAAAAATAAGAACTTATTATTTGAATATTACAATCTAAAACCATAATTTATTTCTATAAATCAAATACTGTATAGCTTATTCTTCATCCTTTTTCTCTTTAGGCTGCTTTGGTTCTTTCTTCTTATCGAATTTCTTCTTTTTCTCAGGTTTTTCCTGATGATCTTCCTCCTTTTCGTCATCTTTCTCTGTATTTTTCTGTTTTTTATCGAATGGTTTTTTATCTTTCTTTTCGAATTTCTTATCTTTGCCTTTTTCTTTCTGATTTTGTCTTTTTGCTGGTCTTTGCTTCTTTTCGGATGTTTCAGCATCCTTTTCAGCTTTTTCTGGTGTATCAACATTTTCTTCATTTACTGGAGGTTTCTTTTCTGCTTTCTCCTTTTGCTTCTTTTCCATATCAACTTCCATTGCTTGAATTGATTTTGTATCAACAAGCCCGCAAAGGTGGCAAAAGAACTTTAAATCCTCCTCCATTTTTGTCAGACACAAATTTTGCGCTCAAAGAATTTTAGTAAAATTATTTTGTAATTACACTATAATCTAATCAAAAATCAAAATTTCCAAAAATTGAGCTTCAAACTAATACAATAGAGAATAATTTCTTTGTTTATGAGTTCAATACAATCAGAGGAGTAATGGAATAACGGATTTATGATATAGTGAGTTGGATTAATTGAGTTTTGTTCAGCTCATTTGATATAAAAAAATCAAATAAAATTAATTGAACTAAATATTTTATTTACAAGATCTGGCTGAATAACTTATCGTTATTGGCATTGATCTTGTTGAATTTTCTCCTTGCAATTACAGTTGCACCAATAAGTCCGGCATCTCTATCGAAATGAGGACGAACAACAAGCGGCATTGGGATATAATCGTTAATAAGTTCACTTGCTCTTGAATAAATCCTATCGTAGAGGAATCCTCGCTTTGGATCTGTTGTAACTCCTCCTCCGATAACGAATACATCAAGAGAGTAAGCTAATGCTGCATTAGCAACAATTTGAGAAACATATTCAACATATAGGTCCCAAATAGGATGATCATTTTGAATATCTCGAATTTCATACATGGAAATTCCAAGTCTCTTTGAAATTGCTGAAGCAGAAATCAAACCTTCAGCACAGTCACCATGGATGTGACAAACACCAGAAAATGTATCATTTTGTAATTTCTTAATATAAGTATGGCCAAATTCTGGATGCAGGCGTCCGTGATAGATAGAACCATCAGAGTATAAGCCAAGGCCTATTCCTGTACCAATTGTAAGATATGCTAAAGATTTAATCGAATTATTCTTTTTTGAAAATTCAATAAATTCACTATATGCTGGGGCATTTACATCAGTTTCCATTGCAATAGGTATGTCTGGGAAGTATTTTCTGAACTCAGCTTTTACATGAAAATAATACCAACCTTTTTTAGGAGATTTGCCAATTGTACCTGATTCCACATTCAATGGACCAAAAGAAGCAATTCCTAATGTTTCGCATGTATAGCTGGAATTTCTCAGAATATTTGATAGAGTTAAAATCAAAGTTGCTGGGTTTTCGGCTGTGATACCCTTTTCTTTTAATACATATTTACCATCTTCATCTATAATTGCTGCAGAAGAACTTGTTCCTCCAAGTTCAATTCCGCACAAATATTTCATAAAAAAAAATAATAAAAAAAGTAATTATGAGTATATGAAAATTAAATTCCCATGAATGAAGATGAGAAATCTATTATGCGAAAATGCTTTACTCAAACAGATATCTGTTTTCTGATTTCAATTCCTTTAATAAACTAATAACATAACGAGAATAACTTACTTTTGATATGGTAGTTAGATATCGTACACAAATCATCATGTATTGAAATAGAATTCAATTTTCAATTTGTTGTCAATTTAAAACATCTTTCATTAGCAATATGTCCGAGCAGCCCTATGATAAGATATAATCTCACATCCATCATAGTGAGAATTTGATGAAATAGAATTTCTCATGAATATATTCACTAAGTGTCGTCTCTTATGGGTGACTTTTTGAGGTTCATCCAAAAACAATACAGTAGTTTTTCTCCAACCCAAGGCAATAAAAATTTGTCCTAACCAAAACAATTCTGTCAGTTTTTTTATTTTTCATTTGGTTCTCGAGTTTACCTAGATAATGATTAATGAAGAAGAGTTTAGTGACTATATTACAACAATGAATGAAATATTTCAGATGAATGGACCTGGCATTGATATCGTGGCAGATAAAATTGAAGAAATCTTGATTAGAAAATACAAGTTACATTTTCAATCAATTCTTTGTTGCATTGATAAAGCATCCCAATACAATAAATCTCATATTAAAGATTACTGGAAATTATTCACATTGCTATTTGAAAAACACCAAATTCATCTTAAAAAAGAAAGATTTAGCGAAATGTTTCAGAATCTGATAATAAAAACGCATCAAACAAATTGGGAATGCAAAGAAGATATCTCTTGTAAATCAATTGATGATATTTTGAACATTTATCCTGATGATTCTTTATTAAAAATCATTTTATTTGATGATGTCGAAAAACTTAAATCCAAAATTGATGAAATTGATATTAACAAACGAATAAAAGACCAGAACATCAAATACAAGCCAATAGAATGGTGCTGTTATTATGGTTCTCATGATTGCTTCTTTTATTTGCTAAGTTTGAACGCAGAAATTACAGAAAAATGTTTGGAATTTAGTATCATTGGTAAAAACAAAGAAATCATTGAAGAATGCCTTAAAACACAGCAAATGAATAATGAAGGCTTCAAAAACACTATAATTTCGCATAACTATGAGATGACAATATACATGATCGATAATTTTAAATTTAAAATAGAAGATATTGTTGAATTTTATAATTTGAAGATCTTCATTCATGTTTTGAACGAAAGAGATTTATTTGACGAATGCTTACTAGCTTGTCCTGTATTTGGACTACCACAAATCGCAGAATTCTGTATAATGAATGGAGCAGATGTTAATTGCCATGGGAAAAATAAAAATACTCCTCTTCATTTTGCAGCAATGTATAATTCAACTGAAATTGCTAAGATTCTGATTGATAATGGAGCAGATATAAATGCATTAAATAAAAATAAGAAATCTCCTTTGGTTTCGGTTGTAGAATATTCTTGCTTAGAAATGGTAAGTTTTTTACTTGAAAATGGCTGCGAAAAAATCATGAAAAATGGATTATCTCCCATGCATTTTGCCTCTGATATAAATGTACTGATTATACTGAAAGAAAACGGTTTTGATCTAAATGCAAAGGATCATCAAGGAAGAACTCCACTTCATTACGCTGTGATAGATAATAATTTAGAAATCTTAACTTTTCTTATTGACAATAAAATTAATGTAAATGAAAAAGATAATCAGCATGAAACAGCTTTGCATTTTGCTGCAATTTATAAACGTTATGATATAGCAAAACTTCTAATTGCAAATAAAGCAAATGTCAACATGAAAGATAAACAGGGAAGGTCACCTCTGCATTATGCAGCCGAAAATGACTCCCTTGATTTTGTAAATTTACTTATTGAGAAAAAATGCGAAATAAATGCACAGGATAAAAATGGATGTACACCATTGCATTGCGCTTCATTCAATTCAAGAGTTGAAATTGCACAGCTATTACTTGCTAACAAAGCAAATCGAAATGCAAAAGATAAAAGCGGAAAAACTCCTTTTAAAGTTGCTAAAACAAAAGAAATGAAAGGTATTTTAAAGGTGAAATAATTTTATAAGATATTGAAGTAGTATCACATGAAAAAAAAAATATAAAAGAAAATTAATTTTATAAGTTCGTATAACTATTTATTATAAAAACAATCTATTGACATTTAACATGATTAGCAGCGATCTGAGATGACATTCTGATCTTATTTTCGCCAACAATGTGACGAATAAAGAAGAATGAAGCGAGAACAGCTACACCATAGTACATAATAGCTGTTTCACCAAGGAAGTTTAATACTAATGTTGCCGAAATGAAAACAAACAACCCGGCTAAGGCAATGTAAGTTATTCCTCGTGAACTGACAAGGAATTTGAAGAGTTCTGGGTTTGTATCATCATATTCTTGCATTCGAAGAGCTGTTGATGAGAACATTTGTTTTGGATGTCTGTTGAAAAATGAATAAAAATTTTTTTGTTAATTTTTTTGACATTTTGACTGCTGTTATGTTTTCAAAATTGAATGGAAATTTTAGTCAAAGAAGTTTTATTTTGATCGAATTTATGTTGTTTGTACTGAAATATGCATTTTATTTTTTAAGATGGCCATGAAAGTTCGAAGCTATAAAGCAAAGCATTACACAGTATCAATGATATATATGACGTATAGGCATACGATGCATCACAATGATTATGTATTCTTGTAAAAAATTGTGAATTTTGATAATATATGTTAATTTGCAAATTATCACGCAGATTAACGTTGTTTACTTAAACAAGCAGCTAAATTTAAAATATCTTAGTCTGATGATCATTTTGAATTAACGTGCAAATATTATGATTACTTTATGAAATAAATGTTACAAACGCAATGGCCATAAGCGAAAAATTCGTTATATATGGGCATTTTGTAAAATTAATCATATGAAATTAGGAAATCAGAAAATTATGCATTTTAACGCTTGAGAATTACTCACATATACCACAAATTGAGATCCATACCAAGAGAAGAGTGAGAAATTGAAAGATTCAACAAATAATGGAAGTCGATTGAATGAATAGCATAAATGCATGTAAATGGTTGCAAATTCATTCACACAATATAATGATGCGATAATGTGTATTCTAATCATCAATCAGTTCTAAAATCAGATTCAAATTATTTGAATCAGTTATATGACCATAAGAAGCTCATTAAAAGCAAATTAATGTGTGGTTTATAAGAATACTTCATAAAAATCTTGTATCATACTTTTATCTTCAATTTGTTCATTGTTGGATTTTTTATTTATTTTATTCGAGAAACAAGATTGCACTTGTTAATAACGTATATTTCTTTCATTAATTTGATTTCTGACAAATTTAACAAAAAACTGTCATTCGGATGTGTAATCCATCTAGAACCAAATATTCGTTAATGTTGATCTATAACTAATACAAAAAACAAATAAAACGAGGGAGAAATTCATCGGGATAACCGAAATGATCGTATTTTCATTGTTGAAAAGTGGATAACCGCCAATGAAAAAATTATTATTATTAAATGTCTGGCTGGGATTTCGACTTTGATCAGGACGAAAGTTTCGCCGCCGGATTCATCGATGCAGACAGCCTTTTCTTCTCGGGATCTCCCACATTCGAGCCATCAATCTTCCAAAATGTAGATCAAAACATTCAGCAGATGCCAGCATTAAATCCGACACCAATTCAGCAAATACCTGTCAACAGGCAAGCACCTGCTACAGGCGGTCACGATTTAGCTACCGAAAATGATCAGCTACGTCAATTTTTCACATCACTCAAAGAAAAAGCAGCCCAAGCAGAAAGCCTTAATCAGTCTTTGAAGTCACAGCTCGAGGACTGTCGTAACTGGTTCCGCGATGCGATGTTTACAGGTATGAACACTCATAAGTGATTTTATCGAAAAAATTGTATGAATAAACTGTATTTTATTTGTAATAACTACAGAAGGGAATATCCCTATAACAAATCTCCGACCTCCTTGCTCGAGATTGTTCGGGAAAATTCATAATTTTTTTTCCATAATTTTTTTTTATAAAAACTATCATTATTCTAAGTATATCTGTATTTATATGTAAGAAATCTTTTTAGCGTAATTAAGTCCGCCAACTACTTATGTTTTCTTCAAATGAAAGATTTCAAAAAAGTTACCGGAAATTAACTCTTATATTATTGGTTCTCTTCACTCTCATAGATGTAAAAACATATATTTTTGCATTAATTTTGATCTATCAACAAAGTTTGAAGTAAATTAGAAAAAATCATTTCTAAAAGTAGAGATTTAAGGTTTAATATTATATACATCTACAAACATAATTAATTTTTAGTATGAAAATCAATAAATCGATGAAATACAAAATAAAATTCTTATTTCTTCTTCGATTTCTTAATTTGAGTGGTTAATTTTTTGGGGTTCTTGTTGTTTGTTGTTATAGAGTGGACTTCATCATGTTTCTTCAACAATCTCTCTAATTCTTCTTCATTATTCTTCATTGTATTAATACTCTTCAAATTAAGGATCATCATGACAACAATTATCGAAGTTATCGAGAAAGCAATTGTAAAAATGCCTTTAATTACAAATCTTGGATTCCAAGAAGGATTCCAGTTAATTGGGCCAGAAGTTATACTCAAAGTAAAGTTTGTTGATCCGAAATTCAAATAACTCATTACTTCCCTGAAAACTACAGGGTTAAAGATGATTTCATTCGATGTCGAGTTCCTGTAATAAGTTACGGCCACTTTGCTGGGATTTTCGGACTTTGCCTGCAGATATTTCAATGTTGTGGGGAAAGAAGGAAGGTCGTATTCGCCACTTACGAGAAGAATCTGAGATGTGAAGTTTCCTTGAGGTAACCCTTGGATTTTCGGCATGTACTTGCATGCATTGCGTATCTTTTGGAAGAAGAATGAGGATTTATCGGAATCTTCCATACAAAAATGTAAAATTGATTCGGCCAACGAAAATTTCAGTTCATCAAAGCCTGGAATGTAGTTATACGCTAAGTATATTGATGTAGAATTGCGTGCAATCGAGTCCATGACAATTAAAGCATTGGGTGCCGTAGAATATTTTCTTAAATTAGTTTCTGTCTGATAAATAAAGTTTGTTTTATCGACACTCATTGTAAAAAGAATTCTTGATGGTATATTTTGTGGCGGCCATGTATAATTTGTGAGTTTACATTTCGGATCTTTCGAACAAGCCGAAAAATACCTTTCTATCAAATCTGATGTGCTTTCTGTATTGTATGATGACGGTACTGATGTATCGGCAAGGGCAACTCTGTTTATAATGTCCGGAAATTGTAACATTAACTGTTGAGTAATTAAAGTTGCGGATTTTCCAATTGCAAGTATATTAAACTTCGGTATTCCTTCTTGCAAAGCGATTTCCTTGATGTCATTTGCTCTGCTTTCCAACCAAAATTGGTCAATTTTGTATTTTCTGTTGAAATCTGTTGTTGTTTTGATAATATCCTTTTCATCTGATAGTTTTAAGAGTTTGTAAAGCTGATTATCAAATGTAATGTTTGAATCAATGCCTCTAAAGCCGATTTGATAAATTGAACCTCCCAATTTATCAAAATGTGCTAATGGAAATGATTTTTGTAAGTTTGAATGGCCAACATCACTTCTGAAATAGAACATTGGCATTGATATTGGATTTCCTATTAATTTGCTTGCTTTTATTGTGATTTTGCTTGAATGGGGATCATGTATGTCTTGTAAAACTTCGATATTTGCTTCTTGTCGACTGCAATCTTTAGAAACACAAGTCCATTTGATCAACAAAATTTCGAAAATCATTTTGTTGAAAAATTTTTTTTGTTGTAGCCCGCACAACTTAAAGTTTTACAACAGAGTAAATAAAGCATGAATTCTAAAATCATATCTTAAAGTATGTATAAATCTATAGTACAATCTGACTTTACTAAATGTTTATTGATCAAAATTTTATTTCATGATGTGTTTTCATAGCGAAGAGCAGAAATTATCTTTAACTCTGATTAAAAAGCTTTGTACAATGATTGCTGTCTCTTCATTTTTAATACGCATGATTTATTGAGTTAAATATGCCAAATATTTCCAAAATACATATCATTTAAAAGTGCCTGATAATTAACTAGCCTTTACAAATGCAGAATATCATACCAAAATCATGATTTTTAAAAATTTTCTTTTATATTTTGATTTATCTTTAATTTTTTATGCCAAATAGTTGAAAATTCAAGTAAAATATGGTTAGTATATATGATTTTATTCCATTCACAAAATATTTTAAAAAATTCAATCAATAAATTCGATAATTCTTGAACTATCGACCATCCAAACAAAGAAGAAGAGAGAAACGACTGAAAGTATACCACAAACAATGAAAAGCTGTATTCTGTAGAACAAGAAACAAATTGCAGCTCTTATCTTGAATTTCTCAGCGAAAGGAACTTCTTTCCACAACGAGTCGAACTGGGAGATTCTGATATCAGCCGATGCAATGTCTGTTTCGTTTATAAGGACTAATTTGAACTGATTTGGTCTGAAAATGCCGAGACACTGGTATTTGCCATTGCAAAGGTACGGAACAGCCTTCATTATATTTGTTGTGTTCAAATACGATGAAGGAACGTAAAAATCGATCTTATCTAATTTTTCTGAAATTTGCTTGAAATAAGCGTCATTTCCGACTGCAACGATCTTTGTGGCATCTGTTGCAACTGGATGGCCCATAAATGGTTGAGCATGATGTGAAACAAAAGTTTGTAAACTTTCAATCGAAAAATCTCCACGATAAGAGGTAAATTTACCGTCGTGATGGATGAAGACGAATGAGATGTATGGGTAGTGAGCGTATTTTTCATATAAATAAGGACTTGTAACAAATGCAAAAATACAGCCTGAATCAATGTTAGAAATAGCCAATTTTTCGAAAGAAGGCTTCTTCTCTTCAAGATCACCTGCATTAGCACGGGAAACAAGCATGAAAAGAGGCTTATTCTGTGTAATTGCTGTAATTTGTTCTGGAGTGTCGATTGTTAGATATCCGTGATTAGAAACGATTTGGCTTATTTCGTTTAAGTTTTCTGCGTCGATCTTGCGTGAAATTTTTACTGGATGCTCGTGGTCGTGAAGTGAAACTGAAATTTGTCCGGCTTGGAGTTTATACCTTGAGCAGAATGTTCTTTCTTCAAGGCAGTTAACTGAAACTGTTACAAATGTTTCGTTATCTTGAGTTCTTTTTTCAAAATGTTTGAAAGCTTTGATTTGCTGAGTCATTCTTGGATAATATGGGAATATTATTCTTGGCAATGAGGAATATTCTGGTTTATCTAAATTAGCAAGCTTATTTGTTGCTCTAAGAGCGATTGAAAAGAACATTATAATAAAAAGTGACAATTTTTGAAGTGATGAAATGAATGATTCAAAAGAAATGCTTCTGAGATAATCTAGTCATGTAATAAGATATGTTTTCTAAAGTGTCTATAATATATAGATTAGTTCTTCAAAATAATCAATTGTTTCTTCAAAATCAGTTAATCTCTATAATATCTCTTTTATAGATCTGTTCATTGCTAATGAATTTTATTTAAAAGACGAATTGCTGTAAGATACATCTCTATGCACACTAATAATGAAAATTATGAAAAAAAATTTTTGTATTATTGATAAATTTGATTTATTTCTTTTTTAAATGAAAAATACTCCTAATATAACTATCACTCCCAAATCCAAAAAATCATAAAAATTAAAAAAAATAAGAAAATTTTAACAATATTTTATTTACAAAAAGATTTTCGGATTTTTTTTTGTTTTTGAAAAAGCATTATTTTGTCGAATAATTATGGTTTTTATCATATACTCATGTAGTAAATCATAATTATAGCTTAATTCCTAATCATTCCTCAAGACAATAGAATTTCTTCAGATTTTTTGATGGAAAATTTATTTCTCAATCTGTATAAATTCAAGGCTATCCAATACAAAACTATTTTCCTGGGTCTCGACATCATAAGATAAAATTGCGCAAATGGATCAGATTGTCACACGTATCGAGGCACTCGTACGTAGTGACAATCAAAAAGAAATAACAACTGAACTAGTTAGTATACAACATGATTTAGCTGCTAAACTAGTTCTAGACATCGAAGAAGAAAAAATGGTGTCGTATTTTTCCAAATTCTGGAGCGCCATTTTTCATTTAGCAAACAGTCAATTTAGTAGTGTACGATTAACATCATACACTACAATTACAATCTTTCTGATGAAGATGTGTCCATTTTATCCAGAAATTATCTGCAGATCGTTTTCAAATGTAATTAACGAATGCGATTTAGATTCATCAAGTGCTTATGTAATTGTTGCTACATTTGCGTATTTAACAAATTACATTGCTCCGATTTTATTACAAGATTTTCTAAATACAACGCCTATTTTCCATTATTTCTTTCAAGCATCGTCACTATCATCTGATAGATTATCATCCGTTATATCAAATTTACCTTGGCTTGGAGATTATTGGTTTAATACAGTATTTGCTGCATTTTTAACACAATACATCAAAAATCCAAGCAGAACTGTATTGAACTCAGTATCCCAACTAATGACACGTGCTCCAACACAACTTACAAAGCTTTTATTACAATTTGGAAACGAAAACAAGTGGAATCAAAATTATATCACAATATTAGCATTCCTTGTTACATCAGATGACTTTGACAAGAGCTTTGACTTCTCAATTCCAAAGAATTCTGCGTTCGATTACTTAAATCAAGAATCTTCACTGGCATTCAAGAGCGATTGCTTCAAAATACTGTCTGTCTTCAATGACGGTCTCGAAATAACTCAAGAATCGCCAGATACATTAGTTTTTACACTTAATAAAAAATCAATCAAAATTAATTATCATTTATACAAAAACGAGCCAACATTCTTCTTACTACCATTACCATTTGACCTATTGGAACCTAAAGAATCCGATTCTTCCGCGATTTTCAACTCGAAATTAGAGAATATTGGCAAATTAACACAAAAAACCAATTCTCTTGACATTATTCAACGAACAATCAGCATAATCGACAGGATATCGCAAAACAATCCATCTCAGAACTCATCTGTCCTCAACTGCATCAGTTTTTGTGCAAATAACATTTTAATTAAGAGTGAAAACACAATTTTTTCGAATGTTTTGTACAGAATCATATTCACAAGCAGTAATATGTCGTGGTTCGAGTACTCCCAGATCCTCAGGTACTTCAAGATCGACCACAGACTGTTCAAAAGAGCGTTTGGATACGACGGAGAAAAGAAAGTTCGAAAAATGGCCCTGGAATTCGCGAAAAACAAAAATAAAAAGTTTTCGAATGAAGCAATTCCTTTCGTCGTCAATCTGTCAAAGTACTACTTCTACGAAATGACAAGTGAAGTGCTCTTGGATACAGATTTCTTTGATAATGAAAATTTGTCACTTCACCTCAAAATTTTAAGTGAAATTTTACTCAGAAATGAACTAAATAAAGAAAAAATTAATTTCACAAAAAGTGACAATATTACGATCATTTCAAAAAGTGACACCGACCACTTATCGTCTCAAAATGAAAAATCAGAAGAAAATAATATTACAAAAAGTGACACCGACCATTTAACTTTACAAAATGACAAAATTGGAAATTTACATGACAGAAATCATTTTACAGAGAATTATTACCATGATATTTCACATTTGAAAGAGTTACCTAGTATTTTGATGGAACTAGAAATTCCAAATGATTTAGAACTGATCAGTTACTGGTTTATTATTCTCTCTTTCTTTGACTTGTCTTCAAACAACTGTCCACAAATGAGGCATCTAATTGACTCAGCTGTTGCTGTCATCCACGCGACAACAACAATTTTGACTGGCTCTCAGAGGAGAATCACGATTTCAAACGAAATTGCACAGCCGATATATGAGAAAACAAACAGTTTCCTGATGAACAGAACAATCGACATCACTGAGAAAGGCTCAGTCGACAACAAAATTGTTCTGCAGCCTGTCTACTCAGCAACGAGATTCATCCTCTCCCTTCCTTTCGGAATTATCGACAGAAACTTTTTGAGGTCTGTCGTCGAAAGAATGTTCAGATTCTTCCCTCAAACATGTTCTGACTTTTTATTAAAACATTTCGAAGAGTTCTCAAACGAGGAAAGATTACATATAATTTGTAAACTTCACAAACAGTTGAATTCTGTCAGTTCACCTCACATTCATGCACAATGGGCTGAATTGGCATTGTTTGACATAAATGACGATGAATTTAATGATCACATCACTTCTGACAGTTTGTATTTTGTAGAGAATCCAGAGAAAATAGATGCTGATGATTTGTATGAATTCGTGACATTTTTGACAAAAAGTGACAAAGAAAAATATTCAAAAAGTATTTTGAAGTTGTTTGACGGTTTGTCAGCAGATCAAATTCATGTTTTTTGCATCCTTAGTCAGACGAAACACCAAGGATTGCGAGAAATCTACGAAAACGAGTTCAAAAGATTCACAACAATGGATTTGTCTTTTTCTTCTTCGGATTTGTTGAATTCTTTCATGAAAAGTGACAAAAAAGATGAGAAAGACATTGAGTTTTTCAGGCAGAACTTGTCTGGCTTGGATCTCCAACTGTTTGAAGAGAAAATAAAACAGGAAAAATTCAAAAAAGTTGATTTACAAACGGTTTGTCAGAAAAGTTGTCACTTTCGAAATGAAGTCACTTTTCAAACCGCCATTTTTGATTCAATTATTTTTAATGAAGCCATTGATTTCGAGAAACTCGATATTCCACCTGATTTTCTTAGTTTTGTTTATGAACATTCGGAAAAATGGAAAAAGACTGAAATAATGAAAAATATTTTGTCAAAATTCAGTCCAAATGATGCAGGAACTGAACGTGAAAATGGTTTGATCACAAAGGCAATTTCTAATTTTAACGCTTTCGTTTCTCAACTTATGACGACAGAAAAAGTGACAAAGAATCAAATGCGAGTTTTATCACGAGTTATTGAACTTGTCGACGACAGCTCCACATCTCTACCTGTTTTGCTTAATCTTCTGAAAAAGGAATACTCCAAAAACAGGAAACATTTCCTTCTGAGTTTGGTAAATGTTTATTTGAAACAGACTCATTCAAATAACACAGAACTCCGAAAACTTATTTTCTCTTTCATCCAGTCCAACCAGGATTTGTCCCTCGAATTCGTTTCAGTAACATTCAGGGAACTCTCCAAAATACACGTGCTGGAATTCCAGGAATTGAAATTAATGAAAGATTACATGGCGGTTAGCGGTTTGACATCGTTACCATACTACAACTTTTCAGAAATTTTGCTGCCGGAAACTATTTCGCAAAAGAGATACATTCCGGGCAAAACATCGCCTCTCAACGAACTCATTTCGAAGTTCATGGAAAATTTGACGCCGTCGTCAGTTTCAAGAGGTTTCAGATTGATGACAACCGTTTTAATCGTTGGAAGTTCTGAATTTGGAAATAACTTCTTCAGGAAGTCTCTTTCTTATTATATAGAAAATGTTTTAGTCTACAGACAGAATCCTTTTGTTATTCAGTCGATTTCTGAATTGTTTGAAAATATTTTGTTGACTGAAGAATTGAGTCAAATCAGATCTATTGTGATCGAATGCTTTTTGAGAATAACTGATGGTGATTATGAATCTCCTCCAATGATATATATAATCAAAAAGATATCTCCTTTGGTTGCTAATTTGGCCAGCCAGAATTCGAATCTTCTTAAGTTTATTACAAAAATTGTCAAAAAATTTGAAAAATCTGACAGTTTCGAAATTTTTGACATCCAGATGCAGATAAGAGAAAGGATGATCTCAAAGGTGGCAACAGATGAAAAGAGGCATCAAATTATAACTGATAGATTCATAAATTGGATAAGAGATCGAAACGGTTTTGACAGTTATTATATTGTCAATTTTTATGTTGATTGGCTGAATATTTTTGTGAATTACACGGACAGAGGGAATGTTTCTCAGATTGCATGTGCTCAGATACTGAGAAATACTCAGAGATTCTTCGTCGCAATCGTTCTTTTGGCGAAAGCGATGAAAGAAACTGATGAAGAGGCAAAAAGACTTTTCATCGAAACTCTCCACTCAATGAAAGCGCATTTGACTGCTGATTGGGAGTGGGAAGCAATTGCTGCTTGTTTAGACCAGAAAATGAGACAAGCATTTGATATTTGTTGTCATTAATAAAATATATGAATTTTAGATTTTTTTTAGTTTACAAATCGAAACACAAAAAATGAAACAATTTCAAGAGATGCTGTTCTTACGTACATATCAAATAATTCCATTAACCAAACAAAAGTTATTACAAACAATATATCCATTTGATACAGATGTGGCAATTTTGGTATCTAATGAAGTTCATATGAGTTCATTATGATAGCTTAAATTTATATGGTTGCAACATGAAAAGTAAATTTTATAAAAATCGTTTTAAATATATTATTATGTATTATAAGTACAGAAACTAATAATTTTTAAAATCTTTCAAATGAAAAAATAAATTTCGGAAATAATATACATAAATAGGGTTCGACCGAACTTTTCTGAATGAAACATGAATAAATTGCCCGTAATTCAACATTTTAATACTTCATAAACAAAAATAAAAAATACAAAATAATTTTATATCAGTAAATACAAGAAATAGCTAATCGGAATGAATAATAGCTATCAGACAGATAATATCTGAGTGACTAAGATGCGATCATGTTAACAACAAGATTTCTTATTTTTTTCAGAAGATTTTTCATTGTTAAGATCAACACGGTTAGGAGTATCAAATTTAAATGATTTCTGATTCATAGACTTGATGTAATTGATCACCACAGTTTCAAAAACAATATCAATACCATATCCTGTAAGAGCTGACGTCTCAACGTATTCAACACCAAAACTCTGACATAATTCGTTTGCTTCATCCATGGAAACCGCTCTGTTCGCTTCTAAATCATGTTTATTTCCGACAACCATGATAATTATATCTTGTACATTGGTTTTTACTTCATTGATCCATGATTTGACTTGCTTGAATGTATTCATCGAGGTGATATCGAAAACAATAATTGCGATATTTGCGTCTCGGTAATAATTAGGTGTAAGGGTACGATATATTTCCTGTCCAGCGGTATCCCAAATAGCCAAATCACAGGAATAGTCATTGATTTCAACTAATTTATGCAAAAAATTTGCAGCAACTGTTCCTTTGTAGCTTTCGTTAAAATCCCCGTTAACATATCTGGTGGCAATTGAAGTTTTGCCTACAAGTGTATCTCCAATTAGTACGACTTTGAGGGGAAGACTTTTCATTTGATTTAATTTTTTTTGACAAATTTTTAAAATTTTTTGCGATTGTTTTTACTTTTTCATATCTTGTTATTTTAAGCATATTAGAAAATTTTATGTCATTTTTATTTGATTCAAGCCGTTGTTATCGAACGGGACAGAACTTTAAATGATATCCATAGGATAAGTTCCAATATTTTAAAATTTTATAACTTTCCGTTACATTTCAGAATATAATTCAATTTTTGAAAGTATTCGGTCAAAATTATGAATATTATGTTTTTAAGTTCGGAATAAGGGTTTCGTTTTGCGAAAAAAACGTACAATACGCAATTTCGCTAAAAAACATTTAGCTAGCAATTTCGACCTTTGACTCCACTCAAGACGTCACTTTTTTAATTTTGCGGTATCATATTTTTGGAAAATCTTTATGAATATTATATAAAAAGTCTCTTTAATATCTATATTTCATATTTTTATCAATTTTTAAAGTTTTTGCGAAAAGTATTCAATTATTTTTGCTATTTGGTCGGGTAAATGTCAGATTTGCGACATTTTCTGATATGATATTCAGATTCTACGTTGATAATAATGCTTATAGAACCCTCTTGCTATTGTGTCAAAATTGCGAAACCGATAGCAAAAATATCTCGCAATATCAAAATTGAGATATTGAGTGAATTATGCATTATAGAGATTAAAAATCTGATTTGTGAAAACATCTCATCAGTTTCTAGCTAATTCAAAAATCTTTACTATCTTATTCGATTAAAATGAAAAGGGAATAGTTTCATTATGCTTTAAATGACAGCCTTATAATATAATCATAGTTTTCGCTCAATATGCAGCATTTTTTTTTCGAAATCTATGGTCAATGTCCTAAATACTGATTGCTTTGCATTCATATCTCTTACATTTTCTATACCCACATCACTATTCATTGCTATTCCTATCTTTTTCATTTTTGTTTGTTTCTCATAATTTCTCAAAAAACACGATAACTTGATATTTGTAAATATCATACTTTATAACGTAAATAAGAACTTGACCTATTAAGAAAAGCAGTAATGAAAAGAAAATCTGAAATTCATAAAAATTACAAGTTTCTGATGACAATTAGCTTAATTAAACCAGGTACAAGATTATATAATTGTATTTTCTATCCAATTATCCATATAATATCTTATCCAGAAAAAATAACTTGATCAATACCAAATGATTTTTTAACTAGTAAATAAAGTATTTTCTTTACACACACATTGTATATCATAGTTTTTTTTTTGGTTTCGCAAAACATCCAAAAACAAATAGAGTAGGGGTAATTTTAGCTAAAAGTGACACGCCTGTAAAAAGTGACACACTCATGAAGGGTGTGATTACCGATCGGTAATTTCGACAGTTTAGAATTTAAAATTTTTTATGGAACTGTTGCGAGTTTCATAAAGAATTTAAGGAATATAAGCAAAGATTTGAATCAAAATCTTAGACCTAAGCCGCTCGATTCGCTCGCGGCTTCCGCGAATTACAGATCAGCAAAGATTTGAATCAAAATCTTCGAACTAAGCCGATCGCTTCGCTCGCGGCTTTCTTTATTATTTTAAATTTGCATATTTCCATCAAAAGTTCATAAGGTAAAAAATTTCGTTTATTTTTACTAAGAAAAAAAAGGTTTTTGATAATAAATTTATTTTATTTCGAAAAAGTAGCAATAATCGTAAAAGGGTATTGATAGGCTTGCTAAAGTAACTAATTTTAGCTGTCAAATACTTTTGTATTTTGAAGTAAATTAGTATAATTTTTTTTACTTTTATTTCGAAAAAGTAGCAATAATCGTAAAAGGTATTGATAGGCTTGCTAAAGTAACTAATTTTAGCTGTCAAATACTTTTGTATTTTGAAGTAAATTAGTATAAATTTGTTTTTACTTTTTATTTCGAAAAAGTAGCAATAATCGTAAAAGGGTATTGATAGGCTTGCTAAAGTAACTAATTTTAGCTGTCAAATACTTTTGTATTTTGAAGTAAATTAGTATAAATTTGATATTATTTTAACTCCCTTTGAAAACCTCAATTTTCCATACAGAGGGAACGGGAATAGCATCCAATATTCCCTGAGAATGGTTGCGCATTCTCAGTTCCCTCTATATTTCGAACGAAGCTCTCATCGGTCTTTTTTTTAATACTAAACGTTTTTTTCCCCTGTCACTTTTAGCTAAAATTTGGGTTTGCCAAAACAAATATGCTATAAAAGTGACAATTTTAGCAAAACGAAACCCTTATTCGAAATTTGATTTTTCAATCAATAAATGCGTTCAAAGATAAATTAGAATTCATTTTCAATTGCTTTAGAAATCTAAATGCGAGTAAAAGTTGTATTAATAGGTGATTCTTCTGTCGGAAAGACAAGTATTTTAATGAAAGCATCAAGAGGAACGTTTTCATCAGACACTAAGCCAACAGTTGGCGCTGCAAATGCTGTTTTAGATATTCAAGTCAATGAACAAACAGTATCTCTAAATATTTGGGATACTGCAGGACAAGAAAAGTATAGAAGCTTAACATCAATGTATTTTAATGCAGCAGGACTCGCAATAGTAGTATTTGATTTAACAAATATGGCATCATTCACGGTAATTCCAAACTTTTTATCTTTATTACGCGAACGAGCTGGTGTAAATGTTAAATTCGTTTTAGTTGGGAACAAATCAGATTTATCAAATCGTCAAGTCACATACGAAAAAGCAACAGAATTCGCTCAAGAGAACAATGCTGAATTTTACATAGAAACATCTGCATTATCAGGCCATCGCATTGAAGAATTATTTCAGAGATGCGCTTCTCTTTCATTGCCAGCACTTAATACCAAATCACTAAGCCAACCAGTAGTAGAAAAGATCAATTCATCAGATCAAAACTCTTCTTGCTGTTAAAATTAATCATGTAAGATTTGAAATGTTTTATTATAGAATAAATAGATGTAGTTAATATATTTCCAATTTTTATTACATAATCCATTGTTTATTTCATCTTTTGATGAAAAAATCGATTTTGACACATTTGTCGTCAAAATGACTGATTTTTGATTGCTATATATAGCGAATGCGTAAATGTAAGACATTTCAAAACAATTCGAAATTCAATTTTAATCAAATTAATAAATTTTTGTTGATATAGTACAAAAATTGATAAAATTTAAACACGTGCATGATAAAATCAATCCCAATAATCAACAATTGCATAATGATCAATGTCAGCGAATCGTTTGATCTTGAATGTATCAGATTCTCTTGGAGCCACGTAACAAACTTTAGTATGACCGATCGATGCCCTTGTCGGTCTTGTAGCGCGGGATCTTATAGAGCTTGTCGTTGCTGTGCTGGCCCTGGCCCTTGTTGAAGCTTCTAACGCACGTTTTGCCAAAGCTCTTTCTTTTGCTTCGCGGCCATAGTACCATGTAAGACACTCTTTCATTTCCGAAGTAACTGGTGTAGGTATGCCGTGTGTCATACTAACAACTCTCGTATGAAAATTCTGATTTGATTCGATTTTGGAGTCAGAATCTACTACTTTCTTCATCACAGGATGCTTGAGCTGAAATTCTCTAAATTCTTTTGATGTTCTGCATCCATGACGAATCGCGTTACGATTCATTGCGATATAATCATTTCCTGGTTTGAATTCAGTTTTTCTTCTAGAAGAATCAGGTTGAGTTTCTTCTGGATTCTCAATTTTCTCCCAATTTTGGAACATTTCTTTTACGCCTTCACCAATATTCGTTTTGCATCCGTAACGATAGTCTGAAGGAGGAAGATCATGAGTGGATGGCGCTGCTTTTCCAATTTTATTACGAACGAGTAATGGATTCTTCAACATTGATGGACGGATGTCACAAAAAGCACGCTGTTTTACCCCGCTCATTTTTTTTTTATTTCTGACAAATATAAATTTTTGTGAGTAATATTTTATTTTCAATTAAAGTTAAGATGCTTTATATAAAATACATAAGCTAATCAATATTTTCCATTTTATATGGAATAACAATTTTTTACAACACTTTTTCTCCGATAGACACTTTTCAAAATTCATTTTTCATTGTTGTTTAAAACTAGCATCAATGATAGTTAAATTTTCATGTTAAATCGCAATTTAATTGTCAATTTGATTTGATTGGAATTAGTTTTATGAATTCACAGTTAGAGCATTGCAAATGACAACTAAACTGAATATGCTTCAAATACAATATTGATATAAAAGATATTTTTAGAAAATTTCAACTAAAATACATTTTTAGGAACATTAAAAACATTCACAAAAGTAAATTCTTAAAACGATATGCATTTTCCTCTGGATTATACTTAGGCCGAGTCCTTTTGAGTGGAACATCTTTGAATGCACGAATTAGATCGTATGAAAGGACACTTGGGACTCCAAGAGACTCAATATACTTATTTACAGCACTATTGGATTCTGTATGCCTTGAAAAGGTTGTTTTCTGAAAATGATAAACCCAAGCACAATCAACAAGATCACGGACAATAATTGGTTGCATGCCAGCTTTAAGACAATACATAATGACTTGCATTATGCACATATTCGTATGTTCGCCGAAAATAAGAACATATTTCGCTCCAAGGCCATTGAAGAGCATGCTGGCTTCTTTGAAGCTGGAAACATAGTAATCATCATCACTTATGCATATATCTTTGGAAAAACCGTGGTCTCTGTATCTATTGAAACGACTAAGATTATGATTGCATTTATCAATAAATCCTGGTATATATTTACTATAGCTTTCGTTGAGGTATGGCTCATATTCGTTTAGAACCGTAGTATTGCCGTATAAAATTGCTGTTTTTGCGCGTTTTCTTTGTCTGGTATAAAGCATCGACGATTCTGCTGTAAAAGAAAGGTGAGAAACTGGTATCTGGAACATTCTGATGATCTGAAGAAGTTCATTGACTCTTGGAGAAAGAAAGAAATTTCGATCATTGTAGTAAGGACACCAATGGCCTCTCCATATATCAACATATGCAACAAGTGAGTGCATATCGATAGAAAATGTTTGATTTTTTCCATGAATTTTAGATGGAATCTTGATAAAAAGTTCATAATCAGGAATTAATGGGTAATCTGAATCAATAATGGTTTTGTTTAAGTATATACAGGTAATAATTGATGCAAAATATAAGATTGAAAGCGATAATGAAACAAAAATAATAAAAAATTTACTACGATGCTTCTTGGCATGCTTTTGCTGGCCTAAATATGGTAAAAAATCAACGCGATCCATTTAATTCTAAAATAAAACGATAGTAAACAACCAATGATGGAAAAATAACAAAAATATTTTTGGGATTTTCTCAAAATTTTCCAATTGGTGGAAATTTTCCATCTCCATCTATCTCAAACCATTTCAAAATTTTCCCCGACGATAATTAGTCTGCTTTCTTTTCAATTTGATAACTAAAGTCTGACTCAGTATGGCTTCCATAAATGCAGTACTTCACCAACCCAAGGACCAGTAGCTTTTATTTCAATGATTTAATACTCTTTATAGTTTATTTTCACTGAATTGTGAATATATATGAGAATTCAAATCATAACATGGACAAAAGGACATTATGTTTCGTTTTTAATTTAATTTTTATTATGCAAAGCTATCAGATTTTGGAAAAAAACAAGTAAAAATAACTTTTTGATAATTAATTCGGTGATTTTGATAAATATATCTATAATCTTACAGTTTCAATAAAATGTATTCAAATACACAACAGATGGCAAACCAATCAAATCAACGATCAATGTAATTTTTTTTAGCTTTTCCAAAATTCTAGAAAAGACTCGGATTTTCTATGAATTGTTCCGTGGAAGTCAATTTCTGGACAATAACTAATAAAAAATGAGTTATTTCTATGGATAATAGATGGAGATATGTAAAAAATATATCATCAAAATACTAGTTTTTCAAGTTTAACAGCAAAGCGAGACGCAATGGCAACAAATATTGCTTAGTAGAATTAGCATTTGATACGCATATGAATGATTTTTAAAACCTTTTTGCATGATTTTTTTTATTTGTGAAAAAATTCAACTCATTTGATTATAGATTTAAATGAATATCTGTTGTTTCATTAAACAACATGCTGAGAGATAATATGCAACATGTACTTTTATTCGCAGTGCCATAGTCTCCAAGAAAACATTTATGCTCTTATGCTCATGTTTTTGAGAATTCTTTCACAATTATAGTGATGAGAATTTTGTTAACACTAAAAATGATTTCAACAATGCAAAACTCTATCTTGATGTTTATAATTTTTCCAATAGATGTTTTTGAATGAAGTCATTGAATCCCAAAGAGATGATGTTCATATAAGTGATAATACAAGAATTTCAATATTTATGATGTTTGCAAAAGAATGATACATGGCAAAATCTGACAAAATCTGATAATTTCCCTTATGATTTTGCTAATTTCCCTTCTTCCAATTGCAACTTATGAAGGAATTGGTTCAATTCTGACAAAATGCAAGAACAAACTTCAATCAGATGAGAGTTTGAACAGTGATGAAAATGGAAATTATGTTTTACAAAATAATATTGAAGATGGCGTGAATTTTGCGAATAACAATACTGTTCGTTCAATCACAACAAAGGGTATTGGGATAATTCCTACCAAATTTTGCGAATATAGCTCTATAGAAAGCTTTGAAGCGGATGCAGCCATACAAACGATCGAAAATTATGCTTTTCGAAATTGCGTAAATTTAAAGACTGTTTCTATTGATTCAGCTACTTCAATCAATTACCGTGCCTTTTCAAATTGCATTAATCTTGTTTCTTTAATTTTAACTCAACAATGTGCAATTGGCACGTATGCTTTTGAAAATTGTATTAATCTTGTTTCTGCAAGTTTAACGCAACAGTGCACTATTGGCGCCTATGCATTTTATAATTGTTCGTCTTTATTACTTTTTAATTTTTCGAAAATTAATGGAAACATTCCACAATGTGCATTTGAGTATTGCTCAAGTTTAGTCAATATTAGTTTAATAAGTCAATGTTATACTGGCGCTTTTAGGAATTGCTTCGGATTGAAAAAAGTTGAATTCCTTAATCATTTCGAAAATCTTCCAAACGAATGTTTTAAAAATTGCTACAATCTATCAGAAGCAAAACTGCGTTCAGAGAATATTGGCGAAAGTGCATTTGAAAACTGCATTTCTCTAACAAATTTAACTTGCATATATAAATTAAAAGTAATAAAATCTAAAGCTTTTTATAATTGTTCGCTAACTAAACTTGATAGCTCAATACTTTATTGTGTTTCTTCCTTTTATGATGAATGCTTTGCATATAACAATTTTACACAGGTTTTTAAAGGAACGTATCATCATTATAATGGAATCAAAATATTTCAAGGATGTTATAACTTAAAAACTGTTGGTCTATATGGATATATTCCCAGTTATTGCTATCAGGATTGCGTTTCACTTGAAACAATAAAATTTACTGGGACGGAATCGTTTGGAATTTCTAATTATGCCTTTTTAAATTGTACATCTCTGAAAAATATAACTATTCCGAGCTCCGTTACAAGTATTTATAGTGGTGTCTTTTGTAATTGTTCTTCTTTATATGAAGCTACTTTAGATTTTACAGGTACTTATATACCAGAAAATATGTTTGCTAATTGTACACAACTTGAAATTGTTACATTGCCGATAAGTACGACTGAAATTTATAAAAGAGCTTTTCAAAACTGCCGTTCATTAATAACGATCAAAAATTTTGATCAAGTCAAAAGCATTTCGGACTATTCATTTTATAACTGCAGTTCCTTAACGTCAAATCAACTGTTTAATCGTTTATCAACGATTGGAAGATACTCATTTGCCAATTGCAATTTTTCTTCACTTGAGTTGCCGGATAGCATTTCTTCAATTTCAAGTTATGCTTTTTCATCTTGTTCAAATTTAGAATCTATTGACCTGATGATCAATTCAAACACGATAAGTTTGGGTGAGTACATTTTTTCATCATGCATAAAATTGAACTCAATCACATTTTCTCCAAATTTCCAATCAATTCCAAAAGGATTTTTTGCAAACTGCAAATCAATAACAAGCATTAGTTTCGATAATATTCGTACTTTAAATCCGTATTCATTTTATGAATGCACTTCATTAAACTTAATAGAACTTCCAGAATCTGTGAATGAAATATCAGATTATTGTTTTGCAGGTTGTTCAGCACTAAACACAATAAAAATCAAGTCAAATTCTGTTAATTTAGGTATGTATACATTTAGCAGGTGTAGTTTTACTTCATTTGAGATAAATATATCAATTAATAAATTGAGAAGTTATTGTTTCTCTGGATGTAACAATTTAATTTCTATTTCAATAAATTCAGATATTCAGAGTGTAAAATCAAATGCATTTTCAAATATTTCAAATCTTCAAACAATTTTAATTCAAGGAAATATTGCCACAATCGAAGGAAATTCATTTAGTCTTTCTCCGAATCTTGAAACATTCATGATGTTGAATGATTCAGGGACAGTCAATGTTTTAAACAATGCATTTTCCGAATCATCTCTTCATCAAATTGTAATCAATTGCAATATTATTTTTTCAAATACTTACAATAGAAACTATCAACCATTCTTAAATTGCAACAACCTTACATATATTTTCATTGGTGGTTCAGTATCATTTTCAGGAGATTCTACAAATGCTTTCTCATTAATTTCAAATTTAGAAAATATTACAATCGTTGGTCGAATTGATAATATCAACTCATATACATTCAATGCTGCATCAACACTAAAAGAAGTTCGATTATTTGATGTTCCATCAATTGGTGCCAGGTCATTTGCAGACTACATAAATCTTGAATATATCGATATAAGATCAACTACAAGTATAAGTAATTCAGCCTTTTTTGGATGTAAATCACTAATAAGCTTAAATTTGCCTGAATCGCTTCAAATAATTGAAAATAATGCATTTTCGCAATGCACATCCTTGAATTACATCGAATTTCCATCATTACTAACTTCTATTGGAGAAAATGCATTTAAGAATTGTAGTTTAACTAATATTGAAATCACTAGTAAAATTAACAATATTGGCCAATATGCATTTTCATCATGTTCTCATTTGGCCACTGTTAATATTCAATCAGGAATTAAAACTCTTTCAAAAGGATTATTTTCAAATTGCCCTCAAATTTCAACAATTATTCTCCCAGCAAGTGTTTCCACAATATCAGATTATTGTTTTTCAGGCTGTACATCACTTAGCGGAATTGTCATACTTTCAGATTCCATCACATTAGGACAATATTCATTTAGTGGATGTTCCTTTGTTAATTTTGAGATCAATTCTTCTAATGTTAATTTGCAAGGGAGATATTGTTTTTACGAATGCTTGTACCTTTTATCAATAACAATGAAAGGCAGAGTGACATTTCAATCAAATTCTTTACAAAATATCACAAATTTAAAGAATATTACTTTCAGAAGCGCTACTCAGATTCCTTCAACAGCTTTTAGAAATTGTCCAAATCTTGAAACATTTGTGATATCGAATGATGCCGGATCTGTTAGTATCAGCAACAATGCATTTTCTGAATCAGCTATTCAACGAATTGAAATATATTGTAGTATTTCATTTACTTCATCTTATTCTACTTCCAGATATCCATTTTACAACTGTAACAATCTCAAGTGTCTGTTCGTTGGAGGATCAATTTCCGAAAACAGTATAATGCTAAATTCTATAAAGAATTTAGAAAATATCACAATTGTTGGACTAATTAGCATCAACTCAACCACTTTCAGTGCGAAATCGACACTAAAAGAAGTAAGATTATTTAATGTGAATAACATAGGAAGTAGTTCATTTATGGATTACACAAATCTTGAATATATTGAATTAAGAACACAATCCCAACTAACTATCGATTACCAAGCATTTTCAGGATGCACGTCTATAACAAGCATTTATTTACCAAATTCAATTGTATCTGTTGGAAATTATTTATTTTCAGGATGCACATCATTATCAGAAATAAGCATACCAAACAGATTAGCATCTATCAGCCAATATATGTTCAATAGTTGCGGAAATTTAAAGTCGATAACAATTCCAGAGTCAGTAAGAAAAATTGAAAATGGAGCATTTTCAAATTGTGTTAATTTGTCAAATATCAACTTCCTTTCAAATACAATAGAACTGTATGAGTCTTGTTTCAGAAACTGTCCTCTCATAAATGGTTTTTCATTTAAAGGTGAGAAAATCAGTTTTAATGCATATTGTTTTAAAGGGGCATCATCAATAGAAAATGTCGACATTGAATGCAATACAATAAATCTTAATGATAATTGCTTCAAGAACTCGAATATGAAACATCTTTTACTGAATGGAAGTGTTTCTTTTGGAGCGACTGTATATTCAGACTACATCCAAACAATATTTATTGAAGGAAACATCAATAATATTATTACCACATCACTTTCAAATTCAATGACTTTACACAATTTCACATTTGTTAAGTCTTTATTTAATTCAAATACAGTATCGCAGTCATTTTCATTTTCTGAATGTTCCAACCTTTCATTTGTTTCATTTTCTTCCAATTCTATAAACGGTATACCTGAAAATTGCTTCTCAAATTGCCGAAGTCTTTCATCATTTACAATACCATCTTCAGTAACATCTATTGGTCAATATGCATTTTCTAGTTGTTCGAATTTGACATCAATAGATATTCCGAACACTATAAGAACGCTTGGCAATAATACTTTTGAATCTTGCAGTTCATTATCAAAGGTAACATTTCAACAAAATAGAAATATTGGAACAATTCCAGATGGATGTTTCAAATCATGTACAAGTTTGACAACAATTTCTATTCCTTCTAATATTAAGAATATTGGAAGTAGATCATTTTATAATTGCAATCAACTCTCATCAATTCAAGGACTGACATCATTCAGCAAAATCGGAGAATATGCATTTTATAAATGTTCATTTTCAACATTAGACATCAATGGAAATAGTTTGAACATCAATCAACGTGCATTTGATTCATGCGGTGAATTGGCAAATATAACAATTACTGGATCGATAAATTCAATTTCAGAATACTCCTTTAGTAATTGTCCAAAGCTAGTTTTTGTTAACTTCAGTTGTACAATCCTACTATTTCCATCTAATGTCTTTTATTCTTCTCCAAACATTGAACGAGTTTATTTCAATTATGTCCGAGTTCTAGGTGAAAATTGTTTCGAAGGATTTTCTAATCTAAAGTTAATCGAAATACAAGAACAACTTGAAACTATACAACAGAGGGCATTCTATCAATGCAAAAATTTATTATCTGTTTCATTTCCCGATTCCTTAAATTCCATTGGCACTTATTCTTTCTATTCATGTTTAAAGTTAACTGAACTAAGATTAAGTAATGTAAATTCACTTGGTGAACATGCCTTTGAATTATGCACAAATCTAACATCAATCGAATTTTCAGGAACATTTACAGTAATTTCATCTTCTATTTTTAAAGGGTGCACAGCATTAAATAGTACAATATTTAATAATATGGATAAAATTACAGAGATAGGTTCGGAAGCATTTTATAATTGCGAGAATTTAGATATTAATCTATTAGAATTTTATAATATCGAAAAAATAGGAGATAAAGCATTTTATGGTTGTATAAAAATTTCAAAATTATTTTTATCTCCTCTCCTTATGGAAATCGGATCCATGGCATTTTACAGCTGTAGTAGTATTGAAAAGGTTAGAATTCCTTCAAGAGTAACAACAGTGGGTTCGTCTGCATTTGAATCATGCACAAAATTGAAATCTATGACTCTTTCTGTTTTCATGAATTCTATTGAAAGTAGGATGTTTGCAAATACAGCGTTAACACATGTCATAATTTATCCAGGAATTTTAGTAAAACCAGATGCATTTTATATATGCCGTTCTCTTACAATTGTAGAACTTTGCGAAGATGTGGTAGTTTGTAATGGTGCATTATAATGTCCAAATCCTTTACGATTCGTTTGGTCAAAGTGTTGCAAATATTTACTTTTACGGAACTGATGATTATTGCAATGACCAAATGATCAAAGAACTTAATAGAATTTACAATTCAAAAACTATTTATGTGACTAAAAATTATACCAAACCAACATTCGCACAATTGAATGTTACTGGATCAGGAATTGAATTACCAGAGATAGTTAATGGAAGAGTTCCATGCTCTCCTCCATTACTTTATGAAAACTTCCGAGTTTTACAAAAGCTAAGAAAACATTAATTTTAATTCAAATCATTTTTTACGGATTAAAAAGTTCGTATACTAAACTCATATTTTTTTCACTCATATACCATACAATCAATATATCCGATTAATTCAGATTCTTTTATAATTCTTGATATAAAATTATCGCCAGAATTATTTTTATTTTGACTGTAATATACATAAATCATTTTAAGTATTTTACTTAATTAGTGAAATAAAGAAAACAAAATTTGAAAACAAATTGAAATTATCAAAACGAAAATGGCATTGTTTTTCTGTCAAAATGATAGCACTGCAATCATAATTGTCGATTGCTTCTGGGAGTGTGATTGATATCGATTTTACAGGATATTGTGCAAATGTTGAATTTTTGTACTTTCGAGAAACATAAATAAATACATTAGGTTTTGGTTCATAAATTCTATGAAGTTCATTAACCATTTCATCAAGACAATTGTCTTCTTTACCTAAATAGTAGATGGATTCAATGTGATTACTTAAAGAATTGCTCAATAGTTGGGCATTATCTGCTAAATAAAGATTGATTTTGTTCTGGAATGTGAATGCATTTGGACAAATTGTGCAATCAGAATATACTTCAATATTAACAAGCTCATTACAATTTTTGAAAGCATTAGGTTTAACAATGATTCCTGGATATATAATTACCTGCTTTATTCTTGTGTTTGCAAATGAATATTCTTCAACAGAATTCATGAAAATTGAAAGATTAATTGATTCAAGGTTTCGACATTCATAGAAAGCTGATTTTCCAAGTGTGATCAATCTTGGTGGAAGTCTGACAACATACAATGAATTGCATCGATAGAATGCAAACTCATCAATTGTAGTCACACATGGTGAAAGTAATAATTTCTTCAAATAATCACATTGACAAAATGAAGATCTTCCGATCCTTTGTAAACTATAAAATGGTAACAAGCTAATATTTATGCTTGTGCATTGATAGAATGCTTCATCTCTGATCTCTGTGATTGTGCCTGCATTGTCAAATCCAACTCCATTCAATTTGCTGCAAGATTTAAATGCTTTCACTGGAATTGTAGGATAACTTCCATATAATTGAACATATAAAAGCTCGGCACATGACTCAAATGCAGATTCCCCTATTGATGTTAAACTAGAAAATGATAGATATATTAACTTCGAGCATCTATAGAATGCAAATGATCCAATTATTGTGAGTGTATTTGGAAATGAAACTGAAGCCAAGTTTGAACATTGATAGAATGAATTTTGCTGGATTTCTTGAAGTTGTTCTTGTATTTCGATTAATTGAAGTTTGGAGTTACTATGGAAGGAATTTTCACCAAGTGTTGTGAGACGATAGAAATAAACTTGTTCAATGTTTGGAGAATGATAAAATACATTAGATGGAAATTGTGTAACTGTACAGCTGAAGTTAACAAAAACTAGCTTTGGACAATTACTAAAGGAGTATTCTGAAATTGAATTTATCGATCCAGTAATTGTTATATTTGCCAATTCACCGCATGAATCAAATGCACGTTGATTGATGTTCAAACTATTTCCATTGATGTCTAATGTTGAAAATGAACATTTATAAAATGCATATTCTCCGATTTTGCTGAATGATGTCAGTCCTTGAATTGATGAGAGTTGATTGCAATTATAAAATGATCTACTTCCAATATTCTTAATATTAGAAGGAATAGAAATTGTTGTCAAACTTGTACATGATTTGAAACATCCATCTGGAATTGTTCCAATATTTCTATTTTGTTGAAATGTTACTTCTGTTAATGAACTGCAAGATTCAAAAATATTATTGCCAAGAATTCCAATTTGACCAGGAATGTCAATAGATGTTAATGAATTGCATCCAGAAAATGCATATTCTTTTATTTGTCTGACTGATTGCGGAATAACGAATGATGAAAGTTTAACGCAATTTGCAAAACAGAACATTGGAATTAATTCTGTCATTGTAGCTGAAAATGATACAGATGAAAGATTTATACATCCCGAGAATGAAATGTATTGACCATTATAACTCTGATATGAAATTGTTTTAGTACTTGTGAAACTACGTAAAGACGCTGAATTTGAGAAAGAAGTATTCATTATTTTATTGATATTTCCATCAATCAATATTGTTTGCATATGTTCTGAATATATTTGATTACCTAAATAAACAGAACCATTCACTAAAACATGTTGAACATTTGAGTTAGTAAAGCAGTTATCATTAAAATTGATTGTATCACATTCGATTTTGACATTTACTATACATTCAGCACCACTAAAACAGTATGAGTTCAAAGTAATTTTGGTTCCAGAAAATGTGAAATCAATTATCAAAGGACAATTGTTAAAACAAAATCCATTTAGTTCAATTGTTTTTGATTGGAAGGTGATTTGAGATAATTTGGCGCAATTAGAAAACGCATTGTTTCCAATAGATCTGACCGATTCGGGAATAATCAAAGACTCTATTAAAACACAATTACTGAGCATAAATGAACTAATTGAAGTTAATCTATTCGGAAGATTTATTACTGATAATGAAGAGCATCCTGATAACAAATAACTTCCAATTGATTGAATGGAATCGGGTAATTTTATGTCCACTAATGAAGTACAACCAGAAAATGTTGAATTTCCAATACTCAATGAAGATGATGATGATTTTATTTCAACATATTTAAGATTTGTATAATCTTTAAATGAATTTTCTTTGATTGCATATGCATTAAAAAGTCGAACTTCTTTCAATGTTGATTGGGAATTAAATGTGTTAGAACTTATTAAATCAATTCTACCAGCAATTGTAATATTTTCTAATTTATCGATTGCATTAAGAGCATTTTCATAATTTCCCGATACAGAGCCTCCAATGAAAAGATAATTAAGAAGGTTACAATTATCAAAAGGTGATGACTGAAATGAAATACTACTATTGATTATTATTTTTTTAATATTGTGGTTTGAAAATGCATTGTTAGTCAATGAAACCGATCGAATATTATTTAATATTTCAAATGTTTCAAGATAATCGCAATGGGTAAATGAATAAGATGGTATTTGACTTGTACTACCAATTGTTAGGGATACTAATCCTGGAATATCTTGGAATGATTCCGATTTGAATGTTATACTACCTTTTATCAGAATAAATTTAATAGATGGACTATTACTAAATGCTTTTGATCCAATTGAAGAAATATCACCAACAATTGTAATAGAATTCACATACATTATATTGGAAAATGCATTATCATTTATTTTTGGAATGTTCGAATGAATTGTGATTGACTCCAAACTGTGACATTCATAGAAACAGCAACTTCCAATTGATCTTATCGATCCATTGAATTCAAAACTTGGTATTGGACATTTAGAAAATGAATAAGAACCGAGAGTTATCGTTTTTGATGCAATATTAATTGTAGTTAATGATGTGCAACCGAAAAAGCAATAATCAATGAAATTAAACTCTTCTGCAGTAATTGATAACGATGTTATTGATGAGCATCCGAAGAATGATTCTTTTCCAATTGATTTTATATTATTGTTGAATGTGAATGATAATAATGAAGAGCAATTGCAAAACAAACCATTTGGAATTGAACTAATTGTAGTTGGCAAAGAAATAGATTGTAAATTTTTGCAACTTGAAAATGAATATTCTCCAACTGTTATTATGTTTTCTGGAATTACAATGTTAACAAAACCGCACCCAAAGAATATATAATTACTTAACGAAGTTACTAAATGCGGAATGCTTATTCGAGATAATAGCGAACAATTACAAAATGCATATTCGCCAATCGAATTGCATGTTTCTGCCAGTTCTAAATTCTGAATTGATGTACACCCGCTAAAAGCATAGTTACCAATTGATGTGAATTCGCCAATTTCGATGTTGAGAAGTTGAGAAAAATCTTTAAATGATTTATCTTTTATAATAGAAGTTCTTCGGATTGTTATGTATTTTAATGTAGATTGTAAAGGAAATGTTGCTGAATCCACATAATCAATTCCTCCTAATATTGTTATATTTTCTACATTAGAAAATGATGAAAATGGTTCATTATTGTTGCTTAATTGTTTAACAGAGCCTAAAATTAAGACATTTGTTAAAATAGTGCAGTCATTGAAGCATCCTCCAAAGTTAGAATTAAAATCTCCTTTGAATGTTACTGATTTAAGGAAATTATTAAATTCAAATGCACTTATTTCGATAGAAGATAATGTTTCTGGAATTTCTAAATTGCTGAAATTACACCCGGAAAATCCATATTCCCCAATAGATATGAGTTTTGTAAATATAGAATAGTCAGAAAATGAATTGCATCCATAAAATGCAAAATTTCCAACTGTTTGAACTTTTGACAAGCTGTGAATAGTAACGACTGAATTGCAGCCATAAAATGCTTCATCATTTATGCTTATGATATCCGATGAAAAAGTAACTTGCTTTAATCTTTGACAATTATAAAAAAATTCTTTTGGAATATATGAAATTTGGCATGTAATTGAAACTTCTTGCAATGCGTGACAGTTAGAAAAAACTCCATTGCCGAGACTGCTTGTCTTTACAGTAATACTAATTAAAGAGTTGCAATTTATAAAAGCATTCTCTTTAATGGAATCTATAGGTCTTTGAAAATTAATACTTCTAAGTGAGAAACAATCCTTAAAACACGAATCAGGGATTAATCCAGAAATAAATTCAACATTTTCAAGATTTATACACCCTTCAAAAATTTTTTCATGAGAATATTGAACGATTGGATATCTGAGAGTAGAAAAATTATTATATGCAAAGCATGAATCACCCAAATCTACATCCCTCGTTAACCTAAGGCCATCAAGACTTGACAAAGAACAATTATAAAATGCTCGGGAATCTATACTTGAAACCTCACATGTGGAAGTATAATTTGTCAAAGATATACAATTTTCAAATGCGCTTGAACCTATCCTATCAGAATATCCAATAAATTCAGTTAAATGAATACAATTTTTAAATATCTCATCAGCAGGTTGATAAAAACATTCAGTTACTTCAACTCTTCTTAATCCAAAACAATTTCTGAATGCAGATGCATGTAATTTATTTTGAAGAGTAAGATCTGTTAAGCTAGTGCAATATTCGAAAGCTGAGATTTCAATAGCATCTTTAATTTTTAAGAAATCAAAATTCTTGAGAGATAAACAATAATAAAAGGCTTTTTCTCCAATAGTACATGGTTCTGAATGAGAAACAGATATTAAATTAATACAATTCATGAATGCACTTATCTCAATTGTTGTGACTTTGCCTAGTTTTACCTCTTTTAAAGATTGGCATTCGGAAAATGCTTGTTTAGAAATTGTTTTGAGATTTTCATCTCCTTGGAAATATTCAATAGAACTTGAAGAAAAATAGTAACTTGGGATTTCGGCAATATTTATCGATGTGACATTTTTGACTTCTTTATTTCCATCAAAATTGAAAGAGAAATCGATTTCATTTCTTAAAATGTAAACACCGTTTCCAAGATTTTCTATATTTTCGTTTGATTTCAATTGTTTTTCTTTATTTAATAAAGGATATGATTGTCTAAACAAGATAATAAAAATTATCATTAAGGATTTAATAATGAAAAATTAAAATTATTGTGGTTAGAAGTGTGGAATATAGGAAAAAATTAACTAGGGTTGTTAGATTCCCGACGATAGGTGTCTTGGAAGATTTGCCTGGTGTCATCATAGTGTCTTTAAATCAAAAATTTTATTTTGGAGTTAGTTTTATTGATTTTTCAATAAAAAACATTTCTAAAACAAGAAAATAAAACAAGAAAATAAAACGATAAAATATTTATATTTTATATAAGGATCTTATATATTTAAAATAAATATCATTTTATTTTTTTCATTGGTGTCTGTCAAACCATAATACACTATTCAAAAATTCAATGTGTCTTGCGGTTTCAAAAGACACCTTCAAATTGAACGATAGCACGGACACTATTGAATTTTACCCATTGTATTTAGTTTTTACCCTTTTTATTTTTAAGAATTAATGACTGAAACAGCCGTTTTGCTATGACCTCAATCACTTTTATTTATTATTTTAAATATTATTTAATTTTATTATTTGAATAGGCCAACTTATATTTGAGAAGCTCAATTTGAGACCACTTAATACATTGAAATATCATAAATATTGAAATATTAAAAAGTGTATTTCAAAATATTGAAATTATAAAAATTTATAATACTGAAATTGAGACAAATTAATAAATTCAATGTGTTTTTTTGAAATAACTCTCAAATATTATTTTTTTGTTTATTTAATGATGAATAAATATGATTGCTTTAGTCAATCATAAAAACTAATTTAAGTTTAAAATAATGAAAGGATAATTTGATCGTTTTTTAAAATACAATTATTTTTGATGATTTGCAAGAATCTTTGAAAAGAATATAATATAGGTTAAGGGTTTCGTTTTGCGAAAAAAACGTACAATACGCAATTTCGCTAAAAAAACATTTAGCTAGCAATTTCGACCTTTGACTCCACTCAAGACGTCACTTTTTTAATTTTGCGGTATCATATTTTTGGAAAATCTTTATGAATATTATATAAAAAGTCTCTTTAATATCTATATTTCATATTTTTATCGATTTTTAAAGTTTTTGCGAAAAGTATTCAATTATTTTTGCTATTTGGTCGGGTAAATGTCAGATTTGCGACATTTTCTGATATGATATTCAGATTCTACGTTGATAATAATGCTTATAGAACCCTCTTGCTATTGTGTCAAAATTGCGAAACCGATAGCAAAAATATCTCGCAATATCAAAATTGAGATATTGAGTGAATTATGCATTATAGAGATTAAAAATCTGATTTGTGAAAACATCTCATCAGTTTCTAGCTAATTCAAAAATCTTTACTATCTTATTCGATTAAAATGAAAAGGGAATAGTTTCATTATGCTTTAAATGACAGCCTTATAATATAATCATAGTTTTCGCTCAATATGCAGCATTTTTTTTTCGAAATCTATGGTCAATATCCTAAATACTGATTGCTTTGCATTCATATCTCTTACATTTTCTATACCCACATCACTATTCATTGCTATTCCTATCTTTTTCATTTTTGTTTGTTTCTCATAATTTCTCAAAAAACATGATAACTTGATATTTGTAAATATCATACTTTATAACGTAAATAAGAACTTGACCTATTAAGAAAAGCAGTAATGAAAAGAAAATCTGAAATTCATAAAAATTACAAGTTTCTGATGACAATTAGCTTAATTAAACCAGGTACAAGATTATATAATTGTATTTTCTATCCAATTATCCATATAATATCTTATCCAGAAAAAATAACTTGATCAATACCAAATGATTTTTTAACTAGTAAATAAAGTATTTTCTTTACACACACATTGTATATCATAGTTTTTTTTTTTTTTTTTGGTTTCGCAAAACATCCAAAAACAAATATGCTATAAAAGTGACGATTTTAGCAAAACGAAACCCTTATATAGGTTCTATTTTTGTAAAATTTATCCAAATCATGTATTACATAAATTACGATTAAAACGATGAAAGAACCAAAAGGTGTGTTTTGTGTTTTGTTGTTGTGTGTTGGATGCGGGATCCTGTTATTTCCGAAATCGACAAAAAATTTGGAAATTTAATTTCCGAAATCGAAATTATATTAATGTTTTTAATATTCTTATATCAAAAAGATTAAAGTTCATTAAGAGAAAAACAATTCTTCTTCTTCAATCTATTGGCGCATTTATTTCTACACGCCAATAAGGAAGGGAAAATTATAAGACACCATGGTGTCTTCAAAACGCTAATTTTTGATATTTTTAACAACCCTAAAATTAACCATTAGAGGTTAATTTTATCCTTCGTTAAACTATTTTCGGGGTTTTGGCATGAGTGACCTTAGAAAAAAGAAAATAAAATGAACGATATTAATTTCAATGAAAAATCTGAAATTTTATATCAATGAACTTTTAATTATATGAGATATTAATATTAGTGTTTAATGGAATGGATGAAAATTATATATAATTTGAGGAAAAATTAATTTCAATAAAGAACATTCACAATATATGAATTTCAAAATTTATACTTGAAGAAACAAAAGTTCCCAAAAAATCTCAAGGATAGTGATATTTTGCAATAATTTTATAATAATCCTAGGTACATTGCTAAAAACCCTGCATTACTAACTCCAATTCTGCACCTTCCATTAGAATAGATAGGTTCACAGCATTCAATTGATGATTTAACTTTCGTGACTTGTACTGGGAATCCGGCGAATGTATTGTTTTTGTATTTCCTAGAGACTAGAATAAACCGATTAAATGATGAAGGATATATCTGATGTAATAGAATTACCATTTCTGGCAAGCACTTATCTTCTCTTCCTAAGTAGTATATACTCTTAAGTGTGTTTGAAAATGAAGAAGCGAGTAGTTGGACGTTCTCATAAATATATAGGTTCAATTGGCTGTTAGAAGCAAAAGCATTTGCACAAATCAGACAGTTTTCGAAGATCTCTACTCTTTCGAGATATCTACAATTCTTGAATGCATTTGGTTTGACAACAACTCCTGTATATATAGTTATTTCTCTAATTTTAGTGGCTGAAAACGAATATTCGTATTCATCATCATGGAAAGTGTTACAGTTTCAAGATTGAAGCACTCCTTGAAAACAGATTTCCCAACCTTTGTTGCCCTTGGAGGCAGGTAAACTTTCTGAAGAGCATTGCATCCTAAGAATGCAGAGTCTCCGATTGAAATTACCGATGGAGAGAACCAGATATTATTAATTGAATTGCATTTTTGAAAAGCATCATTATTTATTGTCTCTAGATTATAAAATGAAAATAGGTTGATATTCAGGTTCAAACAATTCATGAAAGATTCAGATTCGATAACTGTAATCATTCCCGGATCTGTGAAAATTGCACTCTTAAGTTCAATACAACCTTTAAACAATCTCTTACTGATTGTGTTGAAAGTTCCTGAGATTTCGAACTTTGTGAGGCCATTGCATTGCTCGAATGCAGATTCTTCTAAAGAGTCAATATTCTCGAATTTGAGCTGGGTAATCTTTCCACACAATTTGAATGCTCCAGAACCAATTGATCTTAATGTATTTGGAAATGAAACCGAAGCAAGATTCGTGCAATTACAGAATGCATTATCATTAATTGATGTGAGATCATTTTTGATTTCGATGGATTGGAGTTTAGAAAAACCGCAAAAACAATTATTGTCAATAACTTTAACTCGATCAATGTATATAGAGACAACATTTGAATCAATCCCGAATACAATGGATGGGAAAGTATTAATGTTTCCATTTATTCTAACCGTTCTAAGATTCAATGAATTTAAGAATATGTTACAACCAATAGAATTAATTGATCCAGTAATTGTTAGTGTAGAAAGTTTGGAGAATGATTCAAATGCATTGTCATTGATTACTAGATCTCGTGCATTTATACTAAATGTCGTTAGTGCGCAATTATAAAATGAATCAGATCCAATAGAACTCACTACATTTAGTCCTGAGATCGATGAAAGTTTGTTACAATTATAAAATACTCTATCATAAAATCTTTGAATGTTGGTAGGGATTGTAATAGATGTTAAACTTGTGCATGATTCAAATGTTCCTTCCAATAATTCATTATTGTTGAATCCTGAACCTGCAGATATAGAAAGAGTTTGCAAATTATGGCAGCCTGAGAAACAATAGCTTCCAATTGAAACCATATTTCCACTGAAACCAAATCTAGAAAAGCTACATTTTGCAAACGAATATGATCCTAATGTTATTCTCGTTGAGGCAATGTTGATAGTTGTCAATGATGTACAACCATAGAAACAATAATCTGGGAATATAAATTCTTGTGCATTGAATGACATTGATGTTATTGAAGAACATCCATAAAAAGATTCTTTTCCAATTGATTTAATATTATTGTTAAAAGTAAAAGAAGATAATGAAGAGCAGTTACAAAATAAACCATTTGAAATGACATTTATTTGTGATGGCAATGATATTGAACCTAAATTTCTGCAACAAGAAAATGAATACTCTCCAATATATGAAACAGCATTTGGAATTGATATCCTTGAAAATGTGCATCCATAAAATGTATAATCATTTATTGATGTTACAATCGATGGAATATTAAATTCATTAACTGATGAACACTTATAAAATGCATAGCTTCCAATAGATTTAACAGTTGATGGAATTGAAAAATCTCTCAATGATACGCAATTATAAAAAGCATAGCTTCCAATAGATACAGTGCCAGTAAACTTAAATATTGCTAATTTTGCATAATCTTTAAAAGAATTATCACCTATTAATTGAATTTTATTCACTCTAATTTCCTTCAATGTGGAATTTGAAGAGAATGATGTTTCACTTATAAAACTTAAGTCGCCAATTATTGTCAATTTTTCCAAATTTGTTAAAGAACTGAAAGGTGCTGAATCTGAATTCATATTTGTTACTGTTCCACTGATATATAGTTCTTTTAACTGTGTGCAATTTTTAAAACAAGAATTAAAATCTGCATTATAATCTCCTCTGAATTTAACAGATACCAGATTGCTATTATTTGAAAATGCATTTAAGCCAATTGATGTTACACTATCAGGAAAATCTAATGATATAAAATTACAACCTAAAAATCCATAATATCCTATTGAAGTTATTTGTGTAAATATTCTTATGTCAGAGAATAAGTCACATTGATAAAAAGCATTGTTACTAACAGTTTGAACCTTATCTATATTGCTTATTGTTGTTAATGATTTACAATATTTGAATGCTTCTTCGCCTATAATATTGATTTCTGATGTGAATATTATTTTTCTTAAGTTAGAACAATAGCAAAATAACTTATCTGGAATCGTTGATAATTGACAATTAATTGTAATTTCTTGTAATGAGGAGCAACTATAAAAAGCACTACTTTCAATACTATTAGAAAAAATCGTAACTTTTTGCAAAGATTTGCAATATCCAAAGGCGTTGTTTCTTATTGAATCAATGGAATTCTGAAAAGTAATTTCTTTCAAGGAACCACAATATAGAAAACATTCACGCTTAATAATCCCAGATGAAAATATAACTGTTTCGAGATTGTAGCAACCCATGAATAGAGAAAAGCCATAACCTCTTACTTTAGGATAATTAATAAAGGAAAAATTATTGTAAGCAAAGCAAGATTCATATAATACTGAATCCTTCGTTAAACAAAGAGTATCTAAATTAGTTAGTGAACAATTGTAAAATGCATTATAACCAATTACATCAATGTTACATTTGGAAATATATTTTGAAAGGGATATGCAAAAATGGAATGCATAACTTCCAATATCGGGGTAATAACCAATGAACTCTGCTAAATTATAGCAATTTTGAAAAGTATATCCCCTATCACTCCCAAAAATATCTATTGAGGATGTACATTCTACTTTTTTAAATCCATAGCAATTTTTAAATGCAGCCTTCAAACAATCATGGCCTAATTTTATTTCTGTAATGCTAATGCAATTTTCAAAAGCTGATTCGCCAATTGTACTCCTAATATGCTGAAAATCAAATTCTTTCAAAGATAGACAATTATAAAATGATTTATAATAAATTTCAAAATATCCTGTCCCTGTTACAGATACCAACTTAATGCAATTTATGAATGCTCGAGCACCCACATAGTTACAGCTTCCCAAATTTACTCTTTTTAAATTGATACAATTTGAAAATGCTGTATCTAAAATCTTTTGCAAATAATTATCACCATCAAAGTATTCTAAGGTACTTAATGAAAAAAATCCTTCAGGAATATTTGATATATTAACAGTTGAAACCTTAATAACCGATTGATCATTTGCAAAAGTGAAACCGTTTTCAATTTCATTTTTTAAAATAAAAACACCATTCCCTTGATTGACCACGTTTCCACTTGATAGCAATGCTCTCGATTTAGATTCCATTGATATATTAGTTTCATACAAACTAATTTGTAATAGAAAATATAAAATTGGCATAGCAAATAAATCACCATTTCATCCAAGAAGAGTTAAGGCCTTTAGTATTTATGATAATGAAACTATAACTTAATTTAATGTATTTATTTGTGGATTCATTATAACATGATATGTTTAATTCGAAGTTTTGATTTTTTAATTACTAAAAAAATGAAAAAACTAAGGTTGATTTTTTAACCACATTTTTGAAAATATTAATATTAATAGTTTAAAGTTGAGATTCATTGACTTTTGAGTTAATTCAAAACTTTACACAATAAATTGAATAGGGGAGAAGAAAATTATGTTGGCTATTATATATCTCATGCACATGGCATTCATAAAAAATTGTCGAGTTTTTTTTTTGCGTAAAGGATTTGTCTCTGAAACTCTAATGGAATAAAGTTTTTAGATCATTAATATTAAATAGATATCAATATTTATTCATATTTCAACATGATATAAAGTATTAACAAAATGGTAGAACAATGAGCAAAATTTAAAATCCTGAGTATGTTTTTAAAATTTATTATCAATATTTATTAAAATACAATAAAAAACAAAATATCTATAAACATATATAATAATTATAATCTACAAGAACTCTTCTTCTTCAGGGTAAGACATGCTAGAACCATTTCTATCAATCAATCTGTCTGTGTCGTGGTTTCTTGCCTCAACAATCAAAGAAATCTTCAATCCAGCAATTTTTGCCACCAACAAAACAACGAAGATTCCACAGAAAATCGACGAAACAGACAAGAAAATCACCAAGAACATATTTGGTTTCTGTTGTTTATTAGCAAATGCGTTCCAATCATTGCATTTCGAGCTCTTTATCACAGGGAATCCTCCAAACAAATCGCTTGGATACGATTCAGAAACGAAAACAACAGTTCCTTCAGGGAGAATAAAATCTCCAATAACAGCAGAACCACCGCAATATCTTATTTTCTTTATATTCCTGCAATCGAAGAAACAATCCTTAGCTATTTTTCTCACATTAAACGGCAAAGAAACATGTTTCAAATTCGTACATCCGCTGAATAATTCCGATGTCAATTCTGTCAATTTCAAAAGATAAATATCAACTTCTTCGAGGGATTTACAGTTTTTGTAAATTCCTTTTCCTATATTTGTCAAACTACTCGGCAAAGAAACTTTCGAAACACTTGTTCCTTCGAAAACAAAGTTTCCAATGAATTTTATCGAAGGAATATTTATTTGTTTTAATAAATTACAATTACTAAAACATCCATCGTTAATTGTAACATCAGTACACAAAGAACAATCAAATTCTTCAATTTTGTCGTTATTTGAAAATGAATAACTTCCAAGGAAAGTGACACTACTTGGAATTGTCACTTTTTTAAGTGAAGTATTATAAAAACTTTTTTGGTCAATTTTTTGAAGTTTTTCAGGTAAAATTACTGAAAATAAACCTGTTGAATTTTCAAACAAACTTGTAGAAATAGTAGTTAAACTTGTCAAGCTCAAATCTATATCAACTAAATTGATACAACACGAGAAACAAAATGGATTTAAAGTAACTAATCCTTTTTGAAATGTAAACTTTTCAATTTTCGAATTCATGAAACATTTTTCTTCGAAAATTTCGATGTACTGATAACTAAAGCTCTTCAAATTAAAAGTGTTCATGAAGCACTCAGAACTTATAGTTGTAATCGGACATTCATTTAAGTTCACTTCACTTATGTCAGAATTTTTGAAAGCGGCGGTTTGAATTACATCCAAAAATTTTGTTCCGTAGAAGTATTTTATACCAGAGAAAGCGAAACAGGAGATTCCTATTGATCTCAAGTTTTCAGGGAGTTTTATTTTCTCTATTTTCGTGCAATTATAAAATAATCCTTGCGGCAATTTCTCTATTTTCGTCGATTGCAAATCAACTGTTTTCAAACAACTGCAATCTTCAAAACAAAACTCACCAATCTCTGTTAAACTACTAGATGCAATGAACTCTGTGATTTTCGTCTCTGATAAACTTTGACAGCCAATTGAAATGATATTTGAGGGGAATTTAATCGTTTTTATCAGTGTTCCATGAAACAGGAAATTTGGAATTTTCGATTGATTCAAATTAGAAATTATAACCGCTTCTAACCGTTTACAACCGTAAAATACGTTATCTTCCAAAACACAGTTTTCTGGGATTTTTATCTCAGAAATAAATGTGTTAGAAAGACATTGTCTTGAAAAGTGACGACAAAAAGGTGACAATTTTATTTTTGTGAGTTTTACGCAGTTGTAAAACATCGAATTACTCAAAAATGTCAACTTTGTTTCACTTAAATCAACTGTTTCCAGAAGACTGCAATTTTCAAATAAACTGATTCCAACCGAAAAAACCGTTTTGACAAATTTAATTTCTGTCAAAGCTGTTTGAGTAAAAGCGAAATTTCCAAACGAAAAAACAGTATTTGGCAACAAAATTCTTGACAAACTTATACAGTTATAAAATGTTCCTTCTTCTATTTTTGTTATTTTCGTCTGCGAGAGATCGATTTCTTCCACAGAAGGAGAACTAGAAAAACAGTAATTTTTGATTTCAAAAATTTTTTCTCCAAATTTGTGTTTCTTGAAAACGCAATTACTGAAAGCGAAATCTCCCAAACAATTTGTGTTGTTCGATAGTTTGAATTCGCTTAAACTTGAGCAGTTAAATACAAAACCACTCGGAACAATAGAAATGTCACATTTTGACAAATCAATTATTTTCAAATTTTGACAATTAGAAAACGACTTTTCTCCAATGAAAGAAATGTTTTCCGACGCAATGAACTCTGTCAAATTCGTACCTGAAAAACACCTGTCGTTTATTGTTGTCAAATGAATGGGCAATTCTATTTTATTGAGGGGAGTATTCAGAAACACTTCTTTTGACAATTCTTTGACATTTGTTTGAGAAATGTCAAATTTTGTCAAACTTTGGCAGAAACTGAAACTTCCCTGAGAAATTTTATAAATTTTGGAGTTCATGTTTATCTTGGACAAACTAGAACAGTTTTTGAAACATTCGAAACCGATTTCTAAAACGGTTTGTGGCAATTTTACACTTTTCAACAAAGTACAATTATAAAACATCTGGTAATTCAAACTATCCAAATTAGTGCGGCTTAAATCAGCATAAGTCAAAAGTGAACTGAAAAACAATTTTTCAGACACTATTTTTAAAGATTCCGGAAGAATTATTTGATTCAACCCTGAAAAAGAGAAACAACCGAATTCCAGCTTACTAATTCTTTTCGGCAAGTATATTTCTTTCAAATTCCAATCATAAACAAACAATTCTTTCCCTAAAAATGTCAAATTTGTATTATACATGTCAATTTTTGTCAAAAATTCGTTATTTGCGAAACAAAAATCACCAATTCTGTGGAGATATTTATCGAAAGAGAAGTACTCGATAGCTGTTCTAGAGAAGCATCTTTCTCCTATTTCCAAAACAGTCTTTGGGAGTTCTATCGATTTCAAATTTTGGCAATTTACGAAAACATCATTTTTCAAAAATTTCAAATTTGTTTTTTGCAAATTTATTTCTTCCAACTTCAAACAGTTCTCGAAACAGTTGTCCTCTATTACGGATATACTATCAGGCAGTGTTACTTTTGTTAGTTCACTTGCATTGACAAAAAGAGATTTCCTGAGACTTCTAAGTAGAGTTTTTTCGAGATTTATATTTTTCAAAGAAGAATTTGCAAAAGAAAAATTTCCAATTTCTTCAATTTCATCAGGCAACTCTATTTCTTCTATCAATGTGTCTTGAAATGCACCATCCTCTATTGTTTTAGCACTGTTTATCGTGATCTTTCTCAATTTACTGTGTTTGAAACAATTTTTTGTAATTTTTGTCACTTTTTGTAAAAAAATTTCTGAAATTTCCGAATCTTGGAAACAAGCGAGACCGATGTATAAAAGATTTGGTGTTTTTATATTTTTTATGGAGCTTTCGAAGAAACAACATGTTCCAAGTGAAATTAAACTGTCAGGGAACAAAATCTTTTCCAAAGAACTAGTAAACGCGAAGGCAGAGTCACCAATTGTCTCTATACGTGTCTTAGATAGGTCTATCTCCTTCAAATCGAAACAGAAAGAAAATGCTAAATTTCCGATTTTCCTGATTTCGCCGGAAACTTCGAGTTTCGTCAACGCCGGACACCACTGGAACATGTAGTTGGGGATTTCATGGACAGATGTCAATGAAACAAGTTGCAAACAATCACAATCTGTGAAAACACCAATTCCGAGCTTTTCGACCGTGTCTGATGCAAATGATTCTAACCCTGAGGACCGGAATGCTTCGTTACATATTGTTTTGATGGTTTTTGACAAAATTATTATTTTTAATGCGGAACAGTTGAAGAAAGTTCGTTCGTTTATGGATGAAAGTGATGATTCCTCCAAGGAAACTTTGGTTATCGATGTACAATTCTCAAACGCCGATGATTGAATATCATATAAATTAAATTTTGCTTCAAAACTGCTGATTTGAGTGTTTTGGAATGCACCAACACCTATTGAGTACAAGTTTGGTGACAGTTTGATGGAAGAAAGCTTGTAACATGATGAAAAAACATAATCTTCCAAAACTGACAAATTACAACGCGTAAGATCGATTTTTATCATCTCAGTACAATGTTCGAATGCTGATGTCTTGATTTTGTTCACACTTTGCATGGCTGTGAATGATAATAATCCGGAATTGTAAAAAGAACGCTCGCAGATGCTTGTAAGTAGTAGGGATGTGCGTATTCGCTGTAGTTTCGTACAGTTCTCGTATGTACTTTTGGAAATTACGTTCACTTTTGTCTCGGAAATGTCGATTGTCGTTAAATTCTCACAATTAGCGAACGAAAACTCTTGGATCTCGCTGAGCTTGTCTGGAAATGAGATTGTGACTAACGAGGAGTTGAAAAAAGCGTGATCTGAGATTGATATTAAATTTTCTGGTAAAATAAGGTTTGTTATTGATGAAAATGCGAAGCATTCGGCTGGTATAGTTGTAATTCCGGTAGATATTAAGTCAATGTTCTGTAAATTTCGACAATTTCTAAATGCAGCTCTTCCAATGCTGAGAAAGCTTGGAAGGAAGGAGATATTGATGATAGAACTCTTCTCAAATGATTTCTCCCCTATTGATATAAGCGTATTGGGTAGTTTCACCTCAGTTATCGATGAATTGTAAAAAATTTTATCGCTTAATTTCGTAATTTTAGTGTTCTCCAGATCGACAAACATACACCGATTCATATACGCAAATGCTCCAGCACCTATTTCTATGATCGTATCTGGTAATGTAACACTTACGACGTTTGTCTTAGCAAAAGCGCCTTGGCCAATGTTAGTGACTGTGTACACTTCGTCGTTGATTGATTTGAAGCCGTCGAGGTGGATGGAACCGTTGAAATTTGTATCAATTGCTGGTAAATCAACGTTGTTGTTCTCTATGCTTAGATTTTTCTCTCTTTTGGAGCATAGGAAAACAACATCGTTGAATGTCACCTTAACGTTCGATTCCGAATTAACGAAAGGTGAGAAAAAAAGGAAAAAGATCATTTGAAAAAAAAAAAGAAAAAAAAATTAGTTGATGTTCCCCTGTATGTGACTTGTTAAAAATGAATAGACCTTAGCTTGTAAATTGAAATTTGCTCAGAAATATCATGGTAAATCCATAATATTGATAAAGATATTCTTGAATTTTTAACAATAATAGTAAAAATATCAATTTCATCAAGTATAGATTTTGTTTTATTAAAGATAATACCAATAATCAAAAATAATTTTAAATTTTATCAAAAGAAAGTATTAATAAATATAACCAAAATATTTTCTGATCCAATATAGTCTATTGGTCTAATTCACAAAGATTAATTTACAATCAATTTTTTTTATATATTTTAATGACAATTTTTCATTTGAGGAACTCACAATTTCGGTCTGTTCTTGAGATTGTAAAAAATGTCGGCATATAAATAATGCATGAATTTAATATAAGATATACAAAACAGAGATAACTCAAGTAAAAACAATAAAATCAACTAAATACGATTAAGTCATCTACAATTTTGTGACTGTTAACGGGGACTCCTTTAAGTCTCGAGATCATTTCTTTTTGTTCTCTGTCATGTCGTGATTCGATATCAGCTAATGCTTTCCTTTGTTGAGCTAGTAATGCTTGATATTCTTTTTCGTTTGCTAAATCTGCATCATCCGACGGTTCGAAATAATATTTCGGTTTTGTATTTGAATGAGTGATTTCCGGTGGTGGTAATTGTCCAATTGCTTGTTGTAACTGAGATTCCATTACTCTTTTTAGCTCTAAACCCTCTTCTTCATCAAGATTACAAGTTTTAACTAGTTCGCTTACAACTTCATCAATATCATCGTTCTTAACATCGAATGTGAAGTATATACCATAATCTGATCCATCTTGAGAGATTGTCAGATTAATTCCGACTTGATGGGGGTTCAAATTCGTCATTGGCAAAAAAAATTTTTATGAAATAAAATTGATAAAAATCCCATATTTAAAAAATGTATCTTTTTAAATTGATGATACAGAGAATCCTCCACTCAGAGGTGTATGCGTAGAGAATGTGACTCAAATAAAAGGAATATGACTTGAAAGAGCACTTTACCGCATCTTGAGTCTGGGTAACGATATGGGTAAAAAGGGGAAAATGTGAATCTAAAAAAATCCTCTTATTAACGAAAATTAACTGGAAAAATATGTTATTTGTACAATAAAAAAATCGATATCCAAAATAAAAAAATTAATTTCATGTCCGCAAGACTTCAACTAGAAAAATAAATACTTTATATTATAACAAATCTATATCAAGCATTAAAAAATCATACTTCATTGCATTCAATTTGTCTGGCAAATGATGTCAGAAGTTCTCAAAATTGTGAGAATCATAATTAATTTACCATCTACGTTAATTGAACATTTCATTTGTACAGATTGTAATATTACGAGTATCGCGCCATAAAAGAGGCTTTTCTTTGTATGTTTTATAAAAGCAATCCCAAAGTTTGTATGGAGCTTGCGTTCTGTTGCATTTTTGGTTATATGGTTTACACTTCGCACGATAGAAATGAAAGATTTTGGTGTTATTCCCAAACTTTCTGAAATCAAATTCGTTATATTTTTGAGGGAAAACTATTCTTGAGTCTATAAACATTTTGTTTAATACTCTTTGATCATTGTACCAACGGCCCATGTGTCCATTGAGCCATTTCAAGTATTCAATGGATTTATTCAGAATATTATCATTTATGTACTTAAAATTATTGAATACCATAACACCAGCGTTAAAGTAATTTTTGAATCCTTCAAATCTTCTTGCAAAATCAAAAACTACGATTGCAGATTGGTTGTTGAAATCATGGAAGTATATATCTTTAATATTTTGTACTACAATTGCATCTCCATCTAATTGTAAGAATCTTTCCATTTCAGGATGCGCAAGTTAGTATCCCTAAGTTGCGTACTGTGGCACTGCGCGCCTCCGTACACCACTTAGCGGTTTTGACACTTTACGAAACCGGTAACGTATATTTTACAACACAACCATAACACAACTTAACCTTAAATATTTACAAAACCATCTGACACATAAACAACTTCACTAACGACTTCACTAACGACTTCACTAATGACTTCACTACCGTCCTCACTAAATAAAAAATAACCTTATTTTTATTTTTTTTAAATTTTTTATTTCATTACAAAGACATGTCTGACTACATTTACTATGACTCTTTCCCAGAACGTTTCCGTGAACTATTCAAAACTCAAGTAAAACTGAGAAACATGCATTTTAACAAAGACAGACCCATTGACGATGAAAGAAACCCTGAATATATTACAATCCCTTATGATGCTAAATTTATTGCATACATTCCTTATGGTCGCAGAGGAACGAAAACTATTTCAACAAAGAACAAAAATTATTTCTGGAGCGATGAAGAAAATTGCCTTATCTACATAAATGCATACTTAAATAAAGCTACATATTGTACAAAAGAAGGTTGGACTGGATTTGAGCTCTACATATACGACGACGATGGAAACAGACGTTGTGTATACCCATACGATAATATGTACCATTGTTTTCATCAAGCATTAAACGAATACATAGTCAGTAAGGGTCTCATTCCTGTTGAGTAGATATGCTTTATTTTTGTTCTGTCATTTATAAAAAATAAACTTAAAAATTAATGATATCACCACCCTCACACGTATGAAAACATAGCACAAAAATAAATTTAGGTGAAGTGGTGAGATCTCACCTCTTTTTTCACCTGTTTTTTCACCCTGTTGAATTCATTGCTTTATAACTCTCTTCCTTGGTTTCTTTTTAGTTGCTTTCTTCACGTCTGTCTCCAACTTGACTGTCTTTCTTCTTCGTCCGTAATGATACCAGTTACTTCCACCAGTCAATGGGTCAAATGGTCGTTCATAAGGGTTTCCATACATTCCATAAGGTCCGTATGGATAAACCGCTGGTGGAGAAGAAACATTTTCTTTAGTTCCATCGACTCTATTTAAATGTATTGTTTCACCTTTCATCTGGTCATTAAAGTCTTTTGTGTGTTTTGCAAACTCATCGTCCTTTCCTAAAGCATTTTCTGACTCAGTCGCAACCAAATTGGATGCTTTATTTATGAGCCCTATTTTATTTAATCTTAACTTCTTTGCAACCCAGCCTCCAATCTTCCCTTTATTTGCATCTAATGTCTTTGAAACCCTTCCTCCACTCATTTTATTTACTGCGTCATAAGCTCCAAGTGCTTTTGCTCCAAATGCTAATGCTTTTGTTCCCATTGCGCCTAAAGCTGCCCAAGCTACCATTTACACCATATTAAAATCATCTCTCTTCAATATTATCTCATAAAAGTTCTCGTTACTGGAGAAAGTCAATGAAACATAAGCGTTCTCACGGGCTTCGCCCTCACCGCTTTGCGGTCTATCTAACTTCTTTCTTATCTCATCATACGCTTCAAAATGTCTGAATAATTGCTAACATCTTCTACAACAGTTATTTCATCATGAATGACCTTCAAGAACAAGCTCATTTAATATGCTATTAAAATCATCTCAATAATGAGTCCATCCTTTCCGTCTTTGGTAGCACAACATCTTTCATTGAAGAAGGGTCGACAAGTCTTATGTTAAACTTACTGACAAAGTTTGTTATACTATAATGCTTCGGCGGCGAATACATGTAGTTTGAAAGACATAATATAGATTCTTCAGCAAATTCACTTATACTGGATTTTATAACAATGTTCTCACGAGACCAAATACCACCAATTGAATCTTGTAAGCAATCCTGCTGAACCTTCTACTGTAAATGTCGATGTAACATTCCACGAAGGTCATCTATTGACATCGTTGAGTCACTGAATTTAAATATTTTCTTAAAGCAATCGTCATTATCTAACCATGCAATAGCTTTGAAGTTTTCATTCGAATATACATCTGCTTCATTAAATGTAAAACCTGACTTCTTTGCAGAGACGACTTTAAAATCTATTGAGTTTGTTTCAAAATTATATGCTATGGTAACTTCTGAAGGTAATGGATGTCCTTCCGCAGTCAGTTGTTCTCTCACTACCGTTTGAAGCTTTGTATTAAAACTTTCATGTTCTCCTGTATCTAAGTTCACATACACAGCAACAGGGAAACTATCTTGCTTCTTTGTTCATCATATATATCTCAAAACATTAAAGTTCTTCAATAATATTGTTCTTCCTGCTGGAATACTTCGAACCTGTCTGATTTCAATAGCTTTCTCACCTCCTACATACTCTACCCAGTGTCTTGGATATTCATAAGTATACTGACTTTCTTGAATTTTGGTAGGTTTCATCATAACGTGTTCATAGTATATCTTTATACTCTTGTCAGTTAGACTCAGTGCTATGTTCTGAATATTTCTGACTTGCATTTTTAATGGAGATAAAATGAAGCATTTAATACATGACGTAGATGAAGACATGAATGAAACTACAGACAAACTTAACTCTTCTCTCATTCTTCCTTTCAGTAAGGACTATGAGTTCTGTTCAAATGGTGTTTATTTCTATTGTGGAAAGATGGGTTCAGGTAAGACATTTAACCTCATTCGTCATATACTCATAACAGAACGTTTAGGAAATGACTCATATTATGACCAAATCATTATATCAGCAACTTCAGACTCTATGGACTCAACAGCGAAAACATTTATGTCAAAAGTTCAAGCCTCTGTCGTTAAAGTTCCAGACAGTGAACTCATTGAATTTCTTCAACGTTACATTCGACGTAAGAGGAAATATTATGCCATCGTTGAATTTATACAGTCAGGAATGCAAAAGACTTCAGAAGAGATGGAAAGAATTATTGACAAACACCACTTACGTCAATACTCAGGAGTTTACGATATAAAACGACTTACAAACTACATTCTATCAAAACTTTCAAAATACCCTTCAAAAAGTATCCTTCAAACACTCTGCTCGTTTGTGACGACTTCGCCGGAAAAGGTTTAGTGTCAAAACCAGACTCACCATTAGCTAACATCATTACTAAAGTCAGACATTACCACTTAACTATAGCAATACTTATGCAAACATGGAGGTTTTTAGCTTTAAACATAAAACGTCTCATAACTGACTTCGTTATCTTTCAAGGTTTCTCACGTTATGATATTGAACTCATTTGGAAACAGTCAGGTATAACATTACCTTTTTGAAGAAATTTGGGAAGCATATAAGTCTCTCATCTCTCCTCGTTCATACCTTGAGATTCATATCATGACTAATACCATTAAAGTCAAAAATATTCCATGGGAACGACCAACATTGTTTTAAAGTTTAACCTTCAATTGACTGATGGTAAACAAATTCCATGCATCTCTGTCGCCATTTCTGTTAATATTTTTGCTGTCATTCATATCATCCACTTCCCCATCCGTTAGCTTTTGAGGATATGCGTTAGAATAGCTGTTCTTAAATGAAGGCTTTTCACCTTTGAGAGCATAAACTCTATAACTTTCTGCATACTTTATGTTTGAACCTCCTGAGCCATCATTGACATAAATTTTTATAGGCTTCCACCCTTTGTTCATGTTCTGCTTCTTCCCTTAGCTCTTTTGTTCAGTAGTTCTACATCTTTATACACAGCTCCTGTCTCAGTGAATTCAACAATATTTTCATTCGTTAGCTTTACATTCAAACCCTTGTCGAGTATATTGTTCATTTCATACATATAAAAGGTTTTTATTCTATATGAAATGAGAAGCAAATCCATCTTAGCTGGTGCCGTTAATGTTCCAATTGAACCAACATCAAATGTTGACTCACGAACGACAAACAATATTGTCATAAAGAACTATAGTTCAGAGTGTTTGAAAGAACCAGAACCAGAGCTGAAATCCGTGAATTTAAACTCAGCTTCAAACGCTAACGCTACATCAGATGTTAAGTTAGAGTATCCACCACTGGACCAAATTCTTTCAAGAGAAGCCAACGACAACCCTTACACAAATGTTCAAACAAATCCTTCAGATAACGTAGACCATTACCTTCTTCAGTTATACCAAACAATTTTACTCAAAGACGATAAGAAGCTTTTGGTAAATCTTATAAGCAAGAACCAAATAATTCTAACAAAGGAGGACCTTGAAAATGTTATATCACGAATAACAGGGAAACAATGTGTCATTGACTATCTCGACCCTGAAATCGAATGCTGTGGTCAAACGCCACCATTCATGAAAATAGGTAACATCTGCATCATTGAAACACCAGGAACTACAGGAGTTGAGTTTAAGTATAAATATTCGAACGAGTATACAAAACTTTCAACAGAATATAAAGCTTTGTTTGAAATATGTTTTAGTAAATTAAGCAGTCAGGAGGGCTCTTTGAGCCCATCTTGGCGCTTTGCGCCGTCAGTCAAAAAAAATTTCAAGTTAGCAATTTGTAATATCTATCCAAAACTTCTTCAAACAGTATCGAACTCATCTTCATAATCAAACCTAATCTTATTGACTTGGTGCAGTTTTCACTAACACAATATTTTTCTGTTCTCTTGACTGACATAACTAACTCATTTGTTTCATCAAACAGCAACAACCAAAGTTCATGACCTAATACATAACATTCATACTTTATATTTTTAGCTCTGAGTTCTCTTGTAAGCCGTTGCATTTAATATTTTCTAAAAAGTCAACTTCAACAGTCATTCGCACTGGTGCCTTCAGTTCTACAGGCTCTCCTTGAAAGTCAACAAGTCTGAATTGCATGTCTTTCAAATTATGAGGACTAATGCGAACCCATTTACCTAAATGGGTTGCTATGACAGGAACGTTTGGAATGAACATTGAATTGACTACATAACAGAAGGATTTATATTCTACTGAACCTTTACTATTAACTCCTGAAATACCTGTGACATTAGCTATTTTTGACTCAATGTACAAACAGTTGCCATAACATACGTATGGAACAGATTTCATCTCAATCGTTTTGTCAACACTTTTCAAAGGAAATGTCATATGGTATGCACCCAAAAGAAGTTGTACTCTATGACTCATTCTTGGTATCTTAAACTCCTTCGCATAACTGAACTTCAAAAACTCCTGCAATAAGTTTAACATTCATTAAGTTTCTTCGTTATCCTTGTTTATTGTAGTATTTATGAGAGCATTTAACACTCCAGCTAATGTTTCCATCTTATATTCTACATTATTGTGAAATCTTATTTCGTGCTTCTTTCCATCTATTTCAATCTCCATGAAATCTGTTTCATCTGTTATAACGAATGAAGCGATAGTATTGAAGTCAACCATTCTGAATGCAAGCGCCTCATTCTGTAGACCTAAGTTTGTTTGTAGCTTTACTGTCCCGTATTCGTTTGGGTCTGTACTTTGCAAATAGAACAACATTTATTCTCATTAAAATATGAGTATAGCTGCATATGCGTATGAAGCTGACAGAGCTAAACGTTTATATTTTGGTCAATACTCTCTCACACTTACTGACAAATATATTGTTATCACTGATGGAAATACTGAGAAATACATTTAACATGGAAGGACTATGAAAAGTTTGACCCTATTTAACTCCATGTACTATGCCGTTTATAAAGGACGGTGAAATTATTGAAAAAGATAATACAACCGTATATAGGTCTGTTTATGAAGCATTAGAATATATGTTGAATCATAACCCAAAAAGATTTGACCCAAGCACTACACCATGTGCAATGCCTTTTATTAAGGACGGTGAAATCGTAAGAGTTCCGGATTCAACGGTTTACACAGCTGTTCAAAACAGTTTACAAAACATTTTAGCGAATATCTTTAATTCAGAAACTACAGAAATAAAATTACCATATATAACAGATGCTAAAGAAATTAAATCAAAAACGACAACATTATTTACGTCACTTAATGATTTAATGACTTATATCATTAATATTCCTGCACCAACTACAACATTTGATCCAAACTCGACGGTTTGCAGTGTACCTTTCATAAATGACAGTTCATTAATTGCTTTAAGGGATTCAACAGTAAATGAATCATTAAAGGCGTCATTAATGAAAATCATTGATTTTAACTCATTCACGAATACATATAATTCATTCATTAATGTTTCATATGCTTCTAAAGAAGGTGAGCCAAAAACTATCGATAAAGCGGTGTATGAAATAAAAGCATCAACGACGAAATTGAATTCGTTAACTTTTGACGGTGATAGTTTCGTTAATGACATAACATCGGGGAAAACAAATTTTAACGAAAGAATACTTAAAATCTCATGTTAGTGAGTTCGTTGAAATTGAAAAAGAAGGTGGAATTAAGTTCGATCCACTGAATTTCATTTTCAGCTTAGCGAATGCGGGTGTTAGTTTCGCTGAATGGACAACTATACAGAGTGAAATAAATGCAATATGGACGTTTTTGGGGTCAAAAGCGGGAATGGGTGAGCTTGTAAATGCTGCAAGAACATTAGGTGAAACAGGAAATTTTGTAGATGGTTTTAAAAGATTTGTTTCAAATGTTTTAACAAACACAAAGAAATTATTTAGATATACCGTACATAACGGACGGATTTTCGAACAGATAGCAACAAACCCTCTGGTTATGGCTGCGTTGATGATGGTTAGAGATATAAAACCACATAACGACGGGAACGAAGAACATGAACAACAGGATACTGGTCGGGTTATTCGAGACATTAAAAACGTGTATCCTGAAGTTATTGATTTATTTAGAGGAGTTAATGATTCAATTTCAAAACATTCTATAACCCTCGATGAAGAGAATAAATTAACAGATTATATATTCGTCATTATTGCAGAATTAATGAAGAGAATAAATGAAAAAGGAATTGGTGATATCATTAATGTCAGCGATGTAATGATGAAAAGAAATTTTGACTCATTATTTACAAAACCGAAAACAGAATATAGTCTTTATGACGTAATTACCGAATTAATGAAAAAGATTAATGATAATAAGAGTTCTGGCGGAAGAGTTGAATTAGAAGTGAATGATGTTAATGAGAAATTAGCCGAAAAAGCAGATAAAAACCACGTTCATTATATAACTTCAGACGAACAGATTATAACGGACTACCATGGATATTTAACACGAAGTGATGAAGCGAAGACAAAAAATGTTAATGAAAGAAGATATAAATACATTCGTGCTAAAGGTTATGACATAAGCTGTACTGTACAGTATGATGTAGCTAAAGCACCAGAAGCATTTGGTTATACCGGTGAAATTTATGCCTCTACTTTCAATGTTAACGGTGTATTAGTTGAACCAAGATTTACTTTGAGAGTTAAGGCAAAAATAACTTTTGAAGATGCTATTAAAAGTAAAGCTGACAAAGATGAACTTGACGCAACGAACAAAGTTTTGAAATCTCATAAACACAATATCTCCGATATAAATGAACTTCAAGCTACATTAAATAGTAAAGCTGACAAGAACCATACACATAAATCCTTCACTACTGTTAGAGCAGACGACATAATATTGAACTATACCCTCGGTTCAAGTGCACCTTTAGAGAATCCAAGTACAAGCGTAAAAGATACACTAAACAATTTAGATAACAGTTGCAGGAATATCGAAGATCATGCCAGAAACTTTGAAGCATATGAACTACCAACAATGTTAGATAAGAAAGCTGACAAAACAGAGCTTCAACCATTAAAGACTGAAATACTTCAAACATTATATCCTGTTGGTTCTATTTATACGTCAATGAATTCAACAAATCCAGAAACAGTTTTAGGTTTTGGTACGTGGAAGCAGATTGTAGATAAATTCTTATACTGTGCTAGATATTCAAAGCAAACAGGAGGTTCGAAGAAAATTAAAGAAGCAAACCTTCCACCGCACACTCATACAGGAACTACAAACACAACAGGTAGTCATTCACATTCAATAACAAAAAGAGGTTATACAAATCTTGCAGCAGGTTCGGATAGACAGGGAATGAATAGATATGATATTTCAAGTGACCCAGTAGATTCAGGCGCAGGTATTTTCTGTGGAACCGCAGGAAATCATTCACACACTTTCACAACAAATCCAACAGGCTCGGGTGCAGATTATATGCCACCATTTGTGACTGTATTTGCATGGTACCGCGTTCAATGAACGCGCTTGAGCCTTGAATAAAATCTTTAACTTTACATAAATGAGCTTGAAAGAAGTATTCGAACAACATCCATGGAGGTCATTTAAGAAGTTCAATGAAGCTGCAAAGAGTTGGGGATTTACTAACAGAGCTGAAGTGAAAAGGTTCTTTGACAAAAATGTTGTACATCAAACAAAAATAAACCCTTACGACTACTTTTTACCAATTTACTCCAACACTCCTGACGCATACCAATTTGACACTCTCATTCAAAGCAGAAAAGGAGGACATAAACCATTCCTCATCTTCATTAATGTTAACACTCGCAAAGCATATGCATATCCAATGAGGAATAAAGGAACTCGTGAAGTGTTAAGAGTTTTACAAAAGTTTGTAGCAGAACATAGCCCAAGTACTTTAACATCAGACCAAGACGGTGCATACCTCAGCAATGAAATCACAGAATTTCTCATTAAGCATAACATAACTCACTACACTACTGAAGACCATAACCATAACATACTCGGCATCATAAACCGCTTCATAAGAACGCTCAGAGATTTAAATCAAGAGCGAGACTTTACCGAAGAAACAATGAAACATTTTCTCGAAGTATATAATTCCTCAACACATTCTACAACAGGACATACACCAAATTCAATGACACAACAACAAGAAGAAAAGTATATACAAAAGAAACGAAGCCAAACACAAAATATCAGAAATTCAACACAATTTACCCTCATTCCTGGTACAAAAGTTCGTGTAGTTCTTGACGACAAACCGTTGACAAAGAAACGTTTAAGGTTAAGTAGAAACTATTATATCGTAGACTCTACGCAAGGTAATGGATATCTTATAAAAGCTGCTGACGACTCTATTGCGTTTTACCCTCGACATAAATTAGTTGAAAGTAGTAATGGCAAACTTGCTGAAACCATTGACGAAGCAAAGCGAGGAGTGGTTATTGAAATACTTGGCTATAACATAAACGATGACACTTATAAAGTAAGATATGAAGGAGGCGTTGAAGATGTTATACCATCTAAGAACTTGAGAGAGTCGAAGCCAACACATCTGGGACCATTAGAGCGGGAGTACTGGAAAGACAAAAATAAGCCAGAAAGAATAAGAAAATTCTTCTAAACTTTTTCATTAGATGTAAATCAGACATGAATGAGAACAGTCATGTATTATTAATGTTTTCATAAATTTACACCAAAAATAATGTTTAGGGTAGATGGTTAGATCTAACCTGATATCTACCCTCATTTCTACCCTCATGAATTTTCACAAATTTCCTTAAGACAGAAAAAATAAAGTTAGTTTTATTTTTATTTATTTTTTTATTTTGTATAAAAGATATGATTTCAACAATCGGCACAACAACAATTCAAACAACTACAGCACCAAACTCGTTAGTCATGAATCCTACGTCAATGTTGATAGAGATGAAAAGCTTTATTCCTTCTTCATATACTTTTGAAACAGAAATCCAGAAGATAAAGCGAGAACTTTTAACAAGTAATTTAGACTGTAGTGCGAAAGATGAAACAAATGAAGAATATCTTTATGACATGCAGGACATTATTGACCATTTACCCAAATTCCCTGAAATCCAACAACAAAAACTAACTATTCCTGAATTCGACGAAATTGAAGTCAAAGCAACTGACTCAGTAGAAATTAAGAAATTCATACGTAAAGTAAATTATGAATTCCTTGGTTTTCATTGCAACCATAAAGTTATGGACAAAGATTGCGATATGGTTTATAAGAACATCTCTGACATATATAAATCCGAAGAATTTAAGACATACGATAACTTTATTACATTAGTTGCAAGATGTGTATGGCAGATAAGAGATAAAGATAGAAGAGGTAAAGTATGGAATGAACAGATAAGACCAGCAGCTTTTGAGTTAAAGAAAACCATTGACGCCTTAGTTGTTCTAGCTGGTTTTATTTCAATGTATAACGCAAAAATGAATCCGCAATGTTCAAAATGTAAAGCAGCAATGAGGAAATATAACTACTCCGTCAAAGAGATAGAACGAATGAGAAACGACTATGCAGACTTAAAGAAAGAAGCAGAAAAGCCAGCAGAAGATAAAATGGATATGTTGACATTTCTTAATAAAAACTATCCAACAGCAGAAGATTTCCTTCTGTCTGACGTCAAGAAGAAATATAAAGAAACCTTCGGCATTGTTAAAACTTTTGATGTACTAAAAGAAGAAATAGAAGCTACGAAATTGTTTAGAATCTCACGAATTCATAACGTTTACCATGTAAAATGGTTATAAATAATGAGGGTAGAAATGAGGGTAGATATCAGGTTAGATCTAACCATCTACCCTAAACATTATTTTTGTCTGAAAAATGACCAAATTTCATGAATTTCATTAGTTAGAAAAATAACGCTAATTTTTTTCTAAGAAAAATTTTTATCTTGTATGTAAAGACAGTAATGTCAAACATTGAGTTTGAAACAGTTAGAAAGATTGACAATGACACCAAAGTGGTTAGAATTGGTGATTTAAACGTAAGATACTGTAAGAAATACAACAAATATTCTTTGTCAGACATTATAACACCATCTGGAAAGAAAACAAAGGACTGGGTTAGAATTGCTTCTACTCAGAAAATTTTGACAAGAAATCCTGAGCTTATGATATCAGTAAGATTCTATGGAACTACAGCATATCTCATTGACAAAAGTCTTATACCAATAATTCTTCTATGGATTGACCCAGTTGTTGGATATAACTTCATAACATATGGTTCATTCGATACGGAACATTGCAGTGAAGGCTTACTTTACATCGTTCAGAAACCGAAGGACTTCAATACAAAGAGATATAAGATAGGAAGAACATATAATATAACTCAAAGATATGACAGTACAGTCAATAGAGTCAAGGTTGTGTTTGTTAATGATATGAGAGCTGCTGAAACAGAACTGCTTGAAGTTTTTGAGAAAATGTATGGTGCTCCCATAAAAGGTAAAGAAACGTTTGAAGTAGATGAGATAGATAAAGCTATAAAATTATTTGACGAAGTTGCTGAAAAATACATGTAAAGCGTTTATTTTTGGTCTTTTGTGAAAGTCAGAAAATAACGCTAATTTTTTCCTAACAAAAATTTTTATCTCGTATGTAAAGACAGTAATGTCAACATTAGAGAACACAACAACAGTTATAGTCCATGAAGCTATAAATGAAGAATACGAGTACATACAGTATAACAAACAGTTACGTCTCATTCGTTCAGTCAAAGACGATATGTATCAAATGCAAAGTATAATGAATGCTCTTCGTTCTACAAAGCAAGCATATCATTGGTTTGAAAACCAACAGACAAAAGAACTTTTAGAAGAATTTCCTCATATGATTGCTTCCCTCGGAAAACCGAGAGAAGAGATTCCGTACGAAAATCGCAAGAATTTGGCTCCTGGTTTGAAAGGTTATTATGTTCATAGACTTTTAGTAAACGCTGTAGCAATGTGGGCTTCACCTCGTTATGCTTGTTATATTTTCATGATGTTAGATGAACTATATAAAGCAGAACGTGGAGAGTTGGAAAAGAAACTTCAAGCAAAAGATGAAGTCATTGAATCCAAAGACAAAAGCATACAGAAAAGAATACCGCGTTCAGTACCAAAAGGAAAGGAAAAGAGTTATAAGTATATGATATATACTGAAGAGTTGGAGAAAGAAGAAGATAACGATATGGTTATGTTGCATTTAGTGAGAAGAAACAACAAGAGCTTTTATGACTTAGCTAAGATATATAAATCTGACAGAAACTGGTTCTATCGTGAAAACTTACCGATTTCAATGACACCGAATGAACAAATAAAGGAAATTGTCAAAAATACTCTTCCTCAAACACACTATGACATCAAAGGTTGCACAATACTTACATTCAAAGAAGACTTAACATTACTGAAGGAAAAAATAACAGAATATTTCGATAACTTCAAAGAGGAAGAATAAACAAAAATAATTTTTTTGTTCAATGCTTTGAAATTATTTTTTACAGTCAGTCAATGACGACTGACTGACTGTTTGGAATTTTATACAAAAATATTTCATAAATGCCTTCCTCCTTTGCTGTTGTCTAAATGTCATGTTGTCACACTTTTTAAGAGAAGTTAATTGACCGAGTGACACCTTCAGTTCTTCAAAAATAAATTTCATTTTTCAGCATTATTTTTGCATTTTGACACGAAGTGAAGATTTGCACTTCGTCAAAATGTGATGTCATGTTGTCTCTTTTTTCAGAGATGTTAATTGACCTGGTAGCACATGGTAACATGGTAGCACCTTCAGTTCTTCAAAAATATATTTTTGCTTAAATGACGTCAGGGTCAATTTCTTCAACCATTTCACTTCCTTCGTCAATGTCAATAGAAGCTTCTTCAACCTTTGGTAAGAATTTCTGTATAACATCTTTGTTCGTTATTGTCTTCAGAGATGAAGAATAATATTTCACATTTGTTTCACCTTTCATATATTCTTTCTGTTCGGAAAGATTCATAGCAATACTGAAGAAGTCAACGTTAGAGTTCTTTATGACAGTATAATGAGTATCTTTGACATTCACGAAGAAACTCTTTTGTTTCAAAACTACTGCTAACTCTTGTGAAGTATAACGTTTGCGGTCAATGACGATAGCTAATGGTCTGACATACTGACCAAACTTAGATTCTTTCACAAACTTCTTGTTAAAGATAACATTAACATTTGAAGCATTATTGAACTCATTCTTGATGGCAGTAGCGAGAGCATTGTATGAAAAGAACTTGCAATCTTGCATGTGTTTCATTAAAATAAAAATATTAAATTATTTTGAAAAATAACTTAAAAAAATCTAATCTAATTTTTTCAAAAAATAT